AGAGCTCGGCGACTGCAGGGTCACACCTCATAGGTCGAACTAGGAGGACGCCGTGGTATCCTCACCGACGAGTGCGTCCATCCTGAATGGCTGCGTTAACAACTCACACGACTGAAAAACGGGAACTATATTGGTTACCGGTCTGTTGGGTCGGGCTGAGATAGGTGGATTTGGCTTGTCCAGGGCCCACCTTGCTCCAAGGAGACCTCGGATTGGGCGGTTTAGGCATGGCCCCCAAGTCACACAGGATCTAGAGGGACGCAGCCGTCTCTAAGTAGTAGTGACTAAGTATATGGATGTACTACAGGAGACTGGGTTGGGCTGGCTATCTCCGTTTCTTACGACCTCGGGATATGTGGTCTCTTGCGATGCCGGTCATCCGAGGCCTGCCCCGATGTCGATGACAGCATCTAATGGGGTTGGTTGTTGGTCACTTGATTCCCGGGGCTCGGAGTGATGGGAACGTAATAGTCACCACCATTCTCTTCGATATTTATCAGCAATATGATATGGGAGAACACGAACCGCAAGACGCCACCATCAATGAGGAGAGTTATTTTTCTTCCCTCTCCTTAGTTCCTTTTTCTTGAAAAAAAAAAAAAAAAAAAAAAGTAAAGTGAAGGAAAACGAAGCACAGACTAATTAATTAGTGAGCCAAGACCACCTGAGTCCGGGCATAGCCGACAGAATCTCTCGAGGCTAGTGATGCCCTCCTGGACAAGACATGATTCAAACCATACCGCAATTAAGGTTGAATCGGAGTGGTGGCTCTCCTTACCAGGACAGGGCTCAGAAAAAATGACAAGCCATATCATGGTTATTCCCTGTACGCCTTCGAGTCCAGGATATGCCCGGAGATAACCAGCCAGCCAGCTAGCTAGCTATTAGCTGATCGGAGGTAGTCTGTAACCGGATGGTCTGGTCTATCCCCATATTAATCGTTTTCTCCATCGCCCATCGAACGGACCACTGACGAGGCAGTGATCGACGCCAGGACGCAAAATAACTAGTTAGCCCACGGTTATCGAAAAGAGCTTCAGGGTTAGATTGCCAAGTCTCCCGTATGATTTATGTGACATTTCGCCTAACAGAATACAGAAAAGGTGATGTCGAGACGGTCACTGCCATTACCATCCCATAACCCACCCTACCTACCTACTAGTTCGCATTTCTCATGTAACAACCAGCCTAGACCCGCTAGTCTCCCCGTGTTCACAGGGCCAAAAAACAAAAAACGCACGCTTATTTCCCATGGGATGGCGAGTTGACTATCCAAGAGGGAAATGATCATTCGCCGGGCCCGGCACGGCCGAACTTCTAACTCCACTTTTTCTCACTCTCTCTCTCTCTCTCCTCTAAACTAGAACGCTATCCCGCAAGAAGTTAAGCCTATCCATATTTACCATTACACGAGGATTATTATCCTTCGGATAGGCCCGTCGGAGGTCTCGGGGTCGTTCCATCCGTCCCTAAGTTGATCGGTCACCTGCCATGTCGCGAGACGGTGTCTCCACTCTCCGCTACTACTACCACTCCTACTACACCTGTTATGGATGGGTATGTATCATTGACGCCACCGTGCAGAGAGGCCGGAGCTGCCATCTCCCTCCTCTATTGGATCATTGCCATTAGGCTGCCATGCATAGCGTTCGCGGTTACTCTAATATATGAAGTTTTACTCCTACATATTGTGTTGGAATTGGAGGAAGGCCGTGCTAGCACCCCTAATCTACACAATACATCCTATATGCCGATGCCGCTTTTTCTTTCCCCCCCATTATGTATCTGTGTCTGTGTGTGTGTATGTCTGTCTCCGGATCGCCCAGTGACCAGGCCAGCACGGACTATAGGCGTCGTTAGACAAGACACCCACGCCCCCGAGGAGCAGCAAGACCCAGTCACAGCGAGTGACGGTCCATGATTCATATGTCTAGCCGAGTAGGCTAATGCATGAACAAGCCGCCTTGGTCTCAGTCAGATCTGGTTCTGCCTTGGGCGGAACGATCTCCTGGAGGACAAGCTCTCTGGAGTACAGGCGGGGGCGCACGGGTGGGACTGTTCCAGGATGCGCCCTTCAGATCGAATTGGAGGAAATGAAGGAAAAGAGAGATTTGAGGGAAAATGGGATTTTTTGAAAGGCACTTACTAGTCGGTACAAGCAGGTGAAATGAACGAATGGCCAGGGGCTTGTCATTTCCTATTTCTATCATGTACTGGGTACCCACAAATGGGAGGCTCCGTGGTAACGAACCATGTAACGGGGACTTCGGGATGGGGGTTAATGGATTACAATACAGTATATTCTGTACTGAATGCATGGCCCGATGAGGTAAAAAGATTGCGCAGGTGGCTCAGACTTTGGGTATCTATCTGTCCTCTCGACTTCTACTTCTACTGAATGATGGTTCGGTTCATGATCCAATGCAGATGCCATGCTTCCTCTACCGGATTCCTGTCAAGATACCCAGGGTGAACCACTCCCGGACATTCCACCCACCACTCACCATTCGTGAGCTGAGGGAAAGAACCTAATTAATCTATACTACCTAAGGTACCTAACGACCCAACCCAAAGGACAACCAATCCATGTCCATCGAAAAAAGAAATCATCTCGGGAATTGAGTTTGAGCCGCGCAAGATGACGGCCTCTTGACCACACCGTAACTAATTCCTATTAAGAGCATAACTAACTAATCGACTAACTCTGATCCGCAGCCTGAACTTTACACCCTCAACTCCACCCAATCAACGCCTCATCGGGGGTAACTAACTACCTAACTACTACCTACCTAACTACTACCTACCTAATGACTACCTACCTAATGACTACCTTCCTAATGACTACAACTTTTTTTTTCTCCCACCTCTCAATTTTTCCATGGCTCCTGACCGTTACCTGGTCCGACAGACACCCACGAGTGGCCGGCTCAAATCGGGGGAGTCCCACAACTTTCCAAAACGTCAAAAACAAAATCGATATGGACCATGGATGATCCTAAAACTCTATCTCTCTGACATGACATGACATGACATGACACATGCAACCAATTTGCGCGAGCTGATTGAACTGGCCCGGGACCCGTGTGCCCCAGGACGAGAGGTCCTTGCGCTCCGAACACTACGTTTGCTTTCTTCGGAGATGGAGATGATGGGTCGGAGCTTCGGAGGGTCGGTCGGTGGTGGATGTGACAAGCGACCTGTCAGGGCGCTTCGATCGAGATCCGCGCCGATCTGTTACCCACTCATTTAAATCTCCCCACTTTTTCTAACCGACGGGATATGACGACAGTATGGGTCTGGGTTTACTTGACACCGCGGAGATAGGAGGAGATGGGAAGAGTGGGAGGGAAGTTAAAAAATGTGGAAAATGGAAAAAATGGAAAAAATGGAAGGAAAAGAAAAGAAAGGAGACGGACGATCGATGATCTCCACCGAGCTATGCTGCAAATACAGACGCAGACAATACAACCACGGCACTCCCGTCTACAGCCGGCGCCGTTAGCATCGATCTATCCCGTCTCGAGACAACCACCATTCCAAGTGGACCCTTTCGGCCATCCCCTTAACCTGTACCCCTCAAGTCCCAATCTAAGCGCCGGTTCGCTGAGCGCACAAGCCGCTAGGAATCTCGATCTATCGGACACCTCTCTGCAAATCAACGTCGCTTACGCCCGTGGTGTGGAGACTGGACGGGCTAGTAGCTCTATCGACAATAGTACTTGTCTGGCTTGATTGAGGAAGCCTCTTTTGCTCTCCTGTCGCGGTACCGGGCACTCGAGGCTCAAACTGCTAATCTGATCGACTCTGTCATTTGGAGTGAGAATTCGATTGGTCTAGACTGCGGCGGTTATTATCACGGTCCACTCATCACATTGTCATCTGCTCCGTCTTTCGCTTTCGCCGTGTTGGAACCGACCCGAGAAAAGGAGGGAACGATGACTTTAGGTGCCAAATTAGCTGCTGGTGGAATGATGATCTTCCTTGCAGCTACCTACTATCCCAAGGCCCACCCGCTCGGTTCAATCGATCCTTAATGTCTCGTGTGCATCGACCATGGCCACTCTCCATTGGTTATGTTCCCTGCGTAAGAAGCCAATCTTTACCCAAGTCGACACAATATCCCACGGGCTACCCGGCTACCAGCCGTCTCCTGACAGCCTCCTAACGTTTTGGACGCGTAAAAAAAAAAAAAAAGAAAAACACAGTATCTCAATTCCCAACGCCGCCGCCACCACAACCACCACCAAGACGCGGCCAACGTTTTCTCCACAGATAGAACCCTCCCAACCCAGCCAGCTCCCACTCAACTACACAAACAAAACTCCCTAATATCCAGCTCATAAGTTTGACTGATAATCAAGTCTCAGAGTTTCCGATCTGTCTCTCCCCGCCAAGCCTGACACTACGCGGGCCATCACAATCCCAATTGTGATGTGACACCAATCCCGCACGAACCACTTCTTGGCCCCATGCCACTCCCTCCCTCCCTGCTGCGCCCCTTGCGGCCGGAACGCATGCCGTTTTGTCCTGTTAATCTCGCGTCTCGGGATGGATTGGGATTGGGAACTGATCTGATCTGATCCAGCTCGTGTCTGTCGCCCGCACCGCACGACGCGTGACGATGGCCTGTTGCTTATTATTATTACCTACAGAGTGCTTACCTACCTACCTACCAGTTTACCCCCGCTCCGGTCCGGTTCGCGAATGACTCGCTAGTTGCGATGTGAAGCCACATTAATCGAGCGCGGAGCGGACTTATTCCGTTGCTTACTTCTTACTTCTTACATCTGGATAGATTTACCCTAAAGAGAAGGGAGGGAATAGTCAGTTTGCCCCCGGTACTTTTGGCACCCCTGATCATCTACTGGGTACTCCGTACTTTCGTAGTTCTTGATGTGGTTGCAGTGCTAAAACACGGGATATATTAGGCGGTTCGGGGGAGATACTATAAGTACATGTTCGTTAGTACTACTCTGTAAATAGGTGAGTATTTATAGATACCAAGACTGACGGAAAGCGGACGGGCTACGAACATACACTACCTATCTGGCTAGTTACGGAGTACTCCATATTGACCTCGCTTTCTATCCGTTGTCAGTAGTGTCTCCCTATCTCTACCTACGGCTAAACAGGCCAAAAGACCGACCGGACATGAGATAGTATCTACTAAGAACCAGCTAACTAGGTAGTATTGCCCCTGTGCTTATCCACCTACGTACTTTACGACCTACAGCTAACCCATCATCAAAGCTCCCTCCCTCCCTATCAGACTCAGCAGCGACTAAGTAAGTAGTAGGGTACCTAGTGCAAGCCGATCGCTTACGCTAGACAAGGTCGAAATGCAATCCAATCTAATCCCTGCCGTGCCATCCCCTGATCAATGTGTTTGTCTAGAGTTGTTTGTTTGTTCAAAGGAGGGGGGTCTGTAGGTTGTTCCAATGTTTGCTGCTGGCTATTGTCTTGGGCAGGTTTGATTGGGTGGGGGGGTTGGCATTATGCCTGCGTGGCATTGAGGACTGGACTGTTCCATCCTGTTTATCCTTACTTGTTGAGCTTGGGAGTTACTTACTGGGTAGGGGGTAGGTGGGTGGTTGTAGATGGATGATGATGCTGCAGAGGCAGACACGTATGTTTGTGTGTCAGCCGGTCTTGGGTCGGCATATTGGTAACTCATATTCATGGGCGTGTCAGATTGGGCTGGATTGGATATTCTATGTTGTGAATTGAACGGGGTTTCTTTACCTTTCGCTCTCCTGGATGTGTATCGTTCATGTGATAGCAGTATCCATAGTACTCGTGAACGCTGATTTATATTCGTAACCATCCTCACCAGCAACTACATCACCCTCAACTTAGCGATCCGTATATATACTGCATACATCTATCTGCTATCTACACGTATAATCCACGTCCACGCATAGTCCACATCTATACCCAACCCCATGCAGTGTGCTTACCCACCCACCTCTTACATACCTCTTCCACCTCAAGACGAATATTCCAATCCAGCCCGACTACCAAACCATGTGCGTCATCTTCACGGGTACTGGATGGAATCTATCTACTGGTGCTCCGCAACGTGTATAGAGGAAGATTCCTAAACGGACTACTACGATCTCAAGTGTGCTTGCTTCCTTGCATCCATGCGTGTGTGTGTATGCATACATGCATGCAATGCTGTGCATGCATGTGTTTTACACATGTTTGTGTTTCCACAGTGGATGGAATAGGACTGTAAGGGATTGGTAATACATTCTTGGGTTAATAAGGTAGGGTAGGGTCTGTTTGCTTGGTTTTTTGTATGGGGTTTGGGAGATGGGTAAGGTGTGATATATATTTAGTGGTGTGGATTTGATTTGGGGTTGGGATGTTGTCGTTGCTGCTTGGATATGCGCGAATAGGCTGTTAGGGTTAGTATATATATCTACGGATGCAACAACATCAGAATCACTAGAAAGAACAGAAAATTCTATGCAATTGTGTTCATTTATTTTAATTGATTACCCCATCCATCCCATATCAACCAGAGTACAAACCAAACCAAGCCAAACCAATCTATAATCTCGCCCTGCAACGCCTCTACCTACCAACCAACCGCCCAGTTTGCACCAGAGCAAACATCTTAGAGAACACAGTAAATAGAAGAAAAGAAGAGAACAGATCCACCCATCCATGCTTATTGGTTTAAACCACACTGTAGAGATAGGTTGTAGATTGTAGAGAACAGCTTGTTTGCGAGCGCAGTCGCGAGACGAGATATGGAACGAGCTCGGGGTCGAGTAGATTGCATCGCATCGGCTGAAACGGAGGACGTTAAGATCTATCCGTTCCCGACTCCATGCACGTAACTAGATGTCGCGCGTCTGATTTGGTTTAACTGATTGATATGATATGTCGTTTTTCTGGTGGATACCCAGACGGGACACAATCCGTGGTGATGCTATTTGCCGGGGGTGATATTTCCGGCTTCGTTGTATTCGTCCTCGCTGCTCCTGTTTTTGATGTTTATTGTGCCCCACTATCGAAAACTAAACTGGACGTCGGTTGTTTTTGATTATGGTGGGATTAGGTTGGCACATCTGGGTGTTCGAGTTTGGGATCCCCCACGCTAGAACATCATCCGTATGCCATGTCTTTGAGCAACAACGCAGCTACTGCCTGTTACTGCCGTTCCCTGAATCAAACCGCGGAGCAGACGGTGTATTCTGAGCGTTCGAACCCAGGGGCGGAATGCGATTGAGAGACGGCGACGACATCATGCCTTGCGGTGCGTTGGCCCCGTGAGAAATCATGGCGTTCTCTCTCTGCCGGCGTCCCTCTTGTTCCGGAGTCATGGATTTGACCGGTGGGGGAATGGGCGCGTCGGGCGAGCTGCGTCCCATGAGCTTCGGGCTCGGCTCCAGTTTTTGGATCGGAGGTAATACGGGTGCGCCGGCCATGCCGCCGGATGTCACCGGGCGAGGGGACTGTTTTGTTGGGCTGATTCCGGAGAGATGGACGCCGTGGCCGTGGGAGCTCTGCGGGGGTGAGGATCGACTGGCTGTGGGGGTTGCCGCGAAGGATATCTGGCCGCCTTGCATGGAGGAGAATGATGCGTGGTTGCTGGTGCTTGGACGTCGGGCTTGGTGTTGTCCGTATGGGGTCGTCCATGGTGCTGGGCTGTCGGATGGGGATGCGGAGGGGAATCCGGCGAGAGGGCCGACGTCGCGGTTGCCTTGTGTGGGGGACATGGAGGGTCGGTTCTGGATGGGCGAAGGGAGATGCGGGCTCTGTGCAGAGTGGGATGATGATGGCCGCTGCGTTTGGAACGAACCGAATGACCCACGGCCAGGAGGTGGTTGTGTTGCCTGGTGGGTGGAGGGTGGTTTCGGATGATGGGCTCTGGATAGACTGAACCCGTTCACACCCTTGGATGGAGAGAATGGGGCGCGAGAAGGGCTGAAGGGGAGGTGGTGGGCGGAATGAGGGCGGCGTTCGGGTGACGACGGAGAGAAAGGCATCGACTGAGACCCGGTCTGTGGGGGGAAGGATGGCTGTGCAGGCATTTTGGAGGGCGATCCGTTCGGGGACATATGGTGATGAGCTTCCATCTTGGGCACCAAGAAGTGTGGAGCGTCCGGCCCCTTCGCCTGGTGATCTTCAAACCCAGCTGACGAGGGCGAGGAACCAAGCTTGAACTTCAACGGGGGTAGTTTCGGCATCTTCGCCTCCTCCTCGCGCCGGTGACAGTCCTTGCAGACGAAGTGAAAGTCCTCACGCTCGGCTTCGTCCTGCGCGATCCCCAGGCATTTGCTGTGCTGCCACACATTGCACTTTTCGCACGCGACACTATGGGACCCGTCGTCCTGTTTCACTTTAGCGAGAGAATAGAGAGCAATGGAACTGGAGACTTACCAAGTTCTCCCCATGCACACCGCATATCGAGCAGTCAAATATCCACTCATCCTCCCCAGAGAGATCTTTGAGATTCTTCCTCTGCCTCTCCATTTCGGCCCTGAGGTGCCTTTCAGACATTCGACTCTCGCCACGCTCGAACTTTTCGTGCTCATCTTGTATCTTCTGCAGTTCCTCTTCGTGTTCTATGCGTTTCCGTTCTCGGTCTTTGATGCGCTGCTCGCGCGTCATCATCCGGGCGCGCCTCTCCTGTTCCATCTTCTTTTTCTTCTCCTCTTCTTTGCGAGCCATTGCCAGCTCTGCTTCGTGCTTTCGCGCTTCTTCCACCGCCTCCCTGTCAGCACGGTCCTTCTCCGCCTTTCCGGCGAGACGGCTGGACCGTTTCGCGCCGGCAAGCATTTGCAGATTGATGAGCTCTTTTTCCTTCTTGATCCTGTGCCGTTCCTGGGATTCTTCTTCCTTTTCAATGACCGGCATCACTTGTTCTTCAATCCTATCCCTCAGTATCTTCTCGTCTGCATCCCTGGTCTTTTGAATCGACGCCAAGAATTCCCGATAGTCGTTGAGTGTGATGGCGACGCATTCCCACTGCATCTCCTTGAAAGGATCCTCTTGCGGTTTGCCACTGGCGTTATCATTATCCTCTTCGGAAGAACCATCGACGATAGCCGCTTCGGATCCTCTTCTCCGCTTCGATGCGCGTAAAGCACGCGCGCTCTTCCTCTTGGTCTTCGGTTTGGCGAGTTTCGGAGCGGGGATGGGGGGATCGGTGCGACGATACAGTCGATTGTCATCCAGAATGTAATAAAGGGCGCCGTCTCGATCGTATCCTACTTCCTCAATACGCTGGGGAGGGTAAGTAAACGCTTTACCATGGAATGGAGTTGCACTCACCCATTGCGTCTGGTCCTGCTCCCTCTGCTCCGGCATCTTGTCGCGAATACGGTCGGGGTTCCAGAACGTCCATACCGTCAACTGGTGGAGAACGCGAAGCTTCAGGAAGATGTCAAACTCGGCGAACTTTTTCGGAACCTCGTCGTACCCGAAGGGGTTTTCGACATGGGGCGCTTTGGCGTTGTACTGGCGTCGCGTATATTCGTCGAAATTGTCAAACCTAGATCAGAGACGATATGAGCGTCCGCCGTATATAAGAATCAGTCTGCGCGACATCACGTACGAGAGACCCCGATGCGACGAAACCCATTTGAGCAGACAAAGTCCAATCTCCATAAGTTTCTCCGAAGGACCGGGTTTAAGACATTCGGTTTCTAAATCCTGCACCGTAGAAAGACAGATTAGAGCACAGTGCGCGAAATGCGAAACGCAGAAAGGTCGAGAGAAGTAATTCATGGTCATGTAATCACTAAGAAATGGTTCATACCTCGATCCCGAAATCCTCATCAATTTTCATAGGTTTCCCAAACATGGTAATGTACTGCATGAGATTTGCAAACTCCCAGCTATTGCGCAGTTGGTCGAGCAACCCTGGCTCCTCCGATGGCTGCTCCGGGGCAGCGTCCGCATCGGAGCGGGTGCGCTTTCGCGATACCATGGAGGCGGTTCGAGACCGTGAAACGGCGGCGGCCGCGCTGGAGGAATTCCGATCGATCGCGCGGGTTAGACGAGGGTGTGGTGGCGTGGATTTAGCTAGATAGGACGAAATAAAGGGATCAAAAGAGAGATGTAAAAAAGAAAAAGGTCAAATCAATACCAGTCCTAAAATCAAGACTAAACAATAGTAACGAACGAGGCGATCGCAAGGGTGTGTCGGTCGGCTGGATGAAGATGAGCTCACTTGTCTCTCTCTCCCAGACGCCCCTGCGCGCGTCGAGACCGGGCTGGGTCAGGTGACCGCACCACCAATTTGGATCGAATGGGTAAGCGGCTGAACACGCTCTGGCACTATCTACATGTTATGTTCTCTCCATATTTGATGGTCAATAATGATCTAAAATCTCAGTGTAATATCACTTTTCGTGTTTGGAAATGTTGTCTACTTAATTGACAAAAAAAAGAGCGCAGATCGCCAGGGCAAACATCATCAATACTCCGTACATAGGGACAAATTCCCACCCGTCAATCCCGAAAGAAAATCCAGTAATACTCAAGTGCAATGCATGGCAGAATAAAAACAACAAAACGGAAAAAAAAGCCTAGATCTTGGTATCTCTCGCTCAAAGCGACTCTATCTCACCCAAGTGGAGAAGGTGAAAGGGATTGTAGAGGACAAGCAAATGCACAGGAAATCTGAAAGCGCCAGCCACCTCCACGCCACATGCACATCCTCGACCATTATGTCCGAAATGGATTGAGAATGGAAAGACAGCAAAACCCATGAGGAAATGCAACAGACAGCCAGAATATCAAAAGACAAAGAAAGCACAAACACAAATGCTCCCTCACATGGTTCCAATTTCGCCCTCACATCATTCTTTCTTTATGTTTTCTGTCGGGGTTCCTTTCTTTTTTTGCCCAGATATCTCTAATTTTCATTTTTCATGTTGGAAACTCACCTTTTGCGCCTTCCATGTGTCCTTTTTTTCGCCCGACCCAGCCCCATGCATATCGTAAAGTATGGTAATATATGAAGTAGATCGATATAATGAAACAGATGCCTTCCGCCGTTGGTGACTCACTACATGGCGATCCCCTGCGTGCCGTCGGAGATATTATCGGAAAGGTTGATCAGGAGCTGCGCGAGACAGCGCTTGGTGGCCGCATCGTCCCGGAGAACCGAAGAAAAGGTAGCATCCCGCAGGGGTTCGGGGAGGCATTGCCGTAGGGCCTCGCGTGCGCGGCTATTATCACTCAGGCTAAAAGAATCAGTAAGGTCATCATACCGCGCAGTAGACTTATCTCCACATACCGTAAAAAGCAACGCACAACGTGCTTGAGCAACCGGACAGTCTGCTGCTCCACCAACTGAGTGACCATATTGCTCAAGACGGTTCCCACCGCATAGAACCTCTCATACGTCGCGCAAATATACGCCAGACCGATGTCATCGAGTAAGATCTTCTGTACGATAAAGATGGCCACGGTCTTGCTCAGCTCAGACCCCGTCTCCATGATTCGAAGGCAAAGAGGGATGATTTCGGTGGTGAGGAGGAAGTTGATGACATCGGACGAGTCGTTCTTGACCAGCGCCCCGATGACGCCCAGCGAGGTGAGACGGAGGTATTCGAAGGGGCGCGATTTGGAAGTCGTGTTAAGGAACGGATACAGGAAAAGAGGGATGTGGGCTAACAAGTCCCGTTAGTTTGGACGAAGTAGAGGGAGTTTATTGCACGTACCGTTCAAAAACAGGGTGCGTGTCTCGTTATGAGACGCAACACACTGCAGCAGGGCCAATGCATTGCAGACCCGATTCGAGGCCGCGGCCGTGAGTTGTGAGGGGTTCAACAAAGGATATACGGAGATGATTTCTTGCAGAAGCGCGGTCATGACACCTGCGGATTTAAAAAGAGTTAGTAACGAGACCCAACAGCGCCAATTTCGAAGAAGAGGAGAGGCGCACCAAACGAGTGCCAAATGACCAGCGCCAACTCAGGAACCTGCTCTCTCTTCTTGCTCAGTTCCATAAGAGCCGCCTCCCTGCGATTAGGATCCAGCAACTCAGCCACCCAGATAAAAACCTTGCGGTTCTCGTCGCTAATCCCACCGTCTACCATCGACACAGAACCGGGCAGAGAGCCGTCCGCACCGATCCCTCCAGCGCCTGCGCCTTGACCGGGGTTCCCAGCGTTTCCGACCATCGCGATGCGGTTGTAATGTTGTTGTTGAGCGGCGGCGGCAGCGGCCGCTGCCGCTTGAACCTGGGCATGCTGCTGGGCGACTAGCGAAGAATGCTGTTGTTGGGCCTGGTGCGGGTGATGTTGGGCTTGGTGGTGCTGCTGCTGTTGGTGTTGCTGCTGCTGCTGCTGCTGCTGCTGATGCTGCAGCCACGAGGGATCAGCCTGCGGGTATTGGTGTTGATGGGAGAAAACGTGCTGCGCCTGCGTTTGAAGCATGGCGGGCCGACAAAGAAGAGCTCGGTTTGGGGGGGACTCGTAATCCTCAGGAGAATGGGTCGGGGATAGCGGCTGTGCGACCGTCGCAAGGGTGAAGGCGCAAGGCTGCGTGGTTGAGATTTCGGGTGTTGTCAGGAATAACCTCGCGGTAGTAGTCTCATGGATGATGGATGTAGATGATAAGAGGGAGTATGTTTATGTGAATGGGGGGTTGTGGTGTGGATGAGATAGACGGCGGAAGGTTGATGAGCCAAGTTGCAGAACGGATTGAAGTCTCGGGCTACGGGAGGCGGGGAGAGCGCAGGCTCCGTCTTGTGTGCCGGGCGCCACTTCGTCCTACTGGCAAGTTTGGGTAGCACCACCGATTTGGGTCGCCGCGTCATTTTTTTTATATACTTGTTTTTTCTAGTACTCTGGCTCCATCTGATTTCATGGACAACTATTTGGAAACTCATGATTTAGAATACGATGCAGTCATAATTACATATCTCTCGAAGCAACTGGCGCATTGCAGGGTCCATTGAAGCGCACGAGCGAGTCAGCAATGCGTCAATGAACACCCGGCTCAAGGCTGAAGCGATTGCGTTGTCTCACTTGTATATGCTTGCTTGGGTTGGTGCGAGGAGTTCATGCAATTTGAGCCGATCAGTCTTATTCTAATTTATCTAAATATCTATTCGAATACATGGCTCACCAGCAGATGTACCGACATTAATCATGTTTCACCAAGTCAAGATACTATGAAACCTGCACTGCCGTGAAGGCTGAGAACAACTTCTACGCAACTCTTGTACAAATCTCAAATTGTGGGACATGATATTTCATTGGATTCATCATAACTCATATTTACATACATCGTTTCTTCAGTCTTTCGTCCAACCTTCTGGGAACATATATCAAGAACATAAAGTGATAAAAAGGTGAACGAGAAGACAGCAGTGGGAACGGAAAGTCATTAGCGCGTCAGTGCATAAATGTCATCATACAACAGGTAAGTCAAAAGGGATTCAGCAAAGCGGACAGGTTGTAATACATCATCAATATAAACGGCGCCAGAATAGCGCTAACCCATGGGCATTCGGGTTCAAGGAAAATAAGAAGGGGTAAAAAGGACGCAGAATCGAGGATTTTATCATGAAGATCAGGTCTCGTTGCTTCATATGGTAAACTCCATCAATCATCATATCATGAACGCCGTGAGCGCGTGCGGGATCGTCGTGATCGTCTCGTGTCTCTCGTTCGTCGGTCCGAACTTTCGCTACTACCTATCAACTCAATTGATTAGCATGGGATGAACACGATTCATGAGGAGCCAGGGGAGGGGGTAACACGTACTTGCGCTGGTATAGTCAGAGTAGGTGTAATAAGTGCTGGGGTAAGTGTAATCGGTGCTTTTCTCGTCGTGATGCTGGCGCCTCTTGAGACCCAAGCAAAGCGCAAGCGCCCCCAAGATAATCCCGATAGTCGCCCAGCCTCCCCATTTCGATTTTTTCTCGCCCGACTCATGCGCGTGCGGTCGAGCGCCGAACCAGGTTCGCCCTTCGGGCCGGCTACCATGCGCATAGTGGGCATGGTGGTGTCCGTGTTCGTCCACGTACGAATCCTTTCTCTTCCGCTTACCCAGGCCAAGACAGGCGGCCAGGGCTTCAATCACGCCGCGACAGCACAGGCAAGCGCAAACGAGAAACAGGAGGAAGACGCCGGCGATGACTCCCACCACGATGCCCGCGATGGCTCCGCCGCTGAGGCCATGATGGGGCTCAGTCGCTTCCAGCAACGGGGCGCCGTCGGTGCCGACGGGGGCGTCGAAACCCCGCGTGGTTGTCGCGGTTTGGGTAACGGTGGAATCACTCGTTCCTCGGACTGGAGGAGTGGCTGTTGCGGTCGCCCATATCGAGGAGCTTCCCACGACGCATTGGTCCTTGTGGCAGACGTATGCCGCGCCGCAGCAGGTGTTCCCGCATAGTGACTCGCCCAGTTCTGAGTCGCATTTCCCGGATCCTCCTGCGCCGCCAGTCTCGTCCGGGATGAAGCTGCTCCAGGTAGACGTAATCGTCGACGTGTCTGTCTCTGTTGCAACGATGGTTGTCGTGTAGACCTTCCAGGTTCCTCCTCCACCGCCGCCGCCGCCGCCGCCGCCACCGCTACCTCCTGAGCACACTGCTTGGCCGTTGCCGTTCGTGGTGCATTTTTCGCCCGCTTCACAGCAGACCTGGTGATAAAAGCCACAGGGATTTTCGCAGCGCTTTTCGACTCCGGTATCGTTGCTGGCGAGTTCGGAGTCTGCGAGCGGAGCCTCCGAGAGAGCGAAACGAGTTAAGAAGGCGAGGATTGGTATTGCCGGTCGTAACACATGGCGGATATGCATAGCGAAGGAACGAGGCGATAAGACCAGCCTCTAGACTCTTTTAACCGGGCAACCAACCCCCGATCGCGAGGAACGACGTGTTGGTCAAGATGGCAACGAGGACGCCTTTGCTCGTTATCTAATCGGATAGTCCTGTAAATAGGTCGCCCGATAAGCTGATAAGGCTGCGGCAGCCAAAAAAAGCGAATATAAAAAACGAAGGAATGCGATTTCTGATGTTTGACACACAATAGCGGATAGAGGGAAAAGAATGCGACAAACGACTCAGATGAAGAAACTTAGAGAGACGAGGAATGGAGGGGAAGGGAAGCTCGCATGATGTGGTGAGGTGCATGAGTCGGTCTCTGTCTTGTCTTGAATCCCAGCCTCCTCGCATGCGGCCGAGATCCCAACCACCGCTTTTTCTACACCCAATCGCTAAGACATCCAGGTTTTACTGACCTAGTCATGATTTGATCATACGGGGGGTTGAGTGGTACGGGGCAAATAGATGAGCTCGAAGTGTATTATTTTCCTTTCTTCTTTTCCTTTCGTTGCCTCGCCAAAACCCTTCCCCCATACCCGTATCAACGGGGACTGAAGTGGCACGGGCACAGTACCACTGACACTGAGGCTACCTACCCCTCCTCAAATGGATGGAATCAATCAATCAATCAATATTATATTACCAACCCCACTCTCGAAAGACCGAGACCGTCCCTGGCAGTGACAGACAAGAGAAGAGCCGTCACTCGGTCAGACGCACGGCCGAACCAGTGCGAGGTGTGATTTGTCTTATTTTTCCCTTTCCCACCGCCAGAATACACATCCCGCGCTCAGCCAGTCGAGGCCCGGGCTAAGGCTAAGAACCGAGGATGACATGAGGCTGCACGAGCTGATTTGTCCAATTTTCCTCAATCTATGCACGTCTGCAGCGTTTTACCTCTCATTTCCCCACTCCAGACAACCCAAAGACCCTAGAATACCACCCAGTAGGAGATAATTTACTAGCGGCTCCATCCATCCTCTACGTGGTAGACCTCTCAGGGCGAATCTGACGCAGCCAGCAAATGTGACTGGGTGGAGACGGCCATGTCGGCATCTGCGGGCCCTGTTGGGGAAAAAAGACTTTTGTGCCTGAGTGGGACGTAGGAACAGCGCATCTGCTGTCTATCTAGGGGGGTTTTGAGTCGTTGGTTGTGGGCGTCATTGGTGCCTTACCTTGTGGGCAGAGCACCTGACATGGTAGAGATAGGTATGATGGGTTGATTTGCGTGGTCTTGACCGTTATAGAGCGGTGTGCATTTTTATCCATATTATCAGTTGAATCTTATCGTCTGTTCTTTCTATTTTTACTTTATTTTACCCCATTCTATTATTATCGTGATTTTCCCCTCACACTGGGTTTGTCTTGGCCTGTTGGCACTCGGCTGGAATTTCCATTTTCTATATACAGAATGGACGAGCTGAAGAAACAAGGAAGAAAGGAAATACAAAATAATCACAATCATCAAGACAAACGTAGATACATTGACCATCATCATCAATCGTTCCATATAAAATCCATCCAGGGACCAAGGCGTAAACATACATATCGGAAGATGAAAAGCAAGCAAATATGCGATAAGTAAAGGGTCCGAAAACCGACCATGCCTCTTCCTCAATGCAGAAGAGGAACATGGCTATATCAGATCAGCATTCCAGCCACGCTAACGAGCATGCCGAAAAAGAGGTCCTGCAGGCTAGACGTCCTCCCAGCAGGAGCCCTGTTGCCGTCATCCTGCGCGGTCTGATGTGTGTCGCAGTACCCCAGATGTAGACCATGGCACGCTTCCATGCTCAGACTCGAGCAGGTAGCCACGGCCGATGGCGCTCCGTCCCGAGTCACCCCTCCGCCCTCGCCGCCCACAGTAACAGCGTAGCCGCCTCCCAGCTCTGACAAGCAACCGGTGTATTTGCTTTGGCACAGGGAGTAATAAGACGAGCAGATCCCGCCGTTTGCGAAAGACGTGGGGATGTTGACGAACGGGTATGCGCCTGGTATAGTCGACCCGGTGATGGTCGCATCGTTCGCGCCGGTCGTGTGCGTCGCGGACGCCGTCGAGGGGAATTTGAAGCTATTGTCGTCGGAGTTGGAGCTGGTGGGGAGGCTGCCGGTGCAGCTGGCCCCCGTGGGACAGCAGGCGATGTGGTCGTTGGCGTCGAGAGAGCATCGGGACCCCAGCTTGCAGCAAACTTCCGGGCTGTCCATGTTGGTGCACGGGTTATGCCCGGCTGGACAGTTGTTGTCGGAACGTTTTAAGAGCCGCAGTACATCGAGCGCCCGCGCATGGTTCCCTGTTGGCTGAGGTGGGGAGAATGGTAGTGTTTCTGTCTCTATGGAGAGTACCGTCGAGGCGAAGAATGTGGCCGAGATCCACCCTGCGATCCTCATTCTGGCTTAGGGCTCGGTCCGCCCGTCGGATCGTATGCTTATCGAAACCGATCGATGGGAGTGTTCGTCTTCGGATAATGATTGCGACGCTTCAGTATCGTGTCAAATGTAAATGAAAGGTAGATGCGACGGTGATTTTGCGGTGATCAACAAACTACTAAAGGCGGGCAACGACATTGAGGTTAATTGTTGGCCGATCGGCGGTAGGTCAGATGCATCAGTGATGGACTCACGATAATATTGGACACCTCTTTTTTTACTTTCAACACCACAGGGTTGGAACAGGATCAGATAAATGACAGCTTGGTCAGAAAGATCGGTGTATGGTTGTTGTGGGAAGAAACAATTGGTGCCATCACCGATTTAACAAGGAGGCTACTAATGGTTTAGCCCCGAGTAACGATCGAGTCAGTCCATCAGCCTGTCCAATCTCCACCCCGATCCCTGCCACAGCAACGCGGTGTCCATGCGATCGACATCCAACCACCGCATATCTATAATTATCTCCACAACGTATCAACACATCTTCCAGTTGCTCAATAGGAATCTTTGGACTTTTTTACTTCCCGCTGTTCCAAGGAAACCGTCGATTTTTTAGTTTGTTTTACTAATGGAGGACTATCAAAGCTTCTTTTGCGTTGCAGGACGACTATGCTAGGGTCAACCGGGTAATTGCATATTAACGTATCCTGACAAGTTCTACACTTATTTGACAAGCTCTTCAAGTTCGCGACTGGTCAGATGTGTCGTGGATAGGCCATGTTATCAGGTTCCAAGGGTCTAGAAATTCTTCATAGCATGTTGTGACGGAGAATTGCAGCTGGCGGGGTACAAATCATGTGACAGAACAACGCTGACGTGAACAATGTCATTCCTGGGTTGGCAAGGTGGTTATGTTTGTTGTTAAGCATTCTTGGTATATTTACTTGCAGATTCAGATACAATGGTTGTTTCCAGAATGCCTAGTACTGTCAGCCACTGAATACAGCCGATAACAGCGCACGATATTTCGAAGCTAGTATCTAGAAACTAAGGCCGATCCCATCTCAACAATGATTCCCATCGTGGACTTTTCTTCATGGAACAAACCGCAGGGTGAGTCCGACAAGTTACATGTGGCGAATGAACTTGTGGAAGCTTGCCAAACTGTTGGTTTTGTCTACATCATCAACCACGCCCTACCTGAGTCAGTCATCGATGCCGCTTTTGACTGGTCCAAGCGTTTGTTCCAACTTCCGAGGGAAGAGAAGTTGAAAGCTCCACATCCAGAAGGCTGGGCGGTCCATCGAGGATACTCATGGCCGGGATTGGAGAAGGTTTCCCAAGTGATGAGCACTGTGGATGATGAGCAAGCGCGAAGGAAGTTGAGAGAGGTGCCTGATGTCAAGGTATGCGGGAACCGAGCCCACATAACCAACCCATCGATATAATCCTTTGCCCAAAGCTAGTGTCTCACAGACAGTCTAGGAAATCTACGATATCGGGAGCGAGCATAATACCGTCCAACCTAATCAATGGATCCCAAATGAATGCCTCCCGGGATTCCGCAATTCTATGACCAAGTTCTATTGGGAATGCCAGCGGGTAGGGGATGAGATCCTGCGTGCACTCGCTGTTGGATTGAACTTGGAGAATGAATCATACCTGGTAGAGAAGCATTCAGGGCATAACAACCAGCTGCGACTACTCCACTATCTCCCAGTACCAGCCGCAGACTTAGAGCAAGAACGAACAGCCCGCTGCCCGGCTCATACTGACTGGAGTTCCATGACAATGCTTTTCCAAGACGACTGCGGCGGCCTCGAAGTCGAAGACGTTTCCCAGCCAGGCACGTTTATCCCCGTGGCCCCTATCAAAAACGCTATCGTAATGAACATTGGGGATTTACTCCAGAGGTGGAGCAACGGTCCGTACCATGATCGGTGCTGTTTATGCCAAGTGAATAGGCTGATTCGTATCTACAGACCGGCTGAGATCAACTAACCATCGAGTCCAAGCACCTCCTCTTGCTGATCGATTCTCGGGCCCGTTTCGGATGACTCGTGAGCGGTTGTCGATTCCGTATTTCATGTCTCCCGACCCTGAATCTGTTATCGAATGCATACCTTCCTGCATGGATGAGAAAGAGGGGGCTAAATACAAACCAATCACGCAGGCTGAGTACAACAAAATGCGGGCATCTATGATGTACTAGACCGATCGGGGCAAATAAAGCCTGATTGCAACTATGGTGGTGTATGGTTCTGGTTTCTTCTGAAACGGGCGCATACTCCGCCAAAACCCATGTAGTAGGGCTTAAGGCGAAGCAGACACCGGTAAAAATATATTATAACATCTCTTGAAGAAAGCAGATTTTACACATACATCTGAACCTTCTTGGTACAGGGATAGTATGGGGAGATGCTTGGCCAAGCCCTAAGCCCTATCCGCATGTCCGTATACGGCAATCCGCAGGTCAGCGCCCGTGCCACCCCCCGCCGGTCGGAGTCAAGCTTGGCAGCGGATGTGTTCATTGTCCGACTTCATTCTCCGCTGCACGGTAGCTGCCACATTATCATCACAGTTGCAGACCCTTTACCTCTGTTCAGTTCATTTGATATACTCTTTTAATTATTTAAGATTTCTCTCCCTCTTTCTTATTCTAATTGAGAACTCTTCACCGATCTATTTGTTCCCCTCTTACCCCTCAACTACTATCTCTCCCCCGCCAAAATGTCTATCCCCAACGAAGCTATCCAGAAGGTACTTTCTTTTCCCACCCGACTACATATCTTCTTTGATATTCAAACTGACGATTGCGCGCCTACAGCTCTACCAAGAGATCGAGGCCCAGTTGGTCAACTCGCAACAGCAGATCGGCATCTGCAAGGCCCAAATCTCGACCAAGCAGCGCGACATCCGCCTGATGGAGCTCACGTCGAAGGAGATGGGATCGTTGCCGAAAGACACCTCCGTGTATGAAGGAGTAGGGAAGATGTGAGTTTCAAACATCCCCAGGAGATGTGGCATGCGCCTCTACGTTCCGTGAAGATGGCCTCGAGAAACAAAGTATCTAATTCAGGCGCGCGGCAGGTTCGTCAACGTTCCCATGGACACAGTCGACAAGCGCATGTCCAGTGAAACCTCTCAACTCAAGTCAGATATCTCAGGTCTGGAGAAGAAACTGTACAGTTTGGAGATGACGCACAAGAACAGCAAGGACAACATCGGCAAGATCTTGAACCCCGCGAACAAGTCGTGATTGGCTGGCGTGATTCTACAGCGGCTTCCCCCCCCCTGAATTGTTTGTATCCGACATATCAATAGCGTCAGGATGGATATGATAAAACACGTTGCTGCCCGATCGGGCCGCTCTGGCGCGGCCTGTGCTTCAAAGGTGTGGGTGGATTCGAGGATGCCGAACAGGGGAGCGTAACGCTTGCGTTTGCGGCGGCATCGGGTACCTACTTACCTGGCTGCTGCTACTACTCGCTGAACTGTCTGGCGATCGTCTGGCTGGACCAGACGCTCGGTAGATGTGGGCGTCTGGCATTAGCTAGTATAGCCTATGGGTTGTCAATTGACTTTTATTGACAGGCGTGGTTCCAATGAGTTATAGTTTCATCATCCCTTCGCCATGTTTTTTCTTTTGGTGTTTCAGCTATTATAGAAATTGAAAGATACCATTCCCGATTAATTAGACAGAATCGATGTCTATATCAAAGTATATCCTACGTAAGCAGCGACTCTATACACAGACCACATGGCTCTATAGGGCGAGGGCACATACATCTGTTGTAGAACCACACGGTTATACAGGATATGTCTGGTGGAACCTAATGTCGGTGGATATACATTTATATTTCCTATCCGAATAGAAGAAGAGATTGTGCTACTGTACTACCCACTTGGGATAGAACGTTCGTGTCGATGTGGCTGAGGCGGACTGGATTTCAATCGTGCCCCGCCGAATCTTGAGGCACTCTAGCTGAAGCCTGTCACTGCATGACATGGCTGGCACTGGGCATGCTGGAGTGACCTTGGAAACTTCAAATTAGGTCTAGCGCTCAAAGCTATCGTGGAGTGTAGTCTTCTGTTTCTACTGTATTTAAACTCTGAGAGCCATCATTGTTCCACCAAACACTTGTCACATTCTTTTCTCATGTCATGTTTTTCTTTTCAGCTAAGATAAGCTTTGTTCCTTCGCTCAGCCTGTTTACCCGACTATCCGGCATACAGAACATGTCTTCAGCCTCTTTCCAACGGCATCAAAGATGGAGCCAACGCAATATTAATTGCTCCGGCGTCTCCGATAGTACTCTTCAGCCGAGGCACCATCAACCTGTCTTTTCACGGTGAAGCTGTATCATCGTCTTTTCCCACGCTGGGCTACTTTCATTGCCGAAATTGAACAGGCCTTGGGTACCCTGGATCTAAGAGGGCAAGTCAGCGTAAAAGATTCCACCGAAGATAAAAGCCCGAATTTTCGGGTCGAACTGGTCGATTTGTGGTCGCTATTCTTTACCAAGTATCAAGACGTTGCACTAGATATAGGACTACTTCCAAACTCTCGAAAGAGATACTTCTCCCTCCTTGCTTTTGGAGAGGTAATCACGTCATCAATCATACCATCGGGATATGTTCTCATATTCTCGGAAGTCCTGGTGAGAATATCCCATATTTCACCAAATCTGAGCCATCTAGAGTGCAATATCATTCACGACTAGACTTCATGGCTTCGGTGTTTATTTTCAGGACTATGGTTCACACAATGTTTTCTTTGCGAGTTTTACTGGTCGAGTCAGTATGTCAACGTCGAGTAGTTATTGTGCGGTCTGCAGAGAAGGTATACCAGAGAGTTATGAGACACGGAACTGCGATCCATTCTTGTTAATGGGGGGAAAATGGACTTAAGTGCCAACAAATTTTTTTGTTAGGCTTGTCTGACCATCTCCCGGAAGATAGGACTTCTTTTGGTGGAGTGGGCTGAAAAATGGAGGTATAGCCAGTTGGTACTCCCAGTGCGAAGCTGCGCTGGGGCTGCCATGCGAGATCTGTCTTTCCCTTGCTTCATGTTTGGTATTCTTGATTGCACTTTTTTTCTCTTTTCTTCGAGATGATAGGTAAAGGGAAAAGAATATGTCACTTCTAATGACCTAGAAAGCATGCCAGTATCATCAGGCAACAACCAAAAAGAAGACCCTGACCAGCGATACACTGTAACCGTGATGACAAGAGAAGAGATGTACGAAATCTCAACCATATACAACAGTATCTGGACAATATGAACGGCCCTAGAGATCAACTGGGGTAGATTGACTATAAGATCTTAATATCAACCACACATCATCGATCGACCTTATTTGTAGGTAATAGGTACTATATATTCCACTATCGGTGGATCTAGATTAATTAATTTAACAAATGACGTATTTCCACAACAGGGATTTGACCACACATTTTCGTCATCAGTATTCTTACATGACCGACAACCGCGGGGCACGGAATTATATAAGAGGGTATGATGATCGATGGGGAATTCATCATCCTCCACCATCATTCTCATTCTTGGGAGTCAGCAGTGGCGCTTGACTTACCTTCATCTGTCACACTTCTTTGTCAGGCGATAAAGCTCGACCTAGCCTTGTCCGGTTTCTCCGTATCCATAGAACTCCATAAACTTCTTGGGTCCCCGCGGGATTAACCGCTCTGTTCCCTGGTCTTTCTTCTCCAAAAAAAAACCGAAAATACAACCAAGCGACACGCGCTGCATGCGCCTTGGTGTTTCAAAGGAGCTTCCAGACGATCAAGAAGCCCCCAGTGCGAATCAAGAGCCGCCTGCAGGGCGTACCTACTGGGCACTTGTTTAGTTCTATTTGATATCGTTGGTAAGTGTACCTATCTTTTTATTTCCACCATCTAGTGCCTAGTATATCATCATCCCAATGGTCCTTTCTTTTCACGCTGCCTGATGATCGGCATAGGCCCAATCATGCTTCCTGCTTTCTATCCTCCAACCAGCTCACTGCCTATTCCTCCACCCCACTTCAGCTGAACCGTTTACGAGACACACGGGAGGTTGGGGGCTTTTTTTTAGTCGATTGAATTCCTGTTCTTTCAAGCTTTTCTTTTGTTTTCTGTGGAGGCTCCCTGTCCTTCTTTATATTTCGTCTTCCCACTTCTCTCTCTTATTTCGTGGATTTCCCTCCTACCTAGTTGTGCCAGGCCGTCCTCCTTGCTGCTTATCGCAACCTTCTAACCCCTCATCGTTTCGTTCTATCTAGATCGATCGATCGACTTATCAGCGCCACTGTTCCAGAATAACCCCGCTTTTACATCCCCAGCTCGCCTTTCATCCTTTGCGTTTTGAATCAAACCAGACAAAAACCAGTACATCTCCCTTTTCTTCATCCTCTTCCTAAAAAAAAAAAAAGAAAAGAAAGGAAAAATACCCAAAAAAAAAAATAAAAATAAAGAAACAGAGAGGGCAAAAGTCAATACAAAAAGACTGCAAGAAAATGAGACGTCATACTCGCCGCGCCGCATACTCTGACTCTGATTCTGAGTACTCCGAGTCAGATCTCTCGATGGAGTTACCCTCCCCCAACCGGCACACCCATTATCGCAGACGTTCGGTATCCCGCCATCGCTTCCACAGCCCGGAGCACAAAACGACCAGCTATCTTGCCCCCATCCAGCAAGATGTCCACCTCCACCGGTCGGCCTCGACGGGCGCCCGCCGGCGACATGATCGGACCTCGCCGGTAAATGTCACCGTCGACATCAAGAACGATTCCCGCAACCGGAGCAACACCAAGGGCACGAACAAAGCCCGCAAGGAGACCCAGGAGTACGTGAATCCCTACGAGTCCGAGGAGGACGAGGCCGTGCTTCGCAACCACCATCGGCGGCGGCACCACGGTGCCAGCATCTCCCGCGAAGCCTCTCCGCGGCCGCCAGCGCGCGACTTTGACCTCGTCATCGACCAGCGTATGCTGGAGCACAACGATGCCCGGCAGGACTTCGAACTGCTCCGGCAACAGCAGGAGATTCAGCGTCTGGAGCGCGAGCTCGCTCGGCACCGTGAACAGCGCGACCCGCACCAGGAGACCCGTCTCCTGAAGGAGGAAGAGGACTGGTACGAGGACGAGATCAGCGATCGGCTGCGGCGGCTCGAGAAGTTCGAGAAGAAGCAGCGCATGGAGGAGGAGCAGCGACACGTAGAGCACCGGTACAAACTACGCAAGTACGAAGAAGAGCAGCGACGGGCTGCGGAGGAAGAAGAGGTCCGTGTTAAAATGCGGGAGGAAAAGCTCCGGGAACTCCAGCGCAAGATTGATGAAGAGGAGGAGCGTGAGCGGATCAAGAAAGAGATCCGCGACGAGGAGGCGAGACAGATGCTGGAGGAGCAAGAGAAGCAGCGCAAAGAGGCGGCCATGAAGCAGGCTGTCATCGAGGAGTACCAGCTGGCTGAGGAGCGCCGTAAGAACGCCATGCGCGAGATGCAAAAGCAGCAGGATGAGGCCTTCAAGCAACGATTGCGGGTGGAGTATGGTTTGTCGGAGGAGAAGATCGAGGAGCTTCTCAAGCAGAAAAACAAGGACGAGAAGAAGAGCAAAGAGAAGGGTAAAGACAAGGACAAGGACAAGGATGACAAGGATGACGACAAGGAGAAGAAATCCAAGGGGAAGCAGATTGAACATCAACGTCCTACTTGGATCAAGGTATGCTGTTACACTACTCCTCCGGTCATGGTTCGAAGCTAACATGGTCAGGTCCACCGCGATCATCTCCTGCCAGAAACCCTAATAGCCTACAATTTGCCTTGGGACTTTGACGATGTAAGCCTCTATTTTCCTTTCTTTTCTTCTTTTCCTTCTATTGAACCTACATAACTAATCATCTCAACCAGCTCGACGGCAACTACCTCATCATCAAAGAGTACATCCCCGAAGACCTCCAGGATGAACTATTCGCACACACCAAGCGTATACGCCAGGGTCGCCTCGTCACCCAGACCTCGAGCTCCCAGACTGAACTCAGGGTGAACGACAGAAGGAAGGACAAGATGTACCTTGTGCGGAAGAAGAGCCCTAACCGGCGGGCGTGGATTTTCACTTGATTTGATCCTGATTGATATACGTGATATGTGATATGTGATATGTGCTCGGATATGACTGTTCTTTTTTTCTTTTCCATCTTTTCTCCTTCTAATTTTGCTTGTCTCCCCTCTTTTTGTTGCTTTGTCTTCTTTCCTCTTCATTCCCTTTCCTTTTTCTTTTCTTTTTCTTTTCTTTTCCTTTCTTTTTTACTTTCCAATATTGCTTTGGTTTTTCTTTTTGGATGATCACGGTTTGGCTTTGCCTGTCCCCTCACGAAGTCCGCTTCTACTCGATTGATTGACTCTCCACAAACGACCCATGTTCGTTCAATATTATGAGTTTACGAAATTATGTATACGTCGTTTGAATTTGTCTCGTATTGTATTGCGTTAGGAGCTGAGATTTGAGTGATTGATGATAGGGGTACCTAACTAGCTAGGTAGTTGCTGTAGCGTATATATAACAACAAGAATGATCTAGACCTTATGTCGTATCGAGGTCCGTTTAATAGTATACATTTTTCCTTCTTTATTTCTTCCCTTTGATCCAACATGCTATGATTAAAGAAGGGAACTCTGACTGGAAAGTGCACCTTAGAGGAAGAGGATGAGGGAGGGCTCACCCCCCATTCACAGCCCAGTGTTTCTCCGCCCGCAGGATAAGCTCCTCATACACCGTCCACGCCAGCGCCGAACTCAGCGCCTTACGACCGATGCGCAGCCCAAGTCCGCCGAAGAGGCTCCGGGCCCCGTCCTCGTGGATCATCAGCCGCACCGCCCGCATCATATTGCCGTACCGGCCCGGCATAAGCTGCAGCCGCGTCTTGACCGCGTCGAACGGGTTCGTGATCGCCGTGGCTAGACCTGCTGCCAGGGCGCCCGATACGAAATTCACCGACGACGACGATGTCGTTCGTACTGGCTGGTCGCTGCCTGCTTGGCCCGGCTCTGGGCTGGTCAGGGACCCGATGTGTCGTTTGAGTTGCTCGTAGAAGAGTACGTAGAGGCCTGCGTAGGGTGCGTCTCGTGCTGCTGTTGCGCCGAAGCCCGCGAAGAGCCCCCGCATGCCTTCTGTGCGGACGATGTCGCGCCCTGCGCCGTAGAGACTGCGGTAGGCGTAGTAGTCGGACTCGTAGCGGACTTTTAGGACCGTCACGGGCATCATGACGAAGCCGGCGGCGACGCGGGCGGCTGCGCCGGTGGAGAGGTTGGCCCAGTTGGAGAGTTTGGGGAGGGCGGATGTGGAGGTGTTGGTGATGGTGCTAGTGTTGGGGTTGGCGAGTGGGGTGGTCTGCGCGATGCCTTGTCGGAGGGCGTTGAGACTGGTGAAGTAGAGGGCGGAGCCGAAGCCCGTGCGGAGGGCGGAGGGGAGCGTCCCGCGCCATAAGCTGCGGATTGGGTGGGGGGAGGCGAGGATGGTTTTGAGGGTTGGGAGGAGAGCGGAGGTTTGGGATTGCTGGACGCGGGTTTTGAGGAGGTCGGCGGGTTGGAGAAGGATGGCGGATGTGAGGCCGGAGAAGAGCCCTGCGGTGAAGTGGAAGGTTGTTTTGGATGCTGGAGGATTGGGGTCAGTTAGGTTGTTATGGATGGTGTACGGATGCCTCGGTTGGTTGTTCTCGTCGCCAGGCGAATCACCGAGAAGAGAGAGTAGACATACAGATTGACGGAGCTTTCACCGGTGGTACCGCATATGCAGCATTGTTCGACATGTCGGAGGTGAGGACCGCAGGTTGACTGGGCACCTCACCGGATGGAGTGATTTGGTTGATGAAGTCGGATAGTCCGCATGGAAGTACGGTCACATTGGCAACGGGTACATTTCAGACATGAACAAGAACTGGGTTAGCGCGGGTTGTGATGCCTGGAAAAGCTCACACAAGTCTCCTCGGAATATATTGTGGGTTAGAGATGGACAGAATGAAGGTATCAAGAAAAGAAGAAAAACACAAGATTCGGACTGTTGGTGAGGTCATCCCGGTTCGGGTTCGGAGATCCTGTGATTGGCGGGGATATGACACTAGTCCCGATGCGGTAGGATAGACTGCCCGCATAGCCGGTATTATTACTCATCAGGATGTGCTGCATATGACAAGTACCGTTTTATTATGAGGGATTCTATAGTAGAGTATTTTTAGGTTATTAGCGATTCGGTGCATGATGGTCTAGGGTTTCAAAGCTCTTTGAAGCTGTATAATATATCTATTCTCCTTACTGATCTCCGAGCTCAACCATCCGTTGTCATTTCCTAACAAAGAATGCTTGCGTACCTGTTTAGAATGCAAACGGCCGTCTTCACAGCCCCGAGGACCAAAATCACTGGGCTCAATACCCTTCAGCATACCATGGATCATCTGTCCAGGTACTCAATCCTCTCGTCCGGCTCAGTATACGATAACCATAAGTTGGAAGCGTACGGACCTGGGGCCCTCTCTCGGGCAAACCAATCGGTGGGGAAACCAGACCAAGTACGTCACGGGTTCTGCCAATCATCGAGACAAACCTAATTTCTAAGGAATCCATTTGCCCTGCGGCGAAAGCAGAAACCTCAGGCATTCGTCGCCTCTTTACTCTGTCTTCTTCTTCTTCTTCTCCCCTTCTCACCTTCGTCTTATTTTCTATTCTTATTCTTATTCTTCTTCTTATTTCTCCTCCGAATTCTGCCATGCTCTATTGTCTCTTGTGAGCATACACTTTTCTCCTCCCTACACACTTCTCCTACCTCTATACGACTGTTTGTTTGTCCATCGGCCCACCCCCGCGCAAAGCCGATCACTCCGCACCTCGTTCGTCATGCCTGAATGGCCCTTTTCCTTTCCCTATCCGGCCTCCAAAGTTGGGTACTGGGGTCCCGTAACATCCACCTTGAACTGGTGTGAGGAGGTACGTTTATATGCGCGTGGTGACGCTTTTGTTTTGAGCTCTCCCTAGCCTTTTAAAGTACTAATCCGGATCTCCCGCGCAGGACTACTATGCCACGATCTACTCGGCAGAAATCGTCAACACCGTAACAAACCTCTTGTTCATGTGGCTAGGTGTCAAGGGAATTCGCAGCTGTCTCCGTCATGAACACGACCAGATCTTCCTGGTGGCCTTCTGCGGCTATCTGGTGGTCGGGACGGGCAGTTTCCTGTTCCACTCGACCCTCAAATGCAAGTTTCCCATTCCCTCTCCGGCCCCAGCAAGGGGTGCCTGCAACGCAGAGAGCCGTTCCTGACATATTCGCGTTCACAGATCCCATGCAGCTCGTGGACGAACTCTCCATGATCTACACCACCTGTCTTATGTGCTATGCCTCCTTCTCGTACTCGCGCTCGGTCCGCACCCGCGTCATCCTCGCGATATCCCTGACCAGTCTCGCCGTCTTCATCACCCTCTACTACCACTACCTGCAAGACCCCGTGTTCCATCAGAATGCGTACGCGCTCCTGACCACCGTTGTGGTCCTCCGCAGCATGTGGACCATGGAGAAGACCCTCCGCCCGTCCCTGCGACACACCACCGAGGAAGACCGCCTGGCGCGCCAGAAGCAGGGCCTCCCCGTGCCGTCCAAGGAGTATCAGCACTACGAGAACGTGCGTGACATGAAGACGCTCAAGACCATGTGGTTCATGGTCGGGTACGGCCTCGCCATGTTCCTCGGCGGCTTCGCCATCTGGAACCTCGACAACTTCTTCTGCTCCACCGCTCGCCGCTGGCGTCGCACCGTGGGTCTTCCGTGGGGTATCATCCTCGAAGGACATGGCTGGTGGTATGTCTCCCTTCTTGTTTTCTTTTGAAACAATCCAATCGTCGCTAACGTGCAACAGGCACATCATGACCGGCCTCGGCGCCTACCTCTACATCATCTGGGGCATCTGGCTCCGCCACTGCCTGAACGGCCGCCAGGAGGAGTACCACCTGCGCTGGCCCCATTTCTGGAACGTCCCCGAAGTGGTCCGCACCACTCCGGAGCAGGCGCGCGCGAACGGCGCGCCCAAGAAATCGAACTGAGTCGTTATAGACTGGGACATGTTATATAGACCGAGGAAAACAATTCATATTGTCGTCTGTTGAAAGCGCGCAGGCCAGGAGCCGAGGCGTTTTGCTTTGGTTTTTTGAGGGGTTAGATGTGTCTTGCAGTTGTATTTCTTCTATCATTATTCTTTTTTTATTTTTTGATCATTTTCCTTTTTAGATTGATGAACTGGAGCGTGGGTACCTATAGACGAGGTCTGGCGTTGTTTGGGACCTTTGGCTGATAGATCACTATTATTCCATGGATTTCTGTCTGCATAGTGTAGTATATAACTATTCTAATAGTCTAACAAATGGATGGGAATCAACCCAACCATGAATCAAAAAGAGATATCACAGCTTCGAAGGCGCAGTCTTCTTCTTCGGCCTCACAGGCGCAGGCACATGCTCCTTCCACCTACTATCAATAGTCATCTTCTCAACCTTCGACTTCCCCCCCCACGCCTCCCGAAACGCCTTCTCATCCTCCCGCCACCGCCTCATCTCCCCACCCAGCCACTCCCCCGCCGCCTCGCCACACTCCACAGGCGCCTCCTGCGCGAGCAAATGGCCAACCTGCGCCAGGAACACGTCCCGCACGCGGCCCTCGGCCGCGCCCCCGCTGCCGCCTAGCCCCGTCCCCGTGCTCTGCATCTTGTCGGCCATCATCTCGGGCAGACACATGTCGGATTTGCCGGCGAAGATGTATAGCACGCTCGGGCGGAGGTGGGGGAGTTGGGCGAAGATGCGCGAGGGCTCGGGGCGGTAGAAGGGCGAGGAGCCCTCGTGGAGGGGGTTTAGGTCGGGGTGGGTGACCCGGTTTATGGGGACGGGTTTGCCGGGGGGACCGTCGTAGTTGGGGCGGGAGAAGGTGAAGACTTCTTGGTGGAGGGGGGTTGTTAGGGTTACGGGGTGGTCCTCGTTGGGGGGAAGAGGGGTTGGGAGAGGGTGGATGGCGGTGGGGAGATCGCGCAGACCGTATTCGATCCAGCGGTCGAGGACGCGCGGGTCCCAGGTTTGGTAGAAGGGGTTGCGTCTGAAGCCTTCGGCGGCGGCTTTGCGCGAGGGCCACTTGTCGCGGCGGTAGGTGGAGAGTTGGGTCGTTTTGGCGATGACGAGTTTCTCTTTGGCGGATTCGAGGGGGTCGAGTTGGGTCGTTTGCTTTTGGATGACGGGGTCGAGGAGGACGAGGGTGGTGATGAGGCGGGGGTGCATTAGGCAGAGTTGGGCTAGGTGCGCGCCGCCCATGCTGTGGCCGATGCCGACGATGGGCCGCGGCATCTCTTTGCGCTTGACGTTGACGAGGTGGAGGAGGTCGCGGGGGTGGTCGAACCAGCTGGCTGTTATGTTTCTGTCAGTGGCGGTGGTTGATGTTGGGAGGGTGTGCAATGGGAGTACATACGGTCATTTCCTAGAAGATCCTCGTTGAGCACGCTGCTCTGGCCCTGATGCGCGACGTCGGCCATCCAAATGCTGCGTATCCGGAACCCGTTCGCCTTGGATCGGGCATGGATCTCCTCCCAGAGGGGTTCGTAGAGTTCCTAGTGGGCAATGAGCGACGCTTCATGAGAGGGTCACCCCCAGGTTCGACATACCTTGGGAAAGCCATTGGCATGCGCTGCCAGAATAGTCACATCTCCCGGCTGAGGATTCGGATTGTCTATGGGGATGTACTGTTTTACCGCCATGTGCAGTTCCTCTTCCTGCTCGTGCGCTGTGGCAGCGGGATACTCTCGGATATGCTGGCATTCGACGACATGGTCGACGACTCGGAAGGGTCCGCTGGATGACATTGTGTTATTCCCACTGTCAGGGCAGAGGGAGGATAATAGGGTGACGAGAGTCGGAAATATATGTACTCAGGATCATTGAATCGGAGCGAGGCATGGGGTTTAAAGAGAGCCCCACCGATTCCCCAGAATGATTACGGGGGGGTTGCGGCGCCTAGTTGGATAGTGTTGCCGGGCCTGGACCGAGGTTCTTGTGGCTGTCATGGCCGATTCTTGTTGCCGGTGGATTACTAGTACACCGTGGCTGGTCAGGGATTATAACAATCCAAAGATTGTCATTATTATCTGGGATTTATCTGTTCTTTTGCGATTTATTCTATCAAACTAGACGGTCAGGTTCGAACTATAATCTGTGTCTATAAATGGCTGGATAATCGGTCGCACAACCTCCGCGGACAAATCCTAGGCGCATAAACCGACCTGTTTACTCCGAAATCCACACAATTCTATTGTTTTATTTGAGAATTACTGAAAGGAGGAATTTATATGGATATAGTGGTTGCTAGATACTTACTACATTGATATTGCCCAAAAGAAATATAGATAAAAGTCAAGATGTATGCCACTGTGCCTGTCGTCCCACACGTGACCTGGTGTCGCGACGGGCGCGTGGGCGCGTTGCGACAATTTGACAATTTGATACATCCAGTCAATCCGACTCCTCTTCAACACACATACATAGCACATTTGCCCTCCCTTACCTCCTCAAATTTCCCTAACATCCACAACCCTGACTCGAAACCCGTGTATATCAATCCCACGAAGAAAAGCGCCCCCAAACGAAACACCCACCATGGTGGGCCAAAACGAGCAGTTTCTCCTCTTCGAACAATGCAAGGTCTGCATTATTTGTTCCAAAGACCTCTCACCTGATACAGCGCATCAAGTACGCATCGCATACTATTCTCTGTTCTCCAGTACAGATACTAATTTCCGCTAGATTGCATCCACCCTCGAAGAAAACGGCGCCGAGTCGGTCATCTACGAGCCTCCAGCGACTTTCCCCGCGCTATCGGATTTCACCCATCTCCTGTCCTGCACAATCGACTTCCCGGCCTTTGACGATGCGAACGACGCCCTGATCCCCGTCGTCAAACCGCAATGGCTCCAGGCCTCCCTGTCGAAGCGCAAGCTCGCAAACCCGCGACAGTACAGCCCCGACCCGAGGCTGTTTCTCAACGATGTGGTCGTGACGTGCGGGGACATCCCCGAGGGAGATAAGGATGCCATCATCGGCGGTGTGCTGGCCAAGGGTGGGCTGTACAGTCCCAAGGTGTCGCAAATGGTGACGCATCTGGTCGATCTCACGGCCGATTCGGACAAGGCGCGTGTGATCTTGGCGAAGAAGTTGAACGCTCGCATAGTGCTGCCGCATTGGTGGGTTATACATGACATGGCGAATGCAAGTCGTTAATGATTGCGACAGTCGGGCTAACTGCATATGCTAGGTTCGATGACTGTTTAAAACTCGGACGCCGCATCGACGAGCGCCCTTATACACTTCCCGATCCTGAAATCCTCCGCGCAGGCCACGATGCACCCATTCGGAATTCCGAAAACCGCGACATCGTCGGCGCTTCGACGCCCGAGCCCACCAGCCTACCCACCCCCATGATGTCCCCGCAGAACCGCCCCAAGATAGACGTGTTCGAGGGACGACAGGTCGCGCTGTCCAACGACCTGGGCATCGGCCCGCATCTCCTGGGATCGATCACGGATATCATTAAGCAAGGCGGGGGCTCGGTGACGTCGGACGTCGCCAAAGCGAATATTGTCATCTGCCGCTATAGAGAAGGCGTCTCGTACCGCCTGGCCTCAAGACTAAACAAAGAAGTGGGCAACCTCTCATGGCTATACCACCTAATGACATACAACACATGGACCTCGCCCCTCCGACGCCTCCTCCACTATCCCGTCTCGCGCGCAGGAATCCCCGGGTTTAAGAGCTTGAAAATCAGCCTCTCCAACTACGTCGGCGAAGCCAGAGCCTACCTGGAGAACCTAATCGCAGCCACCGGCGCAGAATGCACCAAAACCTTACGGCAGGAGAACACACACCTGGTCACCGCCCACGGCAACAGCGAGAAATGCAACGCGGCCAAAGAATGGGGCCTGCAAGTTGTCAACCACCTGTGGCTGGAAGAGAGCTACGCGAAATGGAAATTACAACCTGTCTCAGACCCCCGCTACACGCACTTCCCTCGCCGGACGAACCTCGGCGAGGTCGTTGGCCAGACCCGTCTCGACAAGGCTATCCTCGAACACCTCTTCTTTCCGTCTGAGCCCCAATCCCCGGATGAGGTCCCCCGCCGCGCCATGCAGAACAAGGATCAGAACGCGGCGGCTGCTAAGGCGTCGGCGTCTATGGACCCGCCGCCTGCTAGGGAGAATGACGATGATGCGCTCGTGTCAGGAAGCGCCACGCCAGTCGCGAAATCGCGCAGCAAAGCGCCCGACAATAAGAAGTTACACACGCCAGCCCGTTCTCGGCTGACATCCGAGGGGAAGGAAAATGATACCCCGTCTTCGACGAGTAGTCGGAAATCAAAGGACGCTGCGACGGCCCGTCTCCATGAAATCGCCCCGGATATTGCGCTGTACGAGAAAGAGAAGAAGCGCGTGGGTGGTGTTATCTACGGTGGTCGGAGGAAATCCGACGAGGATCGAGTGGCGATGGGCAAGAAGCGCAGGTCGGCTGAGCCGGAGGTGGAAAGTGATGCTGAGGAAGCTGGTGATGCTAAGAGGCTGAAGAAGTCTAAGCCGTCGGTGGCGATGCATCTGTTGATTACGGGGTACCAGCCTTGGGTTGGGCATGTGAAGAGGGAGGATGCTGATAAGGTGAGCTATTGACTTCTATTCTTTGTGAAGAGTTGTATGGAACGACATCTTGCTGACTTCGAAAGCGACAACTTCGAGAACTCGGAATCCTGGTGGTCCAAGACGCTCGGAGGTGTTCCCATGTCGCCGCTCCCAGTATCCTGCGGACCCCCAAGTTTGTCAACGCGCTCGCGTACGGACCAGACTTTGTCAATGTCGATTTCATTGCGCAATGCCTGAAGGAGGACGAACTCCTAGACCCAGCCAACTTCCCACTCCAAGACAAGGCCGCCGAAAAACGATACGGGTTCACGCTCGACAGGGCCCAGACGCGAGCCAAGAAGAACAAGAACAAGCTGCTGAAGGGGTATCAAGTGCAATGCGTGGAAACCATCCGCGGGGGGTTCGACGCCTTCAAATCCATCGTTGACGCCAACGGAGGCGATTGCACCCTCTTCCGCGGACGCGTCACACAGCAAACCCAGCGGGAGGAAAGCGCGGAAAGCGAGGACGACGACAATGACGATCCCAGTCAAAAGGAGGTGTATCTTCTCAGCAGTGCGACGCCCGACCATCAGCGGTTATGGCCCCGGTTCCGGCAGATGGCGCAGGCAATGGGCAAACGGCCGCGGATTGTGCGCGTGGATTGGCTTTTGGACATTGCCATGTCGCAAGAAATGCATACCGCGGATGCGTACGAATTGAATGAGGGGATGGTCGAGGAGATGGAGAATTGAATGAATAGCTGGAGTCGATGCTGGGCTGGTGTTGTATATCTCCGTTGTTCCTTGGGAGTAACTGGATCTCGGGATTCTGTGTTCTTTTCGAATGTTGTATATTGTATGCATACCGTCCATACGTTCTGAATTATTGCGTCGCGGCCACGGCCAAGGCAACGAATGAATGTCACCAGATTTAGAAGAACTTGACACCTTCCTGGCCCTCGCTGCCAAAGACTTGAGCTTTGCCTCGCTTGGCAATGACATTCAAGGACCGCAGCATGACGTCGGGGTCCATACCATGCCATTCTGGACACCGTTAGCATCTTCAAGCCAAAGAAGCTGTATGTATACACCTACCTTGCGACATAGTTGCCTCCCCTTCCAGCAGCTCATAAACCGTCAACACCATATTCTTCTGCCCGGTATTCTCAACCTACACAACGGTCAGCGCAAGTACTCTCCCTCGAACCACCAAGAACAGCAGAACAGGGAAGAAAATCATAGGGAAACAAGAGAAAGGCAAAAAAGACAAAGGGAGAGACGAAGAAAAAAAAAAGAAAACCCACCCAATCCTCAACAATCCCCGCCCACTCCTCAGGCCTCCTCCACCAAATCCACGCCAAAGTCTTACTCGCCCCGTCCGCCCACTCCGCCCTCCTCCCCCCGCCGCCGTCCTCCTCCCCGCGCGCCATCCAGTCCACGACGTTGCGCACCTCGCTGAGCGAGAGCCGTTTGCGGAGCGCCGCGTTGTGGAATAGCGGCGAGTCGACGGCTTCGACGAGCGAGAGCCGGTAGATGCGGTGGTGGCGGCACCAGGACTGGATCAGGGAGGACCATTTTTGGAGCTGTGCGAGGCGTGTGGCGCTGTTTGGTTGGGGGGTGAAGAAGGGGGGGAAGGAGTAGGTGGGGGGGAAGGGGAAGGTTGGTGGTGTTGAGGTTGTCATGGTTGTTGGATGCGTGGGTTGGCGGGGTATGTGACTGGTGCTAAAGTAGGTATGGGTTTATTTCAAGGTTGATAGGAGTAACGAAACTGGGTATCAGTGTTGGTTGAGTGAAGTATTGAGTGTGTTAATGAAGTTGAGATGCGACATAGATAACATTAGAAGGAGATAAGATGAGGAGAAGCACCCCGCCGCTTTCTCCGCCTTGATAGTACAATAATTTCTCCCGCCGAAATTTCCGCAACCTCCGCAACTTGCCAGTCCACCACCTCACCCACAAGCTTCCAAGCTCTCCACCACCAATTGACTCATTCATTGTACTCACCACAAAGCCAACAAGAAAAGGTAAAAGGAGAAGAAGAAAAGGAAATGTCAACCCACCCCCAAAGGCGCTCCAAGCGCAACGACTACCGCGAAAAAGCGGCCGCCGCAGCCGCCGCGTCGCAACAATCCGCCGACTCCAGTGCAGGCGACATCAAGCTGCCCAGGAAGAAGTTTTACCGACAGCGGGCGCACGCGAATCCTTTCTCAGATCATCAGCTGGATTAGTACGTTTACCTCTCCCCCCAATCCCAACCTCCTCTGGGAAGTGGACAGCCACGGGGGAAAAGCAGATCGCTGACTTTTTGTCCCTACTGGTACAGCCCCCTCAGCCCCGCGCACATGGACTGGGCATCCCGGTACCCGGCGTATGCGGACCCCAACCCGGAGAATGTCAACCTGGGTGGATTCAGGCAGATGCTTAAGGATGTGGAGGTTGTTGATATTGGGTGTGGGTTTGGGGGGTTGCTGGTTGCGTTGGCGCCGTTGTTGCCGGAGACGCTTATGGTTGGTATGTTCTCTCACCCACACTTATAGCATCTACGCGTGGGACTCGAAGGATAGAACGGACAAAACTAACCGCATGGAAAAGGAATGGAAATCCGCGTCCAAGTCCTCGACTACGTGAACACACGCATCAACGCCCTCCGCGCGCAGCAGCTCAGACTCCGCTCTGCTACTCCTAATAATCAGGGCACACCTGCTCCTCCCTCCTCTACCGCTACCCCTACACCCATTCCCACCACGACCCCCACACCCGCAGAAAGCAATGACAACGAAGACGACGACGACGAAACCGCCCTCCCAACAACCACCCTCCCCGGCGGCTACCAAAACATCAGCGCGATCCGCAGCAACACGATGAAATTCCTGCCCAACTTCTTCGGCAAGCACCAGCTCTCCAAGATCTTCATCTGCTTCCCGGACCCGCACTTCAAGGCGCGCAAGCACAAGCAGCGGATTGTTTCGGAGAGTCTGAACGCGGAGTATGCTTATGTGTTGCGGCCCGGCGGTCTGCTTTACACTATTACTGATGTGGAGGAGTATCATCATTGGGTGTTGAGGCATTTCAGGGAGGGGGATGCCCCCGAGGGGGAGGGAGGGGAGGAAGGTGTTGTTGGGGATGTGAGAGATTTGTTTGAGAGGGTTAGTGAGGAGGAACTTGCGAAGGATGACTGTGTGCGTGTTATGAGCATGGAGACGGAGGAGAGTAAGAAGGTTACGAGGAATAAGGGGAACAAGTATGTGGCTGTTTTTAGGAGGAAGGCGGATCCGGAGTGGGTTGTTTAGTTGTATGTATATATACTTTTCTTACATTTTGGTATTTTGTTTTGATATTGGGAGATTTGTTCTATTAGGTTCTTCCAGCGGTGGTGTATGGAAAAGTTGCGTTATAGAGGTATCGTGTTGAGATTCATGGGTCACTAATTACTTCAGACGTGTGGATCAGCGAGTCTAATATTAGCTGTTGGATTGCGTAAACTGATTCATTCAACTATGGCCAGCTAAAACATCTAAAGTGTATCCCGAAATAAAACAATGCAATATCACTTGCTAACAGACGAAACTCCCGCTCGAGCTATGCAAGAAATGGCCAGTCATTGGCCGTAAATCCACACCAACGAGTATGCCAAAGATCATAAGAGACATAAACCCCCATACAGACATGTAAATCTATCTGTTTAACTACGAGGCGACGCCTTCAATCGGATACCTTCGCATCTCTCGCAGATAGCCAGCTGGACAGGCCCTCCGATGATGCGACCCTTGGCCGTTCGTCGGGGTTCGCCCTCGCGCACAAAGTACCGTCCCTCGGGCCCGAAGCCGTCGCCGCATTCGTGGCAGTTGAAGCAGCTGTCGTGCCATTGGCCGCCAACGGCGGAGATCACGACGTCCTCTAGTACGGGCTTCTTGCATGCTAGGCAGCGAGGGGCGGTCCGCCGTGAGTGGCACTGTAGGCACCAGGCGAAGCCGTCTTTTTCTACGAATGGGGTGTCCTGGTCGAATGGCTGGGAGGATCGATTAGCTTACATCTCAAGGTAGGTAAAGGATGAATCGTACATCACCGCATTCTGCGCAGAAGAAATGGCCTACGTGCCATTCAGCTCCGCATGCCACGACCACTTCGCCTTCGATGGGGGTCTTGCAGCTCTTGCACCGGGGGCTGAACAGCTCGTGGAAGTCAAGGTGGCAGTAGAATCGTGGCTGGTGGCTGTGTTCGCTGTGTTCGCTGTCGGCTGGTTCTGCAGCCAGCCGCTCTTGTCGCTTCGCCTCGGGTTCTTGGTAGAAAGCGACGCATTCGAGAGGGGTCTGGCAGTGATCGCACGAGAAACACTCGGGATGAAAGCGAGAGCCTGCGGCAGTGACAATCTTTCCTGCGATGGGGAGCGTACAGCTCTCGCACGAGGCGGTGGGAACGCCCGATCGGCTGTATGTGGATAGCCAGCGACCCTGGGATGTGGGGATTGCTTTCCTCGGGGGAGCGTCTTTGCTCGGGACACCTCTAGCGGCGGGCCTGTTCGGTGCGCTATTCCTTTGGTTCTGCGAACTCTGGATCTCCGAGATCGTGGGCTCCTTGTCATCCGGCAGGTTGATGACGGGCACGGAGGGCGCTTCGGACACCTGAATGGCCGGGGCGGAGGGCGCGGGCGGCGGGGTCGGAGAGGCAGCGTCGCGTTTCTCTCCGCTGTCTCGTTTGCGGGGCGACTCCGCCTCGGTGGGTTTCCACGATCGGTCGAAGCTGACGATGGGACGGCCCGTCCGATCGCTCACCGCGGTGGGCATGGGCAGCTTGGCGCTGCGATCTTTCAGCTTCTTGCTCGTCGCTGCCCGGATGTCGTCACTGCGGATTTCCGGCTCATCTTCGGTGGGGACGGGCTGCGTTCGCTCCTCTTCCGCTTGAGACTTCTGCGCCGGCTGGTCATTCGTCTTGTACCCGGCATTCCGCGACTGGCTTGGGGGGTTCTTATGGATCTCGAAGCGGGACAGCTTGTCCGCGAACGGGAGGCTGCCGAGACGGCCGGGGAATGGCCGAGCCCCGCGCGGCAGAGCATTGCGCGGTTTGTTTCGGAGCGCCGACGAGTCGGACTTGGAGAAGTCGGGACGCTCGTCCTCGTCTCGCTGACGAGACAGGGCTGGCTCCTCGTAGATCTGGTCGGTGGGGTTCCGGAAGACGCCCTTGGGCGAATCGTGGCTGACGCCTGAGAGTCCCAGACCTTGATGGCGATCGGACATGGTGGACGGGTCTTCTTCTCCAGGCAGCGCAAAGTTGACCCTCAAGCTTCTCCGGAAGGTCGAGTTTCTCTTGGCGCCGGGGACATCGTCCGAGGCGGTCTGGTGCTCACCGCCAGTGCTGCGGGAGAAGATCTCCGAGACGGGACGACGGCTGTTGCGGCGCGCAAACGGGGACCTCAGACTTTGGGAGTGCGCCACTCGACTCTTCTCGGCCTCGTCGGGGCCGGGACTCTGCAGGTCGGGATTCCGGTACGGTGCATTTGGATTCTTGTAGGCCACGCCGGGGTTTTGGTGCATCCACACCAGCTCCGTGGCCTCGTCCTGGGCGGCATCGTGGATGCGGACGTCATCACTGTTGAGATCCACCCCCTGCAGGGCATCCCGCAGCGACCGGGCTTCTTCCTTCTCCAGCCGGCGCTGATTACTCTCCCGATAACCCCTGTTCGGCGAGGGGGGGCTCTGGTGTGGGACGACGGGGGACGGGGAGACGGTCTTCCGGACGGGAACCATTCGTGGTTCCTGTACCAGGGGCCGTCCCGTTGAACTCCGGAGGGAGTCGCCGGGCGATAAGGGACGGTGGTTCGACAGGGCGCTGGTGGCTCGGGAGCGATCCCGCTCAGCCACCGGGGTGATCGACGGCGGTCTCCGATGGCCGTAGGTGGACATGGCGGACGCCGCGCGTGGGGGGAGACTTTCTCGTGGGTCGGAGGGGGTGTTTGAATGTAAGGGTCTAGATCCGCCCGGACGAGATGGACGATTTGTCCGCAGGTCTTTCAGGTAGGTTGCTGCATCGGACCCGATCCCCGGTTAGCCTAGATTCTCACTCCCCCCGATACCCTTCCCCCCAACCGGAGCATTGGGGAATGGGTTATCCTGGCTCCGCTGGCTAAGACCACTCACCGATCTGATTGTCATTCATGTAGGAAGGGCCGGTGGGGGAAGCCTTCCGTTGACCTTGCTTGGTCTTGGACGGGGAATAATGGAGGTACGGTCTATGCATTCTGACGGTGGATGCTCGAGACGGGCGAGATTAAATAAGGTATGTCGGAGACAAAGAGATGGATTCTCGAGCGATTGATCGCCCAGGAAACATGGAGCAGAGGGGGTTGGAGGATCGATGAGTTGTCTCGGGAACCCAAGCTATCAAGCCAAGTCGGGATTGTTGTCTCATACAGCGGGTGGTGGGCCAATGAGGGGGAGGAAGGTGGCTGGGGAGGTGGGACGGGGAATGGAGAAAGGTATTGAACTAGGATGATCAATCGAAGGATCTGAACAAGGATCTGACTCGAAGCTTAACTGATAGAACGGAAGAAAGATGAAGGATGAGATGAAGATGAGATGAAGATGAGATGAAGAAGTGATTTCGTCACTGGATCTTCATCCCCTATCGATAGGGGGGGCAAACACGTCAAACATGAGCCTGACATCGGATCCATCCTACAGATACAGATATTCTACATCTATCATACAGATTCATGCAATCACTCTGACAGCTCGATGGGATATACTTTACCCCTTGCAGTTCTGGTCTGACTTTGATTAATCAAAACAAACAGCCAAGGGTAACCATGGTACTCCCTCCCACGTGATGGTTCGTGGTCACAACTTAGTCAGTTATACTTCTTCGTCCAGAGGATCATGCTCCACAGCTCCACGACATCCACCGGTTATATTCCACTATATCTATCCGTACTCATTCCTGAGTTAAAGTCGACCTCAGCATAACATCCAGGACATGACATCCATCGGAGAATTCTTAGACCTATGAGGAATGGAGACAACGGCCTGCTGCATCGGTCCTGCGATGCATGCCCCTCACCGATGTCAATTGTCCGATCCTGAATGTCCAAGCCTCAGATGATATAGATCGGGGATGACCGAACATAACTTCAAGAATTCTGGATATCCCCTGATCCTCTTATAGTCTCCAACGTGGGGTCCTCCTCAGTCTCCGCTTTGGCCGCCGTCGGCACGATTCCCGAACTAAACCCACCTTTCCCCGGCCATCCAGCCCAATGGTGGCCGCCGAAGAGTCGGACTCATCGCCGAGTCCTGCGGCCAAGCATTGGCTTCGTCTTCCTCCTCTTCTTTTTTCTACTGGTTTTCCCGGACAGTCTAACGAAAATGGATTCGATGACACATTCTCTCCGGGGTCGTTGGTCTCCGTCCACCGCTTCCTTGCTTTTCTTTAACCGAAGACCTACTTGATTCTCCGTCGAACGATTGCTCGTGTATCGATTGAGCTCCCCATGTCCAGTCTAAACCAGCCCCTCGTGACCAGCGTGGTGTCAGAAAAATCTACTCCGGTCGTGGTTACAGATGGCGGACAACACCCCGATCGATATTATCCGATCACGAAGTTACGATCATGATCGGATCTCCAGATATTCGTCGCGTCGTGACGATGCAGTCCGTCAGCGCCCTCCATCCCAGCAAGAAAAGCCGGACAGGACGGAAGCGGAGGAGCTAGAAGCCAAATACCAGCAGGACGTTCCGCCAGACGGAGGGTATGGCTGGGTCTGCGTTGCCTGCGTCTTCTGGATGAACGCCCACACATGGGGAATCAACAGCGTCAGTCTACTCTTCCGTGTGGTTCACCCCGCCAGAAAGGAAGTCCACAACTAACACCCACTCCGTACCATTCAGAGTTACGGTGTATTTCTCTCCCATTACCTCTCTCACGATGTATTTCCCAACACCTCCGCCTTGTCGTACGCCTTCACCGGCGGCCTGAGCATATCCTGTGCGCTCCTCGTCGCCCCCCTGGCGACCTACCTCATCCACGTCTGCGGCACTCGCTTCGTCTTGAACCTCGGGGTCTTCTTCGAAACCCTGTCCCTTATCGGGTCCTCCTTCGCCTCGCAGCGATGGCACATCTTCCTCAGCCAAGGCGTCTGCTTCGGCTGGGGCATGGGCTTCATCTTCGTCGGCAGCGTAGGCATCACGCCGCAGTGGTTCCAAAAACGTCGCAGCCTCGCCATGGGCATCAACGCCGCCGGCTCAGGCCTGGGCGGCCTCATCTACTCCCTCGCAGTAGGCGCCATGATCCCGCGCCTCGGCCTAAGCTGGGCCTTCCGCGTCCTAGGCATCGTCGCCTGCGTCGTCAACCTCGTCGGCGCGAACCTCCTCCGCGACCGCAACCACCACGTCGGCAGCCGCTACAAGGCCTTCCACCTGCCCACCCTCCGCCGCCCCGAGTTCCTCCTCTTCCTCGGCTGGGGCGTCTTCAGCATGCTGGGCTACGTCGCCCTCCTCTTCAGCCTCGCCAATTTCGCCCTTTCCGTCGGCCTCTCCCCCCACCAGGGCAGCATCGTCAGCGCCCTCCTCAACCTCGGCCAAGGCCTCGGCCGCCCCTTTGTCGGCATGTTCAGCGACCGCCTCGGCCGCATCAACATCGCCGCTTTCCTCACCTTCCTCTGCGGCCTCTTCTGCCTCGTCATCTGGGTCTTCGCCCGCAGCATGGGCCTCGTCTGCTTCTTCGCTGTCCTCGTCGGCACCGTCGCAGGCACCTACTGGGCTACCGTCACCCCCGTCCTGGCAGAGATCATCGGCCTCCGCGACCTCCCCAGCGGCTTGAGCATCACCTGGCTCGTCCTGGTCGCCCCGACCACCGTCTCCGAGGCTATCGCCCTCCTCCTCCGCGACAACAACAGCCCCACCACCATAACCCACTCGGTTTATCTACGCGTTCAGCTCTTCACGGGCTTCATGTACATCGGCGCCGCGCTGTGTCTTTGGATGGTGCGCGGCTGGCGCGTGGGTTCTCTTGCTCAAGCCGAACGAGAAGAGTCATCTGCTGCGACGACGGGAATGGACAAGTCCGGCGTCGTGGCTGCAGAATCGGCTCCTGCTGGAGGTGACAAGGATGGCCTTCGAAATAAGGAGTCTGCCCAACCCGCTCCTGAACGGATAGATATCTGGTCTCCGGCCGTTCTCATGCGTAGCATGGTGGCTCCCAAGCGGGTGTAAATACATTTTTTAAAAGAACACCGATGTGTTCTGGACATACTTATCTGTCATATAATTTACTACTTTGGATATATACTATATAATTCAATATGCCGTGCGCGGAAATGCCGGTTGATTCACCCGTATAACCTTCTTTATTTCACGCGGAGACAACAGCATAACAGCCAGGATGAGAATTGGCAAAACCACGACTGGTTCATGGGGTATCATGGTTTGATCTTTGCAACCATACTACGAAAACAATGCAATGCCGTATCAAGTTAAGGACGACGCCACGTCCGTTTCATTGATAGATCCAACCCAACGATACCTGCTATAAAAATAAACACATGTACAAACACTTTTTTTTTGCTTATCCTATCTTTGATACTCAGTCTCAACTCACTGCCCACCGAGCACCAATATCCGCACGCGCCTCTTGCCCGCTCCCCGTCCGCCCTGCTCCTTCACAGAGCTAACATTGACCTTCACCTTCTGGAAGAGCTCGACAGTCAAGCCATGCTCCTTCTGCGGGTGGCCCTTGTCCGAGACACAGATGGTGTATTCCTCGTTGTCGAAGTCACTCTGGCGGTGGACGACCAGGTCGCGGCGTTCCTCGACAGAGCGCAGACCCGCGTCTGTCGGGAGCACAAAGTCCTCCAGCCGGACGACGCCTTCGATTCCGAACCGCGGCACGAACACCACGACGCCGTTCTCGAAGACCCGCATCACGTAGCCCTCCTCGTCGATTCCGCCGTCGACGCCATTCGCGGAGACCTTCTCCCCGCGCGCCTTCAGCGCCTGCCCCACGTAGTACTCGATGCTGGCGCGTCCGGCGAACTGCGCGTTGCGGTGCCGGTAGTTGATGTTGCGGCAGATGTCTTCGAGGCGGTTGCGGGTCATCACGCCGTACACTGTGGCGCGGCCGTCTTCGCCTTCGTAGCCGATGGCGGATGCGAGCTGGCGGTGGACAAGTAGGTCCGCGTAGCGGCGGATTGGGGATGTGAAGTGCGTGTAGATGGGCGAGGCGAGACCGTAGTGGCGGAATTCAGGCTCCGCGTGCGCGCCGGCGCAGAAGTACTCGGCCGATGTCATGCAGCGGGTGGCGAGGATGCGGACGAGGGTGTTGAAGAATGGGTTCTTCGCGTCTGTGCAGCGGTCGAGGGAGTCGGCCAGGGCTCCGGAACTGGACACGTCGAGGCGCATGTCGCGCTTTTTCGAAAGCTGATTGGTGAGCTCTTCGAAGTTCTGCGGCGGGGGGGTTGCGTGCCGACGGAGGAGCGCCGTTTGGGAGAACGTGTTGAAGATTTTCGTGGCAACGGTGATGTTGGCGTGAAGCATGAACTCCTCGACGAGGCTGTTGGTCGCGAGCATCGATTTCGTCTTGACGTCCGTGAGGGGGTCTCCAACCTCGTCGCTATCGGCCTCGATGCGGACTTCGGGGGAGGCGAGGTTCAGCGCGCCTGCGTCCATGCGCTTCTGGCGCAGGATCTTGGAAAACCGGAGTAGGGTACGCATGCTCTGGGTCAAGTCGTCGGTCTTAGAGGGGTCGTCAATGCGCTTTTGCGCCTGCTCGTAGCTGAAGGCTTCGCGGGACTGGATAACGGATTTCGTGAAATCAGAGGACACGACTTCCGCATCGGGGGTCATCTCCCACAGCACCGAGAAAGCGTAACGCTCGACATATGGCTTGAGCGAGCAGAGATCCGTACCCAGAAGGTGCGGAAGCATGTCGATACGCTTGTCAACCAGGTATACTGTCGTTCCGCGGAGGCTCGCTTCAAGGTCCATTGCGTTGTTCGGTTTGACGAAATGCGATACGTCGGCAATATGCACTCCCACTTCGAAATTCCCATTGGGCAATTGACGTGCGTGGAGAGCGTCATCGATATCTTGGCAGCCCGGCGGATCAATACTGCAGATGAGAAGATCCCTGAGGTCCCGACGACCTCTCCAACCCAGATCGTCCTTGCTTGCGGGAACTTTCCAGTCGTGCCCTTCTGCAGGAAGACAGTCGAGAACGGATTTCGGGAACGGCTTGTACTGAACGTCATATTCCAGCAACAAGGCTTCCGTTTCGGCACCCTTGGTTTCCAACTCTCCCAACGACCGAACAAAGTGCCCTGACGGGTATCTCGAGTCACGATCCCACGCATCTATTGTGATCAGAATGCGCTGACCCAGCAGGTCACCAGCTTGTCGCGTGCGCACCCGGATCTTCGGTACGCGCTTGTCCATAGGGAGAACAAAGACAGTCTGTTGGCGTCGGCCAGAGACGGCCTGCGATCCTGTGGAACCCGAATCTACAGTCCCAACATACTGTCTCCAGTTTCGCTTGACTACTCCCACGACTCTCGCCGTCGGCTGCGGCTTTCCTTCGGTGCTCTTGCCGTGGGCTTGGCGGACCTCTTCCTGCAAAGCTTTCTTTTCCCTTTCCGTGACCACGGCTTCCGTGTCTTCTCCTTCGGGGTTATCGTTTTTGGTCACCGCCTCTTCGTCGACGATCTTGGTGGACGGGGTTTTCCATTGGTCTTTGGGCAGCACCTCAATCACAACGACATCTCCCGAGATGGCTCGGTTGCTATTGTCACGTCCTAGAATGAGTAGAGGCTTGTCGAAGGCCGCGACCTTAACCGACCCTTCCAGGTAATTGTAAGGCGAGACGTTGAAAACACCTTGGTGCAGAGTACCCGCCCTCAGGCTCGTCATGATCTTAGACATAGTGTAGTACTCGGGGTAAAACAGTTCCCCACGCGCACCCTTTGCTTCTCGTGCCTCTCTGGATTCGTTGATCATATCCAACAGTCTGTCCGAATCGTCCAGACCGGCGACATAGTCGGATAGCGACAACGCTGTCACTCCCTCGTCCTTCGCCTTGCGCAAGTTTTCTTTGTCGTCCGTAATAACCACAATAGCCGGTAGCGATTTCTCTTTCTTCCCTTTTTTAGCCGCCGCAGCTCGAAGATGCTCCGAATACCACTTCGCGACGGTTCGCACGGCCCGATCGTTCCGGTCATTGATGGACTCGTCCGCGCCTCGTCTAACGTGCGTCTCAAGTCGGAACTCGTTGAAAAACAGGTAAAAGCGCTTTTCATCGGTCTTGATCAGAGAGAGTAGGCGGTTATACAGGGGCAACGACTGGTTCTTCAGTTCCTCGAGGACAGTCTGAAGAATAACCACATCATAGAATGCTCCCGTGTGTTCAAAAAGGTCCATGCCATTCAATAGCGCATTCGTATCAGGGACGAGGTAGTGGCCGCGAGGGAAAGCGCTCGTGCCGGCGGGGCTCTCGGAGAGGACAAACGGCGCAACTAGACATTTTGCGTCAGTTTCCGGTACCACATGGCATCGAAGGGGGTTTATCTCACTGTTTCCATTTGCATCCGCAGGCGCGACCGATGGACATATCGAGCAGAGTTTGGATGAACACGGAATGTCCTGTCTTAGATACAATTCACGAACAATCTTTTGCACCTTTCCACTTTTCGTGGACCGGACGAAGACTTTGCTAGTAACATTGGCGGCATGCGGATCCGAAGAGAAATCTCTCCGCAGGCTCTTCATCTTCCCTGATTATGACCCGGTTCGATTAGGGTCTGTTATGGTCCAGGGAAAAGTTGAAGTCTTGTTCGGAGGTGGAATAAATCTGGTCAGTGACGTCCGGTCATGATCTGCTCCGTCCGTCGAGATTATTGGAGATTCCGCCCCAAGTGGGGAAAGTCTGCCGACGAGTCCCCTCGTCGCAATCAACCATGTATTCAACCACGACATCTCCCCTCTCTTATTTGTTCTTTTGGCTGGATCTCATGCCAAAGACATAATATCAATTTCTGTTGTAGCTTGAACAATGGTCATTGCAGTACGGTCCCAAACACCTCTCCCAAGGCTATATCATGTGTCATTGTTTCTCACTGCTACTCTGATAGGCCGTGGGGCAGCTATGCTCGACTGCGAGTGCGTCAGCCAACTTAGCCCAGTGTCAGATACTGGTTCGCAAAGCAGTTGCAGCTGGTGCTAAAGTATATTCTCTTCTCTTGGGTCCCGGCATTATAAGGCTCTAGATAAATGCCGACTAATGTTGACCTAGGCGCTGTTTCTTCCAGAAGCATCGGACTACATCGCCTCATCACCAGCAGAATCCGTCTCTCTGGCACGTTCTGTTAAAGATAGCGAGTTTGTTTTGGGTCTTCAGCGAGAAGCTCTACAGGCCCAGTTACACATCAATGTGGGCATCCATGAACCTGCCGCGGATGGCAAAGTGAAGAACACTTTGGTATGGATCAATGAGAAAGGCGTTATCACACAGCGCTATCAGAAGATCCACTTATTCGACGTAGACATCAAGGATGGGCCAGTGCTCAAAGAAAGCGCGTACGTTGGTTCCTCGTATCATCGTGTCCTGGAACTCGCTGATCTGTCAATCAAGGAGCGTGGAGAAGGGTATGGAGATACTGCGTCCGTTCGAGACTCCAGTTGGTCGCGTTGGTCTATCCATTTGCTTCGACGTAAGTTGAGCTAGGCCCGGTTTCATAACGCTGGAAAGCGTCCTTGCATAGATTACTTATGCGGGTTATTTCCAGTTGCGCTTTCCCGAGATCAGTCTTGCGTTGAGGCGAAACGAGGCCCAAATAATCACTTATCCGTCAGCATTTACGATCCCTACCGGTCGTGCGCACTGGGAGACCCTACTGCGAGCCAGGGCCATCGAGACACAGTCCTATGTGATAGCGGCTGCACAAGCGGGGCCCCACAACGAGAAAAGAAGCAGCTACGGCCACTCGATGATTGTGAACCCTTGGGGAGAGGTTGTGGCCAAGCTTGGCGACGAGTACCAGGAGCCACAGATCGCAACTGCAGAGATAGATTTCGAACTCTTGGAAAAGATAAGAAGGGAGATACCGCTGCTCAGAAGGACCGACATATACCCGGTAGTATAGTACCCAGAGAAGAACTGCTTATACATGTCACTAAAACGACACATCAACCTGTAATATATGGTAGATTACACATTTTATAGCACAGTAGTCTTTTCCCACACTTCCTCGTCATAATGATGTAAAGCGAATCGGCGATAAAAAAACATTTCAGGATATACGTTGACAGTGAAGAAAGAACAAAGGAACAAAAGAAACGAGATAGCAGCCCTGTCTAGGAAGCCAACCGGAAGTCATGTCTGCTACCACAGATGTAGCCCTTTAACCGAAAATGCCTTTACTGTCCGAACACTTTATGTACAATGTACAAGGAAGACCCGGACTCAGCGATTTACTTTCCCTGAACCTTATCAGGATCCTCCAGGATACCCTCGGCTTCCAGCCTTCTGCGGGCCTCTTCCAGAGCCCACGTCTGTATCCTATAAGTTGTCAGTTTCTGCCTTTGGAAATCTTCCCATGGTCCTGGTCCCATGGTAGAACCACAGCTAGTGCAAACGGGGCGCAGCTCATGTTGAACGTCATTAAACAGGGGACTAAACGTACGAAGTGTCCGGCTTGAAGACATATGCCACTCCGGCAGCAAGCAAGCTTCCAATAAAGCCATAGTACCAGATGTTCTCCCAGCCCTCCTTCACGTACTTCTGGCCGGGCTTGAGGCCAAAGAGCCAGCCGGACGGGGGGTCGTAGTGATCACCATGATCGGCGGCCCGCAGACTGCTCCGAGTCGAGAAGCTCTGGACATTCTGGGACCTGCGGAAAAGGCAGCGGGCACGGAGGCAATGCGACAGCAGACGAGCGGACATTGTGAAAAGATTGAGGACTGTCGGGATTCGAGAATCTTTGGTTGTCGTCGGGTGTGAGGAGACAGCCGGTGGCCGGTGGAGGATGGACCCCTGTCGGAGGTGGGAAGGCGAGAGCTGTCCGGATGAGATGTCAAAGTATGGCAAATACTTTGACCGGCGGTTAAAACGACCGGTTCAATTGATCGGTTTCTAATTGAATAAACGTGTTATAGTCGCCGTCAGAGCGAGAGATAGAGGGGTGACGGGGAAGTCCAGCGCTTGATGTTCAGAAGCCGCAAAAGGCCGAACGAGTTATGGCGCTAGTCCCAATCGGTCCACCTCCCCCATGCCGCCTTTCTGCCTCATATTCAAGGCAGCATCATCGCCTCAGGCAAAGGGCGTTCGAGACGCGCGACGCGTCCAGCATCTCAGGCATCTTGCGTGCAGCGGAGATGCAGCCAATTACTTGCATCAAGACACAGGCCGATCTTTCAGCCAAAACACCCATCCTCGTTTTACCCAAAGTGTGTGTCTCAGTGGATTAGACAAATCTCCTTCGATAAGAATTGTGTCCAAGCAATTATTACACCTGGTACAGCTCCTTCGATGGACCAGTTGAATTGTATGCTTGGTGATCATACGCTAACGATTCCATTATAGATTATTCCCGAGATGTGCTGTCTATCGCCGATGGCATAGACTCTCTCACACTATGTATCCTGTGAACAAACGACCCCCATCCTATCCAATTTCCTCCAAATCCCGCTCCAAATTGAACAACTTCCGATACAACGACCAAGATGAGACGTCCTCAGAAAAACCCTCCCTCAAACCACAAGCCGGATCAGAACACACGGATAAGGAAAACCAAAGCTCGTGGTTGAATGGCGTAGTAGCGCCAGCTCAGCCCGAATTGGACCAGAGACCATCTTCGAGCGGAGCCGCAGAATCGAAAGTTGTCAAGGAATGTCCCCAAACGCCAGGAAATCGAATTCCTTTGGCAGACCTCATCGGCAATGTTGAAGACGCCATCAACCAAGCGCCGGGGCAGGAGTATACCCCAGAAGACTATGTCATCTGGCAACACGTTCCGGCAAGCTCGAACACCGGTACCATGTCTCAAACACCAGCCACGAACAAAAAGAAGCGCCGCCGGAACTCATCGCCTGGCAGCTCTCCTCTAGCTGGAAACTCGAAAAGTGCACGGAAGGGTTCGTTTGATCTACAGTCTTTTCAGGCTGTGTTGAAGACTCCGCAAAATGACATCGCGGCCGATCTGTGGAATAACTACGTGGGCAAGGCGACAGCCAATGGCAATGGAGAAATACCCCAAATTCGCTTCCAGAACCTCCTTTCATCCTCGCCTCAGACACCTGCAACAGGCAGAACGAGTCGGGATTCTTCTGGGTTGAGACGAGCAACCAGCTGCAATGTGGAGTGGCCAAGTTCTAAAGCCAAGCGGCGAAAATTGGACTTTTCTCGGTCAAAAAGCAATGTCATCGACGCTGGTACTTCCTCGTCGAATATCAATAGGCTTATGGAAAGGATCGAGAAAAGTCTTCGGAAGACTCCCATGCCGCAAGCTGATTCATCGCCAGTACCAAAACGTGAAGAGGTGCGGCGATCTCGATCAACCTCCCCAGTGGAACGCAAACAGCCTCTTAAAGATTTAGGAAGCCCAGGCCAAGAAACTAAGACTGGTGATAGCTGTATCCGCCCCATCGCTACAGAACCAGTGAAAGTATCTTCGTCCGACTTTGGGGATGATGACCTAGACCAAGATTTTCTTGACCTAGCAGAGGCTGCAATGGATCCTTTTGTGGATTCAGATGGTGTTAATGATGACGAACAAGTCGCTAAACCAAATGGACTGCCACATTTGTCTCCAGTTAAGGCGCCGGCCGCGTCCGGTGGACAAGTAAACTCTCATGTCGATACAACAATGGCCGAAAAGAGTGATTACAAGTATGATGCTGATGAATTTGATGACGATTTTGAGGAATTCTCGGATAACATAGAGGACATCCTCGCTGAGTGTGATGGCACTCCAAGCACTAAGTTAGCAAGATCCGTCTCAAACAACAATCCAGTTTCTCAACCACTAAGTTCGGGTCATGATGCCAAACCCCTCTTTGCTGTTGCTGCGGATCAAGTCTTTGGAGATGTAAAGAATCCCGAGGCAACATCTTCCGGTGATGAGTTTGATGACGAGGATTTTGATATGGAGGCTATTGAACAGTCTATGAAGCAAACAGCTGAAGGTGGGCCTGATGATGTTTGTCACACTTGATGGGCACATTCGTTAGATCTTTGATCTTTTGCTAAGTATATCTTTTATAAATAGAAATTTAGGGGTCGAGAGGCCATCAAACGGTATTTGATCATTGATATTGCCGATTCCACTTATACTACCCATAACGGACGCATCCAGCCAGAACAGGTCAGCCTTTGTGTATCTTCAAATAAGAAGATGAAAATCAATGGAAGAAAAATATCGCCACATACTGACTATTTCAACAGGTATTGCTAGTACAAGATGAGAGAACTAAGTGCAAAAAGGTAGTCATCTTGCGGGAATCGTGGTTTGATAGCCCTTGCAATAAAGATTTCTACATCCACTTAATTGGGGACTTTGACGCACAGGGCCAATGCATTGTCACGAACTCTCAGAATATGATAATCCTTCATCCGGATCATCTTGTCTCTGCAACGGTCGTAGCAGACTCGGTCAGTTGCCAACGGCGAGCGGTCCTTCAAGACCGCATCAAGAACACTGGTGATATTGGAAAACCCCGCGTTTTTGGGAACATCTTCCATGAGATCTTTCAGGAAGCACTTAAGATTAACAAGTGGGATGATATCTCACTGAGATCCCTGATCGATACTGTTACTCAAAATCACATCGAGGAGTTATACTTGATTGGCATGAGTCTCGCGGAAGCCGTGGAGTATGCAATGGGCAGAATGCCAGAACTGAAAACCTGGGCAGAACTTTTTCTTCGAACCAAGCCAGGCGTAAGTAAAACCCATGGAGCTCTACCAGAAGTTATAAGTTATCTGATTTCTGTGAAACAGGCCAAATCCCTTGTCGAAGATCGCGGTAGCACCAAGTTAAATCTTAGCATCAGCAAGCTCCTCGAGGTGGAAGAACACGTTTGGTCTCCAATGTATGGGCTCAAAGGAAATATCGATGCAACAGTGCAGGTCGCTTGCCGTGATGAAGGGCGCGACAAGAACCTTATCGTGCCCCTTGAACTCAAGACGGGCAAAAGGGACACCAATCAAGCCCATAGAGCTCAGACAGCCCTGTATACTCTGCTGCTCTCCGATCGCTACGGCAAGTACCTCGGTGTCTATGTTTGTGATTGTGAACCTCGCTGATCTTCTATCCGTAGACTTGGACGTCACATTTGGACTGCTATACTACCTCGAGACGTCGAAAATGTTGCGAATTCGTGGCATCCGACATGAACTTCTCCAGATGATCCAGCAACGGAATCGTCTTGTTGGGTATATGCGTAACAGAACGGAATTGCCGCCGATGATCAAGAAGCAATCATTATGCACTAGGTGCTACGCAAAGACGCCTTGCTTCATCTATCATAAATTGGCAGACAATGGAGATGGAGAAACCAGTGGTCTCGGCGACGAGTTCGTCAACTCTATGGACCATCTAACACCCCAGCACCGTGACTTCTTTCAAAAATGGGACGATCTTTTAACGAAGGAGGAGCAAAATATGATGAAATTCAAGAGAGAACTTTGGACCCTCTTGAGTCACGAACGAGAAGCTCTTGGCCGTTGTTTCGGTAACGTCGTCATAGAACCAGGTTCGGCCGTGGAAGACAAAGACGGCATCAAGATCAACCGATATCGGTATACCTTTAACAAGAGACATCCCGTCCCTGCATTCTCGTTTGCCGAATCCCAACTCACAGTCGGTGAGCCGGTCGTGGTCTCTGATGAGAAAGGCCATTTTGCTCTCGCCAATGGTTATGTTGTGCAAGTCAGCCCCAAGCGCATTACCGTTGCAGTGGATCGAAGATTACACAATGCTCGGACGAAAGCAGAAGGGTTCAATTCTGAAACAAATCAGACGTTCAAAGGCATTATGGAGGTACTTGAGGAGGGTGCCATTCCTTCTACCGCCCGTCCTCTGGAACCCGAGGAAGAAACCCTTTATCGTCTAGACAAGGATGAGTTTAGCAACGGCATGGCGATTGTTCGTTCCAACCTCATCTCAATGATGGAGAAGAACCTGTTTCAGGCCAAGCACCTGAGAAGGTTGATCGTTGAGCGAGAAGCACCTACATTCAAGCCTGCTCCTTCAATCTACAAAATGTCCAAAGCCGATCGAGCGAGCCTGAACGTCGACCAAGAACGGGCTATCAATAAAGTGATGAGCGCACAAGACTACGCGCTAGTTCTTGGGATGCCAGGGACAGGGAAGACCACGACGATCGCTCATATCATCCGTGCCTTGGTGTCGCAAGGGAAAAGTGTTCTCTTGACTTCATATACCCACACTGCGGTCGATAACATCTTACTGAAAATTCGCAATGACGGAATTCGCACTTTGCGAATTGGTGCCACAACGAAGGTGCATCCCGAAGTCCAGGATTTTGCCGACCTTGCAGCAACCCCTAAGAAAACCATAGAGGAGCTAAAGGCATCGTACGAGGACTCTCAGGTGGTCGCGACAACTTGTTTAGGCGTCGGCCACGATATCTTTACTCAACGCATCTTCGATTACTGCATCGTTGATGAGGCTTCTCAGATCACTTTGCCGGTTTGTCTAGGACCGATTCGAATGGCCAAAACGTTTATTCTGGTTGGCGATCACTACCAACTACCACCTCTTGTACAAAACGCCGAAGCCCGAGAAGGCGGTCTTGATGTTAGTCTCTTCAAGCTACTTTCGGACACTCACCCTTCTTCCGTGGTCAATCTCGAGCATCAATATCGAATGTGCGAGGACATCATGCTTCTTTCAAACACTCTCATTTATTCGGGGCAGCTCAAGTGCGGCACTCCGGAGGTGGCGGCATCCTCCCTGGAAATACCTGATATAAGCGGTCTCAAGCAACACCATATTGACCACCTACCGCGGTCAGCAAGCCAGAAGCAGCTCTGTCTTGGTACAAGCCAAGGTCGTTGTTGGCTACGCGATCTCATCCGCCCATCCGCCAAGACCCGTTTCATCAACACCGACACACTCACCTTGCCTGCCCTGGAGGTGACCAACGGATCCCGGATCGTGAATCCCACCGAGGCGACCCTGTGTAGTCAACTCGTGGAAGCCTTCATCTCCTGCGGTATTCCGGCGCGGAGTATCGGCGTAATTACGTTCTACCGCAGCCAGCTCGCGATCCTGAAACAGAATCTCCGTCACCACATGCCTGATCTCGAAATGCACACTGCAGACAAATTCCAGGGTCGAGATAAGGAGATCGTTATTCTGAGTTGCGTGCGCAGCAACGCTGACAACCACTTGGGCGAGCTTCTCCGTGATTGGAGGCGCGTTAACGTCGCGTTCACGCGAGCACGGACAAAGCTCCTAGTCATCGGAAGCAAGAACACCCTTCGCGACGGCAACGAACTGCTAGCCAGATATATCAATCTAGTCCAGAAACGAGGTTGGGTCTATGATTTGCCCAAAGGGGCCGAAGAAAGCCACATTTTCGAGTACGATAACGGGTTTTCCACCCAGTTGTCCGAGTACAAGGAGGACAAGTCGACCCCCAGCCCAAAGGGGAGCCCATCTCAGAATCGGATGGCTCGCAATCCTTTGAGTCCCGTACAGGCTCGACAATCAAACGGTCTCAGGAAACCGGCGAAGAAGGGAGCCAAGCTCTTGAGTGGGAGTAAGGTTCTGGGTAACAGGCCTGTGCTGCAGGATGTGGTTAATGACCTTGTGGGATGATTTTATGTGTTTTATGATTCATTGGGTTTTTAATTGTGGGGTTGTTCATTTTGAGGATCCTTGGGTGCAGGTTATACTATAGTTTGGCGCAGGCATCACTAGGGATGGAAGGGATTGGACTATCGGCATTGGATTAATGAATATTTGACAGCGTTGGGAGTCGCTTTTTTGTTTACTTGTTGGTTTTATAAGAAATATTTAGAACTCTTATCATGACAATAATTATATCTTACCAAAGCAACATAAACTCTGATCTTATTTTGATAACTTTAACCTGATATCCATAGAGGTCATTCAACGCCATCCGGCAAGAACCATAATCTAGTATCATTTTTTTTCGGCTAAGCAATCAAAAACCCAAAACCGATGCCCCGACAAACTCCCAACAAATAGACCGCCGGCCATCCTTAGACGCCTCATTTGCCACTTGTTCCCCACCCACTTGAGAGCTAGATACAGACGGCAAGGCCAATACACTATACCCATCCTTCGCTTCCACAGCCGTCCTACCCAGCGCACTCGACGAGAGTGCAAACCAACCCTGTGCCGAGGAGGAGGTTTCCCTTCTATGAACCAAGACATCAGTATAAGATTAACACGACGATACAATCCAACGGAGACTTACAACAGAAGCACAAACAGCTGCATAATCCACGCCGGAGGAATGAACCCATGCCATTTGAGGCTGACGAGATTCGACGCACTCGCTTCGTCTGCGCGAGGTACGCTGTACCGGCAGAGGTATGGATCTACGTCGTCGTCGTTCTGCACCCGCGGGGAGCCAAGTGATACCATTGCGAGCCACTCAGAAAGCTCTTCTGAGTGGTCGCGTAGATCCTCTTCTGGGACTTGTGCTGGAGGGTTGAGCCCGTCGAAGGGCGGGACGAGGACGTTGCTGTGGGTTGTCTTTGTGGGCTGGCAGTCGATGATGTGTGGGTGGTTTCCTTTGAGGGTAATATCATCTTGTTTGTTGTGAGTGGTGGAAAACTATTTGTGTGGGATTAGAGGGCAGTGCGGTACCTGGAGAGACGCCGTTTGCTGACGGCGCCAGATCGTAAAATAGCCAGGCTACAGAGTGGTTGAGGACGTTCTTGAATGCCCATACTATTCGCTCGAAGCCTTTCTTTCCGTGGAGCATAGACGGTAAACGCAGGTTGAGCTCCACGACTGGAAACACTGATTAGCACATGTTATAGATGCAGATAGGACAAAGAGTCATACCGTATCTTTCCTTTGCGTGCTTTCTAGCTCCACTGCGAGTAGGTTTGCCTGTGAGACCTGTGCGTTCAAAGACTTCCTTGCCGAGTTCGAGTCTCAATATCCCTAGATGGTCATTAGCCAGGGTACTTGGACAGAAGGATTCTTCGCGCACCATCTTTTAGAGTGAATACATTGTCCAAGCCTGATCGCCCCTCGGAGATCATCAGGATATCCCCTGCACAATTAATTAGAAATTTACCCACAGAAGACCGTGCTATTGAAGGGACGTACCTGATTTGATGTATGTATTGAAGAACTCCCCTTCAAGTAGGGAAGAAAGAGACATGAACACCCTCCCATATCGAAGTTTCTGTAACTTTGATTCCAGTGCGCTCTGGACGGAGGAGTAGACCTCCTCGGAAAGAATGACCTCTGTCTGATTGACCTTCGTCAGTCGACATACACATCAGAGCTCAAAGGGATTTCATACCGTATGTATAAACGGATGGCCTAGAATAGTGGAGAACGGGGACCTCTTTTTGGGCGGTTGATTGGGGTCAATAGAGGCAGATAACTGGGCCAAGGTCGTGTAGCATTTTTCATGCCTTGAGGCGTCATCGTCGAAGTCAAACATGGTGTCCCAGAGCCCTAGAGCTATCCCGGATATTTGTTTGGGTCAAGCCTGTCAATGTAATGTTGCTGGCTGTCGTGCCCTTCCGAGTCCTCAGAAAAAGTTTGCGGAGATAACAGTGTAGCCCACCCCAAAAAAATCCAACTGATGGTGTCTTGCCAAAAGTTCAGTAACAATTCAGGCTATTTGAGCATGAGTAATACATATAATCAGCATCAGTCGAGACGGTGGTTGTTGTAGATAACATGCAAATATTAATCCGGCGGAGGTCGATCCAGGCCGGTGGTGACGTTATTTGATTGGCCGGATCATTCACCATCAACTGGCGATATCTTGAATGTTGCTCATGTACAAAGCATAAGGGGGGTTTCTTTTTTCTCTATTACAGGCTCCGAATCAAGGATACAGGAGAGGAACTATCAGACCCAAATAATGTCAACTCCCAGGCTGCCTGCAAGAAATCCTGCATGACTGACTGGTGTATGCCTAAGGCACCAAGGCCTCCGCTGAGACGGATCGATCTCGGCGCGTCCGGTGCGTCTTTCTTCTCCAACTCTCCCCGCTCCTCTCCTCCCAACTTTCACATTTCTATGTTAAATACCTTACAACGTTGGTCGCAATTGTCGCATGATAATCATCCTTACTTCCGAGAATCGATCCTCTCTTCGATCCTGTTCTAGCCCCTCGGGGCGTCCATGTGGGTTGCTGCTACTCCGACAATAGTACCTACAATAGCAACATCGAGCCATGGCCCCTCCTCGGCGAAACCTGCTCCCCAAGGAGCGCTTTGCATTCGCGTTCGGAAGCCTGAAAACCCAAAGTTATTACGACCCCATTTCGCGAACACCGGGGTCTCACACGTGCGTCCCCATTCAGCATCATTGCTCCGCAGCCCGCTGCACATGATCCGCGATCAGAGCTCGCGCTGACGAGAAGATCTGACAACCCATCTCAGGATCCGGACGATAGCATGGAATCCTACCGGTCAACTCGTGGCCACGGGCTCTGCAGACAGGACGCTGCGGATCTGGAACCCCGAACGCTCGCAGGTTAAATACTCGACTGAATTGCGCGGCCATACCGCTGGTATCGAGAAGGTCCTGTTCAACCCCACGAAGGATTCCGAGCTAGCTAGCTGCTCCACGGATGGAACGGTGCGCTTATGGGACGTCAGGTCCAAGACGTGCGTCAGCCGTGTCGATGTCGGCGGCGAGGCGTTCACCTTGTCTTGGTCCGCGGACGGGAGCGTCATGATGGTCGGCAGGAAGGTGAGCAGCTGTAGCCTACGTAAGGAAGGGCATAATGTGACTGACGCACTCAATTCAACCCCCTAGGACGACATCCTCGTTCCCATCTCCGTCGAATCCCCCTCCACTCCCACAATCCTCGCAGACGGAGCATCCCGCGCGCCAGCCACCGCCCAACAACAACCATCACCACCCAAACTACCCACCAACGCAACGACCTACAAAGCCCTCGAATCCCACCCCCAATCCGTCCAAACAAACGCAACCACCTTCTCCTACCACGTCTCCAATCCCTCCTCCCCCTCCGACCTCCACCTCTTTGCCACAACCGGCGAAGGCACCGTCAAGATCCTCTCCTACCCCTCCTTCGACGTCCTCCACACCCTCCACGCCCACACCTCCGCCTGCCTCTCCATCGCCTACGCCCCCACAGGCCGCTACCTCGCCGTCGGCGGCAGCGACGCCCTCATCTCCCTCTGGGACACCACGGACTGGATCTGCCGCCGCACCGTCTCCACCAACAACGGCGGCGCCGTCCGCGGCGTCAGCTGGAGCTTCGACGGCCGCTTTATCTGCGGCGCCTGCGACGAGGTCGGCTGTGGGGGGAATGGTCTTGAGATCTTCCACGCTGAGTCTGGAGAGAGTGTTTACACTATTCCTACAGGTGGGAGTGTCAATTCTGGTATTCCCGCTGTTGCGTGGCATCCGTCGCGCTACTGGCTGGCTTATTCTACAACTGCTGATGGGCCGGGTGTGGCTGGTGCGGGTGGGCTGAAGATTGTTGGTGCTGCTGGGGGGAGCTTGTAGTTTTGCTTGCATGTGGTGTTTCCTTTCTTTCTTCCTTTCCTTGTTAGGCTTTTACGTTTTGGTTGCACTCCTGCTGGTTGCCTGATATGGGACATGGTGTCTACGATTTCCTGTTAGATAAAGCCTTCAATTATGACTATTTAAAAACAAACAATTGAACAACAGTCAAAGAATCTCTATGTCTGTGTTATCTTCACATAGGCCATCTCCATTCCCCTGACCAGCAGAAGAAAATATGATGACCTTGGTTTGGTCATGTATCTTCAACAATGGCCCATCAAAATACCGATCCATCGAAGTGAAGGCGCTGTCCTGAGACGGTCATTAGAACTCTTATCTTTGGACATAGGTCCACTGTCCAGTAGTTGAAATGTATGTATGTAGATCGTCAACATAAGTCATGAAAATAGCGCGAAGTCAAATCATCCTGCCTCCCAAAATCCTGCAGTACCATGCCAAACCAAAACAAAAATGAAATGAGACCCATTACCATAGAAGATAATGATGAGAGAAAATGGGGGACAGCTTGTCCAGGCCTACCCCTGATTCCGCCACGCGTCCCAATTCGTCGAACCGAGGAGCTGTGTCCATTGAGCTTCATTAAGAGACTCGATGTCGTTGAGGGTAGTCGCGTTGATATTATCGCCGTTATGGCTGGTGGATGCAAAGTCCCAGTTCGGAGGAGGCATGGGGATGGAACTTTCGGGCTCGGCCGATTCGAGAGGGGTCATGATGCCTGAGACTAGTAATCTCTCTGCAAATTGTGCGTCGGAGTATCGTGCTGGAGATGTCAGGTCGAAAGATAGTTGTTCGGAGTTGCTATTTGCCATGTTGTTTGAAGACTGGTTGAGGGAGCTTATGGATGGGTGGTGGTGTTGTTGCTTCTTCGAAGGGACGGAGTCACTTGTGGACCCCGTAGCTGCTGAGTCTACAGCCAAGGTTGGGACTCCGGATAATGTGTTTGTGTTGCTGTTGAATTCTTGCGGTATATCGAGGTCTAGGATCGTGCCGGATCCTAGGCTGTATGGGGGTGTATTGTTAAAATCCTGCGTGTCACTGGCCGTTTGCGCAGAGTTGACGTCTGGCTGTTGCATTGTCTGTTGTGATCCAGTAATAAGGGAGGCTGGCATTGAGAAGTTACGACGCGGAATGGTCTGAGTAGATGGTGAAGATACTCCTTCGTCTTGGTTCTGAATCTGGCTTCGAGGAAGTATCAGCCCACAAGGGCCTGGTGGTTTGAAGTCTCTGGTGCTGACTGCTGTTGACGGTCGAATGCTACTGAACGGGGTGCCCTGGATGTCAACCTCGAGCTGGACGAGAAATGATTCTGTTAACGGGTTTTTGTTTTTCAGGGCATCGAGAGCGGAGAATAGGAACTGGAGTGATGACCGGGCGGCGGTGTCATCGGGACGGGATTTAAGGTACTGCACGAAGACACGCGCGGCGACGAAGATGCAGAATGACATGAACGGGTTCATCTGTAAACGGGTTAGAAGATTCCGATGACTCGGTGCGTTGTTTGAGACTTACAGTGGTCAAGTCCATGTGGCTAATCATCTTCATGATATTTGAAATCTGGTCGGCAGCCACGATGCATCTCCGCTTACTCTCGGTGATGATCTGGTCGGGCATTTTGTTTTTCTCCGCCTTGTGGATAGCAGCCTGATGCAGACAGATCGTGGACGTGTGTATAGCCATATTGCAAAAAACCACGTTTGGATCTCTGACCCCGGCTGGTAAACGGAGATGGTTTGGCATAGCCAAGGTAAAGTGGAGTAGGATATTGTCGTGCGATCTGTGCCGCTGCCAGTACAACCCGTTGAGGTCATGGTCATTGTCATGGGGATCAGGCCGGTGAAGGTGCACAACGTTTCGCCCAAACAGGCATGCCATGAACCCAAGGCCTGCACACGATGACAAGGTGGAGAGGCCGTCACCGACCAGGACATCCGTAAGCCGTGCTGTACTTTCTGGTTTGCTTTTGATGAATGCCTCCTCTGTCGCGGGTAGATTCGTCGTAATCTGTCGGGAGAATGTCAGCCAAATTTGGTCTCAAGAGTGACAAAACGCTAACGAGATGACTGACGTCTCGTTCATCCATGACCACAGGCCATCCAGTGCCAACACTGGCATACCGATCAACACAGAACGTCATCCAGAAAACCCTCCGCCGTTCCTCTTTTTCAGTCCAGTCCCTTGCCGGTGGCAGTGTTTTCTTCACTTCAAGATCCGGGCCGTCGAGGCGGTTCAACCCCATCATGAACGTTAGTCTTGCAGCCTTGCCAACACTTAACCACGCTCGTGGGAAGAACATCATCCGGAACTCGTATGTAGCTATAAGCAACCATGTCTGACAGTTGGACACAGAGACAATGCCTTCCCCGAGCCCTTTCATCTCTTCCAACTCAGCGTACTTTCGGGCTCGCTGGTAGAATAGCTCATGCAATCCAGAGTATTTATCGGTGACGGATGCAGCGTGGCACCAAGTTATATATTGTAGGCATATAGGAGGGCGAACCCTTGGGGCGAGGTTCATCGCCGCGAGATGTCGTGGGGGGTGTAGGATGGGAATGGAAGGATGTATCTTCTGAAAATATATATGATTTCTGTCCTTGGAATTAGCAGCAGCATCAAAGAACAATCATCCTTCAACCCAACACGTACAGCTCATTGGTGACAGCTTGGTTAGGAGTAGGTTCCTCCAGTCCCAGGCTTATCATATCCCACCCAAAGTATTCCGATTGGGATGCGTCCAAACCACTCGATGGGAATATCTGGCTTGGCCGCGGACCGCCGAGGGGTCCAGCAGGAGGCGACATGGGCGCAACCACGCCGTCTCCTACAGACATGATTCTGGGGACAGCCGCCAACTCATTCGGCACGGCGGCACCAAAGCTATTGTTTTGAGTCGTCTGCGGCGGAGATCGTTCATGGGTCTTCAGCAGTGTTTCAACCTGGGCTTCAAGAAGAGGAATCCGTCAGCGATCCCAGCACAAATAGTGCGGGTAACACGGCGTCATTTCGCACCACCATACCTAGTCGTGCCTCCAGTTGCTTCACATAACCTCGCTTGGGACCACTCTTCTTCCGGAGCTCCTCGTATGCACACTCATGGCCTAGCCTCGCGCAGGTTCCGCAGCTGGGCTTCTTCCCATCGCATCTGAGCTTCCTCCGCCGACACAACACGCAGGCGATGCGTTTGGGGCGTGGAACGTAGCTGCTCTCCCCATCGCTGTGAGCTGTGCCAGTCCGGGCTACATTGCGATTCGACGGGTCTTGACGGTGTTCGGACGGAGAATGGAGTGCATTCTGCTGGAAGCGTTCGTTCGGAGAATCGGCGGCCATGGCCATGTGAATGACGCCGGGAGAACGGGAAATATGCAGGAATGCGGATGACTAAAAACGAGAGAACGACCCCCTCTCGTTTTATATGTGAACAGCTGGGAGTTTCCGGATCTCGATCACGGAGATCGCAGAGGATTTCGATGACCTCCCGACATTGAAATCGAAAGCGACAGGTTATCGGAGAGTGCGGTGCGACCAGCGAAGCCACGAATGCTGGTTGAGAATATGGTCAGGCCTCGCTTTCTGAGAATTGAGGGGGGGGAGAACGGGCTAGACACACCGTGCGTTGAATGAATAATCAGCCAGATGTCTGTTGAGCACAATGTTCACACTTTGGGTTCTTTCCTTTCTCTTCTGATCGCACTGATGATGTCGACGCAATGATGGAGGAGCTAGACTAGGTGGACTAACTACTAACTTAGAGCGGCAAGCGTAGCGATTAGTCAAATCTATATAGATCCCCGTTTGCCGATCCATGAATCCCATACCCACTGCGCTTATGAAAGTCGGAATGACAAGGCTCTAGCGGCCCATAAAGTTGCTGCCATGAATAAAACGATCAAAGAAATCCGTAGTATAGCTTTGACCTGATTAGGATACTGACCCTTCGCCTGTGTTGATTGGTCGGCTCGTTCGTATAACGGTGCGCCAGCAAAGTGCGGGGCTACGAGATTATATGGTATAGGACGAAGCATCGGTCAAATATCCCCAGAAAATACGAAAGAAAAAAGATCTTGAGAATTGACCCGGTTTAATATACAAGAACAACGCCACAATGTAACAAGGCAAATGCATGGGAGATCCCACAATCGAGTGACTAGAGCAAAGTCTGAAGCACTCCGAATACAGCGGCCCTGGTGCCCTACAACGGGCCAAGTATAGTACAAGACGAATGGTGGGAGGCGTGATCTTGGCGTAAAGGGGAAGAGGAACATGAGATGTAAATGAGAAGAAGGGCCAACGACAGGAGTGTGTAGATACTGTCGCTCTATTAGTTTCCTCTGCGACGCTTGCCCTGGTTGCGGACTCTCGGAGTGACCACGGCCTTGTTGATCTTCCACTTGGGACGAGTCTTGTAGCCCGATTTGGCCTAGATAGTGTTAGCAAAACACGCACGGGAACAGTGGAAGGCAGAGGTTGTATGGTACTCACCGGCATGCCCCAAGGACTCTTGGGGTTGACGTTACCCTTCGACTTACCACGACCACCACCGTGGGGATGGTCCATGGCGTTCATGGCAAGACCACGAACGGTGGGTCGGATGTTCAGCCAGCGAGACCGTCCGGCCTTACCCAGTTGTCGGTACTGATGGTTGGGATTACTGGCAACTCCCACGGTGGCACAGCAGTCCTTATGGATCAAACGGACTTCACCACTCTGGAGGCGGATGGTAACGTGCTGGGCGATGCGGTCCATCTTCTGCTGCTCGCGCTGCGAAACGCGCTTCTTCTCTCCAGTTTCCTCTTCCGCTTCCGCCTCGGCTTGCTGAGCGGCCGCCAGCTGGTTGGTCCCCTTGGCGATGACGGTGGCAAAGGTCCCCGCGCTACGGCACAATTGACCTCCCTTGCCCGGACGCAAGCCAACGTTGAAGATCAGCGTACCAACGGGCATCATGTGCAGCGGCAGGCAGTTTCCTCTCCAAGCCGTTCGGGCCGCGAGGACACCGGGATCAACGGTACTGCCCATGCTCTTCCACAGATGCTCGGGGATGCCGGGCATGTAACTCTCCACCACATCCCCCGCACGCATACCCTCAGCCGCCACGATATAAGTCAGCCGCTTCGTCTCTTGGTTGCGAAGCAGAGCAATGTGCGCGCTCCGCCCCGGATCGTGTTCGATGCGCTCCACCAACTGGGGGCCCGGCGCATCTCGCAAGAAATCAACCGTTCGAATACGGCGCTTGTGACCACCACCTTGATGCCGGACGGTCACTCGGCCCGTGTTGTTACGACCACCCTTCCCGTGACCCCGTTTGGGAAACGTCAACTTCTGTACCGGACGTCCTTTCCAGAGGTGGTCATTGACCGGCCGGCGCAAATGTCGGATACCAGGCGTCCGGGGCTTATATGATCGAATGTTAACGCCGGCGTCATCACGAGTGGGCGGGGGAGCGAAAGTAATGGTCGGGTCGAAGGTCGCGGTAGCCGGTTCCGCGGGAGAAGGATCTTCTTGTTCACGGACGGTCGAGTACGGACGAAGCGAACGCGCGGAGAGACATCTGAAGGGCAGGCGGAGGCCCGTCAGAGCCAACCGAGGTTGTAACATAATCGTGCGAGTTGGGTCACTTTTCCCAATCGGCTAATCCGGGGAGAACTATTGGGGAGATGAGAATCGGATTCCACAAGACACTCGATCAGGGACCAAACATACCACCTCAATGGCAAATTGAAAAAGGTGTCACAAAGTGGAAGATACTTTCCACGCCACCTGATACAACACCGAGCCCAACTGAAGTGGATATTCGGGGGAAACTGGTGATAGCTGGCGCGGCCGATGCTTCGTCGGAGAGAAAATGTCGTTTGACGATTTGCGGGTGTGGCTTGCTCATATCACCTGACACGGAACCTGACTCCAGCCACAGGGGGTGTGGCGCTCTGCTGACTCAGAGTCACGGGATGACGGGATCATATGCCAAACAGAACAAACAGCCGAGGGTTGCTGGGCAACGAGATGATGTTTTGACCACCGTGCCGCGCAACATCAAATCACGTTTCTGGTCGCGACGGGCGTTTGTCCTGCCTGGGCGATTTCAGGCATCGGCCACCCATGACGATCCCTGTTGACGGACCTCTTGTTTCGTCCCAATACGGTATCATTACAGCCTTGCGTCCTCCTTCGCGCATGCCAGTACACCGTATTTTCTGAGGTTAGCAGGGAGAAGGACTTCCATCATACATTACCATACGTCCGTGTTACACCGATACGTTCATCCATGCTCTGTATATTTACTTCCATGACAACCCCCCTTTCTTTCATCTCCTGCTCTTGATTCAAGTCTTTCCCCTCTGCAGTTCTTTGTCTTCATCGCTCTGATATTAATTCTTTCCGCGTACATAAGTTCTATCGGACGAGCAGTTCATTATATTCCCTCAGTTGCACATACATCGCGTTGTACAGCCCTTAGTAACGGTCATTCCGCGCGACTCGAATGGGTTGTGCTGTGGGGCATCTTTCCCAGGTTCCACGCTAAGAGTAGGGCCAAACATCGCCTTTGCCCTGTCAAGTTTACCTCTCATCTTCCCTTCATCATTCCCCCATCAACACCTCCCCTTCAGATACCGGTTCCCCATCAGCGTCCTGGGTTACTTCTGTACATCTTTCTCGCGTCATTGTTTATATCTTGTCTATCTTACGTGTTGTATCATCTTTTCAACCACCCTTTTTTGTTTATAACGGGCACCTACACGCCGTGAAACTCTCGTGTATCGGGTCCTGAGGCACCTGTCAACAACACCAGCAGAGTCTTATATGCGACACTTTTGATATCCCCACCTCTCAGATTCCTCCCGGATTCCTCGCCCTTCGACTTCAGGAACCTTGCATTACCGCTAGTTACCTGGGTTTGGGCGAATAACACGCGTGGTACGTGAACTCTGCACCCGTCGTGGTTCTCTGGCATTTGAGCTCCACTGAGGAAGCTATGGGAATGCTGACTAGACAAGCTGTCCAGGGCAACAGTGTTTGACTTTAATCAACCTTGTTCCTTCCTCCCATCCTTTCAAAACCATCCCTTTAGGCCTCTCTTTCTCTTCCCATCATCATGCCCCCGGTGAGTCTCGCCCTTCTTTAACGCGTTTCTTGGTGACTCCACTCCCCTTTCGTCAATCTCACTTCTACTCCTCTACCCTGTGGTCACTATATCGGTCCTCTGTCGTGGAATTCGTGCTCTAATCTGCTTCTCAGCAGGCTCGAAGCCTCCGCTCCCGAGGCACCATGAACGAGAATGATGAGAACGGGCCCTCGACGCGTCTCACCAGGGCCAAATCGGCAGCCCTGTCCACCGGGGATGCTCCCGCCGCCAACGCGGCTGCCAAGAAGCCCCTTCAGACCAAGAAAGCCGCCACCACAACGACTACGGCCGGAACCCAGAGGAGGCGTGCCGCTCTGGGCGATGTGAGCAACGTGACCAAGACCGAGAATGTCGAGACCAAGGAGGCCAAGAAGCCCGCTGCCACCAAGGTCGGGTTGACGTCGAAGGCGACGACGCAATCGGGTGGTGTCCAGAAGCTCAGCCGTAACAACACATCCCGCACGACTCTCGGAGCCAAGTCCGCCAACGCGAAGAACGCGGCCCCCGAGTTGAAGCGTCCCGGCAGCGGCGGCAAGGGCAGCTCCCAGATGAAGCGTACCAACAGCCAGAAGTCGATCCAAGAAAAGACCCTGCAGGCCGAGGAACCCCCACGTAAGAAGGTGGAACTCGAGAAGAAGAAGAAGGTCGTCCAAGAAGTCGCAGAGAAGGTGGAACCGGTCGTCCAGCCCCAGCAATTGCAGAAACCGACCGAGGATGCCGTGGACGATCTGGATACCGAGGACCTGGATGACCCCTTGATGGCAGCCGAATACGTGGTGGAGATCTTCGATTACTTGAGGGATCTCGAGATGGAGACGCTACCCAACCCTCAATACATTGAGCATCAACCGGACCTGGAATGGAAGATGCGTGGTATCCTCGTCGACTGGCTCATCGAGGTCCACACCCGCTTCCGCCTCCTGCCCGAAACGCTCTTCCTTGCCGTGAACCTAATCGACCGTTTCCTTTCCGCCGAAGTTGTGGCTCTGGATCGCCTGCAGCTGGTGGGCGTTGCCGCCATGTTCATCGCGTCCAAGTACGAGGAAGTCCTCTCTCCCCACGTGGCCAACTTCAGCCACGTGGCGGATGAGACCTTCTCCGACAAGGAGATCCTCGACGCCGAGCGCCACATCCTGGCTACGCTGGAGTACAACATGAGCTTCCCCAACCCCATGAACTTCCTGCGCCGTATCTCCAAGGCCGACAACTACGACATCCACACCCGCACTCTGGGAAAGTACCTCATGGAAATCAGCCTTCTCGATCACCGTTTCATGAACTTCCCTCAGAGCCACGTGGCGGCGTCTGCCATGTACCTGGCACGTCTGATCCTCGACCGGGGCCCTTGGGTAAGCATTTCCCTTCGTATGAGCAATCCGATCAGCTCGCTAACGTGGCCAAATCTAGGATGCGACCTTGGCGCACTACGCTGGGTACACGGAGGAGGAGATCGACCCAGTCTTCCGACTGATGATTGATTATCTCCACCGTCCTGTCTGCCACGAAGCCTTCTTCAAGAAATATGCCAGCAAGAAGTTCCTCAAGGGTGAGTCTTGGAATTCCTACCTGTCCTGTCGCCGTCAGTAATCTAACCTGTCTTTAGCATCTATCCTTACCCGACAGTGGGCGAAGAAGTATCACCACGTTTACATCGACAGCTCTCTGTCCGAACCTTACACATACATCAAAGATGCCGAGTAAAGTGAATGCGATATCCGCAGTCACCTAATAACCGGCATCACTGAACGAATGGTTGTGGAAGGAGTTTGTTGAATCTTTATATGTTGGCATTTCTTCGTTTGTGATGGTAAAGGCACACACCTCTTGCATATGTTTACGACGGCATTTCTCTGTTTCAATTGCGAATGTTGGCATTGTTCACTGCTTCCCGGGGTTTCTGGCGCTCATGCTTTTTTTTTTTTTTCCTCTCCCCTTTTTAACTTCCCCATGGAACCTCTCACGTCACTTCAGTTTCCTGGGCAGTGTCTCTAGGGTGCTTCGCTCCTAGCTTGATACCTTTTCTATTCTCTTCTTGTCCGTGTATTTCCAGGCGTCGGATACTTCGGGGTCGGAATGTACTTGCAGTTGTCCGTTTTTGGTTTTCAATTCGTCTTGTCGGCGTTTTCCCGAGCGTCGGTTCTCTTTACATATTGCTATTCAATGCGTTCTATACAGCTTGATGTTCGATTTTCACTGCATTATGGCCTAGTTGAGGTAGATCTTCATGGCCTTTGTGATGACCCAAGTACTTGAGGAAGGGGGTGATGATTTGTTGGACTCGTCTTTTATAAGCATGGCGAGATTAGAGGAACGTTGGAGGTAATGAGTGTGAGGGAATAATAATGCACATCGGAATGGTTATTTAAATCAGCAAAACTCTGAGCTGTTTGACTGAAGCAAGTCCAATGTGTAGCTGTTCTCCCCGCGTGGATCATCAGTCTAACGGGTGGAACCGAGGTTCCTTTGACCTGTAGATTCCCGACCATCCATCATCCTCCACCTTTCTTCATTCCTCCCTCACAACACTCAGGCCCAAAATTCATTCACTATCAAAAATGATGTACACCTCATCCTGTCCCTTCTGCGACATAGCAAGCACATACCCGCCCGTCGCCCCCTCAACCTTCACCGTCCCGTCAGAGACAACACCAACACCAACACCCAATAGTAATGATAATCATCATCAACACGCAGCAAGCCAACCACCCCCAACGACAATCTCCGACGGATCCAGAGAAGCTCATCTTATCCTGTCTACGAAACATGTCCTTGCTTTTTTGGATATCATGCCGTTGACGAGAGGCCATGTGTTGGTTGTGCCAAGGCGGCATTATGAGAAGCTGTCCGAGGTGGGGGTCGCTATGGGTAGGGAGGTATGTTTATGTTTTTCTTTCTTTCTTGATTCCTTTCTTTTTGTTTTCGAGATTAGTACTTCCTGGTAGAGAAGATGGTGTTGGTTTTGTAGTGGTCTTAGTATTGGTATTGGACTATGGGATATATATATGGGGTGTTCCGAGTCCAAGATACTTATATATATATAATATATCTTGGCGTGATAGTATTGGAACACAATAATTCTACTACGCGACCTATGGACAGCATCCTCAATCCAATCACTGATTGATATATACAGATCGGCCAATGGCTCCCCATCCTCTCCCGAACCGTCTTAAAAACCCTCTTCGGCGAAGACCCAGACAACACCCAATGGCACTGGAATGTCGTGCAGAATAATGGTACGTCCTTCACTCATTAACCATCAATCTTCCATCTACATCACCCTTTGGAAATGAATTTGAGAGCAAACAAATGAGCATATGAATAGAAACTAAAAGCACCAGGAGTCCGCGCCGCCCAACAAGTCCCCCATGTGCACTTCCACATCATCCCGCGTCCTCCATCAGACCCCACGCCCAACGCGGCCAAAGTCAGCTGGGTGATGTTTGGGCGTGGGCAGAGGGACGAGCTGGATGATGAGGAAGGGGAGGGGTTGGCGAGGTTGTTGCGGGAGGAGCTGGCGAGGGAGGTTCGGCGAGTGAGGGATGTTGAGGGGGTGGATTTGGATTTGGATTTGGATCATGGCTCGTCCGTGGAGGGGAGGGGGAAGGGGAAGCTTTAGGTTTGTGTTTACCTAGGTTTTTATGAATTTTTGTTGAGTTGGTTTCTGGCTGGCTTGTTCTCTTGATGATACCTGTATATACCTGTGGGTCTGTTAAACTACTACTGTGTGTTATCTTGGATTATAGTGTATATATAAAGATGCGACATTCATCTTCATTGCTCTGCTAAATAGTATCCTACCGCGAGGCAGGGCTTCCCTTTTCACTGCCAGTCTTGTTCTCCTTTTTCTTTTCGAAGTACTGTAGACACATTAGCGTTGAGTTTTGGAATCGATATCTGTAAAGTCAACACACCTTCTTCCGGAACGCATTCAACTCATTCGCGGTATATCCCTTCTCGCCATCCTTCAGCTGTCTAGAAGACGACACATCCGAGACTTCGCCCTCGGGGAGTCTCTGATAAGTGATAAGTCGGCGGGCCCCTGCGCCCTGTCAGTATTGCCAGCCTTCCACAAAGAGAGAGACCACTGGGTGTGACATACATAAGTTAAACTCCTGCACAGACACGCTAATCAACTTGAGATTCGGGTGCAGCGGCGTGGCGAGCTCCTCGTCCTCGTCGCTGGCGGTGGGCATCCACATGCATAGTCGGCCGTTCGTAACGAGCGTCCGCGAGGCAAAGTCTAGAATGTCGTTCTGCAGGGCTTCGAAGCCGTAGGGCTTTTTAGGGGCGATATAATCCGGTCGACTGGAAGGGTGAGATTAGTTGGTAGTTCGGTGTAAAAATGTAGGAGGAAAGAAGGGAGGAAGAAGAAAGACACACTAATGAGCCGGAACCCCATCGATGATAATTTCCTCCTTAGCAGCGTTCCTCCCACGGCGCGATTCCCGCGTTCCCAGCACCTGGAGCCCTTCGCGGATGCCATAAGGCGGATCGCAAACGATGCCATCCAGGAACTGATATTCCCGCAGCGGGGTATTCGTGAGATCAGACGTAAAGACATCCCCGAACTTGCTCTCCGTGCCGTACTGCTGAAAGTTCCTAAACACACCAGGCGGATCGCCCTTCTTCTGCTTCCCGCGAAAGCTGCGCCCATCGATATCCGAGCCCAGCGTCACGGCGCCGAAATGCGCCGCGGAGACGATGAACCCGCCTGTCCCGACAAACGGGTCATAGAAGAGCTTCCCAGGCGCCGCGTGCGCCATGTTCGCCGTGATGAGACTCAGCTCGGCGTCCATGGACGTCGTGCTGATATAGCGGCGCTTCTTGAGATCATACTGGTTAGTCGCCTCGCGGCTGCTGTTGCCGATCCAGCGAGCGAAGTAGATCTTCTTGGGATCGCCCCGCTTCTCGCCCTTCGACTCGGACATGAGCGAGTCGGGCGAAAAGTCCGGCGTGTACTGTTCCATGATCCAGAAATCCTGGTCTGGGTTCTTCATCCGGATGGGCCCCTCGAAACCCATGTAGTTGAACGTGCCGATGATCTCCCGCTTCTCGGTCAAGCTGCGGTGGCCGCCGTAGCCGTCCACCGTGAACCGGAATGAATCATGCTTGAACTGCGCCCAGCGGTGCTGTGTCCGCCCGCGGACGTTGGCGTGCAGCTCCTCGTACGTGCTGCCTTGGGTCCAGAGCTCGAAGATCTCTTTGCCGAGGATGCTACGGGCGATCACTGCGCGCGCGGCATCTTCATTTGGCAATTTCACGATGCAGTATGGGGACTAGGAGATAGTTAGATGTTTTTTCCAACAATTGCGCACGGCGACGCGGGGACGAATCGCGGGGAAGATGCGTCGGTGGTTTAACCATCGGCGCATCCGCCTGAAACCGGAGACATTGCACATACACATGGATCGTAGTGTACGATTTCCAGATCAGTGCCTACCAACGAGGCCAACGACTGCAGCTCTGGCAGTCGGAAGGTCTCGTGGAGCTGGGCGAAGCGAATTAGATATTCCATCGCCACGGAGCCGGATGCGCCTGTTCCGATATTTGACTTTTCCCTCTGGTTTCTCTATCCCTGAGAGAGAATCTGCGAAACTGGTCTTGAATATTTTAATAGAATACAAGAAAATTCGTTTCTTTATATCGTGGCTAGAAAGGAGGTCGTTGGAGAAGGCTGTTGGAGGGACCGAATTTCTCTCACTTTTTTTTTCTTTCTTTCCTTATTGGGTCCGGCTAGATTTGATCCCACTCGGAACCCAAGACGTCAAAGACAAATGATAGAACTATCAGAGTGCAACACATCGAAGAATGCTCAATTTATTTAACGACATACATAGAGGGTAATAAGAGTCACAACTCAAGTAGAAAAAAAAAAATGAACATAACTCTATGCAGAAATATTTCCCCGCAAACGTAAAACTCGAGGATATCTAAGGCGATAATTCCATTTGACATCCAAGCAAATGCAAAGCACCCACAGAAACCATAAAGCCAGAAACAAAGAAAAAAAGAAGCAAGAAAAAAAAAACGAAGATCCGTAGAGCGACGCCAATGACCTTGGACCGACAAGTGTCAGAGATAAACCATAACTGACAAAACTCCGCCGCTATGCGCCAACAACCTTGAACAAATGTCGTGACTCATACCCTTCCACATTACTGACTTCGACCTTCTCCCCGGCAGGGATCATCTCGTGCTTGAAATCCCATCCGGCTCGACGACACAGCTCGGACACCACGACGTCGCAATCGCCGAGCAGATCGATATCGAAGCTGGTGTGTGACACGGGCTGGAACAAGAGTCAGAGCTAGAACTAGGCAAGAAGATAGGTTGAAAAAGCAAAGAAAGAAAGAAAGAAAACAGTGTACACCGGGAACTTACAGTGCGAGAGATGTAGATCTGCGGCACGTTGCGCGGCAACACGCCCGGCACTTCCGCCACAGGGGCCACCTTCAGGGAAGTCCCAATGACAATGACCAAATCCACCTGGTCCCGGTCCTGGTGGATGAGACGGCGGCCAAACTCATCGGGGAGATCCTCGCCAAAGAACGTGATATCGGGCTGAACAGGGGTGAGCAAGTGGAAGTCATATTATGTGTGGATGTTCTACACTGACCTTCATCACACCGGGGGTGGGGAGTTCATAGTCTTCGTCGTCGTCAGAACTATCCTCCCCGTCGGCTTTCCGACGCTTTTGCGTTGCGCTGGTACTGCGCTTTCGCTTCATACCCTGTGGCTTCAGAGAATCATCCTCGAGCTTCTTCCGACAAGACGGGCATTCCGGAATGACGCCTTTTCGGATATCACCGAAGATCTCGTCACCCATGACCTTATAATCACACTTGACGCAAGAGGCCGTCGCGAACGACCCGTGGCACTGCACGATGTTTTCAGGTAGGACACCTGCGTTGGCCTCGATGTTGTCGATGTTTTGCGTGTAATTAGTCAAGAGCTTGCCCTTATCCTGCAGAAGGCGAATAAACCCGTGAGTGGGCGAGTACTTCTTCTCCGTAGGCAGGATGTCCTTGGCGATCGAGAAAAAGATGGACGGATCCTCGCGGAAAACGCTAATATCGAAGACCTCCTGCGGGTCGCTGAGGCCCAGATGTTCCAGCTTTGAGTAGAGACCCGTGTCTTTCGATCGAAAATCGGGGATCCCCAGGCTGGTAGAAATCTGATCACGAGTCAGTACTATTTACCAGCCATCCACAAGAATAGTAGTACGTACGCCGGCACCTGTGATCACGATGATCTTCTTCGACTCCTTCAGCAACTTGACGGCGTCCTCTATCGAGTTGTACTGGGGAAGCTTGGGGCGCCTCGAGAACTCCCGCGAGATCGCGATAGCCAAAAGAGGGTGATAGGCGCTGTCTGGGGCACCATCAAGAAAATCCGGAGGCAAAATGCCAAACGCAGTGCACAGTTTCTTCGCGGTAATAGTATCCGCCCCGATAGTCTCTTGTACAAACACTGCTTTGCCGACTTCGTGGAGACGGTTGCGGAATGCGATAGCCTCATCCAAGGAGCAGGCGTCCGGTACTGCATCACAGAAACAAAGTCAATAAAGACTGGATCGTGGCAAGACAAGAAAGGACATCTGGCGCATAGATAGATGTCCCTATCTATACCCAAAGGGAAAGACTCTCACTTACTCCCGCAGCGAAGTTGTTCGTCGTGCAACACCTCAAGCTCTGCCTCCAAGTCCGATCCCGAATCGTCGCTATCGGTTTCATACTCGGACTGCATGGCTTCGTTGCCCACAGCGGCTGTGTTCTCCATGGTCGCAATGGTCTCCTTCGTATCGGCCGGGGCCATATCAACGGCTTCCACCTCAACCACCGGGCTCTTCAACGACGAACTTTCCCCCGTGGGCGCTGGTACCAGATCCATCCTGAAGTGGAAGATAGGACGCGCCAGCAACCGCTAAGACAGCACTTCACTCACATTGGGCAACTTTTTTTTGCCACATCAAAGATCACTGGCCGGGGGGGTCAAATTTGGCTCTGGCGCATCTTCGGGGGAAAGGCGGTCGGTCCGGCGTTAATCCGGCGCCAGATACAAAGGGCCAATGATAAGGATTCGTTTGAAGTATAGTATGTCTTTTCTATTGGTATCATGTATGGAATGTAAAGAGGACTATATGTAACTTTTTTATGAGTCCGCCATCTCATCGTCACTGTCGGACTTGATCTCATCTTCCCAATCTTCTTCGCCCTCTTCGCCTTCTTCGTCGTCCTCCATTTCCTCGCCCAGTTCTTTGTTCATCTCCTGCACCAGCTCATTGGCGTGCTCTTTGATCGGCTCGTCCTCGTACTGGACCAAATCGTAGAGGGTCAAGCTTTGTTTGAGCCATTCTCGACTGGCAACAAGGGAAGCGAGTCTCTTTTCCTCGGGGGACACATTGGTTTCCGCCTCCTCTTCAGCGTCCTTGGGAGCTTCTTTCTTCTCGGCCAGAAGGTTAAGACACCATCCTCCGAGGTACCACGCCTCCACACTCTGGTCATCTTCCAAGATCAGACGCTCCAGCACGCCCAGAGCCTCGAGTTCCATGGAAACCTCCATCAACAGACGAGCGAGACTGATCCGGGTCGCAAAGTCAGGAATGATCGGATCCTCGGGCGGCATGTCCTTCCATAGTTCGAGACTCCGCGAGAGGGCGGCACGAGCGTCATCGAGCCGTAGCTGTGAGATTCGGATGGAGGCAAGGGTCTGCAGCACCTCGGGCACATGGGGTCCAACGAGTAGCGCTTCCGTGATCAGGGCCTCGCAGCGGCTTTCGGCATCTGCCTCCCAGCTGGTCATAGTTAGTGACCGTCTCAATGATGGTGTCTCCAGAGGTAGGGCGCGACTCACGAAAGGTCAGTCATGTAGATCTCGGCCACTCCGCACAAGGCGTTGGCCATCTTCCGCTTCTTCTCGTCCAATTCAATAGCTTCCGCCGGGCCAGGGTTCTCCTCCAGCTGTCGAATGGTGTTCCTCAGAGTAGCCACTCCCTTCTCGAACCATTGAACACTAGCCTGTCCACCCTCCTCGTTCAACTGAGCCAGCCATAGGAATTTCTCAGCGCCTCCTCCTTCAGACTCAGGTATGCTGCCATCCGCGTCGAGTTCGACGGCGCGAAGGAAATGCTGCGTCGCGGCATCAACCTCCCCAAGTTCCACGTAAATCTCTGCGACCAGATTCAGGGCCGACAGCTGGAGGGGCGAATTGGCGGGCGCATCGTTGAGAGCCCGCTCTGCCAGCGGCGCTGCCGTATCCGCTTGTCCGGTCTGTAGGAGTAACGTCGCTTGCTCCAGGAGCTTGGAAGGATCTTCGTTCATTTTCTGTTTCGAAACCGAGCCGCCTGCGCCGAGGACGGACTTTTTCGACTTGGATTCCTTCTTTTGCTGAGGCTTGGATTTGCCCATGGTAGGATAGTCGTTTCAATTATACCCAATGTGGTGCCTAAGGGCAAAAAAAAATCAAGTGAGGAGAAAACCACTGTAAATAATCCAAGTATATAAACACTTTGAGTTTTTTTTCTTTTGCTTCTCTCGTCTTTTTCTATTGAAAATGAGAGCGAAAACGGCGGAGCTGTAGAAACCCCATTTTCGATGAAATAATTTTGGGCCGTTCCTTATCTGTTTGTCTTGTTTGCAGGTGGGACTGCAATCTTGTATTGCGGCATCCATGACCATTTGATGTGCGGTCGCTGTTTGTATATCCACGTCGAAGGGTGTCTCTTGTCGCCTTTATTTCTGAGCGCAATTAATGTGTGAGCTACTGGAAAGCTGACTCTTTGTGACGCCTTTGATTCATTTATTTTGCGACCTTCAGCGTTCCAACCCCTCAACCACAAGTACCCCTCCAATACACTCGGCGGCAGAATCGAATCAAGATGGGTCGTGAAGACCAGATCGAAGAGCGCGAGGTGCTCGATTCTATCTTCCCCGAAGAAATTACAGGTGTGCATTACTTATATTGAAACGCCCGCAAAGCGAAGCAGTTGATGCTAATACTCGAACACCCTCAGATCTATCCGATGTCTCGTACCGCATATCCATCGACCTAGACACCCCAGAAAACGAGATCGAAGAGACCGAACCAGCCACCCTGATCTTGCAGGTCACCTACCCAGCAGACTACCCGGATGTGGCTCCCGAGCTCGAAATCTCCGCGCCCCCCAACGCGCCCAGACACCCCCGACTAGACGTTCAGGAAGACCGGGGTCTATTACTGGAGGCTCTGCAGGAGACCGTCGAGGAGAACCTGGGCATGGCGATGGTCTTCACGCTTGTCAGTGCGCTTAAAGAGTTAGCTGAGCAGCTTATGGCTGAGCGTGTCAACGCCGTACACGCCCTGAAGGAGGTGGAAGCCGCCAAGGCTGAGGAGGAGGAAAACCGCAAATTCCAGGGTACCGCTGTTACGCCAGAGAGCTTTTTGGAGTGGCGGGACAAGTTTATGAAGGAGATTGAGGAGAAGGAGAAGAAGGAGCGCGAGGAGGAGGAGGCTAGCGATAAGAAGTTTACTAAGAAGGCACCTGCTAAAGACGAAAAGAAGCTCACGGGGAGGCAATTATGGGAGCGCGGTTTGGCCGGAAAGGCCGACTTTGATGAGGACTATGAAGATGCTATGCCTCCGGTGGAAAAGATGAAAATAGCTGCATAGCGTTTTATTTGCTTAGAATTGTCATGATGTGTCTAGTGTCATTCTTATCCAACGCTTTGGGCTCTTCCTGTAAATACACATGAAATGAACACGATGGCGGGAAGTCCACTCTTGGCATTATTTCGCAATGCGTATGGTTGTCTGGGTTGTCCCAATGGCCAAGGCCGGAATATGAGGTCCTGCGTCAAGGCAAGTGCTGATACGAAGCGCCGCCTGATAATTCACGCTCCAAACCGGATGCGCCCAATGTCCCAAACATGCCGTGTCAACATCCAATGACGAATCTTTGGGCGTCCGTAGAATCTCGCGTCCTCGTGTCCAAAGCCACACTCTTGAGGCGCAGCTTGGACTGATGCAACGGATGTTCAAGGCGTGGCGAGGCCTTGAATATCCCGGGGGAGTATCCACTGCGTTCTATATCATGCTAACTTGTATGGCATATTCCTCCAACAGTACCCAAACTAGTTCGGGTAGAGACCACGCTCGACGGGCGGTTCGTTGATCATCGTGAACGAGAAAAGACGGGAATCATTCTTGTGAAACCGTCACTTTCCCGCCGACTGATGTTTCTGCTCTTCTGCTGCTTTCTCGCGCTCAGCAAGCACAACTTCCCACATGGCTCGTGCGAGCGATTTGGCTCTTGCATCAGTTTCATAAATCTTCTCATTCACGTCCGTCAAAGAAGCCTTTATTTCATGCCCCCATGACGCACGTTCTACGCCCGTGGTCAACGAATCCCAGTGGTCTTCAACCTTGGCCATATCTAGTTCAGCATGCAATCTTTCACGGCGTCTGATTCGTTTCCAGCGATTCTCCAGTCTCGATCGTATAACATCGCTTAAGAATTTCGGCTGTGGCTTTTTGATCCGCAGGAATGGGATACCGCGCGCGTTGACTAGGACCGGAATTCGGCGCTTGCCTTTCACGATAGGTCGAGGTCGGGACAGGATAGAGGTGGCTTGCGGATGCCGAGTGAGAGTCCGTTTTTCATGCTCCTTGGCATCCTTTCGCTTCTGTTCCTTTTTGGATAGCGGCTTCACGGGAACTCTTGCCGATCGGGCGCGTTGTACTTCAACCTGCTTTTGTCTCGCAAATTCGGTTTCTGAGAGGAGGTTTGTGATATGACTGGTCGCCTTATGGTCGCCCTGGGAAGCGGAGTATAGTAGGTCGAGAGCCTAATTGCAGAAGGTGCGGTTTAGCAGGGAGTTTCACGCTGGTAGCATAGAGCGAAAATACACACCTCGTACCCAGCCCTCAAAGCATTGGCCGTTTTCGAGGGACTTTCTAAGGTTTTATATTTGTGGAACCGTTGTCGAATGAGTGGCTTGCACATATGAAATTCGGACGCTGAGCTAGGACTAGGAAGTCGACCGCATTGTCGGAGGAGAGCGCGATAAAGCGCTTGACCTAGAAGCAGGTGTAAACATAGGTTTCCCACGATTGGACCACAGGGAGCAATTCTCACATGCAAAACGATGAACGGACGAAACTCGGGGGATATATACTTTATGTACCATTGTGGAGGATAGAGCCCCATGGGCAATTGCTGGGCTTGACTCCGTCGGGGCCGGAGATCCCCATGATGTGCGGCCGGAGAAATTCCTTGGTGATGTCACGTGCTTGGCCACACAGTGCCGGTCAATTTCCTGCTGTTCATGTTTACTAAAAAGGGCATGAATAAGGATGGAAACACTATGGATCTTAAATGAGCATGCATTGATTTAATAAAGACATGATTGTGTTGTGTATGTTGAGATATCCTGCTCTGGTACGTTGATTGCTAGACCGTTCTTAATGGGACCTTGACCGGAGTATAGCATGTATATATTAACCGCACCGCTGATAGAATTTGATATTTAAATCATGAAAGTGTATCGAAAAAAGGAACGATTTTCGCCTGTAGGCCATTGTTCGAGCATACTTCTGCATAACGGATTCGTAGAGTTGTCCCTGAAAACAGCGAGAGAGAGAATAGGAAAATAAGTCTAGGAACACCATAGATTGAGACTAGACTTCAGGGAAGTCGAACCAATACCCGTCGTTATGCATTGACTGTACACGCTCTAATAATAAGCCAGGTGAGGGTGACATAACTGAACCTGACATGAAACGAACCACGACTCCGATTTTAGCTCTCTGAACATCCCAAGCAATTAAATGTCTAGAAATTCGAACCCTCCGGAGGCTGAGGAAGTTTCTTATGATTCGGGAGCGCCATGTATCTAGATAGCGCAAGCGTTAGCCCAATCGACTTCACCGAATATACGAAATGCCTACCGTCTAATTTCGAGGAGGATGGTCTCCATGTTATAGTCGCGCTTCCACTGAGCCAAGCAAGGCAGCTTGGTAGGGTCAACCTGGAGGCATGTTAACCACGATCCGCCCTAATCTGAGCACTAGCACAATATAGCGGGAGTTATACCTTCCCCGTTCGCGGGTCGACACATGGGAGGTTGACGCGGGAGATAAACTGGATCTCCGGGGGGTGGTCAGGATAATCGGGACCGCAGTGGATATTGACACTGTAGATTCTGTTCTCATGCACGCTCTGTATTCATGCGAGTTAGTGGCCGTCGTGCGTATCGTAGAGGAATCGGGAGACCAACATGAGGGGGGCCGAGGATGGTGCCGTTCCAGTTGCTCATCATCATATCCTCGCCATCGGCAAGACCGTAGGAGCATGCCTCTAACCCGATAAACCATATACATCAAAAATCTGGTATGGCCGGGAAGCAGATGAGTGCAGTATACTTACCGGGTCCTAGGCCCTTCTCGCCCTTCTCCAGCTCCTCCAGGAGCCGGAAGTTTCTGGGCATTTTAGCCGCCATTGTGAAGGTGACGGAAGTGGTCCTCCAGACAGAAAATATCTAAAAGAGTGCAATATGAAGTCAAGTGGAAGTTGTTGGGCAAAGAAACAGTGGAGTAAGTGGTTCCTATGGCCGGAGAGAAAGAGGGGCACGAATGTAGAGTCAGTCAGGTATATCCCACCGGATGTGTTATCGCTTTAGCCAAGGTCCAGCGGGCAGCCCATTACTAGTCCAAGTTAGGCCTAGGCCGTCAGGCATGAAGAACGCAGCACGTGATGATAACGGGCAAGATAGTCATCACGTGGGGCCACTAGTCCGTTGGTGTCTTGGCGGCAGGCGGTCGGTCCCTGGGAATGCCTCTCCCTGGCAGCGAAGTACTACTAACTTGTTTGTTGTATGTTGCTTGAGATCTTCATCATTTTGCGCCTTATTGACTGTTTTTCTAGTACGGTGCACTGGTCTCTTGACGAATATATATGGTGACGACTTTTTCAGTCTGCTACGATTGTATCATATTGATCTACCGGGGAAACAAAGCAATGAAGCATAGTACCCTATGAAGCCACATCAGCTCTATCGGAATCGCCCTAACCTTACTACTATTCGGAGCTTCTAGCGGCATTGGCCATGCTTTGATCCCACGCGCAATTGGAAATGTCCTCCCAATACCTGCAGTCGGAGCTTTTGAACCTCATTCAGGAGTCCAAGAGGAAAAATACCGACTTGCGACATGTATGTTGAAGCTGTCGATCAGGTGTGATGCTGGTGTCCAAGCTTACATCATCTAGGCCGCCGAAGAGTCACTAAATGACCTGAAGGCATTGCCCTCTACGTCTGAAGCCCAGATATCTGCTGGTAAGTTGCGCATGATACTATAGTCTTGTGACTGTTTGGACTAGCGCCCTTATTAATTATGCAAAAGATCTGGTTCGCAAACCTAAATTTGTCGATCCATTTATTCTAGCCTGCCATGGGCGCCATGCGAAAACCGCTGGAATTGGGGTTGTGTGCCTGCAAAGACTGGTGGCGTCTAGATCATTGCCCTCTGAGCGATTGAAGGATGTCCTGGGTGGTCTCAAGGAGACGACGAATCTGAGTAGGTGACTCCCATTAGATGCATAGCTCTCATGCTGAGACCTTCCAGGCCTAGATATCCAACTCAAAATCTTGCAGACGCTGCCATCTCTATTCCAGCACTATTCCAGCGACTTGAGCGGAGAGCTCCTCGGGAGTACGTTGGAAATTTGCGCCACGCTGCAGGCAAGTAAGACCCTTGCGGTCTCCAGTACGGCGGCGGCCACACTACAGCAACTCGTGGTTTCGACTTTTGAGCGGGTTTCCACCGAAGATAGTCAGTCCGGATAACTCTCCCGTTGCGTTGAAATTGGAAACTAACATGTTTCGCGTAGATGGGTCCAAGTCGACAGTTTCCGTCAAGGTCGATGGGAACTCCGTAGACATTGGGGTTTTGGCATATGATGCTCTGCGGGTATGCTCGGTCCTTAGCTCCTATGTGTTTTTGCTAACATATCCTCAGGTTTTGGATGATCTCTGTCGTCTTGTAGATGGAGAGCCCTTGCAGTTTTTACGAATCAAATCACTGTCGCCCACGTTCACTTTGGAACTCATTGAAAGTGTCCTGCTCAACAGTGGCCGCCTGTTTGTCGATCATGCGGAACTCACGCAGGTCTTGCGGACACGACTTGTGCCATTGACTGTGAGGTACCTGTCGGAAAGGCACTCTTTTGCCCAGTCTGTCCGCGTCTCTCGGATTCTTCTCGTGATCCTCAAGCGCCACATGTCCCTTCTTACAGCGGACTGTGAGATGGCTTTGAGTTTAATGACGCATTTGCTAGAACCCGATGGAACATCTCCCTGGAAGCGTGTCCTCTGCATGGAGATATTTCGTGGCTTGTATGCCGAGCCAGGGCTTGTACGGCTGATTTACTCCTTGTATGATGGGGTAGATGGAAGAAAATGTATCCTCAAAGATCACATGGCTGCTCTGGTCCGTCTAGCATCTGAGAAGCCTGCCGTCATAGGTGTAAGCAATCGCTCAACAATGCCGGCGGGGGCAGGACACTCGAGATCCATGACGGAGGACCAGATCACCCTTGAAGCTAGTGGTCTTGCTGGTGTGATTGGGACGACTGTTTCATCTAATGATACTAATGTGCCTGGCATCAGCACTCAGTGGAGTGTGGTTCGCACGGCTTACATAGAACTGCTGGACAAAACTGATCCGCCACCTCCTCCAGAAACTTACATTTACAGCCTTGTGCTGAATTGCATAAGTGCCTTTGCGGAAGGGCTTGCCAAGTTCATACTTCCGTTGACGGTCCCTGACTTGAAACAGAAGAGGAAGAATCGGATCGCAAACTCCGAGCAGAATGGTAGCCCTGCGAGACCTGTGCAAGATCTTCAACGCACGGACTCCTCGAAGAGCATTACTAAATCAAGCCCCAAAAGGTCGACAATACCCCTTAATCCTCTCGAACTGGATTCCCATCCTCAGTTTTCAGCGATTAAGACCTGCGCTGCGATCATTGACAATTGTTGGCCAGCTATCCTTGCCGCATGCTCCACCTTCCTCTATGCATCTCTAGATGACGATTTCTATCACAACCTTGTTCGTTCGTTCCAGAAGTTGGCTCACGTGGCAGGTCTTCTGAGACTGTCTACTCCACGAGATGCGTTCCTGACCACACTGGGAAAATCAGCCATGCCCGTTGACACAAGCGGCATCAAGCTCGCAGGAGGCGCGACGACAGCCAAAGGTGCTTCTCAACATAGCTATCGTGGGGATGAGAAACGGAAAGGACCAGAATCGTCTGTCGGTTCATCAGTGCCTGCAGATACGGCTGGCGCGTCTTCGGATGGCCCTTCGCTGTCCCTGAGCACAAGGAATCTTCTTTGTTTGCGTGCTTTGCTTAATCTGGGTATTGCTTTAGGTTCGACTCTGGATCAGCCGGCCTGGTCTATAGTTTTAGGCACTCTGCAAGATACAGATTTATTAGTTGGGACGTCCTCGGTAAAGCCAAGTGCCGCCGGTGAAGCTATATCCGGTGCTGAGGCGACCAAGGCCAATATTGGCGCCGAGGTTTCTGCGGTGCAGGGAGCTTCAAACAAGATGTTCGAAAGCACGGGTGATTATCCGAGCGATTCGTTCGAAGAGATCTTGTCTGCGCTCCTGAACCTTTCAGGCGGTTCTGAAGAGACCAGTCCAAAAAAGTCTTCCGACAAATCACCAAGCGGTGTGGGCTCGGCGAAACGCAGCGGCATCCGTCGTGACACTCGTCGCGTGTCACTTGCTATAGGCAAATCAAGGATGCAGGACGAAGAACTAAAATTTGTTTTAGAAAAAGCCAACGAATTAGCGAAGGCAAATCTGGAGCGTCTCTCTTCTCTTGTAGAGGATGAAAGCAGAGCCTGGAGCCTCTTGACTGACAAATTAATGTCAAGCGCGGCAGATGAGACTATTAGCCAGCCTCTTCGCTTACGGGCCAACGAAGCACTCAACAGCCTTGTTTTCGAGACTATGAAACAAAGGGAGGATGATGATGAAAGCACACAAAACGCACGCCAAATGAGGAATCTTCAAGCATTGAGCATGCAAATCAAGCTGCTCTACGACAGGAGCCCCTGTGTTCCGGGATCGCCTTCTTCCTCCATTGCGGAGGTTCACCAACAAGTCCTGGAAGTGTTGAAAGCAATCCTGGAGCAATATGCAGACGCATTCTCTGAGGGATGGACAGTGGTGTTTGAGATCATCTCCACTGTATTCGGCACTACTCTGCCCGCAGGCAGCGAGGCACCTCCTTGCCGGAAGGCCAGTAAGACCACATTGCTGGCAGATTCGCCTCGACTTATTCGAGTTTCATACAAGTCTCTGCAACTGATAGGATCCGACTTCATCTCTCTGCTCCCATCACCTTGTCGGCTGGACCTTGTGGATTCGTTCTCAAAGTTCGCGCTGCAGCAACAGGATTTCAACATTTCGTTGACGACAACGTCCTCATTCTGGAACGTTTCTGATTTTCTTCAAGGCCAGATTGAGGAATTTTCCATCGAGTCTCAGGTGGATGCCTCGGTGACTGAGGAGAAGCTCGCGAAATTGGCCAAGAATGAAGAATCCTCTGTTTCTCGGAATGCTTTGTGGCTTCTCCTCTTGCTGCGAATCGTCGATCTCACCACAGATCGCCGGTCAGAGATCAGGAATTGCGCAGTCCACACACTCTTGAGGATCTTTGATGCTTATGGTCAGCAATTGTCCCCCAAGGCGTGGCGGCTGTGCCTCAATCGAGTCCTGTTCCGCATGGTGGAGGAAGTCGAGACTGAACTCATCGAAATAAACGACAAGGGAGTTGACCGAAGCTCCGAGGGCCTTAGTTCCTGGGTTGACACTACGGTCGTCATGATAAAAGGAGCGTCTGACTTGATCACCACTTTCTTTGATCCTATCATCAAGGATGAGGAGTTCGACAAGTCTTGGAAACGACTATTTGAGTACTTCCGAAAGTTCATTTCCCTGCACATCCTGGAAATCAGCGAAGCCGTATTCACCAGCGTCTCCAAAATGCTTGTTCGAGTAGATGGACCGAATGGATTGAGCAAACAAGCCGTGCAGGTTACATGGTCGCTCTGGATGGATGGCCATCCTGCTGATAGGGAGGATTTGTTGGACCTGGAGAAGCCGAACCAGGATGCCGCATTAGCATATCTTGAAGCTTTCCAGCAAGTATACCGCCTTTACAAGAACGATTTGTCGGGAGCGGACATTGGGAAAATACTCGGGCATATGCGTTTCCTCGCGTGGAATTCTATTCTACCGCGGTATTCGCCCGACATCGACCGGCCCTCCGACTTACAGTCCCTGATCATCAAATGCACCAAAACGCTTTGCACTGATAAGGCCGAGTCCCAAGCAGATATTCTCCACTGTCTCGCGGAATTTGCTGATTCCGCACTTTCGAAGTGGACGCCTGGAAGCGATTCCCGCAAACCGACATTTGTCGCTTTCTCTAAGAGTGCTATCGAGCTCCTCAGGTGGTACATCGCCGATTTTGGAATCAAGCAGGACATATTCAGCAACGGCTCCCTAGTGACAGCTCTCGAGCACCTCGCCAACCCGATCTCTCAGAAGTACGAGTGGCCCGGCAAAGACCGTGAGCCATCCCTCTGGCAAAAGTCCACGGTCGCATCTCTAGACGTCCTCCAAGTGGCCATCCCCTACGTGGAGCAACAATACGAGAAGTCGCAACAATCAGTAGTCGAGCGCTTCTGGGACTGCGTCGTCCACATCGCCGACGGCATCGTTTCCGCCAGGGGATACCGCACAGTCGCCATCCCAAGACCCAACATCCTCAACGACGAATCAACAGACATATCCGCCTTCTCGCGTCTCCAAACCCTCATCATCCCCTCTCTCGGAGCGCACACCATCCCAGACTCCACCCGCCGAGACTTCGCCTGCGCCCTCCTCCGCCCCTCCTTCATCTACGCCCCGCAACGCTCCGACCTCCCGCCCAAACTAATAAACGACCCCCTCACCAACCTCTACGACATCCGCCCCGGCCGAACATTCGATCCGGCGCCCACCTCCCGCACCAGAATGGCCTACACCCTCATCGACTCCCTGTTCGAACTCTCCGCTGCGCCAGGCCAAGACCAGCAGCGCGTCCTGCTCGCCCGCGACATCTCCCCCTACCTCATCCTCCGCTGCGCCGTGGCTCTCAAGTCATACATCGCTGATCAACCCCTGCGCGGCCTGATGCCCCAGCCGACGCCCGCGCGCAAGGCTCTCCTGCATCTTCTCCGGGGAATGGTTAACTTGCGCAGTAGGCCCTCGACTATCCCTCCGCTTCCGGCAGTCAAAGGCAAGAGGAGTGCTAGCGTTCCTGTCGATGACGAAGATGACGAAGGCTCCAACAGCAACAAGCATCTAGAGTGGATATACCCGCTCGTGGTGCAGGCGGTGCAGGTAGCAGGGAAGGAGAAGGACGATGGGGAGGTTCTTCATGCTTTGGGGAAGGTGTTGCAGGAGATAGGGCGGTAGGGAGTGGGATCTAGGTATATGGATTGGATTGGAATGGGTTGATCTAGTTGTGATTGATTGATTGGTTGGTTGATTGCTTGCTTGTTTCAAAGATTGTGGGCGAGGTCCATGTGAAGACTGTGTGTATATTCTATGGCGAACGCATTTTCATTCTCTTTTCTTTCCGTTTCTTTTCCAGTGTCTTTGATAAATATAGAATACAGGTCACTCCATGGAGTTTGCTACGAATAATTTCCTTGTGGAGAGAGCTCTTATTTTCTTTCCTTCATTTCTTTTTTTTTTTTTTGCTTCGCCTGTTTATAGCGACATGTAGGACGGAGGTCTAGATTGTAGGTAGACCGGAAGAGAGAGAGAGAGGACATCACATGATAGATTACCCGGTCGAGAACAAAGAGATAATGATGATGATAGACGCTTGCTTATCAGACATACAGAGGACAAAGGACAGCGGTAGGCGGGAGGGTATAAATGTGGCTCGAAGACATGGGAATGAGCGGCCGGCTGATCGGACCAGCTCGACGGCCGCCGCCGAATTGGATGCAGGCAGGTAGACATACACACAGGTAGATGGGTTTATAAGGTATTAGATAAACCACATCGCGTAGAAAGTCAGTCAGCTAGCTAGCTGGTCAGGCGAGGACTACGCCGCCGGAGCGGTCACATGCTGAGGTTGAGGCTGTTGTTGTTGTTGTTGTTGTTGTTGTTGTTGTTGGCTGGGAGTGTGACGTGCCTCGCGTCCGGGTCCGGTGGTGGCTGAACCGGGGGGCAACTGCTGCTGGTATTGATTCTGAATCTGCTCTTGTTGGATCAGTTGCTGTTGGGCTATCTGCGGCGTGGAGGCGATCTCGGGGGCCTGGCGGTAGAGGGCAATTTCGGATTGTTTGAAGTAACGGCGGGCGTCTAGAGTTGGAGATTAGTCACGACTATCGCAATAGCAAAACCGACGAGCGAAATGTAGGAAGAAAGCCGGGGAAGAAAGAGGAGTGGGGCGGATTTAGCGTGGGGGGGGGGGGGGGGGGGGGGGGGGGGGGGGGGGAAAGACAGCCGGTCGGCTATTGATACAATTGATACAGCGAGTGGGATGAGTGGGATGAGTGGGATGCTTTCGGGTATCGAATTTCCCTCTCCTTCTCGAGGCTTCCTCAGGCACCAATGCAGACAGAACAACCCTCCGGTGGACAGATGCAAACGTACCTTCGTCAATGAGGACCAAGCTCAGATAGTAACGAGTCGAATATTTCTTGTTCACGTCGCGGAAGGTGGGCGTCAAGTCGAACCCGCCGAGGAACAGACGGATAGGGATCGTTTCACCTGTGAGCTGTCAGTACGAGGACGGGATTCCACTGGTGAAGTCGATTCGCATGTCGCAACTGGTATCGCAACGATCCAAACAACCGCGACGGCGAACACGATGCAACGTACCTCGTGAAGGCGAACCATCCATGATCTATCAACCACCCCAGTTAGCCAAACCCCGACGAAAAACGAGGGGTGAAACTCACCTCAAACCGCACCAACGTTTCGCTCTCATTATACTGGTTGGGAGGCGAACCGGTCGTCTCGCGTCGGATGATGGACAGCTCCATGTGCTTGATCTTCAAGCGCACAAGAAGGAAATAGATCCGCCCCACGATGACATCTTTGAGGTGGTACTTCGACTTGGAGTATTCAAACTCGATATGAAGGCAGTCCTCAATACCCACATCCATCTTGATGGGACTGTTGGTCTCTGGGGGCATGCGGTAGGAGTAGACCCACAGGTCCTTCTCCCGGACTACGTCGGCCATGCGCCGGGAGACCGTGACGCGGACGAAATACCGTAACTTGACGTTGATGCCATTGTAGGACTCGTACTGCTTCTCGATGTTCTTGAAGTTGAAGGGGAAGGTCTGGGGGTGTTGTAATTCTCCGGGGGCGGCGAGTTCCTGCACCAGGGAGAGGAATTCGTAATGGTTGCCACGGTCGTAGAACATTTCTGGCGAAGATAAAAGTTAGCGCCCATGCAACATCAATTACAACATGAGCACACCACCACTCCGTCACGGACAGAGAGAGACAAAAGAATGTCCCGGGCGAGATGCGGGGTGAATGCGATTGGATGGGCATACCGATCGTTCCAATGAACTGCACCTTGATGCCGGTGTGCTCCAATCGTTTTCCATCCTTGGGTCGGACCGTCACGGCACCCTTGACCGACTCGCCATCCATGTACAGCGGGACCCGTTCGCGACGGCCCTTGTCGAGCTTGACGTCGACCGACTGGCGGTCATCGCCGTCGTCGAGAACGACGTCGATGTCAACGGGGGTGGAGAAGAAGAGAGACGTCATGGCGGGGAGGGAAGGGAAGGAAGCGGAGAAGGGATGACAGAGACGGGGCTAATGGCAATTGGAGATCGTGGAGTCGTTCGATAGGAATAGGAACCGACCGAGTGTGATCGTGAGAGTGGGTGTTTCGATCTCACTCCTGTGTCTTGTCTCCAGTCCCGCCGGAGTCTAGATGGCCAGCGTCATTCCGTCCCATTGCGGCAGGCGGTGTGTTCTGCCCTATGTCACGTTTCCCCCTCTCTATCTTACTACACTCTTTCCTAGAGTACGGTGGATCAATTGCAGATCTATCGGTCGATATAGAAGTACTGACTCGATGGACATGTTCAAACTTCACGATTGACGAGACACTAATGTGTCCGTCCTACAGAATAGTACACTCTACAAACATAGGTAGTTGACGGACGCTTCCGCAATAAGACGGCTCAGACCGATACGGATGGATCCACTATGCAGATGACCATTGACGAAGACATCTCTATCTCTTACACCCCTGCTCAAATTGACAGATGACGGCGGTTTCCTCTACGAGTGGACAAGGATGAGGGGGGAACCGACACTTGAGCTGAATGACACGAGCGACTGACGTGAGCTGAACTGGACTGGACTGGACTGGGCATGGACTGAGACGTCCGTTAGTTGAATTCAATTTTCCCGTCCATAACGGACACGACTAGGGGCATGAGGGGCATGGGGTTCCACTTTGATTGGTAAAGAAGGTTCAAAACCCGACCCGACCTGGAAACACGTTTCCGGGGCTGATGGGTAAAGTCCAATCCGACTAGGACAGTGTCACCGTTCGTCGGCAAATCTCAGCCTGTCCTTCCCCCGGGCTGAGCCATCGATACCCGTGTGTCTGGCCGCAATGCCCGGAGAGGTGTTGCAGCCGGATTGGGAGCAGCGCTGACTGGGGATGTTTTTCGTGGCAGAGTTAGCAGTCGGGTAAGTGCAGACGGATACATGCAGGATTGCTTTTGATTTATTTATTTGATTCTATTGATTTTCTGATCGGTGCTTCTGATTGATACATACTATTGTCTTCTCTGATTCCTTTGTTTTGTTGGAATTAGACCTGTTCCATGTTGATCAAAAGTACGGTGACAGGTCAATGATAATCCATCCACAGATGAAATTTGGGCAATCCAAGAGACAAGGTGGGACAGCTGGTTCCTGAACCAGTGGGATCGTCTGGGCCGGTGATTTTATGGAAAAGACACTCCTTTTTGTCTCCTTTTCTCTCGCCCTTGAGTTGAGGGAAAGAATCCATGAAACAGAGACTACTTCACAAAGGGGGATAGCGTGGGGGTAGATTTCCCAATACACGGTCAATACGGTCGGATTACGCATCCATCAGGCTGGATGATCAATCGCTTGATGATTCTTTGTTATTGATTGATTCTTTCTTCCCCGGCGCAAGGGAACGGGTGACATCATCCCTTCCAGACGGGGCTCTCCCGGCTCCCCCTGCACCATACACCACAAAGAAAGACAAAGACAAGGTGCTCGCTGGACCGGGGAATGCGATCCGTCTTGTCAAAGTTCAACCCTTTGGGCAGGCATGGTTCTTCCAACGTGGTACAGACATTGTTGGGAACGGCGGGGGGAGAAAATGAAGGATGCCTTTCAGAGCAAACAGCATCCACTCGATCGGATCTCCCGCTAACAACCAGACCGCCGGACTCTTTCTTGTCTCTTTACTTTTCCTGCTGATGGTTTGTCCCCACTCGGCCCCGGGTATCGAAATGATGTATCCCTTTCTCCTCCTGCCCCTTAATCCTGAACCGCAAGGGTTGATTGATTGATCAGGATGGTCAAAACGGAACAGCTGGAAGACAATCGACAGGATGAATCACTCAACACTAAACGTTGACTGAAAAGGACCGCCTGATGTCCTAACGGTACCCTGCATGGTCATGGTCCTGGTCACGGTCATCAACATCAATATCATTCTTGTGATATAATCCAATATCAGATAAAGAAATATAAAACCCTTTCTTTCCCCCCCCCCCCCCCCCCCTCGGACGTGTCCATGACCCACCGACCCAACTTCCATACTTCCATACTTCCATACTTCTTCTTCTCCCTTCCATCCTGCCAGCTATAACAACCCCACTTCTTTTCCTGTATAAACCCGCCATCGCACCCCATCGTGTCCAACCACGGCTGAATTGTATACCACTGGACCACCGATTGGTCGAACCATACAATTGTCTTTCCTTCCCCTTTCCCAAACAACGAATCACTCCGTCCCCTCCGCAAGCGTCATAGACTTCTTTCCTCCCTTCCATCCTTCTGGCGCTTTTCCTTTCTAGGAATCTTCCCAAACTTGAATCTACTACGGTCGTCTCCCGAAGACCTCAACATCTATTGCTCGATTATCACCTCACTGTTCGATCCACCATGTTGTCCGCCGGGGAACGCATCCAGCCGCCTCGCAATAATGCCGCGGCAGTCACAGGCGCCTTGAATCAGTCGTCTGCCTCCATGCTCGGATTGGCCGCGCACAGGGCTCCCACACAGCACATCTGGGTCGTCACCGGCCCAGCCGGCTGTGGGAAGAGCACCGTCGGAAAGGGGATCCATCAGGATCTAGGGATACCGTTCTTAGAGGGTGACGACGTGAGTATCTACCCTTCTACACACCCTCCAACAAATCAATCCCTCCAACACATTCCCACCTCACAAGAAAGCAAAAACTAACCAAACAAGTTCCACACCAAATCCAACAAAGAAAAAATGAGCTCCGGCACGCCCCTCACAGACGCAGACAGATGGGACTGGCTCATCTCGCTCCGCCAAGCAGCCATCGACGCGCTCTCGCCCTCCGAATCCAACAACTTCCACCCGCCCGCCGGCGTCGTCGTCGCCTGCTCCGCCCTCAAGCGCAAGTACCGCGACGTCATGCGCGTCGCCGCCTACGGCGCCCCCAACGTCCAGATCCACTTCGTGTACCTGCGTCTCGACGAGGATGCCCTCTTCCGCCGGGTGACTCAGCGCCAGGCTCACTACATGAAGAGCAGTATGGTGCAGTCGCAGCTGAAGGATCTGGAGGAGCCCGAGGGCGAGTGGGATGCGATGACTGTTGATGCCGATGTTGCGCCGGAGGTGGTAAAGGAGGAGGTGAGGAGCTTGGTGAGGGGGAAGGTGGCGGAATTTGAGTGACCTTCCTTTCATCTTCTTCCTCTTCCTCTTCTTTGTGGTTTTTTTTTTTTTTTTTTCTTTCTTCGCTTGATATCTTGGTCGTGCTTGTTTTGGTCCTTGGTCTTTGGTCTTTTGCTTTGGAATGTGGCTTCTTTCTACGGAATGGGACGAGGGATGGATGGATTTGGCTCGGGCGTTCTCACGGAGTTTTCAGTCACAGCTAGACCCCTGCTGCTGCTGGATTCGTATTCCGATTATTATGTCGATTGATTGGGCTTGCGCATGCGTTCAGGCGTTCTATCTTAGCTTTATCACAGATTTGCTGGTTCATTTCACAACCTTCTTTCACATTACTGCTACTGCGTACATGGCACACATGAGAAATAGTGTAGCTAAATACGTGTCTCTATCTTCTTCTGATCTATGTCTACATGTAATGACGTCATAAACATAATGGGAAGTATGAATCTAATGCATTGATTTAATGTACCTCATCCGGCTATCGCATATTAAGCAACATCCCCTCCGGCGCCTCCATCATCTCCTTGATTTTAGTCGCCATGCGCGCCATCGTCGCCCCGTCTACCACGCGGTGGTCCGCGCTCCAGCTGAAGTTGACCAGCTCGGCTGGGACTACCTGCCCTTCGTCATTGAAGACAGGCATCGTGCGCGACTTGCCGATGCCCAGGATGGCCATCTCGTTGGGGATGACAACCGGGCCGACGTAGGTGCCGCCGATGTTGCCGATGTTGGACACGGTGATGGTGCCGCCGCTGAGGTCCGCCGGCGTCAGCTTGCCCTGCTGGCCTAGGGCCGCGAGGCGCGTGATCTCCGCCGCGATGTCTGCGATGGAGCGGTTGGCGACGTCTTTCACGTTGGGGACGATTAGTCCCGTGGGTGTGTCCATTGCGACGCCGATGTTGTGTCGTGGGCGCATGATTAGCTGGGGCTTGTCGGCGTTGCTGGATGTGTCGAGCTTGGCGTTGAGGAGGGGGTGGTCGTTCAAGGCGAGGGAGACTGCTTTGACGACGAAGGAGAGGAAGGTGATTTTCTGCGGGTCCTTGGGGTTGTTGGCGAGTCTCTTGCGCAGGGCGGTGATGTTGCTGATGTTGAGCTCGTCTGCGTAGAGGAAGTGTGGGATGTTGAGCGAGCGTGTCATGGTCTTGAACATTTGGGCTTGGAACGGCGAGAGGTCGACGGTCGTTTCGGTTTGAGGTGCGGTTGTTGGGGCCGGGGATGAGACTGGGGCTGCGGCTGCGGAGTCGCGGTTGGCGACGAAACGCTGTACGTCTTCCTTGAGGACGCGTCCGTCTTTACCGGTTCCATTGACGTCTTGGATGTTGACGTTGAGGGTCTTGAGCATGCCCCGCACTGCGGGGGTTGCCAGCATTGCAACTCGGGATTTGGGGGGGCTGACTGGAGCGGGATTTACAGGAGGGGTCGGTGCAGAGGTCGCCGTGGGCTGTGTTGGTACGGGCTCGGAAGGAGGGGGGGTAGCTGCGGGCTGTGGTGCAGGTTCCGGTGGGGGATGCTCGTCGGGGTACTGTTTGTCGTCGACTTCTATATCGCAGAGTGCCTTTCGAAGCTAGTTAGTACGAGTGTCTCAGATCTCGGAGTTGGGTCTACCTACCTGGCCGGTTGGAACAGTGTCGTCTGCTTGGAAATGAAGCTTTTTGACCACCCCTTCATACCTCGACGTGATCTGTCCAAGCTGTTAGCGGCTGTAGACATTCGAAAAGCGAAAGAGGTACCGACATCGTCTACGGCCTTGTCCGATTGGTATTGACACAGCGGCTTCCACTCCTCGATATGGGCGCCTTCCTCGACGTACCACTGGATGATCTGGACTTCCATGATACCTATACAACAAGAATGAGCGGTCTGCCCTTGCCAACGGATCTCCTCTTGGAATGGTCACTCACCTTCCCCCACATCCTTCAACACCTGCGACTTGATCCCCCACAGCGCCGAAGCAGCGTGGAACTGACGGCGGGGTACGTATTTCCCCAAAGAGGGGACTGATGCGGCTCTCCACGGGGTCGATGATCGGAGAGCCCTAGGGAGGCTCCCACCATAACGTCGTAAACAGCTCATGGTCGGTGTCTACCTCAAAACCAAAGTAAAAGACAGGTAGGAGGAAGAATTGAACTGAATCGACCAGAGGCCATTGTTAAAAGGCGCTGGAGAAGGGGGGGAACGAGACTACTGAACTCCTCCTGCTGCCAAAACCCCCGACGATAACCGATGCCGCGGGCGTCATCGCACGTGACCCTTCTCCGCATTCCTCGCGGATCTTTTTCTTCCTTTTCTTCCTTTTCTTTCCGCTCTTCTTCTCCTCACGACGCGAACCGCACGATATATTACTGATCAATTGACCTAAGTTCAGTTATAGTTCTGGTGGATCCATCAGGTCCGGTGGAATATGTCGATCGTCATTCACTGGTACGATAGATCGGATATACTCTGAAGTATCTGGTGTTGAGGATGGTGACGCTGTAGGTAGTACGACTGAGTATGATGGTCAACCGTACTAATTATCTGGCCTAGCAATCGCCTTTCCATAGTTGACGATCCACTGTAAAGTACAGACTACAGAGTACAGAAGAATATGATCTGTTTAAAGGTTTCGGACCAAATTGCCGGGAGATCTGAGGCACTCGATGCCCACCATTATTGGTGCGCTGGCCCCGACTAGCACATCTCCAGACCCATACTCCGCGCATCCTGGCCCGCCCCGGCCAATAATGCCCCTTGCCTGCAGTCTGGTCTATTTTCCGATCCTTGGGATTTCAACGGATTGACCTGTTCCCCTTGAACTTTGGATTTTTCTCCTGTTCAGCAGAACCACGATCCCATATACATACCCCTTTGAGATATTGAGAACTTTCCCACCGTCGTCATGGTGGCCGACCATCTGACCATTCGCAACCTCACCTCCACGCCAGTCACGCTGAAGCGCATTGAGCGCTTGCGACCCCTCGGCCTAACCAAAAGTGTCACCAGAGTCTTCACGAACAGGACCCGCGCCGACGCGTCGATTACCGCCAGTGAGCCCTTTGCGCATGAAGATGTCGAGATCCGCGTGGACCCCTTCCAGACGGTAAAAACCGACCTCCGTACCTATGTCGACTCCGACAAGGAGAAACTGCGCTGGATCTTCGAGGCCGAGGGCGAGCCCCATCAAGTACACACCCCCGTCCCCACCGTCGAGTCCGCGACCATGAGAGCGCTCTGCGACGACCCCAAGCTCAACCTCACGGCCGTCTACGTGACCCCGGAAGCGCACCTGGCCATCTACTCCTCCGCCAGGATGCACTCCTGGATGGGGGAGCTCAAGGACAGCCTCCTGCTGTCTTCCCTCTCCATCCCGGGCACCCACAACTCAGCGACCTGCTACGTCGCCCCGCCCTCAGTCCGCTGCCAGGCCGTGAGCCCCAAGGAACAGCTCCAGAACGGAGTGCGCTTCTTCGACATCCGCGTGCAGCCGCAGTACCCCGACGACGCCGCCCGCGACGAGCTGATCCTCGTGCACGGCGTCTTCCCCATCTCCTTCAAAGGCAACCGCTACCTACGCGACCTGATGCGCGACATAGACGACTTCCTCGACGCCAACCCCTCCGAAACCCTCATCGTCTCGATCAAGCGCGAAGGCCCCGGCACCCACACCGACCAGCAACTCAGCCGCATCCTCGCCGACCACTACGCCCGCCCCGACAACCCCAAGTGGTACACGCGGCCCAAGATCCCCACGCTCGGCGACGCCCGCGGCAAGGTCGTCCTCCTCCGCCGCTTCGACATCGACGACCGCCTCAAGGCCCTCCACAACGGCCAAGGCTGGGGCATCGACGCCGGCGGCTGGGCCGACAACTGCGACCACGCCACCTGCCCCAGCGGCCTCGTCTGCATCCAAGACTTCTACGAGGTCGTCGCCAAGCACACCATCCACCAAAAGGTCCAATACGTGCTGAACCACTGCCGTCGCGCCGGCGAGCGCCGCCACCTCCCGGCTGGCGGCAACGCCCACCCCTTCTTCGTCAACTTCCTGAGCGCCAGCAACTTCTGGAAACTCGGCACCTGGCCCGAGAAGATCGCTGCCAAGGTGAACCCGGCGACTGTGGAGTACCTCTGTCGGAGACACTGCGACAACGACGGGGATTGGTCCACGGGGGTCCTGGTGACGGATTGGGTGGGCAAAGACGGCGACTGGGACCTTGTAAGGTGTATTGTGGGGATGAATGCGCGGTTGAGGCTGCGGCATGAGGAACATGCGGAGAAACGTGGTTGACAATTGTCCTGCGGAAGTAGAGGTCATGCTTGCATTATCTCGTTAGATTTGGGTTCACTGAACCAGTTACTTTTAAAACGCTACGGATTATAATATAATACCAGAGAAATGCTCTCGCATTCTATTCACTTCACTCCTGTGCAGATAAATAATTCTGACGTGCTAAAAAAGTACAAACCATGGGACAACATATGAAAGAAAAAAAAGACAAGTACAGATAGTGTATTATACATCGAATTCTAAACCCGCCAGACAGGCTTAGGCTCAAGAATCAGCCTTGTCACCGCCCTCAGCAGGACCCTTCTGCTCCTCCTCGAGCACGTTCTTCCGGCTCTCAAGCGTAAAGTAAAGGCTCTTGCCCGCGCCGTCCAGCGCGTTCGTGAGGCCAGAGCCCATGCTCTGCAGGGCCGTGACGAGCTGCGAGCGCAGGCCGTCCATGCCGCCCTGGATCCCGCCGACCCACTTGGTCTGCTCGAGGTCGAAGACCCGGCCGTCGACGCGGGCGGCCAGCAGAGCCAGCTTGTTGAGGCCGTCCTGGACGGGCAGCTCGTGCCAGCTGGGGTTGGCCTTGCGGGTGGGCACGGGGAAGCCCGTGGCGCGCGGGGCCAGCACCGTCAGCGCGGCCTTGAGGTGCTCGGGGGAGACCTCGGGGATGGAGAGCACGGCGACGGGGCCGAAGAGGACGCTGGAGAGCTCGTGATGGCCCTTGAAGGGGAGGACGGCGTCGTGGGCGGCGCGCGAGAGGTCGTGCGTGAGCGTGGGGTCCTCGGGCGACGCGGCGAGCGGCACCTCGGCGGAGGTCTGCGTGGCGGGGTCGACGGCGGAGGGCTCCGTGGCCTTGGCTGTCGGGCGGAAGTGTTCGACGATGCGGAGGGCGACCTCGAAGATGCTCGTCTGGACGATCTGGATCTTGACGTGCGGCGCCAGCGCGGGGACGTTGCGGCCCTCGGCGGCGATCTGCTCGTCAACCTTCCGCAGGGCCCGGCTCAGCTCCCGACGGATAGCGACCCATTCCACGGATTTGAGGTTGTCGTGCTGCAGGAAGAGCATCAGCGGCGTCGTCCGGATCAGCGAGGTGTACTGCCGCAACAACTGGGACCGGCGGTTTTCCGGCCTGCGGTACGAGGGCGGCTGCGACGGAGGGTATCTGGCGATCGGGGGCACGGAGTGGGTCATCTGCTCAACCGACGGGGCGGGAGTCGTGGCCGTCGCTACGGACCTGGCCCAGGATGCGGCGATGGGGCGTTCATATTGGCAGACGGTCTGGCGTCGGAGCGGCTGGGCGATGCGGCCGCTGGAGAGACGCACACGGGGGGGCATTGTGCGTGAAATCGGGGGTGGATGGAATAGAAAAAGTCGACTGAGTCGTGATGAGACGGAATTGACCAGGACCAGACCTCCAAGACGCGAGAAGGAGGAGTTGCGGACGGGACGATGGAGTCGTGGATGATCGTGAGAGGAAACGATAAATTCCCAGACGGAAATCTTGACGACCCAAAGAGGAATAGTCGGTGGTATGGGCGGTGAGGGGATTCTGCCGGACTATGGCCGACATCGCGGGCAACCCGAGGGGCATTTTTGGTACGCATCGCGGTTGAGTCAGATCGCCCTTGTTTGTGTCACGCTCCATTGGGCTTTTATATCACTCGACCCCTCCTCAACTCATACACTCCTGGTCTCTGTCTGTCACACCGTCAAGATGTCTGCTTCCATCTTTGACCAGAAACCTAACCAGGTCTCGATTTCTCCCTTGTTGAAGAACCTCGCCTACCCCGCGCCCAATGCCCCCGTAACGGCCTCGGAGATTGCCGCGGCGTTTGCCTTGATTTTCGAGGATCGCTTGTCTCCAATTCAGACGGCAGCGCTGCTGACTCTTCTTCACTCGACGGGGAAAGACCGGGAGGCAGCGGTCATTGCGCAATGCTCCCAACGCATGAGAGAGGCGGCCAGCCAGGTGGACAGAACCGCCTTGAAAAAAGCCATCAAGGCCCGTGGGAAGGGTGAAGGCAAATACAATGGTGGTGTGGTGAGTTTGGTTTGATCTGGTGATGTAGTGTATTGCAATTGGCTGACTAGAAACCCTCGTTCAGTGCGACATTGTCGGGACCGGCGGCGATTCGCATTCCACCTTCAACATCTCCACGACCGCCTCGATCGTTTCCTCGCCGCTGCTCATGATGGCGAAGCATGGAAACCGCGCCCAAACCTCGTTCTCCGGCTCCGCCGACGTTCTGAACGCGATTGAGCCCATCGCCCCGAAGATCTCCGCCGTCTCCGCCGATAATCTTCCCCAGGTGTACGAACAGACCAACTACGCGTTCCTGTTCGCGCCCAACTTCCACCAGGCGATGATGTACGCCGACCCCGTGCGTCGCGGCCTCGGCCTCCGGACCATCTTCAACCTGATGGGCCCGCTAGCCAACCCCATCGACTGGGCCATTGAAGCCCGCGTCGTCGGAGTCGCCTACCAGAGCCTGGGCCCGACCTTTGCGGAGGCCCTGCGTCAGAACGGATGCAAGAAGGGGATGGTCGTCTGCGGCGAGGAGGACCTCGACGAGATCAGCTGCGCCGGAAAGACCAACTGCTGGAGGCTGTCGGAGTACCCCAACCCGGCCTTCGATGCGTCGCGAGCGGACGACGACGACAGCGAAGAAGACGAGGAGAACCCGCGTACGCTTGTCAACGTGGAAACGTTCCAGCTGCAGCCGTCCGACTTTGGGCTGCCGACGCACCCGCTGACGGCCGTCTTCGGCCGCAAGATGCCCAAGGACAACGCGGCCAAGCTGATGAGTATTCTGCGCAACGAGCTGCCCCGCGACGACCCAATCCTGACTTTCGTGCTCCTTAACGTGGCGGCCCTCCTCGTCACCTCGGGCGTCTGCGAATCTGAGACGAGCAACATGGGGCCTGGTGACGACGGCCAGGTTATTACTGAGCGGGGGCCTGGCGGCGGACGCTGGAAGGAGGGTGTCCGTCGGGCACGCTGGGCGATCGAGAGCGGCTCGTCGCTCAAATGCCTGGAGGAATTTATCGAGGTGACGAACAAGCTTGAATAATCGCTATGCATCAACGTTTCTTTTTTCTCTCTCTTTTTATTTCGGGGTTTTTTTTTCAGCGCTCCCCGTAGGGACGCACTTCCATTGTCTTCACATGAACTGATCTATCCATTTCCTATAATATGTGAGTCCATATTATGTTGGCTCAATTAGTTGCGACTTGGAAAGAGCACAGCAAGAATAATATATCTGGTATTTTCAAAAGAGTATGCGAGCATGGATATTTAAATCAACCGTCACGCAACGGCGCTCCACCACTACATAGAGAGAAAGTAGCAAAGGCAGTCCAAACTCTCCACCATCAGCCGTCTTTCCTCCCTTCCTCTCGATATTAATATTCCTGCTGTGATAAAAAGCCGCACCGTGAAACTCCAAGCGCCCTAACGAATGCACACACATCAATCGTAATCAAGTCCTTATCCACCACCACCACCGCCGCCTTCATTCTCCAACGCTCCATCTGTCATCCACCAATTCAAACAAAGGCAAACAAAGTCGATAACCACTCATCGCGCCTCGAATTGAACCATTCTACATACCAAGCAACATTAGCAACAGTCCAACAGAAACCCTCTTTCACCACATAAAGGAAGAAAACACTCTCTAGAGGTAAGGCAAGGGGAGTAATACCTCTTCGTCCGCTCCTTATACAACACCCGATGTCCACACTCCTTACACCGGATCTGGTCGCCCCGCTTGAGCGACACACGTGAGTTGCACTCGCCGCACAGGTAGGCGACCATAGGACCCTCCAGCGAGACGGCGCCGTCTGTCGCGAAGGCGTTCTGGTTGCCGCCACCCATGGTGGGGGCCTGGTAGGCTTCGCGGGACATTTTCTTTTATTTTCGAGGGATGATCGACTAGTTTGGTTGGTGGTTTGTTTGCTGAGAAGGTCGAGATGTATTCGTAGGTGGATGGAATTTGAGGATCTGGATGCGATGATTCCATCTCTCTGGCGGGATAGCTGGAGATCTTTTTTTCGGCGGTTGAGGTGATGAGTCAGCGGGTAGCCTGATATATCGGGCTAACTGTTTTGGGTTAGATGGTGGAGTGTCCTCAGTTACTGGCCAATTGTGTTGTTTAGTGCTCCACTATGCAGTATATCCATCTACTTTCTTGTATAGCATCCATAGGGCCGTCATGCGACAAGCTGCATGAAATTGATCCACAACATGAATGAAGCAACCCTCGGCTTAGATGTCACGTTATTACATCAAGTGGGACCTTAACATTTCCTCCAGAGTGGGGAAGCCGGGGGGGGATTCAGCGTTTGTTCCTCCAGGCTAATGAGATCGTGACAAAGATGTTATTGTTCGTATCTGAATATAGAAGCCCAAGAAGATCGTTCTCAGTGCAAACAGCTGGAGCCCATAGAAGCAAAGGCAGTGCTGTCGCTGAAACAAGACCATCATACATATTGTGGGTTGTAAACGTCTCCTCGACTAGTCTTCTCCATCATCGACCTTGGCAACCGTATCTTGCTTGATAGTTGGATGTTCAGCGGATTTTACAGCACCCTCGTCGGCCGATTTTGTATCAGTTTCCCAAGAAGCCGTACTTTCAGAGCCATCATCCTCCAGCGTCTGAGACGGTTTCTGCCACGAATTGGCTTCGGGTTTGGGGTACATCGTGATTGTTGAGCCCGGTTGAGCAACCGAGTCCCAATCCTGGGGTGATATTGGACTGTCGTCAGGGCCAGTGAGCTCATAATTGCTGTTCAGAACATGGGGCGAAAGAATAGCATCCTCAAGTAAGACCTCCTGCAAAAGGCGCTGAAATGCCTTCGGAAAAAAAACCGGTCAGTTCTGACTTCTCTCATGTAACCGGGCGGCTCACCGTGAAGGTACGACACTGATCAAAGGGCAATAGGAATTTTCGGCCCATGGGGTCCTTCAGTGTAAGTAACTGCTGCCTCGCCCAAGGTGCTTCTCCACCTGCGTTTGCTCTATTCTCTGCGCTTCTCCGCCCGCTCTCGGACTCCGCCAATTTTCCCTCGTGCAGCAATTGCGCGTAGTTTTCAACTTCCCTTGACTTGCGATCTATCTCGACGGACTGCTCGACAACTTTCTTTTTATTCTTTTGCATAATTCGGTTCTGTTGGATCAATTTCTCCATGTTTCCAACCACTTCGTCTGTCGTATGATAGCTTTCTGGTAAGATCGCACGACGTGCTTGGGTTTGGTCAAATGGTTTCCGAATTGAATCCCAGCGACTGGGTCGGTCGCTTTTCTCCTCTATCACCCCTTTTGGAGTGGCTGCATCATTATGAGTCTTGTGTTCGTGATGCACTGCTGCATTTAACTGAGAGGAAATATGTTTCGGTAGAGAGCGTTCAACACTGGGCAGTTGCACCCTCGCTAGTTCGGCTTCTACATCTTGGCCCAAGCTTTTCAGGAGAAGGTGTGAAACTCTCCTTTCCATCCACTTCAACAATGGATTGTCAAAGAAGACAATAGCAGTGTCATGACGCAATGCTTCATCGTAATCGAAGCGGCAAGGGAAGACGCTGTTAACTTCAGCTAGGCGATGGTGAAGGTCTTTGCGCATCCCTTGACGGCTGCTGGGATCGCCGGAATCAAGCAGCCAAAATTCGTCGACTAAGCATTGTAGGTAACCCGAGGCATCTTGCAGCGTGTCATGATGTAAGCGCGCCATGGTCTGCACCGTCTGAAGCTTTTGGTCAAAGTCGCGAGAGAGTTGGTAAACTTCCTGGAGCACCGACTTCTCGAGATGATAGTCTCCGAGCTCTTTGGCGCTTGCAGAGATGGTATCGAGGGCCCCGTATCGGAAGGTATCGCTTAGCGTCTGTGTTACTTCTGCGTCCTCTCCTATCGACTGGTTTCGTTGAAAAGATCGCGACCCGCTGAAGATATCGTGCGACGATCTCACTGCAATCGGTCTTTGCTGATTGACCGGCGAACCTGCGGATACTCCCCGGGTGCTCTCATACAATGCCCAATCCAGATATGGTCGGCTTTTAATCAAATGCGGGTGTGTTGAAAGTATGGCCGAAGCTAGGGAATGTGCCTTCTTGTAAAATTGACTACGGGCCGCACGGACAGTCTTGCGAGCAGATTCATCATCTAGGAAGCGCGCAAGCAGAGCTGCATTCGCGAAATCTGTCAAAAGCGCTTGCTCGTTACCCGTCGCAGCAGCTTCGGACTGGACAAACAGGTCCCCAGCTTTGGATATGTCATCGAGCTGGGCGAATTCCTCGAAACCACGATCGTCGACAAAATGCCCATCATTTTTGCATCCAAACAAAGGTAATATGGCGCGCAAGAGTCGATGTGATTCCCATACAAAGCCCCCTTTGATTAGGAGCCGATACCAAGGTCCGATTTGAGGATAATCCCGCCGAGGCACATTGTCCCTAGCTGGTGCGGCGTGGGGGTAGCCAAAGGGCGGAGATTTGCGGTGGTATGGGTAGGGATTCAAGGTCGAAACCATGCGGGGGTATGTTGAATGGCGTGGTACACCACGATGCTCGTGGTCCTTGCTTTCCCTCTCTGGTATTTTCTCACCGGGAAACGACCAATACAAAAGGGACTGGAAAGGTTCACTCTCAAGGAAGTTTGAGTGTGCGGCCGCATATGCGATGATGCGCACGCAGGCCTCCATCAATTGGATCTAAGAAATAATGAGCCATATTCGACAACAGCTTCGACAAACATACCTGAGTACCGGTGGGGTGTCTAAACGGGGAAGAATGCCTGTTGAGTTTCTTTGTGATATGTTTCATTGCCTTTGTAGTCATTTCCAATGCCGGTATCACTGCTCCTTTGGTATAGATCTCCGCAAGAGATCTGATGACCTTCAGTAAAAGAACCTCATCACGAGAGTACTTCACGTGAGGGTCAGACAGGCGACTAGATACGAATTTATGGAGATGCCCGAAACTTCCTTGCTCCAGGAGAAGGTCTGTGTATTCGCCCACGACGGGGAAGAAATCGACGTGGGGGGCGAGACGTTCCTCAAACATCCGGATTGCTTGGTGAAAATAGCCCAGTCGGCTTAGTCGAGCCAGGCGCTCCAAATCATGGCTTATATCCAGGCCCGCATCAAGGTTGAGATGAACGGTAATGTCTTTGTCTCTGTCGCCGGAACATATCAACCAGTCATTGCCAGGATTGAGGTTTGGTACGGACCGGGACGGTTCTGAACTCGGTGATCGAAATCTTGCGGGCGTGCTTCCGGCGAAATAGCTAGGCCTTGGTCCGTCTGTACCAAGGCGTGCCCATTCATCATATAGGTCAGGTTCATCGTGACTCTCAGTGGCCGACAGTGGTGCGTCTTGAACCGACTCGTCTTCGTCGGTCAGGGAAATTTCTGAATTGCTAAAACTCCTGCCTATAGTGATATTGAACGTCATGGTGGCTGCTGGTGGGGGATGAGGAGAAGGTTCCCCAGCCGAGTTTTGGTCCGATGGGGGAGGGGCACAGCCTCCCCAAGGCGCGATGCATGCATAACCAGGACAGACAACGTGGTCGACGAGGCTGTGCACTTCCTAGTGTGGGAGAGAAATAAAGAATAAGTGAGGAGGCTTCCATTTTTAAAAGCTCTGTCCCTCCAACAGCTTGAAATCAAACCATCACAAATCACATTATCATCCAAGACGATGCTTTCCAAGTCGTCTTCTCATTCGGTTCAGCCATTTAAGTATGTCGATATATGTCAATCGCAGTCGAGCGCGAGTCTTTGCGATCTTACTGTCGGAAGACTTCGCGTCGATTGTTGCTTTCTAATGTCCAAGATGCGTTGGGGGCAGCTCCGCGATCAGGATTCAGGCCTGATGTACCTGGATCTAACGTTCCACCAACCTGCCGACTGCAAGCTAGCGCAAGCAACCATCACTTTGAGCTTTCAGGGCCTTCAGAATTCACCGAGAACAGTGACTCCCACCGGGCTCGAAGTAACCGAGTTCTTCGGACCACAGACTCTGAGTGGTGAGAAACGGGAGCGACAAGTATCCAACGCCTTCGAGGCCAATCCCAAATTCGGAGCAGCCAGTACCAGCGTCGAGGGAATTGGCATTTCAAGAAGATCCGAAGTCAGTTATGCCTCGCGATGGAAATTTACAGGCACGCGGTTCGCAGCTGACACCTCCTCCGACTCATTCACTCGAAACAGTCGGTATCGACAGCTAGTTTGGCATCTAGAAGAAAACGAACTAGAGCGACAGGCTGTGCATCACTCCATTGTACATACTGCGCTTGCCTTTCACCACAACTCCACCCCGTTCTACCTGGACGTGCAGGTCGAGGTTAAAATGCGGAGATGGCGCCACCGGCTCCAGCAACGCCTGATCTGTCCTCCTCGAGGTCAGAAGGCCATAACGAGAGCCAAGATCGAACCAGCCCCCGACAAATCAGCAGATCCACAATTTCCCCAGCTGGCCAGGAATCTAAATCAGGCCCTGATTGAAGAGAACCTGCACCCTGTGGTTGGTAAGTGCACGAGGCCAAAGGCCGTTAAGGAACTGGAACGAACACACCCACTAAGCCATTACAGAGGTATCCGACCCCAAGCCAGCAGCGGCCTTGGCCGACAACTTTCAGGATCAAGATCCTGACACAGAAGCCGACTCCCAATATCTTCCCAATGAAACATTACTTGCGCTTGCCCGGCAGCTGACTGGGCAAGAACCGCCCAGTGTATCTACCAAAAGCAGTCTTGGATTGCCTACGCAGACAGCAGAGAGTTCCAGCCCCACGCTGGTAGGGTCCGCCGCATCGTCAAACGAAATGGATGATCAGACAGCGACAAAATCCGCTGTACCTGACGCTGGTGATTCTTTGTTCTCTGTCCCTACTGCGGAAGTTGCGAAGGCCAACGCGATCCACGACAATGGATTGTACATCTTTCTTTCGGTCACACGTCAGATATTGCAACTATTAGAAGCTACGATAGCATTGTTGATCCTGGGTTTGGGCAGACTACATTCGGTTCTTGCTCAGGCAAAGAAGTGAACTCCAGAGATTCGACCCCGAGAAGGACAGTTTTAATTTCTTTAACATTTACTGTGAGATTTATACTAGTTCCTCATACGTCTGCCCAGCCCCGTAAAGGACGACTGTCCCAGACAAGGTACTCAATATGATCGCATGACCAGACGCCCACGACAAGATAGGGTAAAACCTGCGGGTTCGATAAGTTCGAAGGCCTCAGTGAGTGTCCGCGACTTGGAGTAATATAACGCTAATGTATTCTGGCCACAACATTACCCTACAAAGAAAGCTCATGTAACATATCCAAATGAAGTTTACACCTGGGAAAGATGTAGATAACCTCATCGCATCCAGGGTAGCCACATGTACGGTCTTTTGGAAAATTCCATTTCATGTTTAAAAGATAACAACTCCCCAGATATTCAGGATTCTAAGGATTAGCCTTGTTAATATTATTATCTTATTACTATTTTCTTCTTACCTAGCCATACCCTTGTTCATACAGTATAGACCATAACTCTAGATTAGTTACATCGCCCAACCCTTCCTAGATAGCTCGGTGGTCCTCCGCTTCATAGTAGAACTAAGCTTCTTCTCCTTCCGTTCGGTGCCTCGAGCTGCCACTATGGCTTATAATAATCATTCTAGAGGATTATCCGAGTGCTTCTTATATATTCTGATACCTGTATGGTTTCTTATTTGTTATAAATTAATAACGCACAGCATAGAGAGATCACGCTTCTATTTCTAAAGACCACACATAACCATGGTCTTTCCGCTACCACTGACAACTACTTCGTACAAGATGGAGAACTTTCACGTACATCGATGGTAGAACATACTTGTATGTACCTAGCATCTATTAGAATCATGTTTGGAAGGATTTGTAATGAGTAATTCAAAAATATCTTGGTGTCTCCATGCGAATGCAGACCGTTCGTACCCCAAACTCGGCTTCTTACGGGCCCACTCAATCCCCGGTTACAGATGAGCGGTGCATAGTCCGGTACACCAAGCAGTCATGGGTGATTTCAACTGCAGAGTCCCGAGCCCTTAGAGTTCAATTGGGGGCACCGCGGGGTGCCATCGTAGCTAGCCAATTCCACCAAATGCGTAGCGTTCGGAGAAGCCCCCCGTAAACTGGTCCAAGCCAGACGTGAAAGGATCCAACCGGTTCTCCCAGGCAATCCGCCCATGCTCATCCAGCCGGAGAATTTTGATCAATCCGGTACCCAACAGCTTCTCGATTTAACAGGTACAAACCTACCTGGATTCTCGATTGCGCTAGCCAGAGGCCCCGCCACTTCTCCTCGAGACCCGCGTATAGATCTTGTGATTCCAATATCAGCAGTATAACCCAAGAAGTATATTGGTATCTATATGCAAATGCAAACCGTCCGTCCCAAACTCACTCATAAAATGCATGCATCCACCAAACATTAAGGTATGTACATCGTAGACCCCCAACTTTACCTACCACCCCCCGCCAATCTTCCCGGCGAGCTCGACAACGCGGGTTGTGTCATTAGGCGCCACCGTCTTGTCCTTGCCCACATCACTCTCCACTTCGCGGTAGGTGGTGTAGATCAGCTTCGACAGAGGCACGTCGATCAACTCCGACCAGCGCTGCAGGGCTTGATGAATCTGCTCTTCCTTGTCCTTGATAGATAGAGGCTGTACGGGGGCCTCCGAGTCGGAGTCCGCTGAATAATACGCCTCATCTACACGAGCTAGCCACGCGCGCTGTTCATGCGGAGATGGCTTGAACGGAACATCCTCGGCTGTCGACTCTGCGCTGGAGATAGTAGTAGTGGTAGTAGCCTGGCGCGCATCCTCAATGCGGATCTGGCCGCCTCCGTTCGTGCAGCCGCCGGGGCAGGCCATGACTTCGACGTAGGCGTACTCGGGCCCTGATCCGGCGGCTGCATTGCGTGACATTGGTTGGCGCCGGTTTGTGGATACTGGGGCTTTCGCGCCTGGGAGTCGAGAGGCTCGTGCGGGCTTGAGCTTGCGCACTAGGTTCTGGATGTTTCGGAACCCGTAATATCGGGCTGCCTTTAGGAGGGGCTCGTTCGTTGCGGATATGAGGGAGTATTCTACTACGTCTGCGTTTCGCCCGCGCTGGGCGACGATCTGGCTTCCTGGGTGACGGGCTTGGAAGGATAGGAGGACGTGGTAGAGATAGCCGCCGGAGGTGGATGCGTCTGTTGATTGTTCGGGGGAAAGACGTTTCGAGAACAGGAAAGAGTTCAGGGCGGCGTCTGGGAACGTCGGGGTGTAGGATGAGGGAAGGGGTTTGAGCGGTAAAGAGGGGAGGGAAACTCCTCGTGCGGATGCCAAGGTCAACAGCTCGCGCGAGGTAATGACGCAGTCTACATCGCGCACCGGGGACGAATCCCGCGCGGCGTCTGGGTTCCACGCGGCATCGGTGAGTTCTTCTCGACTGGCTTCTAGCTTCTTATCGAAGCAGGGCATAACCGCCACATGCCATATCTGAGAAGCAGGGACGCCGAGGGTCTTGCTCAAGACACTCTTCAAGAAAGTGCCCGCCAGTGCTTGAGGTGATTTGAGGCGCGACAGGTGCGGGAGGATGAACGGGTGGGTTTTCTCAGCATAGCAGATCCACCCTGGACAGGCCGAGGATAAGATGGGTCGCTTGGGAAGGTTGCTGCCGGCGTTGTTCGATGCTAACGTCTCCGCCACCTCGTCCGCTGTGAGAGCCAGAACGGCTTCGCGCAGGACGTTGGTGTCAACGACCCAGGTAAAGCCGCTCCCGTGCTTGCCTCCAGCCTTCAACCCCTGCGGACCGCTGAGAAACTGCTGGATCATGTGCGTTGCCTCCTTCTCGGAGATCCCATAGGTAGCTGCCAAGCTGGCCCTTGCTTGAGGGCTGACGCTTGCAACAAAGATGCGACCTTCGCCCGACGGTGCGCCGTTGATATCCGCCGCGACTCCATTCTGTGTGGTGTGAACAGGAATCTCCGGGTGCGCATCAAGGTTGTTCAGGACTTCGGTATGCGACTGCAGCGAGACCAGGACTGCTTCGGCCGACGTCACACATCCTGAGCACGCAAGGCAGTCCGTCAACGAGATCTCCGCTGGGGGAGCATTCTCATTCTCCGGCTGGACTTTGTCTTCTTTAGTCACTTCGTATGGGTTCTAAGATTACAAATTAGTTTCTGTACAACAAGCTGCGGAGTGCGATATCGGCGAGAAAAGTGGTTATACCTCCGAGTTTGCAGGCTCCTTCTGCGAAAGCGTCTCGACCGGTTTGATGCACGCGACTCCGGGCGAGATGAAGTCGTTCAAGTCGTCTGCCGATAGGATGGCGCTCATGGTGACCGATGCGGCGAACCCCGCGGAGCGATTATCGGGAAGAGATAGCGGCCCCGCAGGCGAAGGAATTGAGATCTGCTTCGTATAGGGTAGACAACAGGACAGTCGGGTTGTTCCAAATCTGAGATATTGGATGAGAAGCAAGTATAATGATACAAGAAGTTCAAGAAGTTCAAGAAGTAAAAATATTGAGATAGATATAGAAGTTTGTATGGAAGTTTGTCATCCGGCGTGGCGAGGGAACCAACAGGAATCAGCCGATTATTATTAAGAACGGAGCACTGATAAGCTCACCGCTTCGATTCTGCCGCAGGAATTCCATCCAACTTCCTAGCTGTTAACAAGGAATAAATCTATAGAATAAATCCTTAAAATTGTTACTGTATGTGATCGACAAGAGCATTGATTGCGCCGGGCAAAAACAGAGTACTCAATAGCACTGTAGGGGAAAAATAGAAAAAGAAATAAAAAAAGAAATAAAAAGTTGAAGATGCTCCCTGGGGGAATCGAACCCTCGACTTCAGCTATTCCGGTCATGGAGAATCCTCTGCGAGGTAGTTCACCATAAGAGCCGCGCCATAACCACTAGGCCAAGGGAGCTGTTTCTAAGTGGCAATAACCAGCACTTTGATCTTTTGAGCTCTTTCTCACTTCTTCTCCAGCCAGGCCTATCCACCCACTGATAAGCTCTCACCGCCCTGTCCTGATCCACCCCCGATGGCTGCGACTGGAATACGAGGTGAGTCAGGATGGTTTAGGCAGGTCAGGAACAGCAATCCCCGGATTTCAGCCTCATGTAGATCATATAAGTATGTTGTTATCCGCTATTCAGGGGACTCGTTAGTTTTATATCCTCCAACAAGTGTATTGTCAAAACTACACAACCTACAAAATGTCCTCAAACCCGCAAAAGTACACCCAGAGCACTCTCCCCAAATCCTGGTTCCAGCCATCCAGCTCCAAACCCCCATCAAACTCCATACCTCCATCGAGCTCCAAATCCACGGGGCCAAATCGACGCGAGATCCTGCGCGCAACAGCAGAAGAAACCAAATCGCTTCTACCGCAGCTACTCGCCCTACGCCCCCAGGCTCCCCCAAACGGATATTACTACGCGCACGCGCGGACCCGCGTCCTAGACACCAGATACAAACCCAAGAATCTCAGCACCACCGTAGAGGTCGTCAATGCAGACACGTACGATACAGCGATCGACCTAGCCGGTCCAAACGGCTTCCTCCACCACGACCACACCGCCAAAGTCTGCGTGCTGAACCTGGCGAGCGAGAAGCACGCCGGTGGCGGGTGGCTGCGAGGCGCAATGGCCCAGGAGGAGGCGCTTTGCTACCGCAGTAGTCTCAGCTTCACGCTCAAGCGGCGGTTTTATCCCATTCGGGACCGCGACGCCATATACTCGCCGACGGTGCTCATCGTGCGGGGGAACTTTGATCAGGGCCATAAGTTGATGGACTTGCAACGACCGGAGTTATTCCCCGTCGTCAGTGTCGTCAGTGTGGCTGCTGTGCGGAGGCCGGAGATTCTGAACGCGAATCCACCTAGGTTCAAGCACATTGCTGATCGGCACTTGACCAAGGATAAGATGCGGGCTATTCTCCGGGTGGCGGCGTACAACAGACAGCGGAGGCTGGTCCTCGGCGCACTTGGCTGTGGGGCATTTGCGAACCCTAAACAGGAGGTTGCAGACTGTTGGACGGAGGTCCTGCAGGAGCAGGAGTTTCAGGGATGGTGGGAACGCATCGTCTTTGCGGTGCTGGAGAACGCCGGCGGGCCCGCTATTAATACCGGGAATTTCGATACCTTTCGCAGCAAGCTGCAGGGTTTGAGAGTTTGATACCGAGATATCGCGTGGAATATGTGGTTGATAGAGACGATGATAATGTACATAGCCTCAATACGTCAGACAAGCCAGATACCAACCGATGTTACTTCTTGGTCCGCGTCGAGCGTCGCCGGCCGACGGGTGATACCTCTGGTTTGACCTCTTCTTCGCTCTTGAGGCTCTGTTTGCTCTGTCGTTTCGACCCTGCTCTTTTCGGCTTCGGCTCCTCCTCTTCCTCCTCCTCTTTGACAGGTGTATTGCTTTCTTCCTTCGTAGCTCTCTTTCGCTTAGACTCCCCCTGGGCGGCGCTGGAATCATCCCCATTGATGTCCTTCGATACCGGGCCCGTCTTCTTCTGTACACTCGGTACCACCGCACTTGTCCGTCCGCCGACAGTAAGAAAGACTATTTTCTCCCCGTTGGGTAGAGCCGAGGTACTGTTCTTCTTTCCTTTACTCCACCGATGCTTGAACAGCCAATCTTCGGGAAACTTGTCCGAATCAGCAAGGAGGTCCACCGAGGTTGAGCAGACGTAGTGGATTGCCGAGTTGAGTTCCTTGATTTGATCGTCCCCCAAGGTGTTGCTGTATTGTTCTGGGTGTATTTTCGCGTGATACAGAATCTCATCTCTGGTACGCAGTCAGCACCAGTATCAAACAACTAGACGATCGCGTAGGGGACAAACCCCATCCAATTCCCGATCCCGCTAATATTAGCCTGATCCAGAAGCAGCGCCTTGATAGGCACCTTCTTACTGCGCAGCTTCTGCGCCAGCCACTCCTGCGTCACCACATCCTTATCAACAACCGGATCAGGCCCATTCTCTTTCAACGGGCTATACTTGCGGATCTCCTCCGCCGGGCAATCCACCAGCCGGATCCTGCTCAATCGGCGGAAATCCACAAACGCCGCCTCCGTCACGGGGGTCCCATCCGTCTCCATGAGAAACTTCCAATATTTAGGCGGCCACTCCTTGTCCGCGGGCTTATCAGTCCGGTAATAGTAGGTGTCTTCGTCGCGGATCTTCAGCCAGCCAGCCATGCCGAAATGCATCAGCGCGTGCGGCGGGGAGTCCATCGCGATCCAGAAGTATTTCCCCTGTTGGCCTGCGCTTGCGATCTTCTTGCCTTGCATGGCTTTTTGGAAGTCTGTCGCGCTGGTCCCTGCTTTGCCGTAGACGATGTCATCGTTTTGGGTGGATACTTTGGTGAGGGTCTTCCCGACTAGATGTTGGCGGATGAAGTGCACGATGCGCGAGACTTCTGCGAGCTCCGGCATGTTGGACTGAGTAATCTGAATTGGTACACAGGATGCGATGAAGTATGAATTGAATTGCCTGTTGACAGATAGAAAGAATTCTGGGTGACAAGGACGCAGCAGGAACGCAGGCAGCATACGAGTTATGACTAAAAGTTGACGGGGTATGCAGACCTCCCAAGTGGGTCTCCTACAGATCAACTCCGATATTTTGCCAAGAAGAGAGCTGACATGGGACTAGACGGAGACTGCACACATGCAATGATGGCGACTATGTATATTGAAAGGGGATCTGACACTGAAAAAACCCACTGGAACTCACTATGAAAGAAATGGATGAAGAAGTCCGGGACGTGTGCTGGACATTCTATGTGTAGTGAGTTGAGAAACTGCATCCTTTCATGTGACTTCTGACAACATCCATGTCTTGTCTTCATTTCCTGCCATGTATTGCAAATTGCGTGTACCTGCTTCTGTACTGTTACTTTATACCAGTTTCAGATCGCCTCATAATCTATGGAGTTTACAGGAATCAATTAAGCCGACAAGTGTACGTGGTGATATGATGGATTGATGGATGACTAATGCTGATCATGGAACCATTGCATAAAGTGGGTTCCGCGAACTATCTAACCTGCCTGGGCAATCAACTCTTCTCTCAGCAAAGTCCACAACGCACTCGAGCATCTCGAATCTCATCAAGGCTGTGTCTGTTCATCAGTAACCGAATTAAAGTCGCACATATATCGCTTCGTCACTCCGTGTCTCCACACGTGCATAGCACGTTAGCACGATAGCACGATCTGACGTCAACCCGACTGACCTTGAAACCGACTATCTGATTTGCCGCCAATCTGGAGTGGTTCTGGGCGACGACAATCAAGCGGGGACAGAATCCCGACGCAGGGGAGGAAGCCAAAATGTCCAGGGCTACGGAGACGCCGGCTCCCCGGCTGACTCCTCAGTTCTGTTTCAATGAGCGGCTACTTCGGGGTATGTTGCGACCTGGCCATCGATCCATTAGGCCTCGGCCATGCGCAAACCAGAGCTGATCAATCTGCACGAAATAGATTTTCTGCGACTTTCACGCTCGACGATTGATGACTCGATCACGCAAAATCTCAACGCCTTGTACACGCCAGCGCGCGAAGGCTTCGACCCCTCCTCGACGGCTCGCCGACAGACCGACTCCCGACTCGATCGACCGATCGACCCGACGGCGTGCCAGGACTTCAAGGACAAGGTGCTCTTTCCGTCATGGCAGACTCGATCGGACGTGCTTGCTTACTGCGCTGGCGTGGCGACGAGTCCCGACCCCGAAGACCCGGATTTGATCCTCCGGCAGACGGAGTCGGCCCGGGATCGAGAGAGGGTGGTGGATGAGCGACTCGATCCGTACTCCGCTCGGTTCTTTCCGCGAGAGGCACGCACGGAGTCTCTTGCCAACGTAGTTAGGAACCAGCGTATGGTGGAGGAGATCATCCGGTCGCGAACCTGGGGCCTCGTGTCGGAGAGATGTGATGCGCCGTCTGCCGGTTGGGAGGAAGCATTAAACCAGTGGCGTGAGAGACAGCAACGCTGATTGTTTGTCCACCCTCGTTGGGATTGGGCATACAATCGGACGGCCGGAGGTCCTCACTGTATATAAAAGCATATGCGACATGCGATCATTGTACTGTACTCCAGGCGTTGGGGTTTCAATCTACATTCCAGTAGTTTTCAACCTCCACAATATACACCTTTTATAATTCCAAGTCCATCTAAGTGGTCATGGCATAGGTATCGACAGGGAAGACGTAGAGATGTTCGGGTAATTGTTGGATCGGACGACCGGCCAGATAGGATTCAACAGAACTCCAACCACGTCAAAATCAGTATTTTAGCTTCATTGATCTTTCAAAATCACTCATACGGAAATTGCAAATATTAATTATCAATATGCACCTGTCTCCTCGTAGCTAGTGCTCGATATGGGCCCACTTGGGACTGACGGATTGATCGACAACGTGAATCGCTCGCTGGTTGTTCCGCTCGCCGCCTTAGGCACTCTCCCCCCGCGCACATCTCAAGGCCACGCACAGTCACCGACCTTGGCAAGTCTTTCCACTCCGCCAACGTCCTATTCTCTCTCCTCCTCCCTCCCCCCACCCACAACCTCACCATGCCGCAACCATTGAGCTCCAAGGATGCCTCTCTGTTTCGCCAGGTGGTCCGCCATTATGAAAATAAACAACACAAGAAGGGTAAACATTGAAATCCTCCCCACCCAAACTCTTCCCACTTGAGACGTCATTTGTTAACTCCGGGCCCGCTTGGGCAAAAATCATACTATAGGTATCAAAGCCGCAGAACAGATCCTGCGAAAGAACCCCAACCATGGCGACACCCTGGCGATGAAGGCATTGATCATCAGCCAACAAGGGCAGCAGGAGGAGGCCTTCGCGCTGGCCAAGGAAGCCCTCAAGAACGATATGAAGTCGCACATTTGCTGGCACGTCTACGGTTTACTGTACCGCGCGGAGAAGAACTACGAGGAGGCCATCAAGGCGTACCGGTTTGCCCTGCGCATCGAGCCCGACTCCCAGCCCATTCAACGAGACCTGGCCCTCCTCCAGATGCAGATGCGCGACTACCAGGGCTACATCCAGAGCCGGAGCGCCATGCTCCAGGCCCGTCCGGCCTTTCGACAGAATTGGACCGCCCTGGCGATCGCACACCACCTCGCGGGTGACCTGGAGGAGGCCGAGAAGGTGCTGACCACCTACGAAGAGACCCTCAAGACCGTGCCCCACGTCGCCGACATGGAACACTCCGAGGCCGTCCTCTACAAGAACACGATCATGGCGGAAGCGGGCAAGCTGGACAAGGCCCTGGAGCATCTTGAGTCGGTGGGCTATCGGATCTTGGATGTGCAGGCGCTTCTGGAGATGAAGGCGGATTACTTGTTGCGGTTGGGCCGGAAGGAAGAGGCCGCGGCGGCCTACACGGTGCTGCTGGAGCGGAACTCGGAGAACTCGATCTACTTCGACGGTTTGATCCGGGCGAAGGACATCGCTGAGAATGACCACAAGGCGCTGAAGGCGGTCTACGATGAGTGGGCGGAGAAATGCCCGCGGGGCGATGCCGCTCGCCGCATCCCGCTGGACTTCCTGGAAGGGGACGAATTCAAGCAGGCCGCCGATGCGTACCTGCAGCGCATGCTCAAGAAGGGAGTGCCCTCCCTCTTTGCGAACATCAAGGCCCTCTACGACAACACGAAGAAGCGCGACACGGTGCAGGAGCTGGTCGAAGGGTACGTCAAGGCGGCGCCGCAATCCAATGGCGCCGCGAACGGCGATGACACTGAGTTCCTTTCCTCCACCTACTACTTCCTTGCCCAGCACTACAATTACCACCTGAGCCGGGACTTGACCAAAGCCATGCAGAACGTCGACAAGGCGCTGGAGCTCGCCCCCAAGGCCGTCGAGTACCAGATGACCAAGGCCCGGATCTGGAAGCACCGCGGCAACCCGCAAAAGGCCGCCGAGGAGATGGAGAACGCGCGACTCCTGGACGAGAAGGACCGGTACATCAACTCCAAGGCCGCCAAGTACCAGCTGCGCAACCACGAGAACGAGAAGGGCCTCGACAACATGAGCAAATTCACGCGGAACGAGACCGTCGGCGGCGCGCTGGGCGATCTCCACGAGATGCAGTGCGTCTGGTTCCTGACGGAAGACGGCGAGTCGTACCTGCGGCAGAAGAAGCTGGGGCTGGCGCTCAAACGGCTCCACGCCGTCTACAACATCTTCGACGTGTGGCAGGAGGACCAGTTCGATTTCCACAGCTTCTCCCTGCGCAAGGGCATGATCCGGGCTTACGTCGACATGGTGCGGTGGGAGGACCGCCTGCGCGAGCATCCGTTCTACACCCGCGTGGCGCTGGCGGGCGTCAAGGCTTACTTGATGCTGCACGATGACCGCGACCTGGTGCACGGACCCATGCCCAGCAGCACCAACGGGGCCAACAAGGAGGAGGATGAAGCGGAGCGGAAGAAGGCCATGAAGAAGGCCAAGAAGGAACAGCAGCGGCTGGAGAAGATCGAGATCGAGAAGCGCGAGGCGCGCAAGGCGGCCCCGACCAAGGGCTTTGACGGCGAGGTGAAGAAGGAGGACCCCGATCCGTTCGGCACCAAGCTGGTGCAGACTCAGGATCCGCTCAAGGAGGCCACCAAGTTCCTGGCGCCGTTGCTGGAATACAGCCCTGAGAACATTGAGGGGCAGTGCCTCGGCTTTGAGGTTTATCTCCGGAAAGGTATGTTCCTGTATCCCCCAGAAAAAGGAAACAAAAAAACTTAATACAGTGAACTAACGGTTATCCAGGCAAATACGCCCTCGCGCTCAAATGCCTCTCCGCCGCCCACGCCCTCGACCCCACCCACCCAACCCTCCACGCTCAACTCCTCCGTTTCCGCCAGAAACTCTCCACCCTCGCGGAGCCTCTCGCCCCGCAAGTCGCCGAAGTCATCAACACCGAGCTGGAGACGCTCCTCCCCAAATCGCAGAACCTCGAAGAATGGAACGCCTCGTTCCAGTCGACGCACGCCGCGAGCGTGGCTCACACCCAAGCCGCCCTCACCTGCCGCCAGCTCCTCAAGGCCGACTCCAAGCCACAGTGCGAAAAGGACCTCACCGCCACGCTGGACAGCCCCGATCTGACCATTGACACCGCACTGGCTGGTCTGGAGCTCCTCAGCGAGTGGGGCAGCAGTGCCGCTGCGAAGACCGCTTATGCCGAGAAGGCGAGCTCCCGGTGGCCTGAGTCGACGGTGTTTTCTCAGCTGAGCTGAATGGGTTGTTTTATTTGGCGTGTAGTTTCTTTTTCTTATCATTTTCTTTTCTTTTTTATCTTTTGACTCTATTTTTATCATTTATCTCGATGAGAGGAGATCAGATGAGATGAGTATACCTTGGTATAGACGGGTGTTCCAGTTCTGTGACCACACCGTAAGTAAGACTTAGACTGCAGAAGAAGAAAAAAAAACAAAACAAAACAAAAGGCTATAATAAAAGAGGAATGAGAATGAATAATGTCTGAGTATTTCTAGTTTATTGGTATCTGTATCTGTCTACCTTCTTTTAGGAGTATACAAATACTAATTTTCTACACAGCTCTTTCTCTTTCCATTTTAATGCTCATTCATCACTGCTTTTTGCTCACTGAGTAGTCTAAGTTGGGGCTGAGCAGAGAAGAAGTAACTAGTTATAGACTATGATATAATGTAGTATAAAACTTTGAGATAGCTACAAAAGACTTATCATAGTTTATTAGTTAAATTTAATTTATATAAAAAGGACACCAATCAACTAGTTTATCAGTCTTTCATTAATTAAAAACTCAATAATAACTCTCGTCATCGCCAGTATCTTTGCCAACCTTGACCTGACAACAACAATTTCTTTCCGCGCAGTGCCCTGTCTCTTGCCCCTCTCCTCTTTTTTTTTTGACGATTTGACAATACAGAAGATTCAAATAATTCATTGATCTTGACATTGACTGCCCATATTGCTCGATATCTTCAAATTGTAGTGTGTGTGCTCACCGAAGCAGCTGTCAAAATAATACAAAACATTCATAATGCCATGGTATTATAACCAATGAACAACTTGGCAACTGATAAGGGTGTAATCATCCACTTCATGAAAGGTTCCTTGGAATCAGCTTGACATATTGAGGCTTCTTCTTCCAGGTCATGTTCGTATGCTGGTCTGCCCAATTCTTGATCCCAGGCTGTGACTGGATATCGAAGTTCCAAAAGAAGTTGGTGACAATCAGCTTTATTTCTGCATACGCCAGGCTAGATTGATGTTAGTATTCAGCCCTCCAGCGCGGTGCTTTGTGGTAATGGAACCACGTTTGCAAGATAGTCAAAAGGGACTTACTTCTTTCCTAGACAGTTCCTTGGCCCATGTGAAAACGAACGACAGGCTTCCTTCTGGTCGCTCAAAAACCGCTCGTCCTTATCCTCCAACCACCTTTCGGGAAAGAAATTGTCTGGCTGATAGAAATTTGCCGCACTGCGGTTGCATGAATAGTGGTGCATCCCAAGTGATGTGCCTCCCGGCACGAACCTTCCACAAACCATTGCTCCAGCTTGGGGAGCGAGGCGTGGAATGGTCCCGGTGACGGGAGGGTAGATGCGGAGGGCTTCTTCCACTACGGCGTGAAGGTAAGGCAGATCTGCAGCTCGCTGGTAGCTAATCTCCTCTTTTGTGGTGAAGGAGGAGCGAATCTCGTGTATGAGACGTGAAAGTGCATGCGGGGAGGTTTGGAGGTGACATAGCATCCCTGCAAGAAGGGCGGAAGTTGTTTCGCTGCCCGCTAGGATAAGAAGTTGGCTCGTTGTGAGGATCTCTTCGAAGGTGAGCCCGTCTGGACCAATTTTTTCGCGTGAGCCTCGGAGCATGTGGTATACTTCCAGCTTGTTAGCACGCACTATCCATAATCAACCAGATTAAGAGAAAGGGGAACGTACCAAAGTCTTGCCTGTCGGTGTCCGAGGCTACACGACGGGTAAGTCGATCGCGTGCCATCTCATACTGGAATACGAAGTCATCCTGGAGATGCTTGGGTGTGAGAAGGCCCGTTACAAACTTCAACCACGACTTTGTCACGAGACGTGTTGCGGTACGCATATACACTTGAGCTTCGAGGAACCCAAATATAGATGACAGGTACCGTTCTGCTTTACCCTGCTTCAGTAGTTCAAAGGGCTCACCAAAGGCAAGATCTCCAATAACATCAAAAGTCATGAAGTTGAACCAGCTCGTCATGTCGACCACGTCATTGCCCTCGGCTATCTTCTGGTGGAGCCTCGACATGAAGAATTCAACGTAACTATGGAGGTATCCTTCCTGAACCTTGAGTGATTTCTCAGAAAATGCATGGGCGAGAAGACGACGAAGTCGGCGGTGCTCTTCACCATTCGCTCCCACCTGTATAGAGTCTTAGCAAAAAGGGTGCCAACGATGGACCAATTCACACTCAGCCATCTGGGGAATAGATATAATGTCATACAATGTGCCATGATCCATCCGGAGAGCGGACCTGCCACTCCTGATCCTTTTCAAAGAGCACTTTGCCCTTGATTGTTCGATGACCTAGCCAAACTCAGCAGGTGAGATTATGGTTTCTTCTCCAGTCCAGACGTACCGCAAATATCATGCCATGCCTGTGCTGAATTATATGACAGGGAGTTGGGCTCGGTGCGTACAGCCTCTCCGTACCGATCATGTGCCTCTTTTGTTTTCGAATGGAGAACACCCATAAGCTCCCAGTAAACAGTCCATAGTGGAGTAGCACGGGCGAGCACTGGTCCAGGAAAGTCACGTAGAGGATGAAAATAGAGGTTATATATGATCTTGCCAATCGGTATCACCGCAAAGGCAATGAAAATGGCCTGGAACAGGACTATCTTAGTAGATGCTACCAGATAAACGGCGGGGAGGAACAGACCCCTATGACTGCAGCCACGGACTTATCCAGACTGTGACCGGATAATTGTGCCGTGATATCATGAACAAGAGTCATTTTGTGAGAGTGGAATATTGCTAAGTGAAGCTGCAACTGTGTCCTACTAGCAGCAAACAGCAAGACTATCAGGCCATGCTACCCAGTGTCCTACTATGATATTTATACACATTTTCTACCTGGACATCCTATTAACCTGGTAACTACCCCGCTCTCAAGGTTCAAGTAGTGAAACAGTCTGAAGAAGCTAGTCTGTTAAGCTACATGTCAAAGGGAGGCTATAAATATGACCCTGTCAGTTAACTAGTATTGACAGCCACAGGGGTTTTTCTCCCCCCCACCCTCCCAATTAATTCCATTGGGTAGATGCAATGCATGAAGAAAGCCTCGTTGACACATGTACAAGCGAACCTCAATCCGTACTAAAGTGTTTTCCCACAGGGGGTAGCTTTTGTCCTATTCGCGAAAGAGGCCCTTATCTCCTCCGTAGCCACCTGCCACCATGTTGTGTGCTGCCTTGGAATCCCTGGTGAATATAGCTTGGCAACGGTTTTGATATATCATAAATGGACTGTTTAGTACTTTAAACCCAGCGTATTTGAACTGGAATGCAGATACCCCGCGTTGTCATGAGAGCCTTGTTCATTTGCAATGTCTTGACAATGAACTAGTGAGCTACTGGCAAAGTCATCCCCTCGAACAGACTATCCACTTTACATGCTTTGTCAAATGCGGAAATGTAAATAGTTCAAGTTTGCAATGACATGCCTATCATGCACGGAGACAGGAAGATGAAGAGTCTATGAGGCTCTTTACTAGCAGGATACATACATAGGTGTCTAGGGCCAACGCTCAGCGAGGCCGGAGATGGCCTACCATGTTGGGCTTTAGTTTATTGAACTGACGTTTTCTACCGCAATATTTTCTCGGCAAGGCTGTCACTCGAAAGATCGACATTCCGACATGATGAATGATAACAAGAAAAGATTATTGGTGGAAGTCAACAACCCTGCCCGGGGCAATTCACTTCTCACTTCCTAGTGTATTCTCAAACCCTGTAGCTGAATATTCAAAATTCCCTAGTTGGCACTAGTCGTACGTATGCACTCACCTCACAACGCAAACTTGTGATAATTACACCCTCAATCCTATCGTACGGTCGTTTGGTAAGAGCGAAGTCCCTCGGACTAAAGCACAGAGCCTGCTTGGGTTGATATTTATTTTCATATGGGCCTTCGCAGTATACTATACACACGGACAAAATGATAGACACCAGGCCTATTGGTTTATTAAGATAGGATCATTAGGCTATTAGCCTTGGGTCTCAACCATCATTTCCACCTCCCCCCCCTTAAAACCATGAAGAACTCACTAATCACGCTCCATGCAGCCCATGCAGGGAAAACTTCTTAGCTGCTGAAAACCAACTAGTAAAGAAAACTATGAAAATAGCGGCCTTGGCCTGCTGCAGCTACCTCCGCACCTACCCCCTCATCTCGAGGGGATCAACTTTCCCTGATTATCGCTGGAAGTCGAAGTCTACGAGTCACTGAACCGTAAATACCATCCCAAGGAGTCATCCATCCTTATGTATCTCACGCCCAATTGACTGATGATTCAGGAGTCGCGGAGGAGCCAAGTGAACGTTATTCAATATCTCCTGAATGAGAGAAAGTGGGTAGTTTTAGGCATAGCCATACAGAGAATTATGGAGACAATCTTCTACACTGTTCTTGAGCTCTGCCAAGAGCATGATTGAGAGATTAATGAGCCTATGAATGAGAGTGACTGTGACTGTGAAAGACTCCCATGCATAGCCATGATTTCATGCCGAGAAAAACGGTGGATTCTAACACCTAGACAGGCAGGTATAGTCCGTGACAAGGCACGGGTGCGGTGGTGTCTTGCGAATGGTGCTGATCCTAAATCCTAATAACCTGGGTTCGGGCGGCTATATTGATTTGTTAATGGGAGAAGTACAATAATCTGACATCTTCATATCAAACTTTATCAGACATTCAGGATTAAGCTTATATAGTCCCATATATCAAAGAACTAAATACAACGATTTATATTCCTACCAGGGCTGCATTCTTGTTAGATATGCCTTGCTGAGATACGTAGAAAAGTCTAAGACTAAGATCATATGAATGTTCAAGGTATAACAGATAGAGGTGTCGTATCGATATTACTATATACTAAGATGGTGACTAGAATCGAAGAGAAGAACTCCAGCTTGATCACTGCGTCCAAGCAACCCGGTGAAAACAAATAGATAGAAACCCCCAAGAAGGATAATATCCTGCCCTGTTTATAATACTCAGTAGTACCAAACATCAAGGGTTTTCAAAGGAAAATTCAACATATTTCAAAGATGGCAAGAAGCAGTCATTTAGTGGGGCTCCACGGCCTGGTTGAAAATGACTTGGATGATGAAATTGCGAATTTCCCTGTAGATTCTGAACTCATTTGCTTCTAGTAGATTTTATCCCATCTGCTATCATGATTATTATAGAGAATTTGTAAATATACCTATAACTAGTTACAACTAATAATAACTAGCCATAACATCTGCAACAAGAGACAGTTATTCTACAACTACTGGTAATCCCTTGCAATATACAGAACAGCACCACCTTGATGTACTATGGGTAGTCAGAAAGAGAATATAGACAAAGGGTCTAGGCCTAAGTTTCTTACCATATATCACCAACTTTCTACTTGTGTCATTGTGTATGGTGGTACAATGATCTGGGCAATCTTGAGGGCTGTTCATCAAAACACCAGACTGCCCCTACAAAACCAAGGGCGGGTGAGTAGATCAGGGCTGACCACGTCTGCTCACCGAGTATTGAATGAGTACTAACTAAGTGCTCACTGAGCAAGCCCCATGAGTACCCTTACTAAAGCGGAGAGATCCAAAACAGGAAACTCGCAAAACTATAGAAAAACAGGCGCGTATATGTACATATGTACATATGTACTGTAGACTGGGTTAGTTCGATTGTAGCTTTGCTGTGAGATTGGGTACTCCGTATAGACTGACGCAGAAACCGAGAAGAATACTGGAGATGGCTCGATTAATTTCATTCAATCCAAATGTATTCCAAAGGCAGCCGCTATTCGTACAACTAAACTAAACTAATACTAGTTACAATGACTATAAGTAGGAGATGTTTCAACCAAACCAACCCGTCTATATACTATGAACAATCAAACGCCTCCCCATCCACCAATCTGGGTGTGAACCAGGAACGGGACAATGATGCAAGGTACCGAAGTGCTATCACTGATCACCCTCACTGTCCAAATCCCCCAGAATCACCTTCCGCTTGAGCGTTTCCGCGTCCTCGCCGTAGCCATACTTGATCCACAGGTGCTGCCAGAATGACACGGGGGCCGGGCGTTCCTCGCCGAGGATGTACTCCTCGCCGTGGAGGATACGATGCGAGCGGGCTTCCTCGTCGGGGGAGACGGTGTAGCGGTGCATGCGGGAGGCGATACGCGGGTCCAGCACGATGTCGTTTAGCCATTCGCGCTCACGGTCTGGGTTTGCCTCGTCTGTGCGGTGCACTGACTTGTGCCACTCTTTCTCTTCCTCTTCGAGGGCGGTCTGCTGTTCGGTGTTGCCTGAGCCACCGTCTACGTAGGGTCGGCTGTAGGATGCGAGGACTAGGCCGGCGACTTCGCGGCCGACGTGGTCGGCGAGGGAGCGCTGGTTGAGGTAGCGCCAGATGCGGATGGGCGTGTTGAGGAAGCCGAGGATGTGGGGGAAGGGGACGGGGACGGAGCCGGCGAGGGTTGGGGGCAGGGTGGCGGGGAGCTGTTGCGAGGAGTAGTCGGCGGGAGCGAGATATGCCGGGGTCGGGCCGGTGGGTTTGGGCTTCTCTTCCTTCTTTTCCTCTTCCGGCTTCTTCTCCTCCGATGGTTCCTCGGGCTTCTTATTCTCTTCCGAGGCTTCTGTGGTGGGGGCGCTGTCGGCGGAGCTCCCCTCCACTGCGGTGGCCGTCTCACTCGCGACCGGGGTCTCCGGAATGGTGGGTTCCTCCGGCACTGCGGACGGGGGTGGAGGCGGAGGATCGAGGGGGCCCAGCCAGCCCTCGTGCAGACCCCGAATGTACTCCTTCCAGGTGTGACGCCCGATCACCAGGTCGCCCTTGGGACCGGGTTCCTCTGTAACGCCAATCTTCTGCCGAGCATCGGCAACCACATCTTCAACGCCAGGCTCCAACACTACCGAGCTAGGCTCCCCGTTACTCCTCCGGTCCTTGCGGATGCGCTCCGCCAGTCCGGCGCGGACATCGCCTTCTCTCCGACCCTCAATGACATTGTAATCCAGCGCGGCGGCGACCAGAATCGGCTTAACGTATTGCTTGAAATGGTCCCGGGCATTCCGGATACCATCGCCCGGGGGCGCGGACAGGAAGACGGTGATCTTCCTTCGGGTCTGATCGATGGGAAGGGATTCCTTGGAGAGATGGGCGACCAGGTCGCACCACTTCTGCTGGGCGCGCTTCTTTTCCCGACGGTCGTAGAGCAAAGCGGCCGTGAAAGACCCGGTGACGGAGAAAAAGATCATCCAGTTGCGGGAGGGGAGCTTGAAGCGGAAGTTGGGCATTCCCATCATCCTCATGGCTGGGTTCTGGGGTTTGGCTTTCGGGGCCGGGTTCTGGGTTTGGCCTGTCGGCGCCGGGGGGTTCGAGGGGTCCGACATTGTGGGAGATGATGGAGTCAGTATCTAGAACAAAAGAACGGCCCTTCGTGTCGAGACAGACAGACAGACACACTCCAACCTCACAATCAACCTCACATCGTCATTTCGGAGGAAAAAAAGTCGGGAACGCCAAGCCTTCGGGGAGGGATATTCCGGGCCGAGGTCGACACCTGACAGATGCCTGGTTTACACCTGGTTTGTCAGGTGTCGACTAACCCTAATCGATTCACAATAACTTCATTCTTTCATTTGATAGTCTGCCAATACAGATTGAAGGTGTTTTTCTCGATTGATCAGGTAGGTCTAGATGTCTGAAATGAATGAGGATCCAACTGGACGAGTGAATCCCCGCCATAAGTCTAGAACCAGACTCATCCGACGATGTAGACCAGATGTGTACTCCGTGGAATAGAATCATCTCTCTTGTCTTCTCTTTTTTCTGTCTTTCCTTCTATTCTCTCTCCTGTAACAGATCGTGCCAGTGATCAACCCAATAGAACTTGCATCAAATGATCAAATCAAGAAAGTAGAGTGGTTGTATTGAACTGGTGGGCTCTCCACTTATTTCCATTCCCCTCCTGGATTCTACTGGTTCTCTCGCCGTCTCTCCTGAGCCACCGCTTCTCCTCCTTACAACGCTCGCTCTCTCTCTTCCCCTCCCCCTGTCGTTTCATCCCACTCCGTCCCTTCATTTTTCTCGGTACTTCCTTCTTTTCCACCCCTTCGACATTTTGAAAGTGGACTCGGAATCAATCAATAAATAAAGAAAAGAAAAGCAGCGCAAGGAATCAATCCCACCAGGATGGATCCGAACAACAATCGTCTCCACCTGAATTTTGGGGGAGGCTTCAATAATGCCGCCGCCGCCAACAACAACAATCGCGCATATCCCACCACCCCCTCCGCCTTTCCCCAGCCGATGTACCAGAATCAGGGTCCCCAGGAGTATATGGATCCCCAGTACGGTCAGGGCTACTTCATGAATAATCCCTATCCGCCCCAGCAGCCCGCCGGGTACCCCCATCCGCAATATGGCCAGCAGAACGTGCCCTCCCCGCAACCGGCTTACCAGTCTCGCATGGCCTACCCCCCCAGTGATGGCACCAATGGTCTCATCCAGCAGTTCTCCAACCAGGATCTGAACGCCAGTCGCACCGGTTTCTTTGGTCGCTCCGCCTCCCCCGCCCAGCGGCCCCGGACCGGCGGGGGCTCTCCGGCCCCCGGTCAGCCCCCTCAGGGCCATCTGGTCCCTCCCATGCCCCGCAGCCCTCGGGTTGCCGACAATGAAGAGCTTCAACGGTACCCGGAACGGTTCTCGGAGAATGTGCACAAGCGAGGCAAGGCCGCTAAGGAGTTGGTCAATGTATTCTTCAACGAGAACATCGAGCGGGCGCGTGATCGCAACATGCGGTAAGTCATGCAACGGTCATACAGAAAGGAAGAATCAGGGAGAGAGATATATAAAAAGAGAGAGAATGGTGCTGACAAGTTGATGCGCGAACAGGTCGGCGGAGCTTGATAAGATGATCCGGGACCCCGGTGTCCCCACGGACAAGAAGCGCCACGAAGGCGAGAACGTCGCGCGGAAGGAGTCCAATTTCCTGCGATTCCTCCGCACCAAGGAGTCCCCTACCAATTTCCAGACCATCAAGATCATCGGCAAGGGTGCGTTCGGTGAGGTGAAGCTGGTGCAGCGCAAGACCGACGGCAAGATCTACGCCCTCAAGTCCCTGATCAAGACGGAGATGTTCAAGAAGGACCAGCTGGCCCACGTCCGCGCCGAGCGCGATATCCTGGCCGACTCCAAGGACAACCCGTGGCTCGTCAAGCTCCACGCCTCCTTCCAAGACACCGCCTACCTCTACCTACTGATGGAATTCTTGCCCGGTGGTGATCTGATGACCATGCTGATCAAGTACGAAATCTTCTCCGAGGACATCACCCGCTTCTACATGGCCGAGGTCGTCATGGCCATCGAGGCCGTCCACAAGCTCGGCTTCCTGCACCGCGACATCAAGCCCGACAACATTCTGCTCGACCGCGGCGGCCACGTCAAGCTCACCGATTTCGGCCTGTCCACCGGCGGCAAGAAGACCCACGACAACTCCTATTACCAGAACCTCCTGAAGAACTCCACATCCAAAGACAAGAACCGCAACTCGGGCTACTTCAACGACGCCATCAACCTGACCGTTTCCAACCGAGGACAGATCAACACCTGGCGCAAGTCCCGTCGCGCCATGGCCTACTCGACCGTCGGTACTCCCGACTACATCGCCCCGGAGATCTTCAACGGGCAGGGCTACACCTACCTGTGCGATTGGTGGTCCGTCGGCGCCATCATGTTCGAGTGTCTGGTGGGCTGGCCGCCTTTCTGCGCCGAAGACACCACCGATACTTACCGGAAGATCGTCAATTGGCGCGAGTGCCTTTACTTCCCTGACGAACTCATCCTGTCTCGTGAATCCGAGTCTCTGATCCGAAGGTATGTCTCTACTTTTCCTTTTCTCCATTCCACAATCAGCTAACGGATTAGTTTCCTGTGCGACCCCGACCACCGCATCGGCAATGATGGCGGCCAGTTTGGCGGCGCCACGCAGATCAAGAACCACCCGTTCTTCCGCGGCGTGGTCTGGGACCAGCTTCGCAACATTCGCGCGCCGTTCGAGCCGCGGTTGAGCTCCAACATCGACGTGTCGTACTTCCCGATCGACGAGATCCCGCAGGAGGACACGAGCGCCATCCACAGGGCCCAGGCGCGCGCCATGCCCGACGAGCAGGAGGCGGAGATGAGCCTGCCCTTCATCGGGTACACCTACAAGGCCTTCAACGCTTTCCAGGCCAACTAAAGCCCTTGAAAAAGAAAACACAAAAAGAAAAAAGAAGAAGAAGAAAAATCGAATGTCTATCGAATTTGTTGCATTGTGCCGGGGGTCGATCAACCTGGAGAGCCTGAAAGCGGGGGCGGGCTTGCGCCGATGTCTTTCCAGCGGTTTCATCTAGATTCATCTCAAAGTCGTCTTTGTTTTTTATTTTGAATTTCTTACAGCATATAGCGCTTTTGTCCACTCTATTTGTCCACCCATTTGTCCACCTTTGAATGGTCACGACCTGAGCATTTTGTTACCGCTGCTGCTATTGCCACTGTCTTGTCTGTTTGCATCTGTCGCCAGACGACTGCTTGTATCTACGTTGCGTCTTCAGACTACTTGCGATGCGAGTCTTGTCTATATTGATGGTTGGTTGCACCTATCGGGGCTATCCTTACGTATTTGGTATGTAAATAAGTGAGGTATGAATATACGCTCTTGTACGTCTTCAACTTACTGTGATCCATCTATTGCAATGCTTTCCTCTAACCAAAGCATTGCAATACTACTAGCATGTAGATAAGAGCTGGACATCGCATAGATTGATTGAAGCACGCTCGATCTCAACAATAGTACAGGATATTAGACCAATTTTAGACAGAAACCCAAACGCCTCACTCTCCCTGTGGACAACAATGAAATAAGATAAAAAATCAAGCACCAGCCCCCATAGGCGCCAACCCAGGCACACCACTAAACCTCTCCTCCCTCTCCGTCTTGAACATAATCTGCACCCAAAACTCCTTACTATCCTCATCAAACCAAGTCCAATACCGCCCCTCCCGCCGATCAATCTCCCTCGCCTGTAACTTAAACGCACAGGTCTGATACGGCTCCGCCGCCACAACCAGATACTGAAAGTTCTTATCCGGCGGATCCTCCACCTTCTGCTCAAACGCCGACATAAACCGCACCCGCGGCACCACGCCCGCCGTGATCTCCTGATACTGCAACTGAAACAGCAACCCCAGCTGCCTCGTCAGCGGATCCCGGACCTTCGTGATCTTGTACCCGGGCCGCCCGATCTTGATCGTCTGCTTCTTGACCTGCACGCCCATCGCGCCGGGCAGGTTCGCCGGGTCTTGGTTTTTCCCCTCGCGCTGCTCACGCGCGGCGCGCCGCGCGAGGTTCGTTTGGTGCTTTCGCCCCTGGGTGTGCGCGAGGTAGGACCCGTCATTTTGGTGCACTGTTAGGCAGAGTCGGCATTCGAAGCTGCCGACGTGGTTCTTGAAGAAGTAGGGGTCTTTGTCGAGGTCGATGGTTTCGAGGGCTAGCTTGCGCAATCGTTCACGTCTGTCGGCGTTTGTGGCCGATTGGGAGGCGACGCCGCCACCGCCGAAGGAGGCTCCTGCGCGGTTCTGAGTTGTTTAGTATCCTATGTCTTCGCACTCTGTGCTGGAGAAAAGTAAGCAAATACTTACTTGGCGATCCATTGTAATCGATGGATGATGGAGTGGATGAGAAGTGGTTACAAGGACCCTTGAAGATAGAGCAGAGAGGTGGTTATCATATCATTCATACGGGTGGCAGATCGAATTTCGCCGATGTTATGTAAGCGTATCGCCCGTCTGCCATTGGCGGAGGTACTTTCAGTCAACCACAGCCTGAAGTATTTATGTACTGTTGTTGCAGCGAATATATCTAGTATTTTGAATTTCTATTCGTTTTGTCATAATCTCCACAGATGATAAAGTATGGCTGAAATACACATCAACCAGCGCCTCTCCTACGGCGGGGACCTATGCACCGTCCGCTACATCGGCAAGGTCGACGGCACAGCGGGGGATTGGCTAGGAGTTGAATGGGATGACGCGACGAGGGGAAAGCATGCGGGCGAGCATCGTGGGGTGAGATACTTTACATGTCTGTCATGTCTTACCACTTATTTGGGGCTCCCCCTTCGGTGAAGCAACCTACTGATTGAGCTATCAGGCCGAAGCAACCAGCCCACAGCAGGCTCATTTGTCCGTCCCTCGCGGCCGGCGGACAAACCTCGTGGGTTTCTCGAGGCTTTGAGATACAAGTATGCTTTGGGGTTTGAGGAGCAAGAGCGTGCACGCGAGATGCGTCTTAGTGGTGATGGTGGTGTTGCCGCTGCTGCAAAGAAGCCCGTCATGTTCAATGGTAAGATCGCCGAGGAGATCGGCTTTGACAAAATCCGGAAACAGCTGGCGGAGCTCCAGGAGCTGAGTATTGTGCTTTTGGATGGGCTGCTGGTGGGTGGTGTTCTTGGCAATGCGGATGGGGCTGGTGCGGAGCAGCGTGATGCTGCTTGTAAGGAGATTGAGCAGGTTTGTCCGAAGATTACGGAGCTGGATTTGAGTAGGAATTTGCTGGTGAGATGGGGGGAGGTCGCTGACATTTGTGCGCGGTTGAAGCGGTTGAGTGTGTTGAAGTTGAGGTTTGTGTTGCTTTTGCTGTGTAAAGGAGGGGATGGATGATGGGCTAACTGGTATAGTTCAAATCGCTTTGGTCCTGTTGAGGAAGGGCTTAGGTTTGAGGGGATTGCGGAGTTGAAGGTGGATGATACGCTTCTGTCTTGGGATGAGGTAAACTGTTTGATGTCCTATAAATGTGTGGAGTCTAATGGGGTGCAGATAATAGGACTGACGGGCCAATTCCCGTCACTGACTTCGCTGTCGGCCTCTGCCAACCAGATCGCCGAGATCTCCACTCCTATTTCGAGCTCTCTGCGGTTACTAGTACTGGAAGGCAATGAGATCACCTCGTTGGCATCCCTTAAGAAGCTAACGTCTGTGACTACCCTCGAGCGTCTTTCCTTACGAGAAAACAACCTCACTACCAGCCATGGCGCCAATGACTCGGACAACCCCATCCGATTCTCACCCACCCTTAAATCCGTGGACCTCTCAAGAAACAGCATCAACTCGTGGACCTTCGTCAACGACCTCACCAACATCTTCCCCGGACTCGAAGTCCTCCGCATATCCCAAAACCCACTCTACGACCAACCCGTCGGCTCGCAGGCCGTCACAGGCATGCCAGAGAAGCCCATGACAGTAGACGAAGCCTACATGCTGACTCTCGCGCGACTGTCCAAATTACAAGTGCTGAACTACGGCACAATAACTGCCAAAGACCGGTCCAACGCAGAGCTATACTACCTCTCTCTCATAGGCAAAGAGCTCTCTGCGACCCCGGAGGCTGCGGAGCCAGGCATCCTCGCGGCGCACCCTCGCTATCATGAGCTCTGTGAGACGCATGGCCAGCCCTTGGTGAGACGTGCTGAAGTGGATGGACTGCGCGCAGCAGTAAACCCGCGCTCCGTCGCTGCGCGACTGGTCAGGTTTGCTTTCCGTCTGGCTGTGTCCCCTGAGGACGACAAGAGACCCGGTGATCAACTTACCAAACTCATCGAAATTCCCCGATCCTTTGATACCTATCAAACCAAGGCCATTGTCACGCGTCTGTTCGACCTACCGCCGTATGAATTCAAACTGGTCTGGGAGACGGATGAGCTGGACCCGGTGAGCAAAGAGAAAGTGGATGACGAGGATGGATGGGACAGCGAGGATGACACTCTTGATTTGAAAGATGTTGCGGAAAAGGTTGCAGACGACACGCGATTTGTCAAACGAGAGGTTGAGTTGGTGGATTCTACGAAGGATATTGGGTTCTGGTTCCCGACTGATTTGGTGGAAGCGATGGTTAGAGTTGAAAGGGTGTCTCGCTCGTGATATATGTAGCTAGTTTCAATGAGTTATGAGTGATGCTTTATGTATATTCAGATGATATACTGAGTTTATTTCATTCGTGAAAGTAGGTACCTCACTGAGGTAGTGAATACCACTCAATAGCATTGTATACATGCGCCCAACGATCAGATTACCGTATCGGGATTAGCCCCGGCAGTACCTCCGACTCTGATATGACCTCAATTCAATTGCCAACAACTTCCCTACACCACCGCCTCCTTTTACTTTGTCGCCAGCGGAGAAAGAAGCCAATAGACACCGCCCACCATGGCCGAACACTGGAAATCAACGGTCAGTCCATTTATCCTATACTTCTCCCCATTTCCCACCCTCGAATCTCAACAACCAAAGGTTATACTACAACAACACCACTAACTCCCCTCCAGCCCAGATACTGGTGCAAACAATGCAAGATCTACATCCGCGACACAGCCTTCGAAAAAACCCAACACGAAGCCACCGGCCGCCACCAAGGCAACCTCAAGCGCTTTCTCCGCGACATCCACCGCGACAACGAGCGCCAACAGCGTGACACGCAGCGCGCCAAAAGCGAAGTCGAGCGGTTGCGCCAGGCCGTCTCTGGCAGTCCGGCCTCCGCCGGAGGACAGGACTCCGACTCCACTGCTGCTGCTGCTGCTGCTGCGCCGCCGCCACCACCACCGCAGCAGAAGTCGGCGTCGGTTGAGGAGCGCAAGAAGCAGATGGCGCAGTTGGCGGAGATGGGGGTCGCGATTCCGGATGAGTACCGTGGGGATATGTCTCTTGCGGGAGATTGGCAGACGGTTTCGACGAGGGTGATTAGGGAGGAGGGGGAGGGAGAGGAAGGTGGGGTTAGGGGCGTGAGGAAGAGGAAGATGCAGGAGGTGGATGAGGAGGAGGAGGAGGCGAAGAGGGAGGCCGAGAAGTTTGTGAGTAAACCATGGGGATCTCGCACGAGGGTGTATCCTGGTGCCGCTGGGGGTGAGGATACGGATCTTGATGCGCTGTTGGAGTCGACGAGGGATCTGAAGAAGGGGAAGTCTTCTGGTGGGGACAGCGGGCATGGGGACAATGGTAATGGAGACAGCGGTCATGGGGAGAGTGAGACTGCAACCGCGCCGGATGGTGTTACTGCAGAGCCTGAGAAGCAGGTCAAGGAAGAGGCAGAGGAGGAGAAGCCGGAATCTAAGATGGCTGCTGAACCTGCCAAGCCGGCGGACGATGCAGCTGGGGGAGTGGTTTTCAAGAAGCGCAAGCCGAAGGTAATGAGGAGATGATGGTGCTGGGATAGCATCTCATTTACTACGCTAGAGAACCTTTCTATGGCATCTCATGCAGAGACTGGTCCGTCTGGTCGGGTCCAGCTTCAGCGGCTCCCAACTACTTCCTTACCCGGTTATGGATTCGGACCAGTACTAGGATAGTCTTACCATGGCTATCCAATCCCCCATCCAGTGTCTGACACTCACGGAGTCGGGACATGGATATGACTCCGACCATACCTACAGGGGTATGGCAGGTTCACACATGCGTGGATGAGCCTCGGATGACTGGTTTATCACCATACCAGTTCAGTGGCCATACCAGCTCACATATGATTCACCCTTGGAACCATATTGGTTCTATCTATCTTTGGTACATCTAGAGGCGACACCGGAATAGGGAGCAGGAGGCTCTGTGGATAGGCAGAATGACAGTTCTTCCTATCTGACGTGAATCCACAGTGTCAATATTTCTTTCTGGAAACAGAGACATGACTTTGAAATCAATTGACTAGGTCAGAAAGTGCCTTTCTCTTCCTTGTTGTTGTCTAAATTTGACTATAATGGTTCCCCAATGATAAGGTTATCCGCCCTGAGTAATTTGTATGCACCATATAATCAAGTAATTGAGATCCAATAAATTTCGAAAAATGCAGAAAAATATAAAGAACAATAATGTACAATATCAAATATTTTTCCTGATTTTGTAGGGTGGCAGGCCAACAATATACATGTGTTCATTCACGGGCGGAGGTGTTTTCCCTCCTGGGTCTCCCAGTCAGTCTTTTCTTTGGCTTCCCGAAAATCCGCCCAAGTTCTTCTTCCCTCTCTCTGTCGCGCCCAACACTCTCTGTCGCATGGGATTTCCCAGTGTCCAAATCCCATTCTACTTCCCCCCTTTCGTCCACCTTCACCGATGCGGCTCCTGTTAGTTCCCGAATTGTTCCATCTGGTGGAATAGTCTTTCGGCTCGCTTCTTTTCGCTTATCTGGCCGAGTCCTGCGTAAGTAAAACGAGTCCTGCGTTTCCTGCATCTCCCCCTTCTCCCCCCGTTTCCTTCCCCACAGGAGAGATCCTCGCCAGCCCTTCTACGTTTCTTCCGTCTGCCGAGAGAGTTTGTTTTCTCCTCTTTCGTCAGTATTGAAGGTGGTTCTGGTTTCCTCCTGGTCCCTCTCGATGGCGCAAAGAATGGTCCTGGTCGTTGCGGAACGAGGAGACTCCCGCCGGTCGCGGTCACCAGGGGCATGGAACCGACCTCTTGGAGTTTACTCCTCTCGATGGCGAAGATGAATCAGGGACGTTGTCGAGGCCAGCAGGACGGTGTGATGTGCCTACAATGGTCGACGTGGACCCCCGTGCGATGCGCTTCCTCCGAGACGCTTTGATCGATCGCGATCATTTTTCTCTCCGGACGTCCGCGCGACCAGAAGACCCAATTTTTCACCTTTCCTCTTTCTATACTCTACCACTAGACATACTCGTGCACGCTCATACTCATGCGCTCTGTTCATTCTGGGCTTCTTTTCTCGGCGTATTTTACTAATACTCTTGAAGAGCGAAGTTAGGATCTAATAGGATCAACAATCTTGGCCCGAACGCTGAGAGCACTGCGGTCCGAACCGGAACACCTGGCTGTTGACGGCAGAGAGTCAGACTTAGCGGCCCCTGGGGCGTTCAGCACCGAGGTCCATCCCCCTATACGAAGATAACGATCCGAACGCCTGCGCACCCGGTTACATCAGAGGTCAGATACGTTTGAAATGGCGGACTCTGCAGAACCCGCCAACCCTCCTGGGGATTCACCCAAGGAGAGCACGGAGCCCAGCGACGTACCTGAACTGCCTGCACTACCTGCACCAGAGACCGGCGGACCGACTGAGGGGGATACATTTCCGTCGTACGACCTGTCGCTGCCCCCGATCGATAAAACAATGCCGGAGGATGATCCGCCTCTCCCAAGCTTCGATACGTCACTACCACCGATAGACTCCTCAATCCCATCGCTGCCATCGATCGACACCACCTTACCGCCGATTGACACGACGCTGCCGGCTCCGGAACCTACGGACTCGAACTTCACCTTTGACGACGCGGACCCAGATGACTCTGAAGGGTTTGGGTCGGTGACACCGGGGCCTCTGTCCGATGGTATGATGAATCACGGGAATGGACATACAGGGCAATTTGGGCATGCCGACTTCTCGCAGCAATCGCCGTCCAACGGTACCCACCACCAATCCCCGGGGCAGCCGTACCAGCAACAACCGCCTCCTGGACTACAGAACAACCAACCCTATCAAGAATCGCCGCAGTATCAACACCAACCCCCGCCACAGCAGTACTCCCAACATCAATCGTCGCAACCGCCGACGCCACAACAGCAACAACAGCCGCAATCGCAGTATGCTCCGCCACAGGGACAGACACCGCAGCAGCCCGGCACACCAATGCAGCAACAGTCGCAGTCGCAACCATACCAGCAGCAGAATTCCGACTCATATTACCACACTCAAAATGCGTCTACGCCCACCAACAATGGCCAGCCAATGCAACAGCAGGGACAATCACCGCACGTCCCGCAGGCGCCGATCGGGTCCCCCATGCCCCCGATGGCGTCGGTGGGTCAGTACATGACGGGATACCCGTCCCAGATGGGCATGAACTCCAACTCCCAGATGCGATATTCGCTGTCTGGTGATCCCAGCAAGATGTTGGCCAGCGGGCGACATAAGAAAGAAGTCAAGCGACGAACCAAGACGGGGTGTCTGACATGCCGCAAACGACGAATCAAGGTACGTGAAAACAATTAAAATAGGAACAAAAGGCAAAGAGAGAAAGAGAGCAAGCAAGAACACGTGTTGGAGTGACATATACATCATTCTATATTATTTGCTTTGATATGGGAGATGCAGGTAAGACGGAGCGAGGAGGGGGAGACATGTGGGGTGAGCGGGCGAGTCACAGAACGGGCCTGAGTGTGCTTCGCTTGTTCGTCCAGCCCACCCGCCGCTGCAGAAGCGAGATCTCCCCTCTTCCCTCCGTCTCAACTCTCTGGCTACACCTCTCCACACTTCCCTATCCTTTTTATTGTTTTACTTTCAGGTCTTGCTTTCTTGTGGGACTGTTCTTGTTCTTTTGTTCACGAAAAGACCCTCGATCTATTGTTGCCGACCCACTTTATCCTTCCCAAGCTAACCCTCCGCTTCTAGTGTGACGAAGGCCACCCCGTCTGTCGCAACTGCGTCAAGAGCAAACGCGAATGCTTGGGTTACGATCCCGTGTTTAAACCGCAGCCTACGCCGTCGGCCATCCAGCCGGCGCCCAATCCTCATCCGTCCTTGGTGGTCAATCCGCAGGATCCTTCGCCGCCCCAATACCCGTCCGCTCCTCCGGGATACGTCCCGGCCGTGTCGCAACCATTTGCCCCGTCCGAATCGCCCAGTACTTCGGAACAGTACAACGGCAACAACTACGGGGCGTCCATTGACCCGTCGCTAGACGGGAACAACGCGCCGAACATGGCCAGTGTACAGAGTGCCGTCGAGGGGGGTCTCCAACCCACGATCAACCCGGCCACGACCACCAATCCTCCGGCGGACCCGACAAGCTTTCGAGGTATGTTTATGATCTAAGTCCCTGCGGTCTCGTCGAATGCGGTATGCTAAGTTGCTCGTCTAGTCAAACAAGTGCAGATCAACGATCTTCTCGCTCTGCGCGGCATCCCTCCCCCTCCCCCACATCCGATCACCTCTCTCCCTCCCAACCGCTTAGAAGAGATCCAGGCCGTGTTCCTGGCCACCTATGCCCCCGCCATGGACAAGTTTTTCGAGACGAGTTGGTACCAAGAAAAGGCTCTGCAGCACCTCTTGGCCAACGGCCAGCTCATGGCCGAGTATTCGGCCCTGATCGACGCCTTCAACGACCGAAACCTCAGCGATCCCAATGTGGTCGCGCGGCTGGAGAGTTTCGAGGCATCGGTGGTCTGGAGCACCATGACCCTCTGCCGCCACGTCATGAACGTCTCGAACGGGAATCACGCGCAAGACTACGACCTGCTCGCGGCGACGAAACGGCTCGATGTCATCGAGGCCCTGATCACGGGCGAGCATCTGAACGCGAATCCGCTGGCGCAGTTCCCCGCGCGGGAGCCCGCCGCTAACCCGCCAACACTCCCGGACCAACTGACGCAGCGGTGCCTGGATTTCTGGAGCTGCCTCGGGTACTTCCTGACGCTGCACGACAACGAAGCCAGCTCCGCCAAAGAGATCGACGACACGCTGGGCCGGTGTCGTACCCTCCTGGATACGTTCGAGAACCGCGACGTCATCTACTCGGTGGCCATCGCGCGTCACTTGGGCCAGCGGTGGGCCGACTTCCCGCGCAGTTTTCCGCAACCTATCACCACGAACGAGAAGGATGCAGGGGCCAAACTCTACGTGGCGCAGAAGTTCCTCGAGCAGGAAGCCGGCGGCAAGGGCACCACGCAGGTGATCAAACGCATCTGCGGCATGGTGGTCCGATCGTGGTTCGTCTCGCGGGAGTAGACAGCGAGACGCGGGTACTCCAGCAATATTCTCCCACCCCCCCCTCTCTCCTTCACACCTTCACACATCCCTTTTTCTGTCTGCTGTAATACCAAAAAAGCGCATTGGCGAGACGATCTATTTTCACTTCCTTTCCCTTCTCCCCTTTACATTTCTGGTGTTTCAACTAGATCTTTTGCATGATGTGATTTCCCGTCCCGTGGACCGGACCGCGATGGACGATATCTCTTACTTACTTTACCCTCTTATACCTCGATTGGTTCATCCGGTTTTTTATTTTTCTTTTTGTTAGTACGGTTTGATTATTTACGAGGACGAGTCATGGCTTCGGAGTTTACCCCTTTTGTTACTCTTTTTTTAATCCTTTTTCTTTCTTTGTGCTTTGCAATGAGAGACAGGACGGCAGCATTTGGCGTTGGTCTGTCCATCCTTTCTTCCACATATCAATACATACATACATACAATATTCGATTCAATGACACCCGACTTGCAATGCAATAACCGAAATTCTGTCTTCTCTCATTGTCTTTTTCCATTCTGGAACCGACAATTCTAATTCTGCACATTATATACAAGCTTAGGATACCACCGCCACCCACTCTATAATCTCGAACTGACTCTGACTCTATGATGCACAGCTGCGTCGGGAAATGGAATTCTTCCTCGACTGGCTGTATGTGTATGATTGTACGGATACGGGTATGAATGTATTAGGAGTGGGAAGACACGGGGTTAGTTTCGTTTGTTTGGGATTGGATTGGGAGTGGCAATGAACCGGGAGATTTCTATATCGAAGGGGGAGAAAGCGGAAGGGGGAGAAGAGAAGACCTTACAGGTCTGCTTGCTCGGGGACAGGAGTCTTCAGCTTTCCTGTCTCGAGCGCTAGTCGCACGTTCTCCATTGCCCATTCTTCCATGGCTGTTTGGGTCTATATTTTATGTGTATGTTAGCGTTTCATGCGTGAGAGTTGTGGTAGTCTGTTCGAATGCATGTGCGTGAAGGAAAGGAAAGGAAAGGAAAGACAAACCTCCACCGTCCAAGTACCCATATGCGGCACAAGCATCACATTCGGATTGCTGACCAGACCCGGGTGGATCTTGGGCTCCTCCTCGTAGACATCCAAACCAGCGGAGTAGACCTTGCCGCTGTCGAGGGCGGCGACGAGAGCGGCTTCGTCGATGACGGCCCCACGCGCGGTGTTGACGATGACGACGCCGTCTTTCATCTGTGCGAATTGGGGGGTGCTGATAATGTGGCGGGTGTTTTTCTGTCGGTCTTATTAGCTGTGCTCACACACCCTGATGTCGTCCCTTCAACGAAGCATAGGAGAAGTGGGAGGGTACATTTAAAGGCAAATTCAAACTAATCACATCACTCGTCTTGAGCAACTCCTCAAACGAAACATACTGCGCCCCCGCAGCCATCTCCTCGCTCAACTCCCGCCGATTGTGGTAGATAACGCGCATGCCGAATACCTCAGCCTTGCGCTTCAAGTTCCGTCCGATGCCGCCCATGCCCAGAATACCGAGCACCTTGCCTTGCGGATCGTGGCCGAGGATGGGCGCGGGCACACCGCGCCACTTGCCGTCGCGCAGGGCCTGCATGCCTGTGTTGAAGTTGCGCAGGGCACCGATGATCAGGAACATGTTGACGTCGGCGGTGGCGTCATCGACGGCTGTGGGGACGTTGGAGACGCGGATGGGGGGACTGCGCGCGCTGCAGGCGTGTACGTCCACTTGGTCGTAGCCGGCTCCTGTTGGGTCAACCGGTTGGTGTTGTCAGCCGTCCAGTCTTGTCTGGTGTATTCTATCTGTATTTGGCTAAGGGAACAGGGTCGAGTGTGTTTGTGTTGGAGGCATACCGCAGTGCGCGAGATATTGTAGCGATGTGGGCAGCGCATTCACGATCTCTTCGTCGACGAGGCCCGTTACGCTGACGGAGTCGAAGGTGCGGTAGGCGGCTACCACGCCGTCAAGCTTTCCGGAGCGGCATTCTTGGATGAAGTCGGCGCGGTTAGTAGCTGTGGGAGTGACGAGGTCGGCGAGCTCGGACAGGGAGTTCCATGTTTGGTGGGCGCTGTCAAGTTATGAGTATGAGCCATTGTGTGGGGGGGGTGGTGAGGGAGGGGTAGACGGACTGGATGATTTTACCCAGGAGGAGAACCTTTGGTTTGGACATGGTGAATGATGCGATCTATTCTATATGGGAGGTGAAATCGGTGAGGGTGTAGAAGAGGAGGGGGAGAGGAGGAGAGGGGGAGAGTCGTGGCGAGAAGAACCACGAAGCATTACTTGATGAAGCGGATTATATACGATAACCCCACGTGCCCCCACTCTTCCTCTTCGCATTTCCATCAATCATCGTCAACTCTCCACTACAGACAGACAGGACTACTAATTTACACTACAGGTACTCCCTAAGATGTCTATCTATTGGACTAGACGGATCTTATGTCTTTATTCGGTATATCCAGATTCCCCACTGTCTTCGGAGTCTTCCGCCGCAATCCCATCCCCGCACTCGGGCGAGAGTTGACCGAAAGTATACCGCATATAGGCTATATAGATCAACGCGTGAAGGACAAGAGTTACAGAGTTGCGATAATACGCTAAATCGAAATATGATACTGAACCCTTCAAGATGGACAGGGGTAGATGAACTATCCCTCCACCAAGACTCGCGTCCAGTCGAACTTCCTCCACCGGCGTCGGAATCCCTCCAGCCGGCGATCGCCGCCCCGGTGCCAACGTCCCTGTCGTTTGATCACCTCGGGCCCCAGATCTAACATTCCCCCGATGACTTCCCGCGCGAACTGATCTCCCCGGGGCCACCGGTTCTCGTCCTCCACCACGTGGCCCAGTCCTCCATCCAGCTCTAGCCAGACGTGGAAGTACGGCATCTCCTTGACCAGGGAGCGTCGGAAAGCGTTTCGGCCTTGTCCCTGCTTAGCGGCCTTGAGGGTGTCGATCAACTTCCGATGCTGCGACCACTCCGCGTCCGCGGACAGGATCGCCTCCTTGAAGAACGCCGGGGCGGTCTCCCCCAGGCTGTACGGCAGCGGCACGGCCTCCATCGCCGCGTGGCGCCGGCGCTGGGGCTGCGCTGCGTTCTCGTAGAAGATCACGTCGCGACCCTGCTCGTGGTACATGCGCGTCAGGCTCTTCATGAAGTTGCGAATCTCCTCCCATTCGTCGTCGTCGCACTCCATCAGATTCGTCCGGTGCTGGATGGGCACGATCGTCGCGCTCCCTTCGTTGAGCTCGGGCTCCGTGGGAAGCGTCAGGAACACCCGCGTTGCCAGCGACACGACCGGCGCGACCGGTGGCGTGTTGGTGTCCTCGTGGTGGCACAACGGACAGTTGTCCAGGATCCGGTTCATCTTCTGGAATTCGCCGATCGAGGCGTTTTTGAGGTTGATCTCTGACCGATGCACCCGCTTGGCTAATTTCGAGGCGTTGTCGTCCATGTACTCTAGGTCATTCTGGGGAGAAGTTAGCTATGATAGAACCCGGAGAGGTTGCTAGATCTGTAACGTACCTCGAATTTCGCGTCCTTCGCGATCCTTTCGGCCATCCGTCGCCCATCGCCCAGGTCCCGCGTTCGACGCTCCTCCCGGACCATGTCCTCAATGCTCATGTCTTCGTTCTCCTCCACTAGTCCGCGCTCGCGACCGCGCCGGTTTTCGACCGCCTTGACCTCGCCCCTCTGTCCGGCCAGCATTCGATTCTCCATCACCCCCAGCACCACGGTCCCCGATTCTTTGCGGTTGGACATGTTGGCTGCCGCCTCATTGTAACGCTCTTCCAGCTCGGCCGCATCGGCCGATCCCTTCAGCTTGGCTTTCATCATTTGCGCCTTGAGCCGGTTGAGGGCCGTCAGGTCCAGTGGTTGGCTGGTACTCGGAGGCGCTTCGCTCTTCATCGGCTCCCCCTGCCCGCGCGCTTCGAGGCTTTTCGCAGGGTCGTGAAGATGCTCGTGAGGATCCCGATGCACACCGGCATCCAGCTTTCGTTCCTGAAACAGCTCCCCCGTAGGCTTTTCTTTGCCCACATACCCTTCGCCGTACGTTTCGCGACGGTCCAGTTCGGCTTCCTCCTCGCGGGCATCGTCGAACGTGCGAAGATCCCCGAATCGCTCCATGGCAATCTCTTCCACGCTCTTTTGGTTTTCCTCGGCTTCCCTGTAGACGGCACGGAGCTTGGTCATCCGCCAATTCGCGCCAGCATCCCCAAACGTGTAATCCACCTCGTGCGTGGCAGGCTCGGTTTCGATCTCCTCCAATGCCTTCCCGTCCTGGAGATCCCGTAGATGTGTATTTAATTCCCGATTGTGGATCTTCAGCTCGAAATCGGCGCCCAGCATGCGAGGCCGCGGCTCCTCCTGCAAACGTCCCGCGTTGGGACGGTGCACGTAGTCCACGTCCAACGCGGAGGGCGCTTCCATCCACGCGTCTCGCTTGGGCCTCGGAGCTTCCTCCTGGACCACCACATCTTCCTTCACAGGGGACCGGGACGAGTCCGTCTCCTCTTTACCCGCTTCTTTGCTCTCATCGTGTCGGTGTCGGCGTTTGTTCTCCCGGTCGTCGCCGTGCTCGGTCGATTGACGCGATCGTTTGTGTCGGTGGCCCCCCTCCTCGCTGTGCCGCGACTCACCATGTCGGTCGGACCGTCGCTCGCGAGATCGGGACGAATGGCGACGGCTGTGGTGATGGCGGTGGTGCCTTGAGGATCGTTCTCGACTGCGGTCGCGGTCGTGGTCGCGGTGTCGACGCCGGTCTCTGTCGCCCCGGTCGCGTCGCTTGTCGTGCTCTTCCGCCAGCGACTTTTCGAAATCCTCCAGCGTCATATTACTTGTGATTAATGTTATTCTGAGGGGAAATGGGGGAGGGAAGAGGCTGGAGTGAGGAAGGGAAAAAATAGGTTCAGGAGGACGGAAGAGGACATGACGTCGGGGCGGTCCAGACTCCACTTGGGTCGATCTTCTTTTCTTTCCTCTTTCTTTCTTCCCCGCGGGTCACGAATTTCTTCAGCGTCGCCGTCTCGGTTCCTATCTCTCTCCGCTTTCTTGATCTTGGGGGTTAGATTTTATTCAGCTGCATTTACAATCTGCAAATAACTTCGAGTTGTCAGTGTTACTGCAACTCTCCTCCACCATGGCGCAAAGCCCAGTGGCCGTCGTCTGCGTGGGCATGGCAGGTACGTCGAATCTCTCGTCGCTCTTCTATCTCCATAGTCGTCATGGCTTATATTCATGTCTCCAAATACAGGCTCCGGCAAGACGACCTTCATGCAGAGAATCAACGCCCATCTCCACTCGCAGAATAAAATTCCGTACGTGGTCAACCTCGACCCCGCCGTCCACTCCGTCCCCTTCGAGAGCAACATCGACATCCGCGATTCCATCAACTACAAAGAAGTCATGAGGCAGTACAATCTGGGTCCCAACGGCGGTATCCTGACGTCTCTGAACCTATTCGCCACCAAGGTCGACCAGATCATCGCGCTGCTGGAGAAACGCACCGCTCCAAACCCGGAGACTCCGACCGCCAAGCCGATCGAGCACGTCCTGGTCGACACGCCGGGTCAGATCGAGGTGTTTGTGTGGAGCGCGTCGGGGAGCATCTTTCTCGAAACGCTGGCGTCGTCGTTCCCCACTGTCATCGCTTACGTTATTGATACCCCGCGGACGAGCTCTACTAGCACGTTCATGAGTAACATGCTGTATGCTTGCAGTATCCTTTACAAGACGAAGCTTCCGATGATCCTTGTGTTCAACAAAACCGACGTGCAAGATGCCGAGTTTGCGAAGGAGTGGATGACCGACTTCGACGCTTTCCAGCAGGCGCTGCGTCAGGAGGAGGACACCGGCGCCTTCGGGACGGAGGGTGGCACCGGCGGTTTCGGCGCCGGCAGTGGATACATGGGCTCGCTGTTGAACAGCATGAGTCTGATGCTAGAGGAGTTCTACAGCCACCTAAATGTCGTCGGGGTGAGTTCGATGACCGGTGACGGTATCGAGGACTTCTTCACCGCCGTCGAGGACAAGCGTCAGGAGTTCGAGCGCGACTACAAGCCCGAGCTGGAGCGCAAGAAGAAAGAGCGGGAGGAGATGAAGGCCACGCAGCGGGAGCAGGAGTTGGGCAAGCTGATGAAGGATATGAACGTCAGCGGGTCCGGGTCCAGCCAGCGCAAGAATGCCGAGCCTGAGACTGTCAGTGAGGCGGAGGAGGAAGAGGAGGAGATTACACGTCGGGGCGCGGGGCTGGACGAGGATAGCGATGAGGATGAGGCTAATGTGCCCCGGGCGGGCGACAGCGAGGGTCTCTCGCAGCGGTACCGGGAGGCGTTTGCGGAGGCCCAGAATAAACCGTCTGATCAAGACATGAGCTTTACGAGATATCTGCGTGCGAACAACATGAACCAATGAGTTGATGAGAAATGGAATTTTTTACCTACCTAAGGTATCTATGAGAGATTAATATAAATATATATATATATCTACTGGTTGGGTGGGTGTTGACCGGCGTTGTCTGATACAATTTTTCCTTCAATTGACCACAATAAAAATAAAATGATGTATGTTTTTACATACTAATTCTACATAGTATCCAGACAACATAAATGTCCAGATAATACCAGACCATGAGTATCTGATAACTCATCCATTGTGACGACCAATGCGGATGCTGCAAACAGGACAAACCGAGTGACAGCCAGATGATGTCAGAAGGCGTCGATGATCACCTCGACCTTGCGTCGACCTCTCTTCATCTTCTCTGCATTCGACTTATGGCGTTTACTGCTGCACGACATTCAAACCAATCGCTTCTACAATCCAATTGACTAGACCGTCTTACTGCATATTGAACCAACATGGATGTACGTTGCCCGGCGCAAGTAGGCAGTGGCTTTGCAACTCGTCGCTAACCGAATGGACGCCAGGTATTCTACGCATACACCTACTCGACCGCAGGATGGCTGTCATTGCAGGGACTGGCGTTGACGACCGTTCCGCAACTGATGTCCACCATGCTACTGGATGAGACACGCCCGGCCACCTGTACGTAACTTACCAGGCTACTAGCCATCCTGCACCGTCTCGTCTCCGAGTGTCTCCTCATCGCTAACGACCTCATGCACATCCAGCGGTTGAGGTATACTTTGCGCGCTGTCTCGGATTCAGCCTTCTGACCGTAGCCATGCTCACCATCATGCTAACGGGGTCCATCCCGCTGTCCTCAACGGTATCCGATCCCGTCTCCACCGAGGAATCCGATCCCAAGGCTCCATACGCGGTCCCCACGCTGATCATCACGTGTGCGTTCCACTCCGTGTCTGCCGCCTACGCCTACACGCGGTACGTAGACAGCAGCCAGGCTGTGTTTGCCATTGGGTTGGCGGTGTATGGACTGGTGGCGGCCGTGGGGCTCTGGTGTGTGTTGTTTGCCAGCAGCAATGGGAGGATTAGTCGCAAGACGGGGGCCGATAAGCGGACTGCGGGGTTTCCATTCAAAAATATGGAGGCGTCGAAGAGGCATGCGGGGAAGAAGAGTTCGTGAGTTTATGGACGGATTGACTTTCTTCTTTAATTATTATGGTTATTGTTATTTAGTTGATGGCGCAAGTCATGAGGTCGGTCTGAAGAGGTTCGGTAGGACAGAACATGGATGATGGATGGTAGATAGACCGGGAGATTGAATGCTTACAATGAGGACAATAGAATAAATGAGGTAGCTTATCTGGTGGCTGACCATCTGATCCACATTGATGGCGTGGTCATCTTCATCGTCATCTTCATCAATATCTTCATCATTACTGAGCGGGGAAGTCGATAGTACTCAACCGGGATTCCACCATGATTCCCCTCATTGAATACTACATCGACAAGTACCTGATACCTGATTTGTTGCATCCTAGCCGGATCAAGCAGCAGCTCTATCCCTGAAACCAATATCAATCCTGGGAGGGAGATTGATGAAATTAAATTAAAACCGACAGGGCAACCACCAACACGCCAAGAGACGGGCTGCAACCTCAGGCCGCCTCTGTCCTCCCACTACGGCTGCTCCGACTGGTTTCTCTCTTCTTCATCTTCACTTCACTTCATCAGTCTAACTTCTTTCATTCCCTTCCCCAGATGCAACCATCGTCGTGATCATTCATTTATATTAATCCCTAATTGCTTCCTGTTCCTCCCCGTCCACCGACATCACCCGACAGGGCTTAGGATGGGTTTAGGATCCACTTGGGTTGTCGGCTTCATATAAGCGACTAGTGAAGTCAGAAATGCCATGACCACGCTATAAGGCCCTGTCGCCATTCTCCACCAATGATTCACCCGTTGGGTCCAGATGGGTCTCCCGAGGTTGATTTGCACATCAACGATAGGGCAGTTGTCAATCCCTGAATGGACCAATCGAACTCGCCGTGATATACCCCCCGGCTTTTGGGAATATGCCAAGCCACTCGGACTCCCGGCGGTGAAACACTCACACTAAGGCTCGTGCCTGGCCATGCCTCTCTGCAAGTCTCGATGTACCCTGCAGGGAGATCGTTATGTCTGCCATTGTGACCCCTCCTCGTGCCATTGGTCGATGGTTGGGCCGTCGTCGGGGAAATCGTTATCTATGCGGTTTCTTGCGTAACACATCCAACAAGACCACTGTTCTGACCCCCCCACCTATACTAACGTGGGACACGCCTTTTTGGTCTATTCATAGTTTTGGAACCATCGGGGTTTTGGATTAGAGACATCCAATGGATCCTGTGTTGGCATTCGATACGCTGTCAGGAGACTTTCCTTCGTGCCCACCCCCCCCCCGGTTAGCACGATGGCACGCGCACTGAGAGACAAGCTCCGACCTGGTCGTACCGGGGCGGTTGAACCATTCTCAGGAAGGGCGAGATTGGTCGAATTGAGCTTATCATAAGCTTCTCACCTCTATCCGCGCCGGCTTTCTACCCCCCTCCTCCCTCTTGCCTTGTGAGCATCTGCAAGCGAGGCGGCCTGGTCTGAATTTGGTCCCCCTTTTGGAAATGGGAAAACGTAGAGGTGATTGCCTGCACTTGACCTGCTTGGCCTGGGTGTGTAACTGGGGTCTGGACAGGCTCGTGCCCCCCGTGATCTTAGTCTGTTGGCGGGTCTCCTTTCTAGAAAGACATCTGGTCCAGTCAATCTCGGCTGATTGACAGGGGAGAGACTACGAAACAGTCACAGCGGCGCATATCGCGTGAGATTGCCAAGCATCTAGAAGGGGTCACATCGATCCCCCTAAAGTGAATGAGGAGAAGGCAGGACGTTTCCCCACCCTCTTCACAGGGCCCCTCACGCAACCTTTCCCGTGATTGCGTTCATGTGTTGTCGGCCACCCGGTCAAGCTCCGTCCACCACGGTGGGTATACCACACCACCTTCCCTGTTGCGGGTAGCGGCTGGGCGGACCAAGACCTTGATGGACAGGAACACGCTCGGAACGAAACGCCCTCGTGGTATTTTCATCTGGTCCCTGATTAACGCCCCCCGGTGACTCCTCTCTGAGCACCGCCGGAGGAGGTTCGGGGATCGTCGTCCTCATTTGTTTCCCTCTCCACCCAAGAGTTTTGATCCGTAGGAGGAGAGAACCAGTGGAAGTCGTCTGGCGATGCAATGTCACCCTGAGAGTTCGACTCCGCTCTTCCAGACTCCCCAGATCCCTGTCCTCCGTCTAGTGGCCGGCGTGAGTGACAGAGCTTAAGGGATGTTTCAAAGACCGTGCTAGGGACCGTACTCGAACAAAATCTATATAAGGCCTCCTCGTGCCGGTCCTCAACTCCTTTTTTTTCTTCCATCCTCATCCTCCTTCCGGCTTCTTCAGTTCTCAACTACTTGCAAGTCAACGTTCTTTCTGGTCTGTCCAACTCGCGGTCATGTATACCATCAAGCGCTCTTTGCTCCTTTTGGGAGCGGTCATCCCGGCCATCCTCGGTGCCCCCGTTACCGAGCCTCACGTCCGCCGGTCGGGCGAGAAGATTGCGGGCAAGTACATCGTCACCTTCAAGGAGGGCGTCGACGCTGCCAAGATTGCCGCCCACACCACCTGGGCCACCAGCGTCCACTCGCGCAACGTCGCCCGCATCTCGGGCGCGTCCAGCGTCGGCATTGAGCGCAACTACGGCATCAACAAGTTCAACGCCTACGCTGGTTCGTTCGATGATGCCACCATCGAGGAGATCCGCAACCACGAGGACGTACGTCATCCCACGGGAGGAATGAACTGGGGGGCGCCTAGTGTGCTAACATCTTTTTCTTCTTTAGGTTGCTGCGGTCGAAGAGGACAAGATCTGGTATCTTGATGCCATCAAGACCCAGAAGGATGCTCCCTGGGGTCTGGGCAGCATCTCCCACAAGGGCAAGCCTAGCACCGACTACGTCTACGACGATGCTGCTGGCACCGACACCTTCGGCTACGTCGTTGATACCGGTATCAACGTTGACCACGAGGAGTTCGAGGGCCGTGCCACCAAGGCCTACAACGCCGCTGGCGGCGAGCACGAGGACGGTGTGGGCCACGGTACCCACGTTGCCGGTACCATCGGTGGTAAGACCTACGGTATTGCCAAGAAGGCTAGCCTCCTCTCCGTGAGGGTGTTCGAGGGCGAGTCCTCCAGCACCTCCGTCATCCTGGACGGCTTCAACTGGGCCGCCAACGACATTGTCTCCAAGAAGCGCACCAGCAAGGCCTCCATCAACATGTCTCTGGGTGGTTCCTTCTCCCAGGCCTTCAACGATGCCGTCCAGGACGCCTTCGAGAAGGGTGTCCTGTCCATCGTCGCCGCCGGTAACGAGAACGCCGATGCCAGCGACTCCAGCCCCGCCTCCGCCCCCGATGCCATCACCGTCGCCGCCATCAGCGAGAACAACGCCCGCGCTGAATTCTCCAACTTCGGCAAGGTCGTCGATATCTTCGCCCCCGGTGAGGACATCCTGTCTGCCTGGATCGGCTCCAAGACCGCCACCAACACCATCTCGGGTACCTCGATGGCCACCCCCCACGTTGTTGGTCTGTCTCTCTACCTCATGTCCCTGGAGGATCTCGACGGCCCGGCTGCCGTCACCAAGAAGATCAAGGATCTCGCCACCCCCGACGTTGTCACCGACGTCTCCGGCAGCCCCAACGCTCTCGCCTACACCGGCGCCTCCGACTAAATCCGAGGTTCATTTTCTGTACCAACTGTAGCAACAGGGGGGAATTGGAAAGGGGAGAGTTGACGGAGCGAGGATGGATGAAATAAAGTGAGGGATGGGCAAGGACACAGGGGCCATGTATACAACTGACTGCACTGTTTCAAGAATCAAACCACTTCCCATCTGAATTTCCCATTTCCATCTTGTCTCGATCAGTATTGAATCTTCCTCGTAGGACTTCTTCCGAACCGACACTTCCTGCAATGCATTCCTGCGCTTTTTCTCTTCGCAAGGGGAAAAACGAAGCATAAATCACTCAATCTAGGAGACGACAATTGAAACAACAATTAGCGGGTAGCATGGAAAACGAAGGAAAATAAGGTAAAAAACCGGAATGCACGTGCGACCGAATCTCAACAATGAGGCAACCTCTGCTGTTCGTCCCTCTGTCCGACACGCCGCGCCTCATCCCCGAGTCGAGGCGTTGTCTCGCTCCCGATCAACAAGGCAGGAAGGGACTGACGATGATGCAGTTGGTCTCAAACGAACCGCGTAATCGGGAGTCGTCAGTTTGAGGCATTATCATGCTTCTTTTTCTCTCATACAATCACACCCCTCCCCCTGGCATCGGATGGCTACCGACAGCTGTGGGGTTCCTGAAGGGCTCCCACTGAACGCCTTGGCGTGAGCTCTGTGGATCTACTCGAGGTCTATAACTTGGTGAGTCTGTCATGCATGTGCAGGAGGGAGTATGGTGACGGCACGATTTCCCAGGAAATCGATCTACGCTGATGGTTGTGAGATGAAGCCCTGTCCGGCGCTTTTCGACAACTATATCACGTCGACAACCGCGATTGACTGCTCTGTCCCTGGAATATTGGCCGGTGGCTTGCGACTGGCATAATCCGGAATGTACCTTGTTTGGTCAATCTCTCCCCTCTTTCGGGGAATCTGAAGATCCCCCTTGCAGAACCAGCCATGAAGCTTGCGTCTGTCCGTCCACATCTGCCCTCCCCCGCCCTCCCTTGCTCGTCCATCAGATCATAGGCCCGTATTCAAGACGCTTTGTCCCGCTCATGGCTGAAACGAAAAGGCTAAAAAAGAGGCGCCGTTGTGGACTCTAAACTCCGATATACGTCCGCCCGTCATCTTCCTACCTATCAAGCCTAATATCTCCTCAGCCAATCATGACTCCCAAGACACTAGAGATGACTAGCAGTTCGTCGCCCGCCGAATTGGACAAGGACCTTCTTAGTCCCCACTTGGCACGGAGTGGGCTCCAGATTTCTGCTGATGGCTTTCATATCCAGTGGGCGTCCGATAATCCGCGTCATCCGCGCAATTGGAGCCGCAGTCGGAAGATATATGATACCTCGTTGGTGATATTTTTGGAATTCTTCACGTGAGAGAGTGCGAGAGATATCTCTGGGGTTGCTATCGCGAAAGAATGTCTTGCTTACTTGGAGAGGGATTGCAGGACCGCGATCAGCACGTCGGGTGTATGTACTCCTCTTCCTCCTCTTGAGATCCTTGAATATCTAGCACAGGCTAATCAGTTGAGCAGTCGACGAGCGCCCGCGATGCGCTTCGTGAATTTGCTATTCCGCGCGAATTGTCCGTCTTCATATTCGTGTCCTTGTTCGTCTCTGCTCTCATAATCGCACTGATATATGACAAGGTTCTGACGGTGGTAGGTATCTCCTAGGCCAGGGGATCGGCGCCATCGCCTTTCCCCCTTACTCGGAGGCGTTCGGCCGCCGCAAGCTGTATGTCGTCAGCACCGCGCTCTATAGCATCTCGTGCGCCGTCGTCGCCGCCGTACCTTCGCTGGCTGGAGTCGTCGTCGGCCGATTCATCAGCGGCGTGCTCTCCGCGATCCCGACGACGGTAGTCATTGGCAGTATAGAGGACCTCTTCAATGCCCGCGACCGGGTTTGGGTCATCTACTGCTGGGCGATGGTCGCCAACATGGGGATGTTGCTGGGGCCCATCTTCAGCACGTATATCACGGCTGAACTCGACTGGTCAGTCTCTCTGCTTCTATGCTTTAGTTCATTGCTAAATTGACTACCAGGCGATGGCTCTTTTACGTCGCCGCCATCGTAACCGCCGTCGTGAGCATTCTCCTCCTCACCATCCGCGAGTCCCGTACATCACTGCTCCTAGCACGAGAAGTCGCCCACCTGCGCGAAGCAACCAACATCCCAGCCCTCAAAGCCCTCAACCCAGACCAAACGCCCAACCTCCTTACCTTCATCCGGCTCGCCCTCGCCCGCCCCGTCCGCCTCTTCTTCACCGAGCTCCTCGTCTTCATCGTCTCCATAATGAGCGCCGCCGCCATCGCCCTCGTCTACCTCTTCACCGAAGCCCTCCCCCCAATCTACCAAGCCTTCGCCTTCACCCCCCAACAAGCCTGCCTCCCCTTCCTCGCCATGTTCGCCGGCCTCTTCCTCGGCATCCTCACCCGCTTCCAAGACCTCCGCATCCTCGCCCACCACAGACACCACAACCTGCCCCTCCGCCCCGAAGACAAACTCACCGGCTTCTCCATCGGCGTCCCCGTCCTAGCAGTCTCCCTCTGGCTCTTCGCCTGGACCATCCCTCCCATTGCCACCTCCACCGCGCCCCACATCCACTGGATCGTCTCCGTCCTCGCCCTCGTCTTCATCGGCTACGGCCTCAACGAAATCGACTACGTCCTTGGGGGATACCTGACTGATAGCTACCTCAGCTACGCCGCCAGCGGCCTCGCCGCGCTGAGCATCGTGCGCGCTCTACTCTCCGCGGCATTACCGCTCATCGCAGGCCCCATGTTCGGCGCGTTGGGCAACAACGTCGCGGTGTCGGTCTTGGCGGCCGTCGCGACGGCGCTGTGTATCGTCCCGCCTGTGTTTGCGCGCTATGGCGCTGCTATTAGGGGGCGGAGTGCGTTTGCGAAGTTTAGTTTAAAGGTTTATTTGGAGAATAGTGTTGACGGGGAGGGGTATTAACTATCATTATGATTACTTATTATGATTGCCATGCTATTGCTATTTTGGTCGTTAGGGTTAGAGGTCGGAAGGTTATTTAATGGTTGCTTTTTAAGATAGACTCATGTGGCGTATACATGCTTTCCATACCACACATACACTCATTCACTCAAACCTACCCACGTGGCTAACAATACGGCTAACAATCGTTTCCATCCCACACGAGCAAACTAATTCATACAGAACAGAAACTCAGCCGACCCCGTTGTGGTAACACACCCCCACGTATACCCCTTCTGATCGCTAATCAGACCCGCGCCAGCATAATACCAAGCACACGGCGCCGCAGACGACAACCCATTGAGATAAGACTCAATCACATCGGCAACATCCAACGACCCCGCCTTCTCCGCGCGACAAAGCACACTATGCTTCTGGAACCCCAACTGATCAAAATCCATCGGCGTCAAGCCCTGCGCATACGCAGCCGGCGAAGCAATCCCATTCAAATACGTCCTGAACACACTAACCGGCCGATCACAAACATGGACATGCACCTGCTCCTCGGAGCGCGAATGCACTGAATTCATGGCGAGTGCCCCATCCGCGCGGCTCGACACCGTGCCCGTGGCGAAAACAATCTGGCCTAGTTCCCAGCCCCTGTTATCGCCGTGGAGGTTGAGAATGCCTGGTGTGTGGTGCGAGGTGGTGATGAGCTTGTGGTCGTGGAGGAGTGTCCAGGGGTCTGTGGAGGCGTCGTGGAAGCAGTTTTGGGAGCTGATGCACCGGCACATTCCGCCGAAGTAGAGGGCGCAGGTGGAGCAGTCTTTGTTGGCGTCTGTGCAGCCGACGTGACATTGTTGGAGGGGGGTGTTGGGGTTGGGGGCGCATTGTGCGCTGGATGGGCCGAGGGGGCAGGTGTGGGGGCAGGTTGTGAATGTGTTTGGGTCGTGGCAGGTGCAACTTGAGGTGGACCATTGGGAGATTTCGGCTTCGGTGCAGTCTGTGGTGTGGGTGGGGGTGGGGAGGAGAATAAGGAGGAGGAGGGTGGAGAGGGGGATGCTGAGGTTAGGGGTAAGCTTCATTTTTGTTGATTCTGTGAGATTGGTGGGGGTTTGAGGGGTTATTCTGTCATTCTCTCAGGTTGCGTTTGAGGAATATTATAGTCTTTAAAGGTATAGGATGCACGTTCTATACCTTGTCTGTGGATGACGCAGTGGCTGGTTCGACCGTTCGAGACACTCGATTTGACGTGATTCTGTCCCAGTTCCCAGGTTACTGGTCGACCTACGCCATGGTTATTAGTTTTGTAATCCAGATCAGGGTCAGATATCATACACGCTGGACTTCGTTGAGCATTGATTGCTACGATAGAACCCTTCTTTCTATTGGGATGTCAATCTGAGTACTCTAAGTACATCTAGAATGGACCTAGCGAGTGGGTTCAGCATATAAGACGAGTCATTGGAAGCCATAGGTCCCTCTCAATCAAGTTAAGTATATCTCAATCAGAAACAGCTTAAGTAAAGTGAAGAAGAGCCGAAGAAAAAGAAACCGAACTGGAGAAGTATAGATCACATGACATGTGCGTCCAATATCACCTGACAACGGGCCGCCGCTTGATCGGATCTCCACCGACTCTCCACACCCCAAAAGCAGCATCGCTCCCATCATTACTACGGAGTAACTGTATGTGCAGAGATGCGGAGATGGATCACTCCTCGTCTTCCTTCGCCAACCTACCACCTCAAGATCTGGCAGGTGAAGCTGTCCATTTGGTCTCAGTTTCGGACACTGTTCCACAACCCTACCACCACAACCATAACCATGTATCATCAACAACACCCAAGCCCGATCCAGATCCCACCCTCGCCGGCGAAGACGCGCATTCTCTCCAGCCTCTCCAGTCGGCTGTGGGTGATCTCACAGCGTATACCCATGATCATAGTAACGGTATCATGGGGGTACCTGATGCCTATCATTCCTTGTTGGTGCGTGCCACCGGGTTCCCAATCATAATCTACAAACGCGCCTAATATCCACGCCTATAGTCCAACGAGCTCTCCCATCTCCTCCCCCAACATCCCTCCTCTAACTCATCCCACTCATCTATCTTCTCATCTAAAGAGAATGGCTATCTCCGGGACCAACCGTCCATCCTAGACCCACCAGATCTAGAACTATGGCGGAACCGGCTCTTCAACGTAGACGAGACGCTCGTGCTAAGCGAAGCACAGTACGTGCTTCCCATCATCCACCCATCCATTCACCATCCATTGTATCAATCAATCAATCCACCCCCTCTCTGATTCCTAAATCCACTAAAACAAACAGATTTCGCACCTACTTCCCCCACGTCGACAACATCTACTCCCACCGCTCCACCCAACAATACAAACGCAAGCCCCTCATCTCCCACTACTGGGACTGTCGTCTGAAAGGCCGTCCCCCGGGTACACCCAAATCCAACGATCCCAACAAGAAGAAGCGCAAGCGCACCGCCCGCGCCCGCGATCTCTGCGACGTCAAGATCAAAATCACGGAGTTTCTCCCGGGAGCCGCCACCGTTGGTGCTCCGGACGCTGATACCGCTGATGCTGCTGCTGCGCTTTTGCGGAACTCCTCTTCCTCATCCTCATCCTTGGACGCGCAACAGCAGCAGTTTGGCGTGCTCGCGCCCAATTCCCTTCCTGAGGGCCATCCCGGGGCTCAAGGACAGCGGTTCTTTACGATCCAAAGGGTCAATGGGAATGGGGCTAATGGGAAGAATGATGGGGTGGGGGGTGGACACCGTCATTCGTTGGAGGAGAGTGATCGGGTGAAGAAGAGTAGTGTGCAGCGGTATTTGTTGAGGGAGATGAAGGGTCGGAGGAAGAACTTTTCGGTATGTTTATGTTTTCTCCATTCTATTATATCTCTCTCTTGTTTCGCGGAGATATGGAGTATATATGGATACCAGGAGTATACTATATTGCTTTTGAGTGGGTCCGGCACGTGGTCTACGTCACTGCCCTGGACTCCATCGCCCCGCTTCCTTACCTATCACTCAACCTCCAACATCTCTGGCTATAGCAACTATCCAAGCAACTACATTAATATCAACCAACTAACGACCAGACCAATACAATGTCCCAGAAAAACTACCACACAAAAGCCACCGGCCAAGCAGCCGAAACCGTCACCAACCACACCACCGACCAAGACCTGAAGCTCTACGGCAGCTGTTTCTGCCCCTTCGTCCAGCGCGTCTGGATCGCTCTCGAGGCCAAGGGCATCCCCTATCAGTATATCGAAGTCGACCCGTATAAGAAACCCCCGTCGCTGCTGGAGGTCAATCCCCGGGGTTTGGTGCCTGCTCTGCGACATGGGGATTGGGGTTCGTATGAGAGTACGGTGTTGCTTGAATATGTATGGATCTTCCATTTGTCATTTCTTTGTCGGATTTGCTTATGTTGTTGGTTCAATGGATTTGATTGATTGATTCTGATGTCTTGCCTACAGCTGGAAGATCTGAATGTTGGCCCCTCGCTGCTCCCTGCTGGGGATGCAAAGCGACGCGCTCATTGCCGTCTGTGGACGGATTTCGTAAGTTTATGATATATCAGCACCTTTTTATATAAAAAAGAAGAAAAAAAAAATGGCCCAATAAGTGGTTGACTGACGGACGCAGGTCAATCGCAATATCGTGCCCACTTTCTATCGCGTTCTCCAGGAACAGAATGAGGAGAAGCAGATCGCCCACGCCCAAGAGCTGCGCGACGCCTTCACCACGCTAATCGACGCGGCTGACCCGCACGGGCCGCTCTTCTTGGGCCCGGACCTCTCCTTCGTCGACGTCCAGGTGGCACCGTGGATCATCCGGCTCAGACGGGTCTTGAAGCCGTACCGCGGCTGGCCGGACCCGGAGCAGGGCAGTCGCTGGGCTGCCTGGGTCGACGCGCTCGAATCCAATGAGCATGTCAAAGCGACCACCAGCGGGGATGAGCTCTATCTGGATAGCTATGAGCGATACGCACGTGAGTGGATGGGTGCAGACCGGTGTCGGTTGGTATCTCGCTAACGTGCGTTCAGAAAACCGTCCGAACACGTCCCAAGTTGCCAACGCAATCAACTCGGGGAGAGGGCTTCCGTAATCGAAGACGGAAGGGGGAGAGGAAGAGGTTATTCCCAGGCGTGCGGAGAGCGGAAACAGTCGGTTTTGCATGGTAGATTGTGTTGAGAATACCCCTGAAATTAAACAGACCCGAGTTGGGCCCATGTATCCGTGTCCACGGACCTGTTGGAAGCGTAGTCTGTAGTTTAACCCCCTCGTCCACCCCGGTGAGATCGGAACCCGCCACTTCCGCTCGCGTCGGGTCCACGAGGGGTGCGATACGGTTGTTGGGGGGCCGCTTCATTCGCATTGCGGGTGGTCAGCGGCCTGTCCTTCGGTCCGTGATTTGAGGGCGATTTGGCCGGGGATCCGGGGTCGTAGAGCTGTCTCGATTTGCCTGACGCCGCCGACTGATCCCTTTTCTCTCGATTGTTGGTATTGCTGTTACTGCCGCTGCTGACACTGTGGTTGTCCCGAGCTCCGCCGCGACTCCTCCCCTTCCCTCTGCCCTCAAACTGCTTCGGCGGGGTGGCGCTGCGGGGCGAGGACGCGCCGGATGTGGTCGCGGAGGGGCTTCCAAAGAGCCTCTCGCGCACCTCCTCATACTTGCGCTGCTTTTCCTCGCGGTTCTTCAGCGCAATGGCATGGCGCTCCTCGGGGGTCGGCTCGGGGGGTCTCTCATCCTCGGAGTCGTCGTCGACGCCCAACCCCATGCGTCCGACGCCGTCGGTGGCCGCATCTACGGCTCTGGAAGAGGACTGGCGGGTGACTAGCGGGGGCGGATTGCGACTGAGGAGGGTGACGGCGGGTTTGATATCCTGCTTGAGGGGGACATCGGAGCGGGTTTCGAGGAAGTGGAACGTCTGCGGGGATTCACTGAGGGGGCCGAGGGTTAAGATACTGGATAGATTTAGAAGATTGCAGGCGGTTGTAGACATACGCTTCAGCCCATAGTTGGCGATTAAACTCGGCTTGCTGCGCGCGACGTTGGGCCTTGGTGACTTTGGAGGACACCTTCTTTTCCAGGGTCGGGGCCGAATCGGGGGGTGGGGACGGTTCTGTGGCTAGTTTCTGCGGGAGAAGAGTCCGTTAGTTTACGGATTTTACCATTGATATATGATTATGTGTATATGGTGCAGATAAATGCATAGAGGGAAGAGCATACATCGGCCTGTTGCTCCCAGTCGTCGTCCCAGGCAGCGTCGGGACGGGAAGAAGAGGAGTGGACACTCATGGCCTGAGGGTGGGGAGCGGGATAGTAGTAGTAGGTAGTAGAGTAGTAGGGGAAAAGAATCCAAGACAATATAGCGATCAACGAGTGGGGGGGAACCAAAAATGAGAACAATACTGAAACGAGGGATGGTAGAAAGAGGGAAACAAGAAACGAGGAGCGATAGTCTGGAGTAAAACTACTGGGTATAGAAAAGGAAAAGAAAGAGAGAGAGAGAGAAAGATGAGATTCTTTCCGGAGAAAATCGTGCCCGTCCTGACCGCCTTCAGGTGTCCAGGCAGCGATCGGTCGACGTCGTTGAATTGAAGGTGACAAGTTGGACTTCACAATGGTTATTTGATAGATGATCGAATTCTGTCTGAACTCTCGAAAATCCAAGATTCCCGTGGATATATCGATGTTGATATCCAAGTGGTGATCGTGACCGATGAGTAATCGCCAACGCCCTCTTCCCCACGGCCAAATAACCACTTCCGCCGACATCATCGTTTGAGACCATCTGCATCTATCCGTCGCTCTCCCTTAGACTGTTCTAGTTTAGAAGACTCTGATTCTCATCATGGGGACCGGTAAGTACTTCTCATCCTCGCTATCCCTACATCACACCGTTCCCTCCAACCCCTCATCTACCTCCCCGCTCTAGACTTGATACCTACGACTCAATATTGACCTACACACTCAAATCCAAAGCGATAACTAACCCGATTACCAGACGCAGACGGCGATTCTCAGATGGCATCCTCGCGCGAAGCCTCCCCCGCAGGTGCCCGCACCCCGACCAACGTGCGCACCGCGGAGCTCTCCCCGCCCGGCTCGCAGACACAGACCACCGCCGCACCTCCAGACTCGCAGACCCAGACACAGGGGTCATCGCAGCAGCAACCGCAACAGCAGCAGCAAAAGATACGGCAGCCAGGAGCGTCATGGATGAACAAGCGCGCAGAAGAGGAATACCAGCGGGCGATGGAGCATGTTATTGATCAGGACTTCAGTCTCGGTTCGTTTTGGCCCTCTGGATCTTTTATATCGCATATGGGCGATGCTTACCATGATCAAATGGTTGGTTATGGAGTATCAAGTGCATGGCTAACGTTCCGGTGTAGATGAGTTTGGAGATCCATTTGATGACCGTGATATGTATGAGAAGTTGTTCTAGCATGTCATCTCTCTGGCATCGGACTTTATGACCTTCTTTCCCCGGCTGGGTCGGCGCAATGGTGTTTCTACGTTCCTCTCCTGTGGGCTTGAGGGATCTGGGGATCAATAAGATCATGAGATAGAATGGATGATTTACGAATGATGTTTTTCTTAGAAATTTACTCATACGTCGACACGGTTGGCTTTGGATTATAACCCCATCCTAAAAATACTATCGTCATCGTACATAAGATGTGAGAATAGAGTACTGGTCTAGATTAAGTTGAGTGAGACAGTGGGCCGATATATATTGTCGCTCTTAAGTGTACCTCAACCTACAGATATAACCCATAATAACCCCACAAATTTGGAGCTAATTATTGGACATGAGTCGATAGAACAACACATGAATCAATCAAATCCAATGGAATCAGTCTGACATTATCAGCAGAGTCTACAGTTATATGAATGAACTGGAGAGATAAGATGAGTACGGCACGTTGGCACAGCAACGCCCGCCCAGCCCAAACGCCGAGCAAAACAAGAAGAATCGTACCCATCAAGCATCAAGCATCATCAATCAAGCAATCAATCTTCCCCTCCTGTATCATCCTGGGACACGGTGGATTCGTCTGTTATCTATAATCGCCATCCACCCCCGGTGTTTATTTTACGTGAACTGCAACTCTTACTCTTCATCCATCCATACTATCCATCGGCTAGCCCCTCCCACTTTGACAGCCATAACATCCGACATTCCTCGTGTCGGCCTGGTCTCACATCGATCATGGCCACCAATCCATTCAGTGGGCCATCTCCATCATGGTGAGTTCGAAACCACATTCCATACAATCGCTGCGACACAGCGACTCCCTTTCGCGCAGCTTCACGACACAAGAAGCATAGACCGTTACCCCCTTTTCCTCAACATCACGACACAAGAATCCCGCGCAAAGTATCACTAACACGTCGCACGTCGGACAGGCTCCTCCCGCAACGCGACAACGATCTCACATGCGAAGAGAACCGCATCCACTTCACCCCCGTCAAAACCGCCCGGTCGGCCCCGCGAGTCTGGGACCGCAAGCCGTCGACGTCCTTCCTGGCGCGCTCCAAGTCGCGCAAGGTCTGGAAGCGCTTCCGCACCTCGTTTAACAGCCTGAAGATGCTGGAGCAGATGGTCGCTGCCGAGGATGCGGTCGACGACGAGCCCCAGCTGGAAATCAACGGCGCTCGCAACGCGGAGTTCCTTCGCGGCGTCAAGCGTCGATTTTTACTCCTGGAAAATTCCGACCAGGACAGAAATTCTACGGAGCAGACACATGGGCGGTCATTCCTTGAAACGAAATGGGAGTCGGAAGCGACGGGGCGAAAACGTATGGAGGCCCCTCCCCCCTGGCTTGTTGATTAATCCCGCGGGGTAGCTAACCAGGAGTAGACAAATTACCCGCGAGCGGCAGCGATCTCGTGGTCAAGTCGGACGCCATGGCGGTGCATGGCTCCCCGACGGGCGCAATCAGCGAAGATATCACCCCCCACGGGACAACTCAACCGACCGACACGTCAAAGGGGACCGGGCCCGTGCAGGCGGGGGTGGATGAGAGCGAATCCGTGAGTCCGCCGCCGGAGGCCCCCACCGACGCCAATTCGGTGGCAGCCTATCCCTCCATGCTACATGGCGAGTCCAGCTGTCTACATAGTGGGGTGGAGGATGAATCTACAGACTTAAAAACCCACGGTCTTATCGACCAGCCTGGAACCGACCTCGTCGAACAAGACGGTGATGCAGCTCTGGCTGCGACTATGACGAATGATCCATCTGGCGACCACGAGGTGGCTGTTGATGTTCCCCCGTCCCCCGCTCCGGGGGCGCCCGTGCAGGACCTGCCGGCCGAACTTGAATCAACCCTGGTCCGATCTGCCCTGCGCAGCTCCCTGGATGGGGAAGATGCGCAGTTGTTGAATAATTTCCTGTTCAAGGCCAAGGCGAAGCGCGAGGCCAAAGCTGCCGCCATGGTCGCTCATGACGAGGGCGAAAAGTCAGCGGAGGCGCCCGAGGGGGTTGACTCGCCGGTCCCGCAGTCCACCCCGCAGTCGCGCCGCGTGCTCAAGGATCTCGACGCCAATTCGCCCTCGCCGCAGAAATCGCCGCAGAGGTCCCCGGTGAAGCCACCCCAGAGGTCACCCCAGCAGTCGCCGAAGAAGTCGCCAAAGAAGTCTCCTCAGCGACCCACATTGTCGCCCACCAAGCCGCGGGAGCAGGCCGCCGCGCCGGACCGCCAGCAGCCTGCCAGTCCACGACGCAGCACGCGGACGCGGACGCCGAAACCGCCCGCGCGAGCGCCCACGCCGACTGTGCGCAACACACTCTCCCTGCGGCGACCCAAGGGGACCGAGTTCATCTTCAACCACCGGACGGAAGCGCAGGAGCTGGCGCTGGCGACGCGGCGCAACACACGACAGAACCGCGGGGATGCTCTGATGCCCAAGTACGCCCTGCAGCATCTGGAGGACAGCCCGGCCGCCGAGGTCCAACCCGATGCCGGTGCCGAGGACACTCAGCAGCCGGTCTCGACAGGGCGCAAGCAGGTCTCGTGGAACGACGCGCAGCTCGTGCAGTTCCAGGGTGACGGCGATGGCGATGACGATAGCGATGGCAAGACGGGAAGCCAGGAGGTCAGCCAGGGCCGAAGCGAGAAACGCAAAGCCACCAGTCGTGGCACGCGATCCAAGGAGGGGGATCAGGATCAGAATCAGTATCAGAGTTCGGCGGCGCCGACTAATGCGCCCGCTACTGCAACACCCAAGGCGCGACGCATGCGGCGGTTAGGGACGCCCAAATCCGCCGAGGCCAGTTTGGATCCCAGCGCGTCACCACCGCTGTCGTCGTCGTCGTCGCTGGGGGGGACGCCCGATAGGAGGAAGTTGACGCCCAAGTCGGCTAAGCCGACATCACTCTTCAGCAGTCGACCATCGCTGCGCAGTTCGGTGCACAATTCGAGTTTGCTGCAGTCGCACGCGGGATCGACGCCTGTACCGCGACGGGTGCGATCGCGGACATAACCATAGCCACCAGAGGGTTGGGTTCACGAGTTACGACTGTTTCTTCTTTTTTCTTTCTTCTTTTCTTATTAGGGAGGGTACTCGCTTTGCAAAATTTTGTCTGACTGTAGATAATTCTCTCTTTTTTACCCTGAAGATAGACCGGCGGAGGCCAAGGCGTCTTCAGCACGGACATTGCACGGAGCTTTTTTTTTTCTTCCTTGCAAAATTTCTTGTTTTCCCCTAGCCATACCTACCTGTTTGGTCGATGGATGGTTTCCTGAAGGAGGTCAGATCAGAGTGATCTACATGTCACCTTACTCCTTAGCATGTGAAGGTAAAATGGTCAGGGGTTCGCGTAGTCGACATTGGGGAGCGTACTGAGTATGGAGTATGGAGTAGAGGGTGTTGTATTTCTTCATCTTGAGATGGCTGTATACAGCGGAGGGAGAGAGAGGTCAGGGACTCCAAATACCTTATCGGTGGGTGAGTAGATGTCAATTGTATAGACAGACTATGCCAGTGGTACTATATGAATAGTCTGGCAGTAGTAGATGGAGATGTCTATCTATCATCAACCATACCTGATCCAATCTAGACAAAAGATCATGGAGTACTAAACTCCCCCGTACTGATACAGTATGTACCAACAGCAGGTAAGTAACATAATACACACGGTAAAAAAATACCACCAACGGGTCCCAACTGCGGCATGACATCATCAGCCCGCCCCATAGCCATGTTTCAGCGGGGTTCATTATAACCTCAGTACTACTTACCACTTCCTCCTTAGTACATTAGGTGGTACCTAGTCTACCACCTAGTGGTTAGTACCTAATCTCGAGTCGAGCGAACGGTCAGCCAAAACTGCAAAAGCTATTTCCACTGCAGGCAGGGATTAATTGCCTCAGAGTACATGCAACCGGCTGGGTGGATCGACTTGGCTTTGGTTAGAATCTAGCTTGAAGGTTGATGGTAGGTTGTAGGTTACTACTGTCTCTAGGGAGGTAGGGTTTGGTGGTGAATAGGTAGACAGGATAGGAAGGTTTTCCTTGACTTTGTTTACTTCCTACTTACTACTTTCTATGTTGTGAGATACACACATATCAAGATAGTCAATAGATATCAGATCAAACCGTACAACAGGCTTCCTCCACCTCCAGAAGGATGTAACCACACCATAGCCAACCCGACAGATCTACCACTTCTAACATAAATGAAGGAATGATCCTCCCGACCACAGACTACATGCAGGAAAATGAGGCATTTCTTGCATATTTTAATCTGTTCTCCGGTGAAGAACAACCTACTAGGCTACGGGATACTGCTAATGCCATGATACGGCACGGAGCACCTCGTTACGAGAGAACTGTGGATATGTGGATATGGAAGTTGTTTAATCTACGTCATAGGTTGAGTTGACTTGACTTACCTAGTAGGTAATAGGCAGACCTACCTTGTTTGTTTAGCATACTACTCCGTACGGAGTACTAGCATCTACTTTACTAAATATTCTTTCCCATTCAATAAGCCAATGGAAGAACCGAACAAAAATAAAATAAAATACAATAAGATAACTACGACAAAGATCTTTATCCCTCATCAAAAAAAAAACCAGTAACTCAAATTTAAAAAAACACTAAGGTAGGGCTTTCCCGAAAATGCCCACCGGTGTTTGAGATACTCGTCCGTGTTCTCCCGAGGCATTTGTGGCTTGTCTTGTCCCAATCCCTCCCCGGGGGATGGAGGACCCCCTTTTTCCCGCGCTAACCCGGCCCATCCCCGCCAATTGAGATGTTGGTTGTGGGATGATATTGGCCAATGCTATCATCCATTGACCAATTGGGGGGAGGTGGTTAGGGAGCTGGTGAGCCTGGCTCTGAGGTTGGTATGGGGTGTGGATGGGTGTACTCCGGGGTTTTACTCTTACTTTTTTATTTACATCCTGATTACTGCTGTACTGAGTATTGGTGTACTTACTTGCTTGCTGCTGGACTGACTTACTTACTGCATATTGCATACCTGCTGCGTAGGTATGTACTTGTCATTTGCTGGATGATGGTTCATCACTATGTAGCTATGACCCTCAAGAATGATATAAATTGGGATAGATGAGGCTGTGGTTGTCACTGATATTGAATGATCCGATGTATAACTTTACATACAGTAATGGTATGATACCGCCGATAATACATACATACACTAGCGGGTACCATACCTAGTATCATACCCATTACCAGTATGCATCTGGAGGACTGTCCTCCGAGCAATGTGTCGTGCATATGTGTAATAATCATTTCATAATTCTCCAAATGTCGTCTTCATCTACCATCTCTTGGCAATCTACAATCTACAGATCACAGACTACAGAGAAAGCTTCAGATATCGGTATTGGCTCGTAGATATCGGTTGACTATCCAATTGTCATATCGGGAACCTAGCCTGGCAGGATCCCGTTCCCGTCGTTACTCATGTCCTATCCTCCCACGTGCCCCACCAGACGTCGTACGATGTCCTGCGTGAGATTCAACGTTCAACGTTGAACGTCTAAGCAGACAGCTGCTTGGCCGTCTCCTCAGGCCAGACATCATAACCAAACGTATCCTTCATGTTCACAAAGCGGAAGTGCCGACCCTCCGCGACCTTGTTCACAGCCGCAAAGTCCGCATCCGACAGCTCGATGCTCTTGAAGTTCGACTCGATACGGGCCGGGTTCGAGCTCTTGGGCAGCACGACGTAGCCGCGGCGCAGACCCCACGCGATCAGCACCTGGGCCAGCGTGTTGCCGCCCTTCTGGGCGATCTCGTTGAGCGTGGCGTTCTCGCTGACGCGCTCGCCCGTCGTCGGCACCTGGTTCTGCGAGCCCAGCGGCGAGTACGCCTCGGGCATGATGTTGTGGTCGAAGCAGTACCGCACCAGCTCCTCGTTGGGCAGGAACGGGTGGATCTCGATCTGGTTGATCTGCGGCGTCACCTTGGCGTACTTGAGCAGCTGCTCCAGCTGCTCCTTGGTCCAGTTGGAGACACCGATGGCGTGCGCCTTCTTCTCGGCGTAGAGCTTCTCCATTGCGCGCCAGGTGGGTTCGGGGTTCTCGGTGAGGTCCTTGAGGATGACGTACTATTTTTCTCACCCGTTGAGTGACTGAACATCTTGATTGTTTGTGGAGGGGTTTGTTGGGCATACCTTTCCGTCAGGTCCAATCTTGGGCGACTCCTGGGTTTCCTTCTCGGCGGCAATGGGCCAGTGGATGAGGAACAGGTCGATGTAGTCGAGGCGGAATTTCTTGAGGGAGCTCTCCAGCGACCAGGCGACGTCCTCGGGACGGTGTAGGTGGTTCCACACCTTGGTGCAGATGAAGATATCCTCGCGCTTGATGGAGGGGTTCTCCTTGAGGAAGTCGTGGAGAGCATCACCGACCTCGGACTCGTTGAGGTAGAACCAGGCACAGTCGAGGTGACGGTAGCCGGTCTTCAGGGCACACATGACGGCCTTGTAGGTCTCGCCGACGGCACCCTCGCTGGCGAAGGTGCCGAAGCCGATGCCGGGGATCTTGACCCCATTGTTGAGGGTGAAGGTGATACCGGAGGACATGATTGATATTCAAGTGATGGAGATCAATGGGTTTGTTGGATGGAGAGGGGTAGGGAGGAGAAGTGGGTAGGAGGGGATGGGAATTGGTGGGGAGAGGTGGTTCGAGGGTGGTTAAGAGAGGTGGCATGGAGGGGTAAATCTGTCTGCTTCCATGTGCTGTACAAGTGGGGTGGGCAGGAAATCCTGCAACCGGTCGATTGAGGGGTTGGCCAATATTCTACATACATCTTGCTTCTCTACTCACTCTTTTTGTTCTTCTCTCTCCCCTTTTACTGTCTACCCTTCTACCTGTCTTTCTTGTATAATAATTATCTACCTATATGGAGTACATAATATAATGACGGCATGACCACGCCAAGCCACAAGGCTTTATGACATCATGTTTCAATACAGAATAATACATTGAAAATAACCACTGGAAACTCGGCTTCAATCGGCTCCTCGGTCTCAGACATCCATGGCTCCGAGACCGAATGGGCCAATCAGAGGGAGTGATTTGGTACATGGTAATGGAGAGCCCGTATTCCATACCAGATACAATACATACAGATGGATACAATACAAGATACCCGTACTTACCGTCTGTATCATACAGAACATGGACCAAACATCAACTTCATCCCACTCGCATCCCAATCTGGTCAAGAATCATAATAATGACGATAATTCCTAGGAAGGAGGGTGGATGTTGGTGGATCCCCCTGCTCTACTTCAATGATGGCTGCTCCCATTTTGCCGCCACTGCCTTCATTTATTAGATCCATTGTCCCTCTCCCTGGCTCTACTTCTTCCTCCTCTTCATCTTCGTCTTCATCTTCATCTTCATCTTCATCTTCAAGGACATTGACTGCGTTGGAACTCAGATCCAACCATTGTTCTACTTCCGTGTCCTTCCTGGAGTGATATCATCCACTTCCTCGCTCCACCTTCTTACATCACTTATAACCCCTCTCCCCCTCCTTCCAATAGGTGGACATCTTCGACTCTCACCTTTCAACCTCTCTTGATCCATTAAACCAATCAATTGACCGTCAACATGCCTCGTTTTGATGATGCTGATTTTGGGGTCGACGCCGCTCCTCCGGCTGGCGCTCGTTCCCCCAGAGACCACCGTAGCGTGGCGGGTTCGCTGCCTATCCCCAGCGATGCCAACAACACCGTGGAGATCCCCGCTACCCGGAGCTCCATCTCTGATGCCGCTCAGTTCATGCACAACCTGAGCCTGTCGCCCTCCACCCGGGACCGTCGTGGCTCCCGCAACTCCTTCGGCACCTCGCTGCCCATCCCCCGCTCGCCCCGCGTCTCCCGGCTCTCGTCGGTGGCCCGCGCCGGCGACGAGTCCGTCTCCCGCGACATCCTGGCCTCGCAGATCCAGGACATGTCGCAGGAGAAGGTCGCCGCCGCCAAGAACATGGCCTTCGCCTTCGACATTGATGGTGTGCTGTGCCACGGCCTCGAGCCCATCGAGGAGGCCAAGGAGACCCTCCGCATGCTGAACGGTGACAACGAGCTGGGCATCAAGATCCCCCACATCCTCCTGACCAACGGTGGCGGTAAGACCGAGGCCGCCCGCTGCAAGCAGCTCTCCGAGATCCTCGAGCAGCCCATCTCCACCGACCAGTTCATCCAGTCGCACACGCCCATGCAGGCCCTGTCCGAGTACTACGAGACCGTCCTGGTCTGCGGTGGTGAGGGCCAGGCCATCCGCGAGGTGGCCGAGAACTACGGGTTCAAGAACGTCGTCCACCCCAAGGACATCCTCGCGTGGGACCCCACCGTCTCGCCGTGGGGCTTCTTCACCGAGGAGGACCGCCTCGAGGCCAAGCCGCGCGACTTCACCAAGGTCAAGTTCGACGCCGTTCTGTTCTTCGCCGATTCGCGCGACTACGCCACCGACTTCCAGCTCTGCATTGACCTCCTGCTAGCCGAGAACGGCAAGATGCTGACGCGGTCCAACAACCCCGACGAGCACATCCCCATCTACTTCTCCCAGGGCGATCTGATCTTCCCCACCAACCACAAGGGCCCCACCCGTCTGACGCTCGGTGGCTTCCGCATCGCCCTCGAGGCCCAGTACAAGGCTCTGACCGGCCAGGATATGGAGCGTGTCATCTACGGCAAGCCCGAGCGCGCCACCTACACCTACGCCGACGAGGTCCTTCGCTCGTGGATGGAGCAGATCCACAACGAGAACACCCTGCCCCAGAACATCTACATGATCGGCGACAACCCCATGTCCGACATCATCGGCGGCAACATGTACGGCTGGAACACCTGTCTGGTGCGCACCGGTGTCTTCCAGGGCGGAGACAACGACCCGCAAAACCCGGCCAACTTTGGCGTCTTCGACAACGTGCTCGACGCCGTCAAGGCCGCCGTCCGCAAGGAGCTGGGCCAGGAGTTCAAGTTCAAGTGGAACCCCAAGGTCAACCCCGTGGTTCACGGTGACGGCCAGTCCGCCATTGAATAGGCTCACAACGCCCCCACCAAAAATCAAAAAAGACAAGGGAAAAAGAGAAAAAACAAAATCAACCCTGGCGTTTGGTGATTCCCCAACTTACTTTTCTTACTTTTTTTTATCTTTATCATACTGTCTACCGCAGGATGCTAGACAGATTCACACTTGGTTCTGGTATATGTGTGTCACGCTTTATGTCTTTTCTTCTTCATTTCTTCATTTCTATTTTCTACTTTTTATTTCTTATGTCGGTCGGGTTCTAGACTGGGTGATATCTTGGAAATGGACGGCAACAGAACCTCCGATGAGATATCATATACCAATATTGTTTTTACAGGAATGGATGGATTTAGATTTCATATCACTTTTTTTTCTTCTTTGATTTTTGAATAGACTTTATGCATTTGAATTATATTTTTTTTCATGATCTATTTTCCACCTACCTACCTACCTATCTATCTTATCTCAAACAGAGTTTTCTCTTTCCCACTGCTACTGCAGCTACCAGCTACCGCATCATCCAACAAAGTTTACCATTCACCCATCCGGATTTCATCATCCATCGTATTGTACACTAGTACTTTGGTAGAGTAAAATCAAATAACCCAGTAAAAATAAATAATCATGTTAATAATATGGTCATTATAACGATAATACACAGTAACAAACAAAATCACCTAGACGAAAAGTCAAACCCAAACCCAAACTCAATCCCAAAAAAAGAAAAAACCCACCTAGCAAACCTAGTGGTAGAAGATTCCCCGGTAGGTTTGGTTCAGTTTTAGTCTTTAGCTCATTCTCGACGGTCAATGGATGGTGGAAGTCGTTGACGCCATGTACTTCCGCCTCAGTTATATCCGTAGTGATTATTATACTGATTATTATACTATCATCTCTTAGTAGATAATATATGATGATGATTATGGTGATGATGATTGTATTTGAGTGTATTTAAAAGTGTCTGTACTGTATTTACGCACGGAGAATTCATGGATTTGTACTGTTTTGTATAACTTATTTGGGGATAAGGTTATACCTTGGGTTACTTTGAGTCTACTGTTAGATTCTCGTATACTTACCTAGTCCATATATCTCTACGTAGTTCCAGGGTAAACCACGACTACACAACTACACAACACACGCGATGCAATCCAATGCAATACCAGACAGTAATGACTTGTCTATCAAACATAATATACAGACAAGGGTATCCATCCCACAATCCAACCATCCAAAGCCATCATCAAAATTACAACTCATCCTTAGCATCGTGCACAGGAACATCACCCACCGGCCGCCCACTATCTCTCCCCAAATCCACCCCGTTCTTCTTCCTCCACTTCTCCCAAAGCGCAAAGAACTCCTTCTCCATCCCGGACTCCATCTCATCAGGCAGAATAACCGTGTACTCGACGTACAGATCGCCCGGCGACTCGTCCTCGTCGACGCCCTCGTGCAGGTCCGCCGCAGACCAGAACGGCATGCCCTCGCCCTTGACGGTCTCGACAGCCAGCGGCTGCACGACGGATCCGCGCGGTCGACCCAGCTGTACGACGTGCCCGTCGAGGTGGGTGACGTTGCGCGTCCACTCGCCCATCCAGGCTTCGCGCAGAGACAGCGCCTCCTTCCAGAAGAGGTCGCGGCCGCGGCGGCGGAAGAATGTCCCGTCTGTGCGTTGATCGTCGGGGCGGCTTGCGTCGGATAGCTCTGCGGGTTTCTCTTCCAGGATGAGGACCAGGTCTCCTGCGATCCAGTCCGGGCTTTCGTCCGCCTCGTTTTCGAAGACGAGTCGCGTGCCCCGGTCCATACCCGGTTCCACCGTCGCAGTCGTTTCCACCTCCCGCCGCACGACCTTCTGTCCGCTGCACACGGGGCAAGGCTTCACGATCCGCTGGCCCTTCCCTCCGCACGCGTCGCACGCCATCTGCACCTGCTGGAACATGCCCGGCGCGAGCATATGCTTCTGGATGACCATGCCGTGGCCCCCGCAGCGCTCACACCGGTGGACTTCCCCGTCCGCCGAGCCGCTCCCCTCGCACGTGTCGCAGATCTGCTGCTTCTCCACCCCGAAGACTACCTCCCGCCCGCGGTAGAAGTCCCGCAGCGGCAGCCCCACGCGCAGCTCCATGTCTGGCCCGCGTCGGTGTCCCGCCGCATGCCCGAAGTGGCCGCCGCCGCCGAAGAAGCGCGAGAAGATGTCGAAGGGGTCGTGGGTTGCTCCGCCGGCTGAACCGCCTTGGCGGTGTTGCTCGATGCCGTCGTGGCCGTACTGGTCGTAGATTTTGCGCGTCGTGGGGGTCGATAGGACGTCGTAGGCTTCGGCGATTTCGACGAATTTCTGTTCGGCGGCTTCGTTGCCTCTTCTTTCGTTAGTACCCCGACGTATTTGGGTAGCGCGAACGAGAAGGGGGGAAAAGAGACGTACGGGTTCTTATCCGGATGGTACTTCTTGCTCAGCGTGCGATACGCCTTCTTGATATCCTTCTCCGAAGCGGACCGGTCCAGCCCCAACGACTTGTAGTAATCCTCCGCAGCAAGCACCACCTGCACCAGAAGGAGCGTCACCGCGACGACCAGAAAAGCGAGACGCATGGTGAGCATGGTGTGTGAGATCCGTGACTGCGCTGCGCCGACGGCTCATGCGCCCTTCCCTGTCTTCTCCGCTGTTGTTGTTATTGTTGTTGTCCGTTTGACGTTGTGGTCAATTCGATGTAGGATACTTCGCTTTGTTAGATGCAAGTGAGAGTAATGAATTTAGGCAAATCTCGAGATCAGTGAAGAACTCAAGGGTCGATTGATTGCTTTGAAGAAGAAGTAGAGGAAGTGAGAATGATCGATGCAAACCAACCAAACCGGTTGTTGTTAGGTGGCCGCAACGGAGGTCATGTTTGTCCGGTCCGATGTCTTCAACTTCACGTGGTGATAACTTCCTTATCTTATCACCGTGGAAGTATGCACATGTCAAATGCCGATGCTTCATATCCATTTCGTAAACTATGTATTAATCATGACGTGCAAATAAAGTCCCGTCAATTATAGAACACAGGAGTGTCATGCTCTTCGGTAGATCTGACATCTACCCAACCCCCACGTCGAATCATTAGCCCTATCTGGGAACGTCAAAGATGTCATTTCGCCACGTCCGCCCCAGCCCCTGACTCTCATCGCCCTCTTCGATGGCCTCCTGCGCCCGTGTGGCCTCTTCGCGCCACACCTTGGTTAGACTCCCCGGGGCGTAGACGCCCTTGAAGACGCCACTTCCTGGAGCATCCAGACCGACTCGCGCCTCGACATCGCCGTCTGCCGGCTTCAGTCGAGCCAACACCGCCCGCACGAAGCTCGCCAGATCCTTGGGTTGGGCGATGCGCGCGGCGCGCAGGCGTTCGCGCGCAAAGACCAGCTCCCGGTTCAGCGCCGTCGCCGCCTCCACGATCTGCTCGGCGATCTTCTTCTCCAGCACCCGGCGCACGAGATGCTTGAGGAAGGGCTTGGCCAGCCACAGGAGGAGCTTCCACTTGCTGCGGTGCACCTTGTAGCTGAGCTTGTAGATGCGCACCCGCACGCTGCGCAGGGTGAAGATCTGTTCGAGACGGTCGCGGCCGACTTCCACGTCGAGGGAGATGTCGACGCCGCGGCGGTCCAGGGCGAAGCTGGCGATGCCCTCGTCGTTAAACCGGAAGAACGAGCCGGGGTGGGCACGGACCCAATACCCGAATTCCTCCGCACTGAGGTTCAGCCCCCAGACACTGGCCGTGAAGGTGGTCTTCAGGCCCGCGGCCGTCTGTTTCGAATGCCGTTTGACAATGTCGATGTCGTTGCGGGTGGTGACATGCAGGCGATACGGCAGGAAGGACGAGAAATTGACGGTATGCCCCGGCTCCAAGACCAGATTCTCCAGCAGGAGGTCGAGCTCCGGCGACGTGATCTCCAGCCGGGGGATCGGGATGTACTGGAGGCTGCGAAGGAGGAGGGGGAAGACAACCTCGAGGAGGTCCATGGGCAGTTCGCTTTTCCGGTCATGGTACCCGTCCCATGCGTCTTGGTATAGTTTGTGGGTCGCGTCGATCAGCCTGGACACCGCGAGGTCCTCTGGAATGCTCCGCAACGCCCGTTTGGCCTGTGCCAAGAAGGCATCCACATCCGAGCGCAATGTGGTCCCTGTGCCGATCTCCGTAGATTTCTCCTGGAGCTCGCCGATCCGCTCCTCGGCCGAATCGAAGAAGCTGGGATCGGTCAACATCTCCTGGATCGACGAGCCCACCTCCGACATGAGGGTTTCAAATTCGGGATCCTCGTTGGCATGTTGGAGCACCCTGTTGCATCTCTCCTCCAACGTTTTCCACTCCTCGCTATCGCCGAACGATTGGAGCAGGTTCCAGAACTCACGCATCGCTTGTTTGAGATCGACATTGATTTCCGCCTCTTCCTCCGCCGCCGCGACGACGTCAGAGGCGGCGCTGGCGTAGATCTTCACATACCGCTGGACTAGTCGGGCCAGCGTCGACACCGAGTCCGAGTAGTCCGTGCGCTGTCGCAGCTTCTCGACGGCCTGCTTCAGGCGGTGAAGCAGGGTCTCTTTTTCATCTCCGGAGAAGTGGTCTCGGGCACTGCGGACAGCCTGTTTTCCTGTGCGCGTGGCTGCGTTCTCGACCACGTCCGCGATGTGGGATGCCTCTTGCTGCAGGTCCTCGTTGGACGGGGCGGGGCCCTCGTCCGCGCCTGCACCCTCGACCGCCTGGGCCTCTTCGGCGGAGGGTTGGAGCTCCTCGCTGGCTTCCTGTGCCACGCTGGACAACGTCCCGGCCGTGTCGGAGAAGATCTGCCGCCCAACAGTGGTGACATCTTCGACGAAAATTCGAAAGTCGGAATTGGTCAAGAGGAGACGTCCGACCGTTTGGAGACTATCATACGCTAATCCACACGTTAGCAATTCTCTTCTGCGGCCCAGCAGACAATCATCCAGGCCGGGGGAGGGATATGGTACCGGCTTTGGTGTCCGCAGTCGCTCGCCTGTCGGCAGCATGTTGCGAGATCCGCGTGGGATCGAGCGCGATCTTGGAGCGAGCTAGATGCCAGAGAAGCTGCTGCAAGTGATCATCGTCATTCTTCTGGCGCACCAGATCGATAAACAACTGGATCCAGAGGCGAGCGTCTCGGATCAACTGGCGACCGACGGAGCCAATCTCCTGGTTACGCGGATTCAGGACGTCGGAAGCTAAAACGGTGCGCAGGAGGACGACCGTCTGATCGGTGGACGGCATGTACCCCTCCGCGAGGGCACGGAGCATCTGGTAAGTGTGTAACTTCTGATGCAACCGACGCTGGCGGGTGGTGTCCTCCTCATAGCGAGGGAGGAGGGGCTCCCTCTCTCCTTGCGACATGATGGCGGGACCTGACCTGCAAGGGAATCGGTAACGATTCCGATGGAGGGATTCGACGTTGTCTGAGGTTGTTCCTCCTGTCTAGCCTCCTGTTGACGGTGATGTCGGGATTGAGTGGGCAGCCAGCAAGGAAGTAGATGATCGACGGAAAGCGGAGACGGGGGGGAGCTTCATCCCAGAGAGCTTCATTGTTGCGTCACCTGCCCGCCGCTTGACCGGATTAGGGAATCGAGACATTTGTCGTCCAATCAGGATGGGTGTGAAAGTGCCTCATACTGTTGACTTCAAGGGATGTTTTATCGACATTTACAGATCTCTCAAGTAGGTAGTAAGTTTGTCAATGTAGGTAAATTGGTCGATGCAGCATCTACTGCCGAAACAGCTCTATAAATCGATTGTCGTGGATGCCTTAGGTACCGGTCGGACTTTAGGTTATTCCCGGGGGCCTCGGTTGCTTACATAATAGAGAGTTATCCATGGATAACCCACAGATATACGGAGTAGACAGGTAGATATACAATAGGTAGGAGTACCCGTATATATCTTCAATTTACCCGGGTAACTACCGGATAAATCCAGTTCCCTCAACGTCCAACTCCATGGCCAAAGGTATTAATAACCCGACGCGGCTGGACCCAAGGGCACCATGTGGTTCGGCCGACACTAAGGGTTAGTTTCAGTCGAGAGGGGGTCCAGGGGGGCTCCATCCGAAGCCCCATCGGCAGGTTCCGGTTGGCAAGCGGAGCCTGGTCTAACCACCGGTGATTGTTTTGGGCGATGGAGGACGGAATGGGTGATATCTGGACGATCATTCGGAATGATTTGGACTGGTTTTTTCTTCATGACTCTTGCATATAAATTGATTGATTCATCGAGGTCAGATGTGTTACTAGTAGGGATGTAGTATGAAGTATACAGCATTGAGGATACACTATACAAAGTTTAACTATATAGAGTTTAACGAGACTGGGGTTTAACTTTGAAGTATACTGGGTTGATATATTGGGTTCAGTATAGGATATAAGTATGCCGGTACTGCATCCGGCAGAGAGACTACCGCGGTTGATGCCGGAGGACACAACCATGGAACCGAACATCAACCAGAGATAGAGATAGAGATAGACGAGAAGGAGCGATAGGTCCTCATAGGTATAAGAGTCAAGTATGAATAACGATCGGGCCGTGGTTGACTAACAGGCAGCCCGAATTCGGCCCGGTTGACCATTTGGTCGTGCGGGGAATCGTTTTGTATGGACGAATGAGTCAGCCGTTTCATCTGGAATCTTTCCTTTTTTGGTTGTATTATTGATTCGATCTGATTTCATTATTATTGTTCTCCACATCGGAACAAGTTATCGGACACCCATCGAATATTTATAATACTGGAATTCTGATGACTCGTCCTATAGAACCCAAGTATCAACCGACAAGTATAGTGTCAGAATGGTTCGGAGCCCGGAGTTTCAGAGATCCTCAACTTGGCTGGAATGGGGTCACAGAGTTTTCAGGTCTGGGGAAAAGCTCAACCCGGAAGTCCCAACAGAATGATAATAATAATAATAATCAGATCATAAAAATAGACACATAAATTGAAATCAATCATAATAATCAACAAATCAAAAAGACACAAAAGAAAAAAAAAAGGAGAAAAAGGAAGCTGGACTGGACTGTACACGGTAGTTACCGTCCTGCACCATCCCAATATCGATCCATCTCAATAAAAATGCCTCACCCCCCTGCACCACAAGAAGGCATTCTACGCCGTAGTCCCAATACTGCTTCCCGATCTTTGACCTTCTCTTTGTTTGTCATTCGTCAATGTCTCTTCTTGCCTTCATCCAGATCACGAATCCCGTCTGGTCTGGTATGTCTGGTTCTCCGCATTTGTCGAACAGTCGGAGACTCTTCCCGTGGTCTCCACATGCGGTCCCAACTGCTTCTCCCTCCCCCAAATTTCCTCAAAGCTTCGTATCCCTACCCCATTTTTAATTCCTCTGGCTGGTTCGGTGGAAGCCATGCGCCTCTGCCGACCCTTTTACTCCTTCTGACTGGTCCCTGTTCCCCCCGGTTCTTCCCGATTGTTGAACCCAATCCTGGTTCGAGAGCTGTCGACCGCCCCTACTTTCATTCTTGCGACGGCTTTCCTCCGTTGGAGATCCTCTCCTCACACATCCAGTGGTGGTAATTGTCGGAATGCGGTCGACTATCCCTCAGGGGGTCTCAATGCTAGCGTTTAGACTTAAAACATCGCGTCTGCCTGCGTCTTCCTCTGCCTGTCTACTCTTTTCATCTCATTCTCCTCTCTCCTCGGTCTGCCTTGATACGCGCTCTTCGTCTACCCTTGCTGTGACTCACCGTGCCACCATGGCTCGATTCCCTTCGCAACAGAAATCTTTCCAAGCCTCGACGTATGTAAATCATGCGGCGCCGGTGTAAGTGCGACCAGACTGTCTTTGCGATGTCGTCGTCTTTAGAGTGTCAAGACGGGTGGTAGAGCTGTCACTGACCATTTCGGAAACTTGTAGGGAGGCTAACTATGACACCGCTAATCCCCCGTACATTCGCAAATATCTCCGCACCTATGGATTGACGCCTCCCCGCGCAGAATCGTATGAAGTGCAGAAGACTCGTTGTAGGTGGAATCGGGACCGGGCGCATTGATCGGACCCCTGTCGCTAACCACGCGATCACAGGTCTGGCCCAATTGGCCCTGAAAACCTCCAACATCGAGAAATTCCTTTACCTGAGCACCCTGCGCAAGAACAATGTGCATCTCTTCTACCGTCTCATGACGGATCATCTCAAGGTATGTTCGGATCCGACCACGAAAACTACACCCGCGTGCGGGGAAGAGCTTCCCCTTGATCCTCGTCACGCTGTTGGTGGAATGATCGACTAATGGGCCAACCCGGTAGGAATTAACGCCTCTCATCTATACCCCCGTCGTTGGAGAAGCTTGTCAGAGATGGTCCGAGATCTACCAGCAGCCGGAAGGTACGTTTCAAAGAAAAAACCCCCATTTACCCCCTTTCTCCCCCCCCCCCCTGTCTCCGGTACTTCTGCCGCTCCGGTGACGAATCAATCTCGGCCGCTAACGGAATGACTGGTCAGGCATGTATCTTAGCTGGGAAGATCGAGGCAATCTAGCCGCCGTCATCGCCAACTGGCCCCAGCCTAATGTGGAGATCACATGCATCACCGATGGTTCCCGAATTCTGGGTCTAGGTGATCTTGGCATCAATGGCATGGGCATTCCCATCGGAAAATTGGCCCTCTACACTGCCTGTGCGGGCATCCGACCCGAGGCAACCTTGCCCTTGACCCTGGACCTGGGCACCGGCAACAAGACCCTCCGAGAAGACCCGCTATACATGGGTAGTCGCCATGACAAAATCACTCCCGATCAGGAGCGGGAGTTTATGGATGAGTTGATGACCGCTCTCACCGAGCGTTGGCCTGGGTGAGTGACTCATGCCGATCCTCCTTCCACCTCCACCCCCCCCCTCTTCCACTCTCCCTTTCCCTTCTCTTTACTTTCTTTTTCTATTTTCTTCCGATGTAACGGAAACTACCGGGGAATATGTCTGACTCCTTCCAGCATTGTCATCCAATTCGAGGACTTCAAGAATCCGTTCCCCGCGCTGGAGCGCTACCGCGACATTTACACATGCTTCAACGATGACATCCAAGGCACTGGTGCCGTCATCCTGGGTGGAGTCATCAATGCCGTCAAGCGTTCCGGACTCCCCTGCAAGGAGCACCGGGCTGTCTTCCTTGGTGCAGGCAGCGCCGGTGTCGGCGTCGCCAAACAGATCGTCGCCTTCTTCATGCGCGAGGGCATGACCGAGGATGAGGCCCGCGCGTGCTTCTACCTTGTCGACACCAAGGGTCTCGTCACCATGGACCGGGGTGACAAGCTGGCCGACCACAAGGTCTACTTTGCTCGGGAGGACAACGAGGGCGCGCAGTACAAGAACCTGAACGAGGTCGTCGACCATGTGAAGCCCACCATCCTCATGGGCCTGTCCACCCTCGGGGGCGTCTTCACCCCGGAGATCCTCCGCAAGATGGCGGACTGGAACACCAGCCCCATCGTCTTCCCCCTCTCCAACCCTTCGTCCAAGTCGGAGTGTGACTTCGAGTCGGCCGTCACCCACACCGACGGCCGGGTGCTCTTCGCCTCGGGCTCCCCCTTCCCGCCCTTCTCCTTCACCGACTCCCATGGCGAGACCCGGACCCACTACCCCGGCCAGGGCAACAACATGTATGTCTTCCCGGGCATCGGTCTGGGCACGATCCTCTCCAAGGCCGTCAAGGTCACCGACAGCATGATCTACGCCTCGGGCGAGGCGCTCTCGCAGGCCCTGACGCCGGACGAGATCGAGCGCCGTCTCCTCTACCCCGACGTGACGCGCATCCGCGAGGTCAGCATGGTGGTGACCCGCAAGGTCATCCGGGCGGCGCAGGACGACAAGGTGGACCGGGAGACCGTCCTCCGCACCATGGACGACGACGCCCTGGACGCCTGGATCAAGGCGCGCATGTATGACCCTCACCACGAGGTGCTGGCCCTCGAGCGGGAGGTGGGCGCCTTGCTCTCCAATTTGGGGCCGTGGTCGAACGGAAATCCCTACGAGGACGGTGATAAGAATGCTAAGCTGTAAGCTCCGGTATTTCTTCTTTTTTTTTTTTTTTCCCCCTTCTATCTCCGTTTCTCCGTTTCTCCCTTTCTTTGCCCTTGTCTTCTTTTCCATTCTTTCGTCCCCTCCCCCCATCGCTTTTGGCATCCTTCACCGAACTCGGGAATCTCCATTTGATTATTCGCTCGTTTTCTAATGCACACCTGTTCAGACTGGGTTCCTTTTGATTTAGAGCGCGTTTTCCGTTTTCCTGTTTTCCTTCGAGTCCCGTCCCGTGTCGAGGAAGGGTGCTCGTTATTTCTTTATACCCCATTTTGTCCGATTCCGCATACTTGTTTCCTCATGATGGTTGCCATTGTTCTATACCGTTTTGAAGTTGGGGGAGAGAAGAGATTGGGAAAGAAAAGATTGGGTTGCAATGTGAGCATGAGCATGAGTGAGGGGGAAGAAAAACAGTAGCATAATTTGGTGGAGGGCCCGCACTATTTGGCATTATTTCGGTTCGTCAATATCTGGTCTATAGGTCTCTGTTTTGGTTTAAATACAATCCTTTCTTGGGCAGGTCACTCAACACTTCGATCATCACGTATTGAAATCAAGATGCGGGGAAGAGCAGAATTGGAGAAACCGTGCGGGGATCGGATGGATTATATAATCAACCCTGGATTACTGATCTCTTGGTGCAGCTCTTCTCTTCCATCTACTAAGCTAATCCCATCTGTCTATCTCCTTCCATGTTATGCTAATGTCAGACATACCATGTCAGTCATATATCAGCGTCCAGTCCAGTCCAGGCCAGCCCAGTCGGCCATAGACTGACCGAGTCATGGAGACTCCGGATAGATTCATATATCCGACTGCCCCACTGGACACTATCTGATTGGATGGTGATCACGGCCGCGATGTTAGTTACGCCGACCCCCTGACGGCTGTCGCAACACTTGTCGCTTTGGGTTGTTAGTTTTGAGGCATGATGGTTGATGTTGGTTAGGGTGGGGTTGATTGTATTGAGTGCGTGTCTAGGGAGTTTGTGCGTTGGGGATTGGTGGTGGGTGAATGGGTGGTGGAGATGGGGATGGCTACAAGCTGCTGGGCAGTGTGCGATGATTGTGTGGCTTCGAAGAGATAACGGAGAGTATTGTGCTCCAGCTACGATGGCGACATCTGGTCATTACCAAGATATGTTTACCAATGGCGATATATCACAAACAACAAATCAAGGTGATCGACACGGTTCAGCAAGATACTTTTGTACCGGCGCCGCTTTCCCCACTGTTGATCCGGCCATGTGGATTCGGCCTGCCTCGGTTCCGTTTTTGACAATTATAAGTGTCTGGTTCTCCGTTTCAATGAATTGTTGTGGGAAATCACTCCAGCAATTGAGAACAATCAGCCGTGAACATGTCTTCTCTGGGTGATGCCGTTAAACTTCCCTGTGGGTTGGTCTTCCCGAACCGGCTCGTTAAGGTAATATAATTCTTTTCTTCCCAATGCGAGTCTCCCATATGGAATGTAATTCTGATATTATCAGGCTGCAATGGCCGAGCTGATGGCCGGGAGCGACCACGTCCCGACGCCGAATATGCTCGAGGTTTACAATCAATGGGGACAAGGTGGATGGGGGGGAGTTCTCACAGGTTAAACTCCTGTCTTTAGTCTTCCAACGGAAACATCACTAAAGAACCACCAGGAAACGTCCAAGTCGACGTCAACCACCTCGGAACGCCCTTCGATCCAGCCCTCTCAAACGACTACACGGGCAAAGAAAACAACCCCGACCTCGTCGCAGCATGGAGCAAATACGCCTCCGCCTGCCAACAACACGGCCCGCCCTCCATCGTGCAGATCGTCCACCCCGGCCGACAATCGCTGCGCATCGCAGGTCAGCGCGGCATCTTCGGGTCGACTATTGCGCCTAGTGCCATCCCCGTGCGTCTGGGCGATAGCTACCTTGAGCAGTTCATCAGCATGATTACCTTCCCGTATCCGCGCGAGATGACGCAGGGGGATATTGAGTCTGTGTCGAGGAAGTTTGTGGATACCGCGCGGTTGATGGCTGATAGTGGGTTTTCGGGGATTGAGTTGCATGGGGCGCATGGGTATTTGATTGGTTGGTCTTTTTTCCAGGCTGGTTTGGATGATGCGACTTACTAACGAATGTGTACACAGATCAATTTTTGAACCCCAAGGTACTACCACTTGATCTCTTTCAATCTCGTCTGAAGGAAGCAGCTGACACGGGCGATAGACAAACCACAGAACAGACGCCTACGGAGGCTCCGCCGAGAAACGCGCCAAATTCGTCCTAGACATCATCGCCGCCACGCGCAAAGTCGTCCCTCCTACCTTCTGCATTGGCATCAAGCTCAACTCCGCCGATCACAGTTCCGCCACCTTTGAAGACACCATGACGCAGATCGGACTTCTCGTCGACGCGGGTATCGACTTTCTCGAAGTGAGCGGTGGATCGTATGAAGATCCGAGTGTTAGTCTTTCACTTTCCATAGTCTACACTTCATCAACAAAAACAACAACAATCTAACAATCTAACAATCTAACAATGAAAACAGATGATGATGGGCCAAAAAGAACCCACCCAAGAAACCAAAAGCACCCGCACAGCCGCCCGCGAAGCCTTCTTCCTCGAATTCGCGCACGAAACCCGCAAGCGCTTCCCCTCCCTCATCCTCATGCTCACCGGCGGCTTCCGCACCCGCGTCGGCGCCCTCTCCGCCATCCGCGAGAACGCCTGCGATCTGATCGGCATCGGCCGGCCGTCGGCTGTGGACCCCAAGCTGCCGCTGCTGATGCTGGATGAGAGCGTGTCTGATGCGGAGGCGAGGCTGCCGCTGGTGAATGTGCCGGCGCCGTTTTATGTGAGGATGTTGCCGGCGAGGTCTGTGGGGGGTGGGTTGGAGAGTGTATGTTTTTTTTTTTTTTTTCTGTTTTTCTTCTCAACACTTCCCTTTGGGTGGTTTTTGGGGGGTATGGGCTAACACTTATACTATGAATAGGGCTACTACGCGAACCAAATCCAGCGGATAGGAAAGGGGTTGAAGACGTGCGCTCCGTCTTTGTAATACAGTGCTAGTGTACTGATGGGATCAGTCGGTGTATACTTATCACTACTAGGCATGTATATAGTGTATATAGGGGGGAAATGTAGGTATACTTGACATGGTGTATGATAGAGGATTAGTGATCTGGTTTAATCAGGTTCTGTACAGAATTTGTAGGGCCATGAAGTCTTATTCGTAGAGTTGGTTGGGTGGTACTTGAGTTATCGTCATGTTGGATTTGGCTTTATGAAGTTTATGGGTAGTATATGAGTGGTGCATGAGTAGTTTCAGAGTAGTATACGTAGAGTTCGGGGATACTCTTAGAGAGGACCTAGTGCATGAGGGTACAGTGCGAGGGTACAGTGCGAGGGTACAGTGCGAGGGTACAGTGCGAGGGTACAGTGCGAGGGTACAGTGCGAGGGTATAGTGCGAGGGTATAGTGCGAGGGTATAGTGCGAGGGTATAGTGCGAGGGTACAGTGTAGGAAGTATAGTCCGAGGGAGCTGCGTGAGGGAGAGTAGTATCAAGATAAGAGGCACAGCCAGACAACCGCACTCCATAAGAGACCACCGCAATATCCAAGCAGATCCAACTCCGGGTGACTATTCTGTTTTGTGCGCGAGTATCACTGTAGTGAATTTCGTCGCGGGTATAGTCTCGTCTCGAGCTAGGTTAGTAGGTCACCCTCCTGCCGTAGACTGCGTACTAGAACTAGGACTAGGTAATATGCAGCATGCGGCATGTCTCTGCACGATGGATCTACCCCAAGCGAACAGACGAACCCAATCCGTTTATCAGGACCATGCTCCGCTCAGCGAGTCAACCTGCTCGATCAAAAGTCGACTCATATAAAGAAAGAGACGAGGAGGAAAATCACTCAAAGCGCATCAAACAGCGCAGTATCACCTGCGCCCCAAAACTCCCCCGACAGGCCCTCCAGCGTCTCGAAATCCGGCATCCAGAACGGTCCGCCCTCCTCCGCGAGATCAATCCACGGGGCGAGCTCGAACGCCATGCGCACGCCGTGGTCTTGGCTGTGTGGGTCTGCGCTCATGGAAGATGGGGCAGGTCCAGAGGGTTCATTAATGGAGGAAGAAGAAGATGTAGCCATCATTAGCTCTGTCATGCTGGGTTTCTTAGCGGGGTCACTGGCGGGGCCGGTAGCGGCGTCTAGCTTCTCCATGGCTGCGTTCACGAGCAGCTCGAAAGCGTCGCGGTACTTTTTGACCCACGAGGCGCGCTCGCCCATGACGAAGAGGACGGTAGAGCAAGCGCGGATATCGTTGGACATTTGCACGGACCAGACGTGGGCTGCGTGTGTCCAGAGGGCGTGGAGGAGGGTGATGCCTGAGATGAAGACCGTCTGGACGGCGAGGAACGAGTGGCCGTATTCGAGGGTCTGGTGGAGGCGTTTGTGGGTCTGGCAGACGTTGCCGGCTGCGCGGAGACAGACGTGGTAGTAAGGGTCTGTGAGAGGGAGGGAGGGGAGGAAGGGCTGGATGAGGAGTCTGAGGGCGCGGTTGTAGTGCAGGAGGGGGTAGTCGAGGTCTTGTGGGGCGGTGAAGCGACGGAGGGCGGCGTTCTTCCAGTCTTCGAGCTCGAGGTAGAGCGCATCCATCTTGGGGCGGAGGGTGTGGAGGGGGCGGTCGGCGCGGTAGATCTTGTGTTGGATTTTGGAGTCGATGCGGCGGAGCTGGATTAGGTGGATGGCGAAGGTTAAGGTCGTGAGGCGGTCGGGTGTGATCAGCTGGACTGGGTCTTTGATGTCGTCGTCGATGTCGAGGGGGAGGGGGAGGTCGATGTGTCGGTCTGCGATGCTAAATGGTCGGCCTAGAGACATGGAGACGACTCGTTCGAGGTAATAGACTGTCCAGAAGAGGCGTCGTCGCATTTGAGCGGTGATTGGATCTAGGTAGATTTCGTTGGCCTTTCTGTGGAGCCCTAGGTCGATTGCGGTGCGCATGGCGAGTCCGATCATGTACCATACGCCTTGGCTGGACGCGGAGCGAAGGTGGTAGACTACCAAGAGCGTCATGGCTTCGATGTTCTCGACTGACCGTGTTTCACACATGGCGGGGACCTGCTGCAGGGCGGTGATGTAGAATCGCTAATCTGTCAGTTTCGAACAAACAGATACCGAACAGGGGGTATAGAAGAGTGGTATAAAATAAGAAGGCATAGAACAGAAGGAATAGAGCACAACGTGGGTGAGGATAGGGGAGAGAATATCACCTCAGGAGAAACATAACTATACTCCCCACTCAACTGCAGAGTCGTCGCCCCAATCGCATAAACAACATACAACTTGAAGATTCCAAACCACTCCTCTCTCTCAAGGTCCTCCCGCCTAGCCCCAGCAAGCCTCCACCGATCCTCATGCAACCGCCACAACTCCCGCCGATCAAGAAACGGATAGCGCACATGCAGACGAGTCAGATACGCGCGGAGGATCCGCGCCCCCATCACGTCATTAGGGGGCTCGGTGCTCTTCGCCAGCAGCTCCTCCATCCTCAGCGGCCGCGGCCGATCTCCCGACGCCGTACCTCGCGCGGTTGACGTCGACGGCTGGGGCGGTAGGCCATGCCCGGCAGCCGACCCCTTGCTGCCGCCTCGCGATGGCGCGAGGACTTGGTTCCAGACGGTGGCCTGGACCATCTCGCCTAGGTTGGCGGCTAGGGAGAGACCCGAGCTGGAGCCTACGTACGCGGGGGCTTCTGAGGAGTTGAGCGCGAGAAAGCCGACGAGTTCTCCGATGGGGTTGTGGTCGATGCTCGGGTCCTGGTCCGGTCTGGACTCCAGCTGGGACTCTAGGGAGGCTATGCGCTCTTCTAGTGCGCGGGTGTAGCTGGGAACATGCACGTTAGGATTGCACGAACCAAGACAATGCCCATGGATTGGTCATAATACTCATTCTGCTGCCCGTTCTCCTGTCGTACTGTGGCCTTGTCACACGTCACTCCAGCCTTGTGGCAGTTTGAGCAGGCTGGATAGTCATTATCGCACTACGACCATGATCAGTGATTTTGACTGGCTAGATTCCACTGGATAGGAGGCTCACCTTTTGCTTCCTTCTTTTACATCGCGTACAGGCTGTTCTTCCGCGCTTGCGGGGATTGTACTGGGCAGGTGAGGCAGGGGTGGGCGACTGGGAAAACTCCATGGTTGCGGAGTCATTTATGAGGCATTCTTATGTGCTTGGTCGGTGCGTGATGGCAGATTGGCCAGCTCTTATTGAGATATCGAGAGGACTGTCAATCCATTCAAGAGCAGATGGATGAAGATGGATGGAGATGGTAAGAAGTGGAGAATCGGAGACGAAGTGGAGGAGAACGATCGCGCTAATCTTATCGGCATCTTATCAGTCTTATTATGTCTTTCTACAGCATTTTTGGTCTTGTATATACACTAGTCTCCATGATAGAATCAACCTCGATCATGAGGTCTTTTCCTGATCTCTCTGGATCGCACGCTTAGGTTCATTGACCCCGGATTCTACATCCACCTGCGCCTTCACCCCCTCATCCGCTTCCCTCGCCCTCCTCTCCTCCTCAATCTCAGACGCATCCTTGGGCCTTTCCAGCCCTCGATCCCGAATCAACAAACACGCAACGAAACAAACCCCCATAAGCGGCACCTGCAAGATAAACACACTCCGCGACGCCTTCGCAAACGCATCCAGAATCCGCACCCAGTCCGCATCCGATGTCTGCGCCCGCTCCGGCGTCGAATACGACGATCGGGCGAGGTGCTTATATCCTTCGGGGAGGCTCGACCGGAGAGTTGCCTGCAACAGCGCAGCCGAGACAGCCAGCCCGCACGCACCGCCCAAACAGCGGAAGAAGTTCCGGTCGGAGATGACGACCGCGCGGTGAGCCTTGGTGCAGTGCGCCTGGAAGGCGACCATTGTTGGCTGCAGCGTGCCGCCTATGCCTACGCCGGCTATGCCGACTATGACGGCGATTGTGGCTGGGTGGGTGTGGAGGTTGAAGAGGAGGGTGAGGCCTGCGGCTCTAGATGGATCGTTAATATGAATTCTATGGGAGAATCTTCTGTGGATAGGCGAGGGAGGTACGTACAGCGTCCACAAGCCGAAGCCGATCCAGATAACCTCGCCGTAGCGTTTTGTTCGCGAGATGTACTGGCCTGAGCTGATGGATGCGATAGACTGGCAGCCTACCATTGGGGAGATCAGTGCGGCGGAGACGATGGGGGACCATCCTCGCGCGTTCTGGTAGTAGAGCGGGAGATAGTAGAGGTAGGATTGGAAGACTGCGCCGAGGAGGAAGCTCTGTAGGAACAGGGCGCACAGCACTTTGTTTTTGAAGAATACCACTGCGTTTCCCGTTAGAACTCCACTCATATCAAGGGAGGAGTTGTGGACAAGCTCAACTCACCAGGAAGCATCGGCAGCATAGCCACCTTCCACTCAATCACTACAAAGGCAACCAAACACAGTCCCCCAATAACAAGCATCGAAATCACCATCGGCGAGTCCCAGTCAAAGTACGACCCGCCCCCAGAGATAGGAATCAGCAGGAAGATGATGCCGATAGACGAAGCAACAATGCCATACCCGTCAATGCGACGCAGGCTCTCACGGAATCCATCCTTGCGGTGATTGTTCGGGATGAGGAAGTACCCCACAGCCACGCAGCAAGCCGACAGCGGCGAAAGCAACCAGAAGAACCCGCGCCAGGTAGACCGCATCGTGAAGGCCGCTGCGACGAACGCCCCGATCACATTCCCCAGACCCAGCGCGGCGCCCAGAATCCCCTGGTACTTGCCTCGCTGCTCGAGCGTCACGATATCGGACACGATGATCATCGTCAGGGATGTGATTCCGCCGCCTGCTACACCGGCTAGCCCACGGAAGAAATAGAACATGGGCGCGTTAACGGACAGTCCGCATAGCAGATCAGCGAGACTGAGCAGCGCCAGCGCGCTCAGGTAGACGATCTTGCGGCCGAAGATGTCGGACAAGCGGCCGTAGAGCACGGTGAACATGGTGTTGGCGATGAGGGACGAGGTGCCCGCCCAGGAGATGGTGTTTTCGGCATTGAGGTCAGCGGCTACGGTGGGGAGGGTGACGCTGATGCCATTTTGGTCGACGAAGGCGATGAGCAGCGAGATGGCGAGGCCGGCGAAGACCACGAGGAGTTGGCGCTTGGGGAGGATGTTGGTTTGGTCGTGGAGGGCTTTTTCGGCGGCTTGTTGGCGGTTCATTGTTTCTTGATCGGTGGTGTTGAGCTGATTGCCCCCATGTAAGGTAGATAGATCTGACTGGGATTGAAGATTCTCTTCGTTTCTCTGTTCTTATTTCTTCAGGAGAGAAACCTGCCACGGACAGGCTTGATATTTACGCGACACAAGAGGATACAGACAATGGATAAATATTATAAGTCTTATAATAGAAAGAAAATAAGGAAAGAAAGTCCCCACAACTGACATACAACCCAAGTGATGGAGTTAAAGAAGATAGGATGATCCGATCAACAAAGTGCAGTGTCGGAAGCCCGACCAACCGACCGCAGCCCTAACGGTCACAGTTAGCATTGTCGGGGGAGTTCCGTTTGGAAACAGGGGCCGATCATATAACATTCATTAATCATTGGTGGCTCTGCCGGTCCAGGATGGAGAACTGGAGCCAGTTCCGTCGAATGATGGGAGGTCAAGGGGGAGAAAAGAATGGAGGTCGGGAACGGTCGGTTGTTGATCGTCGGATGTCCGTTCAGCCATTCATACTACTCGGGCTCCACTGGATATAGGGCGCTTCTTGATTATAGATCAGTTAATTGATTGGGTTATGTTAAACCTTCAATTGATACTGTAACTTTTCAATCAGTTTAATATATCAACTTCCCATCTAATCAGGTAGACGTTTGTCATAAGACCAACCGATCAGACCCCGATAAACGACCGCCCATATCATCCACTACGACAGCGTCAACAGATACCAACAAAACGATGTTGCATATTGCCATTGAAGAAAGAACCGACCCTGGAGATATTCCGGTAGCCGAGGCATCCACAAGAGTCTCCCCCTGCGGAGTTACACCGTCCTGCAAGGCACTGACAATGGATGAGAAATACCTCCTATTGTCTCGCGCGGCTGCAGCTGTTGTTTCTTCCTTCGTGTATGGTATGACCGCTACCGCTGCCTGATCTCCTCGATACCCATTGACGGTGGAAGGGAGATGGGGGTATAGACTGGTCTGATGCATGTCTTGGGAGGTTTGATTGAACGCTTCACCCCCAATTGAACGGTGAGGCTCAAGTGTCGCCCACGTAGGACAAGATCGATACCCCAAGGTCACGACAATATTGAAGAATCATGTATGTATGTTGTATGTATGTACGGAAGCGTATGATGCAAATATGTATGTATGTACTGTAAGAACACCGAAAGCCTTTTTTTTTCCAAAACGGTCGGCTCATATTGAAATGATCTGCAGTCGTTGTTGGCCTGCTTTCCAACCATCAAATCAATGTAAGTGATCCCATTGGAGGATGGCTATTGGTGAAACCTACATCTTGTCATGATCATAATCAAGATCATGATCTGATCAGCCTGACTGACTGACTACTGGGAATGCAAATGCAAATGCAATGACCCTGTCACCCTGGCGGGTGATGCGCAATCGGAAGAAACGGATTTTGGTTGGAAGAAAGATCTAGACCTGCTGATCGAGGGAGAGGGGGGAGGAAATATGGGAGGGGAGTGCCCTAACGACAAATGTTACAAGGGGTCACGGGCCACGGCTCTTGCCAGTAGCCATCATGTATGTGCAGGTGCTATTGGAACGTCTAGGGTGCCGGCCCCCCACGACGACTGGACGCCGAGTGCATGCCCGCTATTGTCCCCTCCGTGCCCTTGGCTGTCGTCCACCCGCTCGCCATGGTGCCCGGGCACCGCTTGTGTCAGCGGGCCGGTGCCTCGAGCTACCGCCGTAGGCTCCGAGACAGCATGAGCGGTCAGATAGCTGCCACCCGTGACATTGCCTTGGTTGGGGAAGAAACTCTGGTTCAGGGCCCCGCATGTCGTGCAGGTGAATTCGATCTTGAAGTTCGTGAGAACGAGATGGGGAGCGGCTGGGTGGCCGCTACTCGGCGCCGGCCCTTGGGGGGTGGATCGTGTCGCATGGGTTGGTGGTGGTGGTGGTGGATGATTTGCGGTCGGCACGCCGTAGGACGTTTGTTGTGGATTGGCTCGTGTGGGAACGGGGTGGCCAAAAGAGGTCGGGTCGTGCGCCGGCATCTCCGGCGTGTGGAGGATTTGGGGGTTTGGTTGGCTGTGAGGGGGGTGCGGCATTGAAGGATGTGCCGGGACGCCTCCGCCATGTAATTGGGAGGTTGGGATGGTCAATCCCCGTTGAAGATCGCCTTGCGGGAGGGAGTTGGGATCGACGAGGCCGGTCTGGAGATCCGGGACCCATCGTTGTCCGGATAGGCCGCTCCCGCTGTAAGTCGAGCTCTCCCCCGGCCCCTCGGAGGGAGGCTGGTGGGGGTCCGGAGGTTCATGTTCATCGTCGCCCTCGTCCTGATCCTGCAGCTGCCCCGGATGGTGCTGTTGCTGCAATCGAATGAGAGCTCGTTGGGCCTGTCTCATGGAGATATCATACCCGTGGCAGCGTTTGACGGCCTCAACGACCTCCTGCGCCTTGATGCTCTCCCTCACGTCGAACAGCTTAGGGATCTCGTTCATGAGGAATCGCACATGTGACACCTCGGAGCGGGTTGGGGTTCTGCTGGTGGAGGCTGTACTCCGTCGACAGCTATGGCTATCCTGGAGGCTGCTGATGTAGGTCGAGTTCTTGTTGGCGCGACAGACCACGCGAAAGTAGCAGTTGTTCGACGAGCGACACCCGATGACCACGCTCTTCTTATTGCTCCGTGTCACCCGTAGCTCCCAGTGCTGTCTCACCGAAATATTGCGCACCAATGCCTTGAAGTCTTCCAACGAGGCAAATCGTTGGCCCACATGGAGCCCGGAATACATCTCCGTCATGGCCAGGGGACAAGACACCGCACGAGGGAGTCGAACAAGCACACCACTTCCATCAGTAGGGAGTATGTATGAAGAAGAAATTAAGCGAGGGGTCTGTGAGATTCTGTAAGCTCCAAGAATGGGGTGGGGGAACTATGCGCAAAGGCGCCTAACGTCAAGCTTCGTGGCAAATCGAGGAAGTAAAAATTAGAATCAAAATAAAATAAAAGAGTCAATCCAAATAAGCTAGCCTACGAGACAATCCAATTATAAGACCAGACAGGGGGTCGGAACAGTCAATGGTTAAGCATCCGGTTGAAAGTATGACGGAGAAGCCAAGACAAGAATAGATCAAAACCGTCCTCGAAATGTTTCCCGCTTGGCGCGGATGATCCCCCGACCGCTTCGGTCTTTTTCTCAAGCTGTCCCCCTACATCTCCTCGGCCCCCGAAACAACACACTTCCCTTATAGCCACTTGGTACTTTCTTTTCTTTTTCCATCATCCGAGTGGTATTGTAAGACCACTCATCATGACATCGTACGGGCTGTTGGATCAGCCAGACGAAGGTGAGGATTGGCCGATCCATGCATGCATCACCACATCCCCCAACGCTAACCTCATTCCAGACAACCTTCACAAGTCGCGCCTGTTAAACGTCGAAGAGAAGCCCTTCAAGCGAATCACCAAACGCCTGTTACACCCGGACTCGCTCCTCGTCTCGCACGCGACCCTCCTGCCCACGCCTCCCCCGGACGGAACCGACGAAGATGCCTCCGCCGCCGAGGCCGAGAAACAGAAACGCCTGGAGGAATGGCGCCACTTCCGCGAAGACATGACGCTGGATTGCGCGGCGTTTGAAGCGAGCATCGCGCGCATTCAGTTCCTGCTCGTTAGCAATGAGAAGGAGCGCGAGCGCTACGCGGCGGAGAAACTGCGCATCTTGTCGACGATGCAGTCTGTTCGTGAGAATACGTCGGAGCTACGCGATCAGCTGCAAGAGGCGCAGCGGCTGCTGGCGCTGCGCAAGAGCTATGATGATTTGGCGGAGAAGATCACGAGTAACCGGCTGCTTAAGCCGCGGGAGGATCAGCAGGCGAACCTGCAGAAGCTGCGGACGGAGATCACAGAGCTAGAGAAGGAGAGCAAGGACTACGCGACTACGTGGTCTGAGCGGCGGGAGCAGTTCGGTCGCATTGTCGAAGAGGGTATGCAGTTGCGACGTCTGATTCGGGACGAGAAGGAGGAGGTCGAGCGCAGGGAGGGGATGCAGGAGGGTGGAGACGGGGACGACGGGGATATCGCTTCCAAGGGCAAGTCCAGCGGCGCGACGACGCCCCGCCCGGATACCGACAGTGTGACTCCCTCGCTGTCGGGGCCGGACGAAACCGGGAAGTCTCCGTTTTCTTTACACCCGGACAGAATGAGCGTGCTAACGGGGGGTGCCTCGCCGTTGCGGCAGGTGACTACCGTGGGCAACGAGAAGAAGACCCCCGAGGAAGACGCCACCATGGTGGACGAGGGCGAAGTGACGGCCGATGAGCACGAGTTGGAAGAAGGGGAGGAAGCGCAGGATGACCGCACCGCGGACAAGATGGATACCACTACGTGACGACCAACCTCATGCATTTGCGGAGCCTGGAGTTTATTTTGGATTGGAAGCGTTGGAAAATCAGGTTATTTTTATTAAATTACAATTCGAATCACATTTGGTACACAAGTACATGACATTAGGGCGGATTCGAGGATCATGTTCCGTGATGGTATGTAGACATAGGTAGCAACGTTTCAACTAGACATTCTGCGTCTAGCACTCAATCTAAGCGATCTCTCGCTCGGCGGTCCTCGCCTTGGAGATCACCTCCTTGGCCGCATTGATGTGCTCGACATTGCTCTCCGGCCCCTTCTTGCCCTCCTCAATCTACAGCAGTCAGCAAATACCCATTCAAACAAATAAAAATAGGATTAAAAGACCAGCACGCACCAACAAACCATCAAGCGTAGCAATCGACTCCTCAATCTTCTGCTTCAAGCTAGGAAGGACATTCCGGGTCTGTTGGAGGGCCATGCGCTGCCAAAGGTTAGCCATGCTCATCTCAACTTCAAACGTCTCCCCCACACTCCTGGAGCAATAACAATCGGGACTACAAACCTCCTGGTTCAATGTGTATTCTCTGTTCTCGTCATCATTCCCGGTCTGGGCTTCCAGCTTCTTGATGCGCTCCGTCTGCTCTTTCAGCTCGCTGTGGTAGGAGGCTTCCTCCTTGACTAGGCGGCCGAGGGAAGCCGTGTGAATTTCGAGCTGGGAGCGGGGGGCCATGTTGATAGTCTGTTTGTCGTCTGTGTGTGTATCTGTTTAGGTGGGCGAGAAGTGAAAGGTTAGCTACTCTGGTGTTGGAGTGGTGTCTCGAGGGAATGATGTCATGTGCGCGTTATGGGACCGGTGCTTGATATTTTGAAACCGCGAGAGTCTATGGCATATGGAAGACAGGGAAGAAAAGACAAGATAGGTAAATATGTCATGAAGGGCCCTTTTCAGTGTGCAGCCACTCATGATTATCCTCGAGGAATGTTGAAGGAGACATTGTGGACCGCGATGGACTCAACCACCATCATCAAGCTTTCATATAGCTTGTGCTCAGACAAAAATACCATAATATAGACTTACCTTGTGATTTGCAGCTTGAGGAATATTTGTTTACCAAGTGGAAAATGACTGTGCTCTTTCAGTGTTGTTCTCAATATCAAGTACAAGGGAAGATTGCCCCTCCGCCATCATGATGCTTTATCGGCCTATTGGTTTGTACTGTTTGCTTTGGCGGGGCTAATCAGCTGTCATGTGATGTATCATCTTATGCAGTGTATTAGTAATATTTGAGCATCGACCATTATTTGTGTTGAATGGTAGTAGCAGTCTTGATCTCCAGCTTACCACACAGTTTGATGGCATAATTAGCCAAGTTTATAGATGTCCTCATTCCAGGGGCCTAGGAGACATGTTTAATCAAGAAATGTATATGTCTTACATTAAGTTGGGTTGATCGAATCGTCTGCCATCAATACTACCGCGAAGTATATATAATGCGGTTTCCAACATGGTAAAACATCACCACACCAACCTCAAGAACGAACGACCATTCGAGCGGACATATTAGAAATATCCCAAATCCAGTCGTTTGTGATGTCTCCAACTAGTTTCTGCGTCCTCAAAGTGAGGCAACCGCAGTATACCATTCGCGGCTAGAAACCGCTTACCGGGCGCTATTAGCCCCAGATCCCCTGCGCCGGACAGCCTCATGCCCAGGGCGAGTGATCGCCATATTACTGCACGACGAGCCAATCTGATGTCGCGAAATACGACCCGGATGATCACGCCCACGGCGTAGACTTCCGGTTAGTGGCTGTGTTTGAGGCTTTCGGGCCCGGTGAGGCTCTGACTTTTGCGGCACAGAGGAATTGCGTTATTTTGCGGTCATGATGACTAGGTTGGGGGGAGAGTATAAAAGACTGCCTGCCCGTATGAAATTTTTCTTTTCAAGTTCATTCTTATTATTGTGTGCTTGTGCATTTTTCAAGAATTAGGCTAGAGACGTCCTGTGTTTGACAGAAGATACTAAAGACCACCAAGATGAGGTAGGCACATTCTCTATTGCGATGATCGCCATATTAACACGATCAATAGATATGCGATTGCTCGCCCGAGCGAATATCTCGTGCTCACAGGAGCCGGGATCAAAGATATTCACCTCTGCAAAAAGGCGATTGTGATGCCATGGCAGCGTGTACGTTCTACCGAGATGAGAGATAGAGCCCCGACCAACCAGCTAATACTTATTTGCAGTGTGCGAGGATCTCTTTGGCCCCCTTCGACTTTGGCCTCAATCTCCAGGCCATGACGGCGGAGAAGCTGCAGTTCTCCCTGCCTGCCGTGTTTACGATCGGACCCGAAGACAAACAAGACGCCCTGCGCAAATATGCCCTGCTGTTGTCCGGCAGTACCAACGAGGCGGACATTGCCAAGGCAAAGAACTTGACCGACAAGATGCGGGGGGACCACGTCCAGGATATTGTCAAAGGCATCATTGAAGGCGAGACCCGCGTGATCGTGTCGGGCATGTCTATGGAAGAGATCTTCAAGGAGAGGCAGACCTTCAGGGAGAGGGGTATGTCACTGCTATTCATCTGCCCAAATCTTACGAATTGCTGACTTAGTGGCGGACAGTCATTGATAATGTTCAGAACGAGCTCAAGCAATTTGGCCTGCGCATGTGAGTCTACAAATTTGTAAGGTCTGCCGGGAATGCCGCTGATGCATGGCAGATACAATGCCAACGTCAAAGAGCTCCAGGATACGCCGGGTAGCGAGTACTTTGCGTTCCTCAGTCGCAAGGCTCATGAGGGAGCTCTGAACCAAGCCAAGATTGACGTGGCCGAGGCGCGGATGCGAGGAGAAATCGGCGAGGCCGAGAAAAAAGGGCGAACCAAGCAGGAAATCTCCAAGATCGACGCCGACACCGCCGTCCTCGAGACCCAACGGAAAGCCGAGAAGGCCAAGGCCGACTCGGAGCTCATGAACCGTCAGACCGAGCTGGATTCCAGCGTGGAGATGGGCAAGATCGCTGCTAAGCGCCAGACGGAAATGAAAGACGCGGAGCTCAAGAAGAAGGTTGAGACTTTGCGTGCGGAAACCGAGTTGGAGCGCCTGCGTGCCAACGACGTCACCAAGAGCAAGGTTGCACGCGAGTCGTCCCAGCAGAACGCCGATGCTGCTTACTATCAGCAGCAAAAATCGGCTGATGCCCTGCTGTACACGCAGAAAATGGAGGCGGACGCAGCTTGTACGTTTGGCGACAGCCCCATCCTAGAGTAAATAGCTGATCCTTTCCAGACTACCGTCAAAGCAAAGAGGCGGATGCGACCTTCCACCATCAGAAACGAGAAGCTGAAGGAATCTTGGAGATGGCCAAGGCCTACGGTGCGCTCGTCGATGTTCTTGGTGGTCCTCAGACCTTCCTGCAGTATAAGATGTTGGAGACCGGCACATATGAGAAATTGGCGCTGGCGAATGCCCAGGCTATTAATGGACTCCAGCCTAAGATCACTTCATGGAATACTGGTATGTCATTCGGATTTCATATTTCATCGAAAGACCGTTCTGACCACGCTTTAGGCAATGGAGAGGGTAGCGCAGACTCTATGGGGCCGATCCGTAACCTCATGCAAGGCCTTCCTCCTTTGCTGAGTACGATCCACGAGCAAACCGGAATCAATCCTCCGTCGTGGATGGCTCAGATGCCGGCGAAGAACCATGTTAATGGGCCGAATCATGCGAAGTAAACCTTTTCTTCCTAACGCAAGACTGAATTGCTTTGCTGTTTCTTTCATTGAGCCTTTCCTTTGTTCGCTATGATACCTATCTTTTAGTGGTTTCTTTTCTTTTCATGTTAGTCAGAAAATGGATTAGCTTTATCATTGATGAAAGAAAAATCGTAGCAGCCTGAAAGAAATGACCTGATTTTGATCTGATCGCCAGCACAATCCACCATGATTAGAGAGTGGTGAGGAGTGAAAGAGAGATGCGTAGAGACGGAAAGTGAGGTGGACAAAGAGAGACCAATGAAATCATGTGATGAGCGTCATCCGCCTGGAATGACGAATTGTCGAACTTCAACCATTCAACCATGCCTGACTTGAATCATGATTGACTTACAATAAATCAGTGCTGTTGAGATTCACTCTTCTATTAGATGTCACTTTTATATTTACTGTCACTATACCCCCCCTGCTCACCATGGTATAAATACTCCTCCTGTCTCTTTTTGGTTGCTGTTTCTTGCGAGTTTCAAGCGTGAACAATGCCGGTCCCATCACTATTGCAGCTGTGCACGAATACAGCAGTCAGGAACGTGAAATGTGCGCATTATATCCCTTTTAAGGTATCCAGACAAAACAAAGGGTAATTTGGCTAATATACTCCCAGATCTGAATGATATTGGCGATGTTCCTTATTCGCTGGCGCGTCCGTTCCTCCTGAAAATCGAAAGCCCCGAGAAACTGGTGAGCGCTCCCCTCCCTCGTGTACGGTGTCGGAATACAAGCAACTGACCACGTTTGCGCCCCCTTCTACAGAGATCCTTGGAATTACTGTCGCCACAGATCACCCAGTATGATGACGAGTTATGGATGGACTTTATCAAGCGCGATATCCCCCAGTGGGATGACTACGATCTGCCGGAACATTCTGATTCTTGGTATGAGATCTATTGCAATCTGCGGGATAGTGTTCAGAAATCCGTCGACGAAGATGCCGAGAGGATGAAGATGGCCCTGGATGGCATCAACTCGGAACGCGCGAAGCACAGCGCCAAGTTCGTCACCGACCGACGGGTGCTACCCCTCCCGCGAGAGCGACCAACCGTCAGACAGCGGTATGCGGTGTACGATCGGAAGATGGGCGGCGTCGCGCCGGTATTCTCTCCAAGATCTGGAATCAGTTCGAGCGATCCGTTTGGGCCAAGAAACGACACGAAGAAGAAGAGTAGCATCTTCACGGCGACCAAGCGGAACACGGCCCTGGCTGTCCCAACGCAGCACCTGAACAATCGAGCCACGCAGGTTCGACAGGCCCCACGGTCGTTGGTTGATGAGCACCGGCGACCGATCGAAAGCCCTCCGCTCACTAGGCGAAAAGAGTCACCCGCCATGATTGCGCCGGGCCGGTCGAGATACCACATCAGTCCCAACATCAGCAGAGGACCCGTCCCTACGATGACGCCAAACTTACAAGAGAGAGAAGCAAGGCTACGGAAGATCGCCGCGGGCAAAAAGCCAATACCTTCTCCTGCTTCACGACCGCTACCTTCGTCCGCTCCAAGCCCAGCTGCCGCGAAGAAAGAGGTCAACCCAGAGCCTCGATCGCGACCGCCGACCTCCGCCAAATCTACACATACCACTACCTTAAACCCCCGGGCGGACCATTCATCGGCACAGGCACAGTCTCCCCCTCGACAGGCAAACTGCCCCCCTGAACAGGCCCAATCCCCCCCTCGACCCGTCATGGCCCGGAAGCGACCCGCTCCAAGTGTATTCATACAGCCAAAGAAGAAGCGGGTTACCTGAGAGTACATACATGACCAAACAGCATTTGACATATGATGCTGGCGTGACTGGCACTGGTGTTTTGGCGATTGTCATTTATTATTTTGGTTCTTATCCTTTTTATTATTTTTTCCTTTTGGTCTAGAGCTAAGGCGCATCGGCATCGGACTTTGGAGTCGGATCATTATTTTTTCTTTTGGCAGGGCACCTTTTTCCCGTGGGTAGTTTATAGTTGGATAAGATACGGAGTAGACAGACAGTACAAGGATAGCACATACATAACTGCACCTTCTCTCTAGACAGTGAATACTACTAGTCCAATCTAAACATAGTCTGATATTACTGCACCGGCGCACAAACAACAATATCGTACCGACGACGACGACAACGGAACGAACGAACCCGTCAGGAGACCAGCCTGAGAGCTCAAGAGACAAAACATCATCGCTTATTCAAATTGGGCAGTGTTTCTCTCTCACGAAACAGACGCTTTAGGCTCCTTCACGATCACCACCCAACCGACCCATGTACTCGTTGTATTCGTTTTTTCCACCCCTAGACCACCTATACTCGTATACGTCCTCGGTAGCTCATGCTCATCCACAACACCAGCAATGAATGAAATCAATTAGAAACCACCCCGCAGAGCAAGAACCAAATGTAACGTTGCGCCGCCTTCCAGGTTGTATTCCGAGGCGGTTTTATCGTCGGCCCTGTTGTTTAGAGATAGCGTTAGCATATATGTATATGTGTTTATACATATATCTCTGAGTAAGAGCAGTGTGGGAGTATGTACATCTGCTTTCCGCCGAAAATCAGACGCTGCTGGACGGGCGGGATGCCCTCTTTTTCTTCGACGCGCTCTTTTATCCGGGAGACCTGTGTGTAGGGTTCTGTGTTAGTTGTGTTTTCTTTTCTTGTTGTTGAAAGGAGAAGGTGGTGGTGGCAGTTCAGCCTTGCGGTGGGTGTGATGAGGCTCGTGGGAGAGAGAGGGCTGGCTGCGACGCGACCAGGCGTCTATCTATCGTGGAAGGTAGATAGGTAAACAAGTAGGTAGTACCTTATAGTCAGGCTCGATATCCAGCTCGATTTCCTTGCCGGTCAGGGTACGGACTCTGCGTGCGATCGGGTCAGCGTTCTATTTGGATCCGGATATGGCTGATTCGGGATGGTAGGTGGTATGGGGTGGTTGACGGGATCGGCTTGTCGCGCCGGAGTCGAAGGTCAGGGATCGAACTCACTTGATCAACATTGTGGGAAGTGGAAGTGAGTGGTTGCCACGACAGAGGTGGAAGGGAGAGTGGGAGATGCGATGGAAGGGAGTGAGATGACGGTGGTTGACTGACAGATGATGATGACGGCAAGCTTTCTCCATTCATTTGCTTGTCGTTGCCTTGGTGGGGTTGGTCGGTTTTGGTGGGGCGGGGGTTGGTTTGCTGCGGTTGGTGTATAGCTTTGGTCTGGTTTCTTGCTGTACGTTTGATATTATCTTTTTGTTTAAGTAGATAAGAGGGACGACTATACAGAATTCTGTTCCCAAGTGGCTTTCATCTAGACTGCTTGTTGATTACTCTGGTGTTGGTCGGATATCCCTTCGGCGCAAAACTGCCTTCATTACAACACGGCACTGGCGACCAATCTACAGCAACAAAATGACCACGATCGGCTCCAACAATGCAGAACTGGAAAGCATAAATCCGTTTGACCAGTTGCTCGAGGACAGCCAGCATGACCCAGTATCTACCCTTCCAGTGGAGGTATCTAATGAAGTTATCTAATGATGACCAGATCCAGCTACAAGAGCGATACGAGAACCACCGGTCCCATCGAAATGCCCAGTATCAGACGAAGCTCCTGAGCTCCAACTTTCCAGGCTGGCAAGTCGACGAGATCCTCAGCAAGCTGCATTCGCAGATGACCAACCCGAACGACAGCCTTGAAGCGCCCTTCATTGACCCCCGGAATAATTTGAACATCTACGCCCGACCACCGCAGCATATACGAGACCTGGTAGCCGAAGTACAGCGAGAGATCAAGCAGCTGGCTCCAAGTAAGTGAGACGAACCCATCTACACGAGTAGATCAAATCGGATCGCTGACGGTGGATAGCCATTTGGGTTACACCCCAGGATTACCTGCACATGACAGTGCTCGAGATGGCCAGCGGCCGGGCACCACCGGAGATTGATTCTCTCCACGCCCACCTGGAAAGGAGCGGCATTTTGCCCGAGCTGCTCGACTACCCTTTGCACCATCGGACACGGCTGGTCAAGCCGACCGTCAGCTACGACGACACGGCAATGGCGCTGAGCTTTCTTCCCGCCGCTGGGGAGGAGGGGGATGCTCGCCCGATAGACGACGGATATACCTACCACCAGCTGCGGCGAGACATGTACGGTCGCGTGACGGCTACCGGTCTGCAGATGACGCCCCGGTATATCCATCCTACCGCACACATCACCATCGCCCGGTTTATCACCCACGAAGGGTTCCACACTGGGGGTGTTCTTGATCGTACGCAAGTGGCATCTTTGGTGGACAAGATCGAGCAGATTAATAGGGGCCTTCGAGAGAAATTTTGGCCGGTCGATGACGGGGTCTTGTCATCCACGGAACCAACCCCCACTGAATGGGTGGTGTGTCATGAGAGAGGGTTGGAACTGTGTAAAGGAGCCTGTTGGTATGGAGGGGGAGAGACATCACTCCGGGGAACAGCACTTGATAGATGAGAACCTCGGAAACCCCATTAGAACCAATATTAATATCAAAGATCTAGAGTTAGACTGAAGATGTTGAGTGTAGGATGACTGATATTCTGCCTGAGGTGTCAATCCCAAAAAGGTTAGGCGGCACCCGAATAGGGCCTAAGCGAAGAGAAATCCCACACAACCAACCCACAGCCAGCCCGACCGATTCGAACCCTCTCCGACAAGAGACAACCATCGACCAGCACCGTTGCGATCCGGCCAAGTCAGTCAAAATGGTAAGGATGATATCCCTTGAATACTCCGTTGAATCGTTGCCGTCTCTATTTTCTGCGTCATCGGAGAGATACCTCGAGAGTGCGGCATTTTGTCGTGGGAGACGATGTTCGGTATATGGTGACGACCTGGGGGCAAGAGGCTGTTTAACGACCACACTTTTCGAATGAGAGCGACGCGGAAACATTCTTTTATCACTAGTCGGACGAAAGAGAAGGAGAATGAAGCATGCGATGCGATGAATTGGGTGCTTTTTATTTTCCAGCGACATTCTCGAACATGTCCATGCCAAGTCCGCACCAGCACCAGACACACTGTGCGATCGGTATCGGGGAACAGAAAAAAAAATTGCAAAACCACTACATACGACACCGCTGCCCCCCCCCGTCTATACTTGGCGATCCGAACCCATGATTCAAACTGCTCTCCTCTCGACGATGAATATTTCTCCGATGCACAGGATATGGAAGACGGACGGCACGAGACGTCTAGGCGAAATTACTCCCACAGAAGGCTGATCTTGTCTCCCTCGCAACCAGGTCAACGTTCCGAAAACCCGCCGGACGTACTGCAAGTCCAAGGACTGCCACAAGCACCAGCAGCACAAGGTCACCCAGTACAAGGCTGGCAAGGTGAATACCACCCATCTCGGACACCCCGACACGAGCGAACACCCATACTGATCTGGATGTTTTACTTTAAAGGCCTCCCTGTACGCCCAGGGTAAGCGTCGTTACGACCGAAAGCAGAGCGGTTATGGTGGTCAGACCAAGCCCGTCTTCCACAAGAAGGCCAAGACCACCAAGAAGATCGTCCTGCGTCTCGAGTGCACTGCCTGCAAGGCCAAGAAGCAGCTGTCTCTGAAGCGCTGCAAGCACTTCGAGCTTGGGTATGATTCCATACCCCGAAACCTTGTAGCAACCGATACTGACTATCTTGCAGTGGTGACAAGAAGACCAAGGGTGCTGCTCTGGTTTTCTAAGCGCGTGATTTTCTTGTTCGGCTCTGGGTTCCCTGCATTGCACTCCCTGCTACTTCGGCGGCGGGCATATGACTTTGGCAATGGAGAAAATGAAATAGTATTTCATATCAAGAAAGAAAAGAATAAATGACTTTCAGTTGATGACGATTTTTCTATCATGAATGGATGGATACCTAGTAGAATGGTTTACGCTCCTGGCATTGACCTCCAGCTGTGTCCGGTCGAATTCAGATCAACTCATGATACGGGCTGACCCTTCTGTACTCCGTACTTCGTCAACCATTATCCCAATTACCCCGATCCACCTGGTACTCGTGTAGACTATAGCGATCCCCGGTTATTACCCGGCTTCCCCGCCCTGTCTACGCCACCATTGCACTCCAATCTATACACATTCTCCCAGCTCTGCAACCGGGATGACTATGACAGTACCAACAAATACAAAGAATACTCTTATAACTAGTTAATCCACAGATCCCCTCGAGAGACGTAAGGTGGAGACAACAGCCAAGCTCACTGCGGGGAAACAACACTAGATTCCTCCTTCCAGCAAGCAAGGGACCCCAACCTTCCCCTGTTGGGCTCGTCAATCCTCATCCCGTCCCCGTGGGGGTCGGCCATCCTCCGAGTGGGTGGTCCAATAGTTGATGCAATATCCGTGTCTATCGCCATCCACCCTCGGCATGGTCTGATGGGTCTTGAGCCGTGGTGTATAAGTACTGACAGGTCTGTTTTTGTTCGGGGTGTCTGCTTTTGGTAATTTGTGATTTGTATCTTCACTTCTATCATCTAGTGGAAGAACCAGGACAGTATGGCTGGCTGGTACGCCCTCGGGGTCGCCTTTTTTGCGGCCATCGGGACATTTCTGTTTGTAAGGACTGATTCCCTCATATTGTCTGGTTCGCTTCTTACTCATGGTGAAATGATACAGGGCTTCGATACGGGGATTGCGACTACGAGTACGTGTGCCTGAACACTTAGTTAGTTGGGATGCAAGACTGAACTTTTCTCCAGCCATCGCCCATCAAAGCTGGATCGACTATATGGATAACCCGTCAAAGGGTTTAACGGGTGCAGTATGTGACGCACGTTCCTTGGTCTGCGACGTGTGATCTAAATTGATATAGGTCGTCGCGGTGTATATTGCCGGCGAAGCGGTCGGCGCGCTCACGCAAACCTTGATCGCGGATCGACTGGGCCGTCTGCGCTTCATGGAGCTCATGTGCGTGGTTGTCACGATCGGGACTGTCATTCAGACTGCCTCTGTGAATATCGGAATGTTCCTCGCGGGCCGTGTGCTGGCTGGGTTCGCTGTTGGGTGAGTGTCTTATCCTCCTGGGATACAATCAATGCCTTGAAGCGTCATCCTTCAATAGAAGGATATCTAACAGAAACAGAGGCATGGTCGCCACAGTCCCCATCTACCTCAGCGAGATTTCGGACCCCCGCTATCGCGGCCTCATCGGAGGCATCTCCGGGTGCGGGATCTCCTTCGGAACAATGGCCTCCAACTGGGTCGGCTATGCCTGCAGCTTCGCCCCGTACGGGCCTGTCCAGTGGCGTCTTCCTCTAGGTATCCAGATCCCCTGGGGCATCATCATGTTCCTGGGCTTAATCACCTTCATGCCTAACTCCCCGCGCCATCTGATCCGGCGGGGCCTGATCGAGCAGGCGCGCAGCGAGTTCACCCGGATCCGGCGGGACTTGCACTCGGATGATGTGCAGAGGGAGTTTGCGGGGATGTTGGCGCAGATTGAGTATGAGAAGGAGAGGGAGATTACCTCGTATCGGGAGATTTTCCGCGTGTTTAGGCACCGGGTGCTGGTGTGAGTTGTTTGGTTTGGTTGGTTTTGTGGGTGCTGTGCTGATGAGATATAGGTCGATTGCTGTGCAGACTATGACAAGTTTGACTGGTGTCAATGTTATCCAGGTGAGTACTCTTCTTCCCTGTTCCGAGAAGTCATAGGGAAACTCCAGAGGAACTATAGAGACTAAGTCAGGACGTGCAGTATTACCAAAGTGAGCCATCTCCTCTCCATCCAGACAACCATTCTCTGACGCATCCCAGCAATTTTGTACAAATCCCTCGGCATCGACCCCCACGGGGTCCTCGCCCTGGCGGCTGTGTATGGGACTGTCGCCTTCCTCGTGAACAGCCTCACTACCAAATACCTAACAGACCAATGGGGGCGTCGCAAGTACGTTCTCCATCTCTCCTCACCCCCCATCTTGTTTTAAGCCTCAAAATGGCGTATTGTTTGTTTTTTTACTGACGCCGTCGAAAATGCAGAATGATCCTGTCCGGATTAGCGGGGATCGTGGTGGTTGAGATCTACGCCGCCGTGATGCAACGCGAGTTTCAACACACGGACAACCGCGTGGGCAAAGGGTTTGCCATTTTGGGGATTTACCTGTTTGTTGTGGCGTACTGTGAGTGGCTTGTCTGGATGGTTAGGGGAAAGTATATTGACTGGTATGTGCAGATGGCATGCTGAACAGCACGACCTGGCTCTATGGAGCTGAGGTACTCCCCATTGCGCTCCGAAGCAAAGTCATGGGTTTGGCAGCGGCATCTCACTTTATAGTCAATGTTGCCAGTGCGTCAACTCTACCCTCACCTATATATTGAGATGTATAGGAGAAGAAGAAAAGAAAAGAGCTAACCATTGTATGAAACAGTCACCGAAGCCGGCCCCAGTGCGTTTGCCAATATTCACGAAAACTACTACTACGTTTTTGTCGTTTGCTCGGCTTTCTTCCTGGTTGTGGCTTATTTCTATTTTCCGTATGTTATCCCCTATCCACCTATCTATCGCTCTGGGGAGATCGGGCAAAAAGTATTACGAGTACTGATATTAGACAGAGAAACAAAACAAAAGACCCTAGAGGAAATCGCCGCCTCATTCGGGGATAAAGTGGTGGAATCCGACGAGACAGCGAGCCGAATACGGGATGACATGGGGGGCCCAAAGCCTGGGGAGGAACGAGTGGAGGTGATAGGTTGATTTATCCGATTCTTTGATTTTGTTTGGAATTCGGGTTTGTGAGGTAGTGAGTTAGGGCAGAACTACGTAAGATGAGGTTTAGCCTGGGATAGTGGCGGAAATAGTCGAGCCATGATGACAGAATGACGACGATGCCCTTTTTGTCTTACAATGAGTAATGGTGGCTGTTATACAATTTCTTCATTCAATTTCCCACCAGTAGTTCATGTATTCTTCTAGATGTATATGTAGATGTTGATATGGTTTTGATATTGGGTTTATAGGTCGAGGAACCACCTGCCCTCCCGTGCTATTCCATGGTAGCATCGATCCCACGCACTGATATCCAGAAACCGTGGAACCACCCGCGATCTCCCCACATGATCAGTATAGGACTTGTACCGATCAAAGAATGGATTGATTTACCGATGACGGGCAAACCGGGCGCAGCCTCACCAACCAGGTTGCGCCTTGGAGGGTTATGATGAATGAATGAATCAATCTTGCCTATTTTATATAAGTCTTTCTCTTCTCTACCTGTCTTCTCTTTTTATCTTTATCTTTAATCTTCATTTTCTATCTGTCTTCTATCTATCTTCTGTTTGTCTTCTATTTACTTCGATACATTGATTGATCGATATCTATCAAAGATCTCCTCGTTTGTAAGGCTAGAACACTCACGTGGTAAGTCATGTCCTGAGGCTCTCTCTCTCTCTTCTTTTCTTTCTTCTTCTCAACTTCGTCTTCATCTCATCTCCATCTTCACCTTCGTATCTCCATCTTCGTATCTTCCATCATTACATCACCCCAGCCACTCATCATCATCCCCTCTAGTGCCATCTTACTGTTGCCTCCCCCCCCCACTACTAGTAGTGGCAAATAACACGCCTCCAATCGCCCGTGTTGCATCATCGCTGCCCTCTCTTTGCTTTCTCTCCCACTATCGTCCATCTCTGCCTGTCTATAATTTATCCCTGTCTATTCACCTCTCCATCCTTACTCCTACTGTATCGTGATTTTGTATTCAACCACATTGGAGCCGTGGTACACTTCATCCAACCCATTCCATCCATTCCATCCAGTCCTTGGCCCGCGTTCAGCTGTACTACGAACCCCGCTCTCCACCTACTTCCCTGTTGCCCCTCTCTAGTGTCTTGTCCTGTCTTTCACAACCGTTCCCCCTCCTTCGCCTGTTCGCTCTGTCCCACTTTCCCACACTCGTCATTTCCCCCTCGTCCTTTTGTAACACCACCTCTACCGCTCCATCCGTCACCCCGCTCTAAACCATGTCATACATCTACAGAGAACCCGACCGGGATCGAGACTGGGACGAACCTCGTTCCGCCGTCTCTGTCAAGCGCTACGTCATCCCTTCGGACGACGACCGAGATCGAGACCGAGACCGCGACTTCTTCCGTCGACGAGACAACTCCGATCGTGATCTGGTCATCCGTCGCTCCGACGATCCTATCATGGCTTCGCGCTACGATCGTGACTACGATTCACGTCCCTATTCCGAGAGGGACTATTACGAACGTGAACGTGAGTACTCTGAGTACCTTGACCCCGATCGTCGCTCCTCCAGATTTCGGGAGGTTCATCCGGTAATCGTCAATCAAGGTCCCGTCTACGTCCACCCGCGCGAGTCCGACTACGAGATGGTCCAAAGGTCCGAGCTGGATCGCGACCCGGCCTACTCGTATCACCGCCGGGCCCGCGACTATGACGATGACCGTCGGTTCCGTCGCGAGCTGAGCCCCAGCGACTCCGTCTCCCAGGCCACCCGTCGCCGGGACGACCATGGCTACAGCAGCGACGACAGCATGGTCTACGTTCGCAAGGATGGCTTCGACCATGAAGACCACCCTCATCATCACCGTCACATGGCCGAGGGCGCCCTGGTTGGCGTCGGCGCAGCCGAGTTGCTCCGCCAGCGGCGGAAGAAGGACGGCAAGGAGGAGGAGTCTGACGGTTTGGGTCGCATCGGACGCGGTGTCGGCGCCGGGGCCCTGGGCGCCGTCGCCGTCAGTGCCGCCTCCCGCGCGCGGGACTACTACCGCAGTCAGAGCCGCCATCGCTCCCACTCCTTCGACGAGGACCGCCGCTCCCGTTCGCACCGTCGCCATCGCCACCGCCATTCGCACAGCCAGTCGCGCCACGGCCGCTCCCACTCGCGTTCCCGCGCGAGGACCTTCGCGGAGCTGGGCCTCGGCGCCGCCGCCATCGCCGGAGCAGTCGCCCTGGCCCGCAAGAAGTCGACCGACGACCGACGCAGCCGCTCTCGGCACCGTCGGTCCTCCGCGTCCCGCGCCGACCACGCCCCCGAGGACGAGCCCCGCAGCCGCTCCCAGGCGCGCAAGCACATGGCCGGTGCCGGTCTGGCCGGGGCCGCCGTGGCGGGCCTGGTAGACCGAGCCCGCAGCCGCTCGCGTCCCCGCCACCGCTCGCGCTCCCGCTCCCAGAGCCGACTGCGGCAAGTGCTCCCGATCGCCGCTGCCGGGTTGGGCACTGCCGCTGCCACGGGTCTGTACGAGAAGAACAAGGAGAAGAAGGGTCGCAAAGAGTCACGGCATCGGGAGCGACGGCACTCGCGTTCCCGCTCTCGCAGCCGCGCGCCGTCCGAGCCTTACTATTCCGAGGGCCCGCGGGACTCGCCCGGTCTGATCGAGTACGGCGAGGACCCGGTCCACGGCAGCATCCCCGCGGCCAACTACTACGGCCGCCCCGCGAGCCCACACGGTTCCTACCCCGACTCCTCGCGCCACCGCCATCGCAATCGCAGCCGGGGGCGGGGTCGGCACCACAGTGGGAGCTCGTCCGAGTCTGATTCGGGCGGACGTCACAAGCATCGCAGCCGCTCCCGCAGCGTGGCCGAAGCGGCACTGGCTGCCGCCGGCGTCGGATACGGCGCCCACAAATACTCGCAGCGCAAGGATCGCAAGAAGACCGAGAGGTCTCGGTCTCGACCACGTCAGTAGCTTTCTTCTTTCTCCCCTCTCAACCAACCCAGCAGCTGACAATCTGTTCCGTATAGGGTATGACGATGACGGACGCTATGACACGCACGATGACCCGTACTACTCGGAGCCCTATTCACCCTATTCGCCCCCCTATTCGTCTTCTCCCCCGGTTCGATCGGCCATTGACAGCCACGCCTATCCCAACGGCAGTCCCTTCCCGCCGCCTCCTGGCTCCGCGCCCCGTCCGGCCGGTAGCGCCGCCCCGTATCACCCGGGCGAGTACTATCCGCCTCCCCCGGGCGCAATCCCTCCGCCAGGGGCGGTCCCTCCACAGCCTGCGTACGCGGGCCCCCCTCCGAGCGGGCGGGAACCATATGCGCCCCGGCCCCGGCGGGCCGATGAGAATGTGAGTACCACAGGGCCAATTCCCCCCGCTGCATCCCAACACACAAACGATGGTGGGTCCTGGGACGACGTCGCTCCATGATCAGGCACTGACGGAGCTCTTTCAGATCTAAAACATCCACCGAGATGGGTCCCCCGTGCCCGAACCGACCGGAAGCGCAGACGACGCGGCACCAGTCAGCCGCCCCCGAAGTCAGTTGCGTTTGTGGACCCCGGCTACGAGACGGAGGACAGCGACGCCACCGTGGACTCGAGAAACGACCGTCCCCGGCGACGAAAATCTGACCGGCGTCGCCGCCACTCCTCGTCCGAGCATCATGCCTCCCGGCCAGATCGGCCCCCTGATCATGACCAGGAACCGTCTTCCGACTCCGACTCGACCATCGACCTCCCTGACCGGTTCGACGCGCACGGTCGACTTCTTCCCCAGCCGGGAGACGATCCACTGGCGGATCAATTCCAAGATCTGTTACGGGGGATCAACCGTGCATTTGCTTGATTCCTTACCTGTTTCCTGATTGTTCCTTAATAGTTTCATGACCTTATTTCTTGATGTTGTTGACGATCTAGATGGCTACTGCTTTGTTTCTGTTTAATGTGGTTTAATGCTTTGATGATGCACGAACGAAACGATATAAAATCGATAATGAGGTTTCACGAGAGAGGATAGTGTGTTTTCTTTTGGATGTTATGATTTGATGTTCACGATTGATTTTATAACGGATTATGTCTATCTGCCTGATAATTTACATGAATAGATTGATACTTGTGCTTTGGATCATCTGTTAGACAGAAACTAGCAACAGATCTGTACGTTCATAGCTTATATTCAGCACTATTAGCTAGTTAGTACCCTGGGTTCATTGTGAGGCATAGCTAGGTATAATACGGAAGAAAAAAAAAGAAAGAATGGAATACTACTCGTATTGAGTGAGGGAGATGGCATTGAAGCTGGAGAACCATGAAAGAAAACATTGTCGTATAAGACGAAGATGTAAACCGAGATACACCCACCACATCTCAATACAGTATTGTATCTATTTAGAGACAAAGTACAAAAGGAAGACGCCATAGCAATGCCATCTATGCGCACACACACACACACACACAAACACATATACATAGAGAAAATAAGATATGTTCCATTCATTTCATCTGCCATACCATGCTATTTATTCTTAATCTTTTTGAAGGCCGTTTTCGTGGATATTCCTTGTTGAGATCGTTGTCACGTATCATTTGAGATAAGGGAAGGTAGGGTGGGTAGATGTATGGACTTGGGTGAGGGTTGAGTTGAGTTTGAGTAAGGGGAAGGAGGAGGAAGAGACAAAGGGAATGGATAGATGATGATGATGAGCGAGGGAGTGGTGGGGTTCACAAAGTGGGCGTGGAATAAGTGAGGAAGTGATAAAGAAGTGAATCGGCGCAGATGGGGTATACAGTACGGTACAACAATACAAAACAAATAAGCAACATCATCATTATCAATGACAGGATTCAGAAGGGAAGGCAGATCAAGCCAGGAAGACTCGGGCGGTTCGCCCAAGTACGTCTCGCACGGAGTCCAGCGCGGAGGGTGCCGGTGGGTTCGACCGTCTGGACACGTGAGTCGACATGAGCACCACCGTGTTATTCGAGTGGGGATCGTGGTCGGGGTCCTCGTCCCCCTCCCCGTCCCCGCCCTTCCCGTCGGGGATGACCCGGACGCTGGAGCTGATCGACGCCGAGTGGTACCGCGAGCTCAAGGGCAAGGGGTACTTGATTACGCCGCGGACGATTAGATCGAACGGATGCTGGAGGACGCGTTCCCACCGCTCCGTGCCGCCTTCCTCGGTCTTGTTGCCCGGCCGCGGGAGACGAATCTGCCCTTTGGACGTGGACGCGAGGTGGTTCCACGGTGACGCCTCGAAGGCCAAGGGGGAGTCAAACCGGAAGACCCGGCCCAGAAGCATCGTCTGGGGATCGCCCGCGGGATCCGAGTCGATCGGATCCGTGCCCTTGTCCACACCACCGTTCGCCCGCACCGTCAGCGTGGGGTCCGTCGGGTCGCCCGCCGTGCCGTTGGGACTGGCGTCACCCCGGACGGTGCGGGCCCGTTCGACACGTCGCCGGCTGTGCTCGGGGCGGGGAAGGGAATCCCCATTCGAGCCGATATCCCGCCAGAGCGCGTCGGACCCGACGAATCGGCTCTTGGCGAACAGGTTGACGTCCATGTCGTCCACGGTCACGGGGAACAGGTTGAGGTTGACGGCTTGCACGCTGAGGTCGAGCATGAGCTCCTGCTCCGAGGACAGCACGTTCTGGATCGCTAGCACCTGCACATCCACCAGAGGCTTGGTGACGGCGATCAGGAAGGTGGCCGCCCCGCTCGCCACCAACACAAGCAGCAGGCCGACCATGACGCAGAGCCCGGATTGGGAGCAGTACCCGCGGTGCCGTTGCTGCATGTACTCCATCTGGCGCAAGCTGGCGCTGTTGGGGCGCCGCGTGCCGTGGCGACCGCGCGCGGAGCGTCCCACCAGTGGCGTGCGCTCGTCGTCGGCCCCCTCCGCGTCGAAATCGTACCCGTACCGGTCCCCAGCGCGCTTGGCCGCGTGCAGCGAGCGGTAGCCGGGATTCGGGCGGGTTCCCACGGGGCGGGACGCCCGAATCCCGTTGCCGGGGAAATGGCGCGGCGACTTGGCGCGGTTGGTACATGGCGGGGACGCGGCGCCGTCCCCGTCGAAGAGGGACGGATACAGGGAATTCCGGCCGTACCGGCCGAAATGATGATGACGCGCCGTGTGGCTGCCGCTGCCATCCATCCGGGAGCTGCGAGCGCTCTCCTCCCCAGGATCGCCATCGGTGGTGCTGTACATGTTGTTGGTGAACTTCATGCTCCGTTTGCCGGTGACACTGTGGCCGGCGTCCCGTAGCGGGCGCACCGCCCGGCCGGCCAGCTGATCCGCCTGACTGGCCATGGAGGTGGCGCTCGGGGTGCGGGAGTGGTAGCGGTGCTGGCGGACCGGGTAGGGGTCGGGGGGATTGGACTCATAGACGAAGGTCTCGTCGGAATCGGAGACGTCGGCCTCGTCGACGGCGGTGGCGACCTTGGCTTCGAAGAAGTCGGCCTTGGAGGACGGGGCGCCGCCGGAGAGCGCAGCGGGCTTGCGGGTCCGGCGTTTCTCTCGCTTGGGGCGGATGGTCTCCGTGCTGGGTTTCATCCGCAGGGTGCCGGCGGCATCGCCCCGGCCGGTACTGGTCCGATCACCCGTGGCGACGCCCAAGGAGACCTGGGGGATGGAGCTGACGGTCTCGGTCTCGACGATCATGTTGCGCACGGAGCCGTCGGTGGGTTTAGGCCGGGCCCCACTGGGGGCGCTGAGGGAGGTGGACGACCGTTTCGGAAGGAGGGTGTCGGCCCGGTTCGAGGCGGACGAGATGCGGCGCCGTTTCTCGGCCGTCTGTTCGGGGTCTCTGCCGCCGCTGTCGCTGCCACTCTCGACCGGGTGCTTGGTGGCGGACGTGGGGGTGGCATCTTCCTCGATACTGTGCAGGTCCGGCTCGCGGGGGAGCGGCTGGTTCAGGACCGTCTCCGTCGAGGGCGTCGACTGATCGCTGGCCATCTCCTGGACGGTTTCCAGGGCGGAGCCGGGCGCCGCGGGACTTCGATTGACGGGGCGAGGCCCGCTCCGATCGGACCGACCGGCTGGCTCCTCCGGAGCCGTTCGTTTGCTCGACGTGTTGGCCATATTCGGCTCACTCTCCAATTTCCGCGGAGAGCCCCACAACGGCATGTTGGATTTATCCGGGCTGGGAAGGTCGGGAGACGGTTCGTCATGGGTAGGCGGCGGGGAGAGGACAGGAGGATTGCTGGGGGTCTGGGAAGATGCTCGCGGCGCAGCGGGTGTGGCGGGCACTGGACCTGCCGCAGCGGTGGGAGCGGTGGCGGAACGATGGAGACTGCTGCGCTCCTGACTGCCTTGGCGGGAGAGAGACGGGATGCGGGAGGTTGTAGTGGAAGGATGCGGACGTGAGGAGGCGCGGACGGGGGAGGATTCGCGAGAGGAAAAGGCGGAATTGGTGGTTGAGGGAGGACCGGAGACGGCGTGCAGGCTTTTGGGCATCGGCGAGGCATGAGCTGGTTGAGGGTGAGATTTCACGGATGAACGTGTCCGTTCGACCATGCCGCCCTCCTGGGCCGATCGCCGCGAGGCAGACGAGGCCACCTCGTCATCGTGGGCGACGCGGGAACCAGCGAGACCGTGGGGGTCAGGCAACCTCTCGGACTCCGCCATGATCAGACCGTCGAGTCAGGATGGGCAGACCGGACGGTGAGAAGCCAGCAAATCCGAGAGGGGACCGGACGAGGAAAAAAGAAGAATCAAATCAAATCAAAGAGGATCACAAGGTGAATCCCGAGAGTGAAAGGCAGGGGAGAAAACCCAAATCAAAAATAAGAATAGAAAAAAAAACAAAGAGAAAGGATTCGTCGTGCCAGGGGCGGTTAGGAACCAGCTCAGCGGGCGACGAATCTTTCCGTCACACGAACGAAGTTGTTGTTACACGGGAAACCAGAACGGAGGACGAATGGCCAACAGCCACATGCTGACGAGGGGGAGAGCGAGCGGGAGAGCGAGAGAGAGGGAGGGAGAGAACAGGATCTGCCAGGAGCACTGCACGCTGCAGCAGATGAAGTGGTTGCGGATTGACGGAGAGCAAGGATCCGAAGACTACCGACTAGAAAGAAGACGGTGTGGTGTAGGCGCCGTCGAGAGAACGTCTAGAACGAGCCCGAGACAGCCGGTCGACCAACGGGGAAATGGGCGCCGATCGGTGGTGGAGAGAGCGCACAGAGAAAAAGAATGAAGAAGAGGGGAAAAAGGACCTGGGAAAGGGCAAGAATGGGTCCGTTGTCAGCCCGTGTGTCAGACGCAAGGCATCGCACGAACGAACCAAGTGGAGATGTGAATCGAGAGTCCGGATAGAATATCAAATCCAGAGAAAGACCCCTCGAGCAGACCAATGAAGGTTGCCCACGTCAAAGGGCGCCGATGAACGAACTAGGTCTAGGGTGGTTGGCAGTGGATGAGAATCGGGCCAGAATCACCAGTTCCGGCCTGGGGATTGCTTGTTCGAGCAGACGGTTGAGAATTGATCAGGATGGACCGATTACCGACATCGAGAGTGAGATTGAAGACGAAGTTAAGAGTGGAGAAGAAGAATGACGAGGATGGAGAAGAGAGAGAAAGTGAAGTTGACGTTTGAGAAGAAGAAGAAAGTCCGAGGTTGGATATCCCGTGACCGGTAAGTAATTACCAATACGGTCATCATGACCTCATCATATTTATTCTTCCTCTTCTTCCTCTATTCACATTGAACTCTACTCCATACAATCTATCTTATAGAACAGATATGTACATCCTGATGAATGCCACACAAGGATCCAGCCACAAATCTAGACAGGTTCATCCTTCTACAGAAACAGGGACAGAGCCGGCCAAACCACCAGCGCCATGACATCACCCACACAAAGTCCCGAACCGGGCAATATCCATGAAAATAAAGAGAAAGAATCAAATCAAAAATAGAATAATAATAAAAATAATATAGATTCGTTCATGGTCATCGGTCATCGGTAATCGACCATCATCATCGATCATCGTCATCGTAATTCCTCACACAATCTTGTAGACGCGTTTGGCAATGGAGAAGGAGGCGAGGGCGAACAAGATCAACCCACCGGTGACTGCAAAGATCGCGGGTTAGCATGGTGGGATGATACCGACGATCTTCTGGGGAAAAAACTCACTGGAGTAGAACCATGACAGACTATCCACGTCTTGACCTGGCACCTTGACGTTCATCCCCCACATACCGCAGATGATGTTCAGCGGCAGCACAATGGTCCCCAGCACCGTCAACTTGCCCAGCACGTCCGCTGTCTGCTCCTGTCGCTCGTTCATCAGGATGTTGATCTGCGCCAGGTAATTGGAATGAGCACGCGACAGTAACCTAGACGGGTCAGCAATCCATCAACCAATGAGAATGAAAATAAACCGAAATAGAGTACATACGTCTCGTAATACGTCAGACTGCTGGTCATCGTCATGAGGTGATCCTGAATATCACCCAAGTACAAGCCAATCTCCGACTTGGGCGCCACCTCCCACTGCTCGTTGCACCGCTTGGCGAACCCCTTCACCACGTCGGCCTTGTTGCTGAGCAGCCGGTACATCCCCATCACCTTCTTCCGGCAGATCCCCACCCGTCGCAGCATCTCGCCCGGCGTCAGCGACGGCGGGACCCGGTCCGCCTGCGTAGCCTTCTCCTGCTCCCGGTTGCTACTTAGGTCCGACGGGTGCATCTGCATGATCTTCCCGTCGATCTCATCCACCTCATCCTCGATCGCCTGGATCAGCGGCCCGAACACGTCCGTGATGTCGTCGATCAGCGCGTAAGAGATCCAGTCCGAGCTGAGGATCAGGTAGTCCATCAGCTGCCGGATCCGCCGGCGCACGTTCGCCGGGTGTGGCGTCTGAGAGAAGTGGAACGACAGCACCCCCTCCCGAAACACCACCACGTACATGTTCACCGGCTGCAGGTACTGCTCGCTGTTCGGGTTCTGCTCGAACGTCCGGTAGTTGACGAAGTAGTAGTGCCGGAACAGCTCCACCTTCTCCCGTGCCTCCTGCATCATGATGTCCTCCGCCGTCAGCGCGTGGATCCCAAACGCCTTGGCGATCACCCGCATCTCCGCGTCCGTCGGCGACAGCACGTCCAGCCAGAACGTCGGCCGCGGTCCGTACCGCTTCGGCTTGGCCGTCCCCGGCCGCCGCGACGGCGACGCGTTGGCCGATGTGCGCGCGTCCGAGAACGCTTCGCTGATAACCGACGGCCGCCCATTCGGCTTGCCGTCGGGGCCGAGAGGTTCGGTGGGGTGATGGAAGTGATGATGGTGGTAGTGGTGATGGTGGTTGTTCGGGGCATCGCCCAGGCCCGACATGCTGGCCCGCGGGTGCTCGGGGACCGGCGCCGGCTCGTCCGGCCCCGATTCCAGGTCGTCGTCGTCGTCGGACGACACATCCAGTTCGGGCGGCTCGGGGATGAATAGCTCCTGGAAGCTCCCGCCCGGCTGCACGAGCTCGGAGATGGTCTGCGCGTGGATGGTGCTCTGCAACTCTTCGTTGAAGTAGGTGAACCGGTAAGGCGCGTCCTCCTCCTCCATCCGCCATAGACGGTACTGCGGCCGCAGACGGCCTTCGACCAGCATCGGCTCGCTGATCTTTTTGGTCCGGAAATCGCCGATGCGCTCCTCCTTCTCCTCGCGACTCCACTCCTCCAGGACGGACAGGTCCGGCCACTCCCGGCGGCGGCGGCGGTGCCGACGCGGCCCCTCGCGGGCGGGCCGCATCCCTTCCTCCTCCGCCAGCTCGGACGCGACCTCTGCGGGGAAGCAGACGTCCTCCTCGGCCGGAAAGGTGCGGCGACGATGCAGGCCGTCGGCGCTGTGGCGATGCGGGGAGATAGGTGGAGACGGGGCCGACTTCCGTCTGGGTCGCCGACCCTCGTCATCCACGTCGATCACCATGTCCTGGGGCCGGGTGAGACCGAGGGAGTCCATGCGGTTCTCGATGGACTTGGCCATGGCAAAGTCATACTCGGCCCCCGTCACGACGGCATCGTCGTAGCCCATCTCGGGCCCCAGCTTAGGCGACGTGGGCATCGACGGCGGATTATTCACATCGTAGTCCCGCTCAGGCTCTGGGAACACCGGACTCGAAATGTTCCGCGGCGAGCGGCGGGAGGAGGTCGTGCGGGTCGACGAGGGTCGGCGGGGGACTGAGAGCTGGCTGGGTTTTTGCTCCGTCCCGTACCGGGGACGATTGGACTTGCTGCTGGAAGTGGGGCGGATTAATGGGGTGCGATCGTTGACCGTGCCGGCGTCATCGCTTTCGTCGCCTGCTTGAATGACGGTCCTGCTTCCCGAGGGCAGATTGCGAGACATCGTCTCGGGACGCTTGAGCGTTGACGAGGAGCCCGGGCGGAACGACTGAGCCAGCCGACTTTCTCGACGCGGACGCAGGGGCAGCTGGTCTCTACAATGGGGAATGGGCGAGGTTAACTGTCCGGAGCTTCATTTTGTCTGGATGGAGAGGCTAGTTCCGGGAATGACGTACCGATGATCCAACAATGCCTCGCTTTCCAAACTGGTACTGCTTAAATCCGCGCTGAGCTTGTAGAACGGGCGCGCCGCCTGCGACTTGGGCTGATCGGCAGACATGATGTCCAGAGGCTCTGGGTCAGGAACCGACCCAGCTGCAGCACCGGTATGAGAATCCTCCGCGGCCAAAAACGACTGTCGGCGGTTGCGGCGCTTTCGATTGCGGTTCTTCTTGCGTTTGGACGTCTTGCTCGAAGTCTGCGGGTCCTCCGGTCTGGCCCCCGCGGTCGCGGCAAAGTCCAGCGTCGTGGATCGGCGACCAGGGCTCGGACGAGAGTCGGTCGGTGGGATCGTGTGTGACGACTGCCCAGCTGAGCTAGGAGTTGGGCGACGCGAATCGGACGACGGACGAGGCATGGTGGTGGCAGGAACAGGCAGATTAGCTCGATCGGCTCGTGACGTTTTCACTGGCCGGGGCACCGGACAAGTGGTCGTTACGTGTGTTGGACCTGCACCAGATTGGGCTGGGCGCGGCCAATCACTCGCGCGGAGTGGAGGAGGAAAGTCCAAAGAGGAATAAGTACAACAACGAAGCCTCCAAAAAGAAAAGGTTATTATGCAGCTAGTCCGAACAAAAGACCGCACATTGTCAAGGACAGTTCACAAAGACCCCAGGGCAAGAGGCAGGAAGGAGATGAGCGAATGGGATGAGTGGCAAGGTACGGTGGGACATGAGGTGCTGCATCCAGCAAGGATAGTCAATGATAAGCACTGGGAGGTGGAGACACGTGTGTGGGATAGATCAGTAATTTCAATCTTGACGCGAAGGACCGGTTGAAGGGGAATGGGATCCACTGGTGACTGGAAGGGATGAGCAGACGAGAAGAGGACGGTGAGAGAAAGAGAGAATGAGGAGAAATGGAGAAGGGAGTAAAGGAGAAAGGAGGAGAGAGGAAGATGGATTACGAGTCTACGCCGGGGTGCGGCCTCAGGCATCCAATGAGGTCACCGACCATCGATTATACAGTTACATACAGATCTCGTTTGCCAGCAGGATTCGAACACAGGATACTGTCAATCCATTCCATTATACCAAAACATCAGAAACAGAAAACAGGCAAACATCAAGGTCGTCAGATCATAATTCTAAAAGGCATGGAAACGTAGATGTGGTCATCATCATGAGCATCATCACTCGAATAACAGAAGAAAGGGGGAATAAAAAAAAAGTAAACAGGAGAAATAGAAAAATGAAACTTTTTACGGATCAGTTTACCCAATCAATCATGAAATCATCAAGTAGAAGCAACATCAAGTGAGTGTGACGCCTCAAATCACATTGCTTCCAGTCATGTCCATCATCGACGACGGGGCGATGCTGTGGATAGACCGCGTGTCGACAGACATGCGATCCCCACTAAGCACCTTGACTACCCGCTTGTCCTTCTCCGGGCGGGCAATGAGAACTTGAGCCGGGCAGACGACCACCTCGTCTTCGCCCTCGCCCAGGTCGGTGCCCTTCTTCACCACCAGCGGGAACAGGACGACGCGGACCACGGCCTGCTGGGACTCCAGTTCCTCGTTGGAGGTGGTCTCGCCGCTGCGCTCGTTCATCAGCGCCGCGTTGAAAGAGACCTGTCGCGTGAGATCCCCGTTGGTGTCGTACTCGGGCTGCAGCGGCGGCAGCATGATGTATTCCGCCAGCTGGGTGCGCATCTCGATGGACAGGGCGGCCGCGACGCGCAGCACCTTGCGCAGCGATTCCAGCAGCTGCGCCTCCACGTGAGTGGGTGGGGGCAGGATGCGCGACAGCGTCTCAAAGATCTCTAGGGCCACCGCTTCGGTGTCACTCTCCCGCTGACGGGAGAAGGCCGGGCGCTTGGCTAGCAGAGTGAGGGTGATGGCTCGCCAGCGGTGCACGGCGGTGCGGGGCCCGATCTCGGCCAGCTGCTTCTCCAGCGACTTGAGTTTCTGTCGTTGCTCGCGGTCCATGCCGAAGAGGTAGCGCGTGAAGATGAACTCCCAGACCATCGTCATCACGACCGACATGAACACGTCGCGGCGACGGACGCGGTCGGTGAGGTAGGAATCCGTGTCATAGCCATCGAGAACGGCGTTGTCGAACCGGTCGGCGATCTTCTCGTCCTGAAGGTCGCCCAATTTGCGGCACCGCCGGTGGTCCGAGTGCTTGGAGAAGCGGAGCACCCATTGCTGGACGTGACCGCAGAGCTTCTGGCACGCCGCGTCGAAGTAGTCCTCGTCTCGGAAGACGAGCACACCATCGTTTATTGACGCGGCAATCTGCTGTTGTAGCTCCTGAACCTTATCGCGGGCGCTTTCAAGCTCCTGGCGCAGGCGGCGCAGCTCCTGATTCTTCTGAGACAGGGCGGTCTCGACCTCCTGCCGCACTCGGTCTTGCACGGTGGTTGTCAGCTGTTCGTGCTGCGAGCGCAGGTCGCCGAGTTCGCGGGTGGACGAATGTTGCAGGGTCTGGAGCTCCTGGGCATGGGACTGGGTAAGGTCGGTATTGACGGCGAGGATCCCGTCCTTTTCTTCCGTCAGACGGGCCACTTCTTTTTGGAGCCAGTCCACCGAGTTTCGGAGCTGCTCGACCTCCGCCGACCGGTCGCGCAGGTCGGCATCGCTACGGTTCAGGGCGTTATCGCTTCTGCGACGGGCGACGCTAGTCCGACGCAGTTTATCTTCAGCAGCCTCCCGAGCGGCGAGAAGAAGACGATTTTCGGAAATCAGCTGGTCCATTCGAGATTCTAATTCTTGCAGGTGTTGCATGCTGCGACGGTGGCGGACGCTGGGTGGGCGGTTAGGCGATCGCGGGGAGCTGGGAGTCTGACCCCATCCCTCCTAGACATTGTCAGTACAAAGAAATCACCCACACAAAGAAGAAAAAAAAAGAGATGAAGAGTAAAAATAGAAAAGAAAAGAAAAACATACATAGACGTCGGCCATGTTGCGCAGAGGACGCTTGCCCTTGTCGGTGATGGGGTCGTAGGTGGAGGAAGAAGGAATGCGTTCGAGGTTCAGGTCGGAGGCCGATTTCAATTCGGGGGGCTGGGGTGGGTCCCGTGGTTGGGCCCTGGCCTCCTCTTTTTCTTTTCCTTTGCCTTTCTCGTCTCCCTCTCCTTGCGCCCGACTGGTCGCTCGTAGGTCTCCACTCGTACTACGCATCGTTCGGCGCAACGATCGAGTGCTGTCGCTCGGTCGAAGGATCGGAGTGTCTTGCAGTTCCGGGGTCTTCGTCCCCACTCGCCAGGGACTAGGACTACCCACTCTGGAGGATTGTCTTGTCTCGCCCTTCGCAGACAAGGGTGATTGTCGGTCCTTGTCTGGCGTAGGCCATTGCTGCCGTGCCATCGCATTGTCCGTAAACTTTCTGACGGGCGTCTCGGGTCGAGGAAGCACATGTTCGGATCGCATCTCCAGGCGGGGCGTGCCGCCTTCTTGATCCGTGGGTCTGGGGCCGTCGGGTTTCTCCACCCGGCCCTCCGGGGTGGTCTCTTTTTCTCTGATCGACCGTAGTGGGGTGCGCGGCGGCGAGATCGCATCCCCGGGTGGTCCTCCAAAGATCGACGGCCTAGGTGGTGGAGTCCGGGGTTGCTGCTGGCTCGAATCATTTTCTAGGGACCGTGTTCGCGAGGGGCGGTCTTGCTTCGTAGTCTCCCCCGTAGAATGGACCGGAGTAGACGGTCGCTCGTGTGTAGATACCGCTGCCTGCAGAGGGGCCTCGCGAGGCGCCTTTACATCTGACACATCGATCGATCGCGATGCCCCGACAGATCGATCGCGCTCCATGGCACTGTCGGGTCGACCCAGCTGGCTGCTCTCGCCGTCGCCAGTGGTGGTAGTGGTAGTGGGCGCCTCCGAAATCTGAATCGCTTTCGTTTCAGACTCATCCTCAGCCCCATCTTTTACCGACTCCGACCGCTGGGGTGGACTATGTCGGCGGAACATGCCTCGCTCCAACTCGGGAAAGATGCTGGCGACCTTGCTGGGCTGGCGTCGGAGAGTGTGCTCGGGGGTATTCTCGGCCTCTGTAATTAAATATTTGTAAGCCTTCTGGAGCCGCAGTCTCATCAAACTCCGCAATGGCCGGTTCAAACGGCGCCAAAGGAGTCTCAGGAGAGGTGGGTGGGGTCTGGTCCGTACTATCAGAATTGTCTTTGCTCTTGTCCCACCCGATGTCAATTGCAGGCCAGCCCTGTTCGCTCTGCGCAGGTTCCTCTGTCTTTAAGGATAGAGGTTCCTCCAGCTCCTCGGCCTGTCGTTCTTTGCGCTTCTTCTTCTTCTCTTTTGTAGATAGTTTTCTTGAGACCGGAGGTTCTTCCACGCTTGGCTCAGGGGTGGTCTCAGCGACAGGAGGGTATTCTTCGGTTGATGCTGCTGGATGCGCCTCTGGTTCTGCTTCTGGCACTGGCGCTTGCTCTTGCTCCGGCTCTGGCTCCGGTTCGGGCTCCCTAACGGCCTCTTTGGCCTTCTGCTTAGATTTTCTCTTTTCCTTCTTAGACAGCTTTCTTGACAAAGGCGCAGCAGTCTCGAGTTGCTCGGTGGGGGTTGCCGCCGCCTCAGTGGCGTCCCCCTCTTCGTTATCTGCTCTGGCCGCTGGCTCTTCCTCTGGGCCATTTCCCAGTTCAAGTTGGCGCGGTGCTTCATCCAGTGGGACTTCTCTTTCCGCCACATCTTGTGGCGTCTCTCGAGGCTCCACGGACGTATCTACTTCCGGACTCTCAACATCTGGTGGTGCTTTGGAAGGGTCAACAATTTCTGCAAGTTCACGTTGCTGGTCTTGCTCGGGTGAATCCACTGGGAGGTCCTCAGCCGCGACGTCCGCATTCTCAGCCGAGACCTCCGGGGCAGTGATAGCAGGGCCGATTTCTTTTTCGTCGCCTGCGGAAGAAGGAGGCTGTTCCGGCTGCTCTTTGCCCTGCTTCTTGGCCTTCTTCTTCTTCTTCTTCTTGGACTCCTTGCGGCTAAGAGTCTCGGGCACGGGCTCTTCTTTGACCGACTCAGTTTCCTCCGTGTTTACCGCAGCAGGCGTGTCGCTCGGAATGGCTTCCAGGTCGCTTGTCGGGATTTCTTTTCCCTCGGCAGTGGGCTCAGCTGGTTCCTGGCTGGGCTGAAAAGAAGTATCTTCGACCGGTTCACCATTCTTATCAGTCGCTGCTAGAGGCTCTTGTGATTCAGGGATTTGAAGGTCCTCTTTGGTAGGCTCAGGAGACACGATTGTCTCCTGTACTTCTTCGGTAGTGGCCGCAGGCTCAGCTTCCAGAGCAACTTTCTCTCCCTTCAACTCCTGTTCAGCAGGCAGCACGCTGTCCACATCTTTCTCATTGCCTTCGGCAAAAATTAGAGATCCCGCTT